GTAAAAAAAGTTTAAAAATTAATTATAAATTTATAAAAAATTAATTTTTTAATTATTATATAAAACTTATAATAATTTTTAAATTAAAATATTAATTAATAATAAAAAAATGTTTATTCGATAATACGTACGAGTTTTAAATTCGAATTTTTTTTAAAAAAAAAAAATTATTTATAATAAAAATTAATATAAAAGTTTAAAATAATATTTTAAAATTAATATAATAATTTTTTAAAATTTTAAAATTCGTAATTTTTTTTTTTTTTTTCGAAAGGAAATTTATAATTTTATTTAATAATAATTTATTTAATAAACGTTAAAATTACATTAAATTTTAAACGCTCGATAATTTCGTATTAATTTTAATATATAACTTTTTCATATATTAACATGTTTTTTTAATTAATTATATTTTTAATGATATAATATATAATCATTTAATAATATTTATCTTAATACTAATAATATTTAACACTAATCCCCGTATAACATAACCTGATCGTTTAGTTAAGCTAAAACTAATAAACTCCGAGGCATTGGCACCCAGACGTTAAGTGCTGCTGATTCCGACGATTTTCCTTGGATAACGCTTGTTTTTTTCTTATCCGTCGTATAAGTACGCGTTATAAGTAGGTAGATAGTATACGGTAGTATCTTTCTTTAATTCTTCGGAAACCCTAGGCACATACGTAGCGGGAGGGCGGACGAGCGGGCGGTAGGGCCGTGGCCATGTCACAGAGCTCGTGGCAACTTGTCCCAAACCTGTGGCGTTCTTTGGCGGTCCCAGCTAGCCAGCCTAAAAAAGAATGATTTGGTTACTAACCTCTGCCCCTCAATCTTTCTCAAACGAGTTAGTGATCCCGGGACGATCTGATCATTTTCAAGGCACGTTTTGTCCTGGTGATAGCCCTAGCACCCCTACAAGGGGATAAAAAAGCCCCAAGGTCTCAACTGTAGTAATCTATGTAATCTGGCCGGGGTCGAAAGGAGGATGGGGAATCTGCAAGGTGCCGCAAAGAGATCACACTACAATACGTAGCCTGCATAACAGTCTGTTAGCTTTTGGGGGGTCCCTGTCTGCGCGATTGGGGACGATTCCGAAAAAGACAAGGGTAAATGATGGAGTTTTCCGTCCTGATGAATTTTATTATTTTTTTATTATTCTTTTATCATTAATCATTATTCTTTTTTGCATACCATACATAATACTACTTACCTGATAGTTGTCGTAACTTATAGCTGATGAAGACGTTGAATATTGCGTCGTACTTTCATACCATCCTTTATGATAACACAGGATTTTGTTATTGTTGTTTGTCATGGTCGCATGGAAGGTCGATGCCTGATGAATTTTCTTCTACAAACACGATGCCGTGCAAGTGGCAAGCAGATGAATAAATCCTAGCCGTAAACAGCACATTACCGAGTCGATGCTGCACCTCTCTGGTTTCGCATCGCCTTGTTTACCGGGTTTCCTAGCTGAGCACCGTGCCGCTTGACGACATGATACCCCGAAGATATACCTATAATTTATAGGTGGTTGCATTATTGTAAAAGAATATCTATAGATCTAAAGAATGTCGAATACCCATTGAGAGCCAATCTCGGGTACTACCCCAGTCGCAAGTAACGGGGGCGGTATGAATAATCCTATCAAACATCGTGAACGACAAAGAGCCTAAATTCGAATGGAGAGTTAAGATGAACCCTTGGAACTGCAGCTAAACCATAAAAAAACATATGATGATATGAGTTATACCGCCGTTCATTGTTGTCGTTGCTGTTTAATGTTCATAAGGAAAGACATTGTCTTAGGAATTTTCCACTTCAGAGACCATCAGGTTAAATTAATGATATGACTACCTAGTACATAGTACTAAGCACCTATCATAACGACATGATAGCTCTATTCGACTACAATACCTATTGAATGCCTCGACAATGACCAGAAACTCTCGGGCAAGGTCCGTTCATCTCGCTACGTCCCACAGACAAGCATTCGGAAATTCGATCGCAACTCTATCCGTTGGGAAACAAGAGATCCATAATAGCTTCACCGAAACCCGTTTCGAGCAAGGGTCAAATGGAACAACGGCTGATGGCTAAAGGCCACGCGGATGGGTAGTAGCAAGTTATCTAGCTAAACATGGAGCAGGGGTATAAAGTGGTATCAAGGTGCAAAACCTGTGGAGGATCTCCAGCAATCATAAGAACTGCGATTATAAGTCTATCAATGATCAATCAGATCACGAAGATCTAAACATACTCCCACGTTGCTTTACTAGAAACCAACAATACCATGCTACTTAGTATGTACCTGTCCCTACACGAATAGACTGCCTAGTACAGTGAGGTGTAGGTAGGTAGGTAGATAGGTATATCGTCGATCTTTGCGTTGAATGCTGTCAACGGATGATCCGGTCCTATCCTATCTAGTGTCAGTCAAAGTACAGCTCGCCCGTCGAATTTCTCGGTTGATTGATACATATCGGCCGATGCTGACCTGGCCACGCTAGAGGACGGTTATGTTGCTAATCAAGGCTGAAGTTGAACGAGAATCGACAGATAGCTGCATACGGAATATCGAGATCGTCAGGGGATTTAAGACCTTTTGGCTCTCAATGCTATAGCACAAGGATCAAGTAACATCCATCTCGCCAATTCCCGAATCCTAAATACCAGACCACTCACTTTGGACGGTCGAGCTGGATTATGGGTGCAGCTCGGAGAGTACCGTGGTAGTACTTACCCAGTAGAAGGTGAAAATACTGACATATTATTGGCATGAATGCGACCTACCTTACTTAGGAGAAGACTTCGAGCTACGGCGGTGTCGACGTATTATGGAGGATTCCCATACGCGGGTCACAAGTTATCCATTGGGGGGAGAGATACAGAATCTTGGCTTCCTTTCGGCGGCTTGTGACTTCTGGGGTCGCTGGTTTCATCCTTGCGCCGCACTGAGTTGTTAGTTGCGGGAAAGCCGAACCCATGTAAATAGAGGCCTCTGATATAGGTACTTAATACGGAACACGCATAAATACACGGATGAGATTGCAAATATTGGTTTTAAAACAAAACACTATGACGAAAATAGAAAGAAAATTTAACGTCAACCCAGAAAAACAAGAGAATTTCGATGTTGATTTTTACATATTAGGAGGTACATAAAGATCTATGTACATGGGTAGGTAGTAGGTAGTAGGGAGGTAGGTAATTAATAAATGTAGCTATAAGAGCAACGTACATGCATAACAGTTGCAGAATGGGAGGCTACTTAACAAAACAACCTTACCATGTACTATAGGTAGATTTCACTATTTTATAAGGATCAAAAGCTATAGTAACTAGGATCAATCTAGACGCGGAAGACATCCGACCGGATAACCATTCGATGTTATGTAAGATGTTATACCTAATAAAACCGTTGTTGATCACCCAGCCATCTTCGCCTTCTAGAAATGTTCCTCGGGCTTCACCTTCTTAAATAGGGCGCTTACTTTTAATTTATCGACGGCGGACCATAAGGACAAATCCGCCAACCCGCCAATTCAATTAATGTATTGAAAAGTATACTGTATAAATACAGTGTACGACGAAAATACACTGTGCTTCGTAATTCAAGGATTGAAAGGCTTATAAACTACAATACGTACAAGTAAATACTTATTAAATAAATATAATAAGTTCTTTTATTTTCATGGAGATATTAAGAAAACAGGTACTTACCTGGTAATGTTACAGTAATTATCAATTAAATTAAACCTTACCATACTTAGGTATTTAGCAGGTAGGCAAGTATGTAATCGCTATTTGTCGCAACACTAAAGGCTGTAATGGTGAAAGCAGGTTGATCTGATTATTTCATCATGTTACTTAGGTTCCCAGTTATATTAAAGCAAGCGAAAATCTCTATGTTCGAACGTAAGGAAAAGGTAGCTTAGTATGCTATTAGCTTGAGCCTTAAGCTACCATCGATTCAGCGATCGGCTAGGTAATTTTTCGAAAATAAGTAAGTAAACAAAAAGTATATCGGGCACAAGAGTAAGAAGCCTTAATGATAGCTCTTTAATAATAGAAGGGATAACTTTACGATTAACGAATAAAGTACTGGTCGTTTAGTGCCTTCTCCAAGAGACAGGGCTTTATTCAGCAGGGTTTTTTCGAACCCGGCTTTAATATCCCCTTCTATCAACGCAACTCTTATTCATTTTTACCTTCATCTTTTATGATTATACCCTCATTCTTAACTTGATCCTCTAATAACTATAGTTCCTTACTTCATTCCGTGCCTACTTAGGTAGTGGACGATCGTTCGTGTATTCTTAATCTTCTTGTTGCCCGCTTTACGCAGATGATGGTACAACTTCGATTTATTTCGGTTTAGGATACTCATATGCTTTTGTATATTATTAAGAACCTTTCGGACGTTGTCAGGTGCAATCTAGATACGTTTTCGGTAGAAAACACGGTTTTCTTTCATTTTTATGACTCGGAATAATAGTTAGGAAACTAGATCGCGGTACATTTTCGACGCTGATAAGGATTTGCTAGGTAGAGTCGATATCGTCGCTCATAGTGTCGTCATCGTTACCATTGCCGTAATGTGAAGAAGACGCGTCTAAACTAGAGCATATAAAGTTTAGGGAATAATTGTCGCAGTCAGCTAAATCTTCTTCAAGTTTGGGATGTACGAAGTAATACATATAGCTTCATGTTAAATTAGGGAGCGTCGTCTTTGATTAGTCACATCCGACTAGCTTCCAAGGTTAGGTTCATGTAAAAAGAACTGTAGCTCAATGTACTGCCATGTCTAAGCAGGCTTTGATCTTTCCGCTTTACACTATCCATGATTGAAAATACTAGTATTTTATAAGAAACGTAATTGAATAATACAGCTTGCATCGAGTTTCATTAAGGCTTGATAATGCTACGTAACAACGTATTATTAGAAGGAATACTTTGAATGTATCACATGAAGTTACAGATGAACGAGCTTATGAAAACTAACACACTTATATAATTCTAACATCTAAGATACCAACCAACACAATACCAATACTATAAAAGATCTTTAAGAATGAAATGCCCACTCATGTAATGCCTACTACCTCTTGAAATAATTGGAACGACATATTGAACCTGTTTGTTTATATGATGCCCTATCGCCCATTAGCAAGCCCCTCGTAATACCCAGGCTTTAATGATTCCGATCGCTTGCGAGTATTGTATCTAGGAGTCGACGATTCCCTACCGACTTGGGAATTTGAGGCATTGCGGCTTCTGCGTGGCTCGTTGTTTCGGTCCTTCTCTACGTCTGCTGATTGGACGACTCTGCTTCTTCGACGCGTTACCGGACCGCCCCCTCCGTTCCCAAAATCGACAATACTAACAGAGAGCTGACTAGCCTTTCGTTTTTTGGCATTTACCTTGGGCTTTGGCGAGTGGCTCCTATAGGGAAGTGTAGGAGGATTTCCGGTAGGTACGTAGCTATAGTTGCCATCATGTCTCAGGGCGGTAGCTGTGATGGCGGGGTTTGCATTAGTGGTTGAATCTTGGCTACTTGAAAGAGTTCCATCTTGGGTGGCTAGACCCTGTTGCGATCTCAATGAAGCAGCGTCTTGAGAGGATTGGGGTTGACGGGTAGCTCTATCAGGAGTGCTCCGCGTTTCGCAAGAAACGGACAACACTTCTGCATCGACGGTTCGTGCTGCACCTATAGAGATAGATGAGTTTCCTCTATCGAACGCAACCGGCTCTTCTCGTATAGATCCTCTTGAACTTCCTTCGCCTATGCTATCCACTCCCGGTCTTGGAGAAAAGCCAGGCCACTCTTGCCGTAGACCAAGGGTGTAAGAGCCTGGAGACTCGTGATCTACGGCGGGCGATTCGTTAGTAAGGTCAATCCATTGACGCATCGCATGGGTCACGGGACGCCCGGTTGGTACAGAATTCTTTTGGAAGACGTTAACGATAGGTTGATGACAGGGATGGTCTGACAGAACTTACAATCTCAGGACGTTCCAGGGCAAGGCCCCCCGAATTCTGCTGTCGCGTCGTCTCAAGGATCGGTAATAATGGGCTAGGCTGATCCAAGATCTCCCTTCGCAGCACCCGACTTCCTGTCGGCGATAAGGCAGGGCCAGAATTTGCATACGAATATGCCGGTTGGCGCCGTATGGGTTGGCTCTCCTCATCGTCTTCGAGGAATGGATCATCTAGATCTTCCACCCGCCTTACAGGTGGAGATGCAACAGGGGCCGAGATGCGGGAGATGTGGGAATTGCGGGGATTTGCCGCGAGTTGCACGTGTAGAGGTGCATCAATCCGTTTCCTATACATGACCACGAAGGCCTTGAAGGTATTGCTCTTGGTATGGGGCTTCAGTCTGTTCCAGGGATTCTCATTCTCCTTGAGTAAGCTGCCAACAGTCATCTGCTCATACCCGGCAATATCTACCAACGAAGTGATAGTATGGTATCTTCCTGCCGATTGAAGCTCTTTAACAAATTTAGCGTGATGGCTATACTTGAGGGTTTCTCGCTGGTTGACCTGAAACTGGTTTATAATGCTGGTATCAAGCCAGGCCTGTAAGGTCAGATGTTGTTTCAAAGGGGGGACTGGGATGTCGCTCTTCCCTAGATAACACCTGTGAGAATAGTCCTAGCCAGGTAGGCTTGGATCCAACTTACATGTTTTGAAGTATTTAGTTGCCACGAATGCTGCTTCTGCTCCATGTCCGTGGATATAATATTCGCAGGCGTATGAGGCAATTCTCAGAACTACTTCATTTTCCTTCCTGTCGTACGTCGACCCGCTTGCTGCGACATCCTTAGCATATTTCCTTTTGGCAGCGTACCACCCATCTAGTATTTGCGTGCAAGTATCATTCACATGGGCTAAAACGTTGCTACCTTGTCTATTTGACCCATGTCCGCTCCGCCCGTTGCTGGTAGAGCTGGTCCGAGGCTGTATGTACTGAAGGGGATTGACCGGCCCGTGCCCCGCCGCAAGGGATGTGCCGGAGCTGTGGTACGTAGCAGGCTGGGTGGTGTGCGACGGATTCGATGGAAGGGAGACAGGCTGCGGGGCTGGTGGGTTGACGAGCCCATTGCGCCCTTCTTCGCTTCTACACTTATTCTCAACGGAAGAATGATAAGGGTAATGACAAGAGGGGCAGGTCGAGCGGTCCTGTTCTGATGACCACAAGTAGAGAATGTCGTGTGATAAATTGGGGTTATTTTTGCAAACCCCCGGCAATGCATATTGGTAATCCTCCTTGTATACGTTCAAAGGACCCATAATGAATGATGCTATTCTTGCGATTGATTGCATTACTTAGGTAGTACCCAGGTGGGTAGGTAGGTTACCTACAATACGAGATGAACTTATATAAACGATCGATATTATGTATAAAAATACCTCATAAGCACTAAAGAGCGAGGAAAATTCGATCTTTATTTTGAGGCTGTCGATTTGAATCTCATTGTAGAGAAAGTAGGTCGTTTCGTGTTACGTCCGTCCCGTCCTGTAGCCACATCGATATTATCATGCAACTGCTTGCCGCGCGCTGTTGTGTAACGAATAAAATCATTTGCTACCGATCTGACCATGCGGCGGTTCGCATCCGATGCAGAAACACACATTTTTAATTGAGTCCGGTTTGAATGAACCAATAAGGATGACTGTATCATATTAACATATAAGACAGACATGGAGGATATGCATGGTAAAGAAGAAGATCATAACTAGTTATGGCATGAAAAAAAGTAAGTTTAGTTGAAGGATTCAGCTTCTTACGAACGATGGCTGAGATCGGCCGGGGGGTTTTATCAATGGTTGTAGCTATGGTTGGTACATTCTTATGTACCTTATAGTAATCTAAGACCTGATTTAATTGAATCGCAGCGAAGGGAAGAAGGGGGGTGGGTAGGCCAGGGAAGTTCGCCGTGTGTATTAAAAAAGAAACCTAGGAAAAAAAAGGGGGGGTGGGAGGAGGCCAGGGGAAAAGGTGCAATACCGAAGGGCCGAAGCCACGGAACAGTAGCTTGGGGATTCCGGGGGTTCCAACTGGGTGATATCGCATCCGCACCACGCGGGGACCTCATGTTCACAGGCCAGTACTAGTAACTAACTCGAATAATAGAGGGAAGCTAGCAATTATCACTCCTCGCTAGGGTTAATATGCCACGAGTTCGAATTAATTTTCGAGCTTTCAAAGATCGAATTCTTCAATTATGGTTAGAAGAAGGCAACTCACAAGAAGAAATCCTACATTTTCTTCGAAGTAGATATAACCTTAATGTTGGTTTACGCACTCTTCAACGACAACTCCAACGATGGGGCTTTCGCAAGAATGAGTCAAATATCGATCTCATTGAGGCGGAGATCCGCCAGCTCTTCGAAGTAGGGTTATCATATGCTTCTATCATTGATTATTTAAGCGAAGAACGACCAGAGATTAACATATCGAGACGATCCTTAGAACGTAAGCTGAAAGAATGGGAGATGGCTCGTTACGAGAGACTCGACTACAGCCCGGAACTCGTAAACATCATACGAGATTACTTTTATAAAGAAGACTGTCGCGACGACTTAATCTTGACCTACTTACAGCATCAGCATGGGATAGTGATTGGCCGTGCCTTCCTTATTCGGATCCGAATGGAGAATGGCATGAGAAGACGAACTAATGACCCACACCAACGACTACGTGACATGATGGAAGTAGACCGATTTATCAATAACTACGAACAGACGTCAGATGCTTTCGGGGAGTTGGGGAGAGATGGCGTTCGGAGACGTATTCGCAGGCATGCTCATATCCCCATCACAAGAAGCGGATCGTATAACGTATATCGTCAGCGATATCCCGAAGCCGTACGACAGCGTCGCAATAATAGGCCAGGTAACGAGGAGCGGAGAGGTAGAAGGTTTACAGTTCCGGGACCAAATTATGTATGGTCTATGGACGGTCATATGAAGCTTCGCTTTGCCGGATTTGAGATTTACGCTTGTATCGATGCGTACTCACGCAAGATCCTTTGGTGCAACGTCAGCAGATCCAACTCTCTTCCGATAAACGTGCTGAACCAATATCTGCTCTCTATTAAAACGTTGGGGTTCCGACCATGGCTCACCCGAACAGACCATGGAGTCGAAACGCCGCTTATGGCAATGGCGCACTTTCAATTAGCTATGCACAACAAGCCCACTGTAATCGTGAGGGACGCGGACGGTATAAATCGCGAACGGGCACAAGGCCATGTATTCTGGGATTCCCATAGATGGGGTACCAGTAGGCAGAATAGGAAGATCGAACAATGGTGGGAGCAACTCCTTCGGAAGGTTGTACGCCGCTGGATTGTAAGCAAACCAAAACCTACGTCTTATGGACCTACACTAACGTCGTTAGGCATACTTCGAATCTCTCGTTAACACGGACAGGTTTGATAGAAACTCGATACCGGACCAAGTCGCTTTATATGCTATATATGGGGATATCCTGCGACGAGAGATCGCCGAGTTTGTTGAGGATTGGAATACTCATCGAATTCGGTACCATCCAGGCATGAACCATGTTGTCACCGGCCAGGTGAATGAGATGTGGAATAATCTCGGAAATACTGGCGTGTCCGACTATGGACAGAGTGTCAGAGGCGATCTAGAACTGGAAGAACTGGTGGAACAACTGAGCGCCCCGTTGTATGGGTATGACTTCGATAGTTTTCTCGCGCCAGAAACGCAGCGTGTCTGCGATGAATGGCTAGCAGAACACCCGTTAGGGCATATAGGGGATCGAAGACACCCGTATATCGAGAGCTATCTTGGCTTGAAAGCTCACCTTGAACAACATGTAGCTAATGGTAGAGAACCGCGGTTAGCGTTCAACGAGTTTCCTCGTGGTGGACCGAGATGGTATAGGGATCAATTGAATATCCATAGAGAGCATATGGAAGCAGCTCGAAGAGAGGTACAGCTCAGAGGACGCGAGGTTGACGAGCTTGCTGATTGGTTTGAAGAAAATGTTCTTATCGTGTAATATTATCTCAGTTAGCTCAGACTAGGCCCCTCCCATCCATACTGATTTTTAGCCAATTAAATCTCTCCCCGCGAAAACAGGGAACCTATGAAGTAATCCGGGGGCAAGTTGGTACTTTTTTCTCTCTCATGGTAACCGGAAGAAAAAAAAAACTCACTTTTATTTTTTAAACTACGTGTTTAATATGATTAATAACTATAAAAGCTACTTGTTTTTCAAGTAAGTAATAATCTATAACCGACTTTAAAAGGATTATTATATCGGACCGGGAATAGAAAAAAATGGTACCTAGTACTTAGGTGGGTACCTAATTAAGGAAGTGTAGTGGGGTAAAAAGTGTGGCGAAAGTAAGTAGTTTTCTGTGGCTGTATAAGATAGAGTATGATCATGTGACCAAGGAATAGCCATCTAGTTCACTTTAACCACATGCGTGATCACCTACCTAAGTACCTAGTATTCATAACATATCTCATTCAATACAGCATACATTATATCATTCCAACGTTAATTTTCCTATTGCTATTTTATTATCTATCTTATATATTGGGTCCTTATTATAATTAAAACAATGTTGTTAAAGCCTTCGCCGTCGTTCGTGCCTCTTCCGACCGGGATAACCCGGACAGAACTGATGTCTAAAATTGAAATATATCATCCTGGATATTCACAACCAACGTGTTTAGCATCTTTTAACGCGTCAGATCCGGGTGGCTTATACTATTTATTAGTATACTGGGCTTGCTGTATTATTGCAGATAATATTTGGGAAGACGATGAAGGGTTTGGGGAGAACGGTGAGATAACAGGGCCTTATCTATCGAAGTCATCTTCACCAGGCAATCCGCTATCACGAACTGAACTATTACCTATTGGGAGATATTACTTCCACGTTCCTGGATATACGAACGGTTAGATTATACTTTCGTTATCGTAAAACGCCTTTACTTATATATCGTACTAATCGTATTGACCTAATAGACCCGCCGTTTCCCATCTCCTGCAATTTCGATAACTGGGAATTTCCCGATAAGCTGCCGTTGCCTTGGGAACAATTAAGAACCAGTATCGACTCATTTGCCGACCAGAGTGACTCTCATTCTGCATACGATTCAGACCTACAACCTTGTTGCATCACAGCCGGCTTGACATCGCTTGAAAAGTGTCATGTCATGCCTCCAAGCACAAAACGATGGCTAAAGAACAATGATATGCGCCGGTTCCTAGATGCACAGAAAGTCAGAGCTACCCACGATGCCCCTGGTAATAAGATATTTATTCGGAAGGATATTCACTTTCTCTGGGATCAGAACCATCTTACCATGTTGCCTAAACTCGACTCGAGCCCCGATACTCCCGAGTATCGGTTAACTACGCATGTGCTTCATCCGCCTGGCAAATCCGCCGATTCCGATATGGAGATTCTCGCGCTATATCAGAATATACCATGCTTGCCCCTTCGCAAAGTTCCCATCGAGTTTCTTTTCGCTCGCTTTGCTTGGTCCATTTTCACCAATTTCGTCATCATGCTTTTTAACGACGATGACGACGAAGGCGTATATTCCATCAGTCTTAGGACACCCAATGGACGAGTTGCCAAGCAATTATCTGTGCATGAAATACCACCACTATTTTCTAAGGCAACCGGTACACGAGGAGCCTCTACGTCCGCCTGGGCAGGTCAAAAAAGAGGTTTTGACGAAGTGACTCACGATGATGCTGCGAACCTATTATACTCATTCCAAACTGGCCAAATGGAGCCAGTACTTGATGAGCATGAGCCCGGCGACCGGTGGAGCGATTACTTCTCAGACGATGAGCGACCTTACAAACGGTCACGGTCATGTTCTAGCGATACCGACGATGGGACCGACGATGCGGACGATGAGAGTGAGGGTGAGGGCGAGGGCGAGGGCGAAAATGGAGACAGTAGCGACGATACCGCGGGCCGGTTTTCTTCGTTACCTTTGAATGGGAACGTAAAGAATAACGTATATGTGCACCACGATGACACGCACGACGACCGGTCCTCTTCTGGAACGAGCTCGCCGGGTGAGCTTTGGCCTGACCATGCACCTCGACACTTTTCACCTGTATCGGGTAACGCGCGTGCTAGAAACGCACAAATAGATTCTAAGTTGTATTGAGCTGATCTGGCATCGGTTTCTTATGGGATGTTCGGTTCGGGATACCTGGTGGGTCGGGAATGGTTTTCAAGTGAGCATATATCATGATAAATATTCGGGATATTAAATTAGCGTCATTCGTTACAATTAATCGTTGCTGTCGGGAGGGCCGGGTTATGATATTGATGCTATACCTTAGAGCGATAAAGCAAGCCAATGAGAAAACGTGGTGGTGTTGTTATTCTTAAGTGAGTGTGTGTGGCGGGGTAGCAAGTAGGTAGCCTTGTAAGCAAGGCTACGCTCGGGTCACCGAGCCACGTTACACGTTACGTAATTTACCTTAATCCCATATTCCAACTGTTTCTATATGGTCTTAATTTTTCCCTTTATAATTTACGTATAACTTTCTCCTTGTTTCTTTTTGCATATATAAATAGAAATATTAATCCATGTTATCGCTAGCTGCCGGCCGCGGAGCGATGCGTTCAGAGAAGGAGAGATCGAAAAGGGGCTGAAGCGATTGTGAAGCACGTGATTTGAACCTGGACCTGAAAGAGTGGTTAGTGCGTTGAGAGATTTCTTACCTACCTACCTACCTTAAGGCTTAGCTGCTTGGGTAGGGTAGGTACCTATTTAATCAGGGATTGAGCGAACCCGCTAGACTAGAGGATGCATCCAATGAAAGGCTTTAGAGATTGAAGCTAGGGTAGCGCTAGAAAGATTTAGCGTCACTTCAAGTGGTTAAGGCGCTTTTTGAGCCAGCTCAGCAAAAAGGTCCGGAGAATATTAATGCTCACTACTTGTGGACGATAATTACAACATTTACCATCCTGCCAAATTATTACAATCAATTAACCATTTCAATTAATAACTCACTTGAAGTATACCCAATTAAGACGATTTCTCTTTGATATGCCTCGATTCCTTCAATTCCTTCAACACCAAAGCAAATATACCTTAATCGGCCGTCGTCTAAACATCATGTCTTTCCCATGCCCCGATTCCTTCAACACCAAAGCAAATATACCTTAACCGGCATTCCTGGCGCTCCAAACATCGCTTTGCCACATCTCGCGAGCCGATATCCTCTCCTCGGGATTTTCTGCTATTCCCTTGCGGAGAATATTATATAAATCGAGGCCAATTACGCTGGATGCGTAAAGCGCGTTTAGCCTATCAAGAGGTTTGAGAATACCAACCGCACCAACATCATTGTTGCCCTCTGGTACGCAACCCTCGAGAACGGAGATGCATAGCACTGTGAAGTCCCAAATATCGACAGGAGCACAGGCATATTCACCTCTACCAACCTCTGGGGCAACCGTATGAGCAGGTCCAAGATTCTCCTCAGTATCTTTCTCCAACTTAGTCGCTCGGCTAAAATCGCCAAGTATTGGATGATACATCAACTCATCATTTAGATCTCTCTTGCAGAGGATAAGAACACTCTTTAAGGAGATATTCCGGTGGAAGACGCCAACTTGATGGAGTTCGTACATCGTAATCAACACGGCGTTTAGTAATTGGAGGCGGTATCCGATACCTATCTCCCGTTTCGTTGCAAGGAAATATCGCATATTACTGTCGGCTTTTCCCATAACCAAGAAACATGTAGCTGGGGCGAGTTGAGGTTCAACTGACACACCATGTGAATACCATATGTTATCTATATACGCAGTAAAGCCGTTCCGAGTCGCCCTGGACATTTGGACCTCATTGCGTATTGAGTCGATCCTCCGTCCCACGTCATCACCTTCGAGGATCTCGAGTCGTTTGATAACTAGCGGCTCACCAGTCATCTTGTGTATAGCAGAGTAAACATGGTTCCCTGAGGCCTCCCTGACCGGAAGACCGTGAACAATGATGTCGCTGACCTCTTGATGGGTCGGGGAGGGAAGGGGATTCAACCCAGGCATAGGGTGATAGTTGGGCCGAATTCTGCGAAAAAAATCATCGCGTTCCATAACATAATGCTCCTTGCTGGAACACCATAGTTTTATTTCAAACTCTAAATATGTTCTAGGAGACCTTGTAAATAAGCGCACCGTGGTCGATTCTTTCCAAAGATGTACCGTTTCACCTTGTCCCAAAACGAGGTCGCCACCTTCGGATGAACCGTTCGCCACCTTTAGAAGATGTGTCGATGGGTTTTTCAACATGAGCGCGCCAGATTTTATCTCTGGGTATATTTCCATCGATATATCTGGCATGCGCTTGCTGTTAGACTCCGTTATGATGAAATCAACATCTGCATGGCCTAGTGCAGGTGTCCCTTGTCCAAACTTCCACGCTATGTCACTATTGGTTAACGGGCGATTGCCGGGAGGGACTCTATGGTGGTGGTATAGGAAGTTTAAAACAAAAAAAGGGTCTTGTCCTGGACAAAACATGACTAACTCCGGGCGCGGACCCATAAACTCCACGCCGCGGGCCACATATTTGACAGCTAGGGCATTCTTTGGCTTTATGGTTCCGAATATCATAATGAGATCGAAAAGAGTTCAAGATCTTATAATGAATAAGTATAGGTAGTTGGAAGAAAGTGGTTATGGTTGAGTTACAAGAATAAAATTTCCCCGCAACGTAAGCGGAAGTTTTATTATCAACTGTAACTTTATCGATAACGTTATAATCGTTAAGAGAATATTACGATATATAAATTTACCCTTTTCACACTTAAATGACTTTATTTTTATTATTTATAATATAATATATTTAGAGCAATGCTGCTTGCGCTGTATGGTTTTCGCTGGTTCGCGCGCAGTATCGAAAAAGGGCTTAGCGCGGATTCGAACGCACTATTGATTGTACTGAAATCCCACCTTGTACTGGCCTGACTTCAACCATTTCTAATTCCATTAATTCAACGTTTCAATCTTTGTAACCAGGCCTGATCGAAAGCGCTCGATCTGAATTATTTTCTATTCAATTTACAGATCTTCAGGCTTAAATATGATTGCAGAAATCAGGGTTGAAAAGGGACTCCTACTTCGATCGATTCGAGTCTATCTCAGCCCGCTTCAGGTTCAGTCGCATCCTGTGGCCTTCATCCTGGACCAAATCAAGTGCAACCTGTTCCATTCGAAAGCGCTTTCCAAGGGCAATTGAATGATTGTAATTATCAAACTTTTAAAGGTGCTTTGATAGCGAAACAATTGATCAAAGATTCGATATAGCGAAAAGATACAAATCCTGGAATAAGGTTCAAAAGTTTAAATCGAGGTACATGGGCGCCTACCTATTTTGTATGAGACAATATGTACACCTTTCGCCGGCGTTTTTCCGGCCCCATACAGCGCAACAACCAGCAAAAAACATATAACGCAAGCAGCATTGCTCTTTAAAAATAATGTTAATTATTTAATACGAGGTTTGGTTTTTTAGCCGCATAATATCGTTAAATCCGAGGGTTAGTTGCGGTATTTTTTTTCTTTTATTTTATTTACATAATACTTCGTATATGTATATATATATGCCAGGTGGTCCCTTACCTAACCTAAATGGAATAAAGTATACCCCACTTTTCGATATCCTTTCGGTCCGATACTGCGCAGTTATTTCAAGCCGTATAAAATGGAATATTCTAACACCGTGTAACATTTTTTAACGACTTAACCCCTTAAGTAAGCTTAAATTATAATAATTACCCGCTAGAATTTAGTGAGTAAACCATTGTTAAATCTTCGTTTTGGCTTAAATAAAATACAGTATGAAGTAATTACTTATGCTACATAAGTAAAAGACGTGGTTAATAGCTTAAATTTTTAATCCGAACCTTCATACTTCTAAACGTTTCGAATCTTACTCGGTCAATTATAAGTCACTAAAACACGTAAATTTAATATTCGCATCATATACAACATCATACATCGTACATCATATTTCTTCACCTAAATTTCCCTTCTATCAACTCATTATCGGTATTTCTATTTTATTGTTTACCTGATATTCATTATGTCATATTACCAATATTCAGGAGCGAACCCGGAAGTTTGGAAAAATATACTACGTTGGGCAAAAGAAGAACTGAAGAAGACTCCTGAAAAAGAAATAAACGAGAATGACGATGACGACAACGACGAAAGCCCGCAAAACCACAATGTCAATCATCAACCATCTTCCCCGCTGCCATCAACATTCGCTACCCCTCATGAAGCCTTTGAGGAAATGCCAAAATCCCAAGAATCGGATTTGTTTCTCGACTTTTACTCCCCCGATACTTCGTTTAATCACGCCACCCAGCTCTCTAACATATACCCCCAACATGGCATAATATTCACTCCTGAATTAACAGCACAACTGTACGAACGTTTACGAACCTGTAATGATCTAAGGTCGTCATCGTTGCTGTCATCACGAAAGATACAGTCATCGCCAAAGAGTTCGGCTGAAGCGGCATACAAAGGTAATACCCCACTTTACCGCTACTACCAAGTTTTCATCTAACAAAATTAGCACCATCTAATGATCATCATCGCTCGAGCCCACCAAGTATACGCACCCGCAAACAATCCCCACCCGTTTCCCAGAGCCACGGTATTCGAAAGCCGGTTTCTCTACCCTCGCGGATTGCCCGCCCTATGAAGGACCAACTCAAGGAGGAAAAACACCAACCGACGGGACAAGAGCAAAAGAACTCAGATCTCCCGGAACCCGATGAGAATGGTTCCCCCCGAAACCCGGAACTTGGCGATCATAAGGTAAAGTTCGATTTGACCTATACATTTGGTGTAGCTTCTAATAAAAACAAGTGTTGAGTCAAGGAAGGATATCAAAGTCAGCGTGAATCTACGGCTAGTAAATTCTTCCCTGACAATATCTTGCCAGTCGAATGCCGGCATACCATATACCTAGGTATTATGGAACTAGCAACATCGCGGAGCTCTATCGAACGCTGGAGAGATTAAGCTGGCCTAAGAATGTTAATGGAGATGGGTTGGAAACGAGCACGCTCTTTTATGAAATTGGTACTTAAGACCTAAAACTGCTCGGGTCTGTATGGTGCAGGTTTAATGGCATACGTATTCTTGTTAGGATTGTATCTTATGTTTGGAGGGTTTTGCTTACAGGGATATACGGTAATCGTTCGCTATTTTCCTTTCCTGTCTTTGTCGACCTTTCTTATTATTTGAGGCGACCTGGTAGTTTACGCTGACAGCCTCGTCAATGTCCATCGTTATCAGAAAGTCTTCTTGTTTCTCACGTGCCTTCTTACATGTGGCTTTCCCCTATTGTGAGGTCATAGTAGCAGTTGTTATAGGAGAACCCCCCCCCCCCCAAGATCAACGGCGACGTACCGTCTAGTCTCTCATAAGAGCAGTTATGTGTAGGTCAAAAACTAAACGCCATTAGCCTATTATGTGATGAAAGGTGGGAAAGGCAATGCGTGAGAAGAATTCGATAACATCGCACATAGGTACCTAGGTAGGCGTCAGCCTCGAGATATCGAAGATACCTGTAGAAAGTATAGGTACTTACTCTGAATTCGTTAAGAGGTACGTTATCAACTCCCTGCTTGATCGATCTATCGACTGAAAAGCCTTTTAGAGTACTTAAAAGTTTAAGGCACTTCGCTGCCGCATATGCCACGATTGTAACCACTTAGGTACGTGCTTACCTAGGTAAGCGGGTATCTCTAGTAGATACGACAGGCTGTGACTATGATTTCCAAGTTAGTTAACATCATCATACGCTATTTTCGATGGTGACTTACTACGGCAGGGCGGCGATGATGTTAGATGTACCTACCTACCTAGGTACCTGGGTCATAAGTACCTATCAAGAGTGTGAAACAATAGCGTTACACTGCTACTGCACTGCTGTTGTGCCATGGTCACACCGCGATACCATTAGCAACATCATCGTACCTACCCATCCGACCGTCCTCACTGATATACCTGATATCATCGCACTTCCATCGAAAAAAGTAGATGAGTGAAAAGAGAAAAAAAAGTCTCCTGTCGTGGATGGATCCAGGCTAGGTAACTAGCAGGTTCTGCTCTACTCATAAAAGGTGTTAGCGATAGCATTACATGGCTTCGCAGGGTGTCGTGGGGACTCAACAAGAACCGTATTCACTATCTACCTAGGTACTTTAGCGAGATAGCGCTATTGTCCTAAGAACGATTCCCAAATGACATGATATCTCCTATAGGTCTGTGGCGGGAGCAGCCGGTAGCTACCTAGGTACCTAGCTGAATCTCGTATCAGAGAGGAGCGTAGCCCTCGTGCTAAATATGTGCCTACCTAGGTAGGTAGGTGTCAGCAACTTTTGCTAGAAAAGTCTGGGCTGGATCGCTAATTAAATGTGTTAGGTACGAGATATACAATCCGTTGGTGATAAATACTTACCTAGGTACCCGAGCAGGCCAGTAGCTTCGCCTTTCGGCGTCGAAGAAGCCCCGTAGTCGAAGATCATCCTCGAACGCCACTAGGAAGGAAAACAATCGGCAGAAGGAGGTTTTTATGCTATGTTCAAATGAGATGCACGAAGCTTTGAACGGGTAGGGATGACGATCTTGAAACGAGTTAATCAGCATATGTCGATGCTACCAACGTAATGCCGTTGTTTAAGGATGTCCAAACTGGGTTGGGGGTTGGGGGGACGATATACCTTGTGACGGTGGTTTATTGATTGAGTGGACGACATGGGCAACGACGCCACCTTCTTAGTCTGACCCCTCTCAGTCAATTACCTAGGCATACTACCCTTTGGGTATCGGGCCCCTTCGATGTATTGTTGGTGGTCGTGTTGTCCTTCTCTACGCCATCTACATTATCGACGATATGGATATCAAATCTATCTACCTAGGTTGGCAAATAGGTGCTTAGAGCGAGAGGCATTTGGACCGTTTGCAGGAGGGAGGGAGTGTTGTTATCGAGTCGGGCGAAGCCGGATGTTTTCGCGGTCGGGCTGAACTGGTGGATATCTCCTTGGCTGGGAGAATAAGCCGTACAGGTATGTGATGTTTCTTGAATATGAGAACGGGCAGGAATATAGGTAGATGGTGATGATGGTATCCATATCGCTGAGAGAACGATAGAGAACAGGAGAATGAGAGAGTAGTCGCTGACGGGACCGGAAAAAGGTTATGTCCTCTTCTCTCACCTTCTTCCCAAGCAAGACTGTCATATTTCATTCTCCCCCCTTGACGGGATCGCACATTACCTACGTTACACGTATACGCGATTTGGGTACTTACTAGGTACCTACTTACCTACTTATTTACCTACCAGTAGGTTGGTATCTAGTAGGCACTTGTTAGATGCTTGCCTTTCCTTTCTCGCCGGGAAACCTTCCTACCTACCTATGGATATTACATATTAGTTAATACTAACCTGGTATCTATAATGTCCCTAAGCATATAAGTATTTTCCATAAGAATCCTTAATAACTGTTAGAAAGAAGCATTTCATCCTAAAGATACTGCCACCAGATTACCTAGTACCTACCTACCTACCTAATAGGTACCTACCTAGGTAGTGTATACCTTGGTACTTAGATAGACTAATGTCTGTTGCCGTTGGCTACGTCTTTACCGGCTTGACGCGCGATCTGAGACCAGACCGTTATTGGCTTTGTTCCTGCGCCACACTGCAAACGCATACCCGCCCTGAAAACTTTTCTGCCCCGAGCCCGAATTTTACCCCGATCGATCTTAATAAGGCCACCCGCATCAAGGAAGCAGCCTTTTCGAGATACGCAATAATAATCATAGATAAAATACAGCCATACTTTACTTGATTGGGAAAATGATGAATTACCATTATTATTATTATTTTGGATTGGACGTGGTTGGTAAAGACTAGGTAAGTAGGCAGGTAATTACTGTTAGCCCCTGATAAAGTAGCTAAGTACCTAGTACGTAGGTACTTACGTCCAATCTATCACTTAATACTAGGTACCAGCCTAGCTTCTGAGGTTTTCAAGTTCAGTGCATTGCAGCCGTGTTTTCAACCTTCAACGATAGAAAGCATGCGAATACTTTATTATGCCGGCTGATAGAACCTCCTCGAAAAGATCGGGCCAGCGGCAGACTGGCCTAACACGGAACACTCGCTCCCGGAAGCAGAATGTCGACGTCCTCAACGAAAAGAACGAGCCCGCTCACACTTCGGAGGGGGACCTGAAGCTTACTGGCCCCATCGATGGCAACACGGGCCTCGATTGGGACTGGGTAAAAACTCTCGATCAAAATCCAGAAGGGAAAAGTTATTTTCCTGCCCAATTCACGCCGCCTACTAACAACCCCTTTACCGGCGACGATGACAATCAGCCGGAAGTTACCGACGATACCGATCTGACCGAATATACCTCCTGGGTGTTAGCGAAGGTGAAGAAGGCGGCTGTGAGCAAGGCCGTCGTTTCGATGATGAAAGATCCAGATGTATAATCGAATCCGTCGTATCATGACTGTCTTAGGAAACTGATTGATTGTTACTACAGCTTAAAGCCAAATGGGCTATATCTTTAAACAACCACCACTTTTATCGAATACGCCGTCGCCGAGAGTTAAAACTGGTCCAGTTCCAATCACCCCCTACTAATTACGAAGGTACATCTTCACACTTCTATCTTTGATTATAGTTACGGCTTCTAACGGATTCTAGCTGCGTACGCGGCAATGGTCGGTATCGTTCTGCCCCCAGAGCGCGCTTGCAAAAACTGCAAGGCAAACCAAGGCCCTTTTCAGAACTGTATCGTCGTACCAGGCTACCTCCGAGGCGCCTGTGCTGGGTGTCATTATAATAGCAGTGGCAGTAGATGCTCACACCGACCTGGTACGTTTCTTTTTTATCGAAGCTGAACTTTATAACCTAGTTGATTGTTCTAACCATAGCAGATGGAAGCAAGCGTTTCCGGGTGGCCGGCGTGTCTACGTATGTCCCTTTTTCGTCACTGGCGCGTATCGCCACCGCCGACAGATCTCAGCCAACTGCCGACATGGCCCCCAGGGCAATGAGAGACGTCAAAGCCAAATTGCGCGATATCATCAACGAAATCGAAGAATACGAACGTCAGGGGTTGATAGGGGTTTCCTAAGGCTTCCATCACAAAATTCATGTTATCTCCTTTATTGGATTACACCCAAAGCCAGAGCGGTCGGTGGTATGAGGGGCTCCTAAGTGAATATTAATAAATAGTAACAATTGGTTCTCCTTTCTTCCAGGTATTACTTTCTCGTGTAAACTGCAGAAGGACATGCGGATGTTTGCCCTACTATTTGCCTAGTACCTAGGTAGGTATGTGAATAATGGATGAATAGGTATCTAAGGAGAATGCCTAACAGGATTTTATCTACCCGTAATATCAATACTGAGTGCCTCTTACTAGAAATCCCCGTGTTTAAAAACAACATCGCACCGAACCACATCCGCTCCGTATCACGGATCTACGTATAGCTATCCCATATCATACACGTCCATTTCAAACCACGCCGCATATTTATCGGGGTTCAGCTATGCTTCCCCTCGTGCGGCTTCTAATTGAAACTTGCAGCCTAGCGCTATCGCGAAGCCTTTCATTGAACCCCAGCTACTGTACCAGGCTGGTAAACGTAGCCGGCTGTTACTACGCTTGGTCTAGAAAACGACGTTGGGTGCAATTGTGCGTGGGCCATCAGAAACGACCGCGCCGCCGTATATCACCATAAGGCAGAACGAAAGAATATAAAGAGTAAATATCAGGGTTACTATGCGAAGATCTTGGGCGGTTCTCCGGGTCACTCGAGTGCTAACCGCTAACAAGTCTCATACGGGTCGGACTCCGATCCTGCCTGGCCTCCGACAAGCACGAACGCCTCTAAACATACTAGCACAGCAGCCCATAATTCGTCTATAAAGCAAGGCTATTCCCCGTACCTGCTTGACAGAAACATACTGCTACCATAGGTAGCTATGATTGATCACCCAAAGACCTAGAATAACCATGCCCAAATCCAGCAACAGCGACAGCCGCCCGTCCCTGGCGTCGCCATCTCCTTCCTCATCGGGCTCTTCAATAGAGGCTATTGAAGGGGGGCTGGCTTACATGACCGGAAAGAAGCGACGGATCCTGGACGAGGCTGCGGAAGCCACGATGGCCAAACGCGCAAAACTAAGTACGGCCGATTTACTTGGCAACTCGTCAGTTCTCATTTCAGACCTAGGGAAACTTGGCAACATGATTCAAGATTTACAATACATGGCGAGGACCTTTTCAGGGCGGGCAAAAGAAATGTTAGGACGCGAGTTTGCCGACGAGGACGATCCAGAAAGCCACCTTCAACGCCTCGACGGACTTTTGTGTTACGCCGAGAAGCTCTCTACTAGCTCATCACTTGCCGTAATTAAGCTGCAGTCGTTCCTCGGCACTACCGAGATTTGGGGCGAGTTGTTTGAGCGGCTTGATCGACTTTGCCTACCCACTGATTTTTGGGAAATTAGGGCGCGGAAATTCCTTCGCCACAAAAGCATTCCCGAGATATCGGATATCATGTTCGATACATTTGACGATATCCTCGCAGCTGATGAGGCATGGGCAGAACACTTTTGTCGTTTATCGCCTAAGTACAGGGGCAAGTTTATTAGCTATTGGGTAAATAATACCTCTAGTTGGTCTGCTCGGTCCCAGCTCAATTTCCTCGAAAGCATGTTTCAGTCCAAGAACTTTGCTGATTTTGGCGATTACGACAACAGGCCTGCCGTTTTGTGGGCCAACGAGGAGGCGCCGTTCTATCGACGCCAGGATTCGGATGAGGGGTTATCACCCTCTTCGGCGTTTAAGCATTGAGCCGTTCCCAGGTTCGACCTGCCGTTTCTGGTAATTTGGAGGTAGATTAGTGTAATAACTGGCTTTTGTTAATGGTTTCGTCGAGTGATTCTGCGTGTCTTATTTGATCGTCATGCTTGGGGTACATCGCAGGGAAAGCTTATATTCACGTACAACGCAACCAACATCACTTTGATTTACTAGATAGTTACTACTTTTTACAATCTCGTCAATTCAATTAACAATTCTACGATTAAAATAATTTCATCAGTTTGTTCTACAGTATTACGATTATGTTCTAGGGGGTTAGTTAGGTAGGTGTAAACCATGCGAGTCTCGTAAAAACGTTGAAGATGTTTTTTTTAGTAGGGGCGGGGAAGCGGGGAGCTAATAGTTTCTTTTCTTTAAAAAAGAGTACTTAAATTCACATAGACATTTCTATAGAAACAAATGTACTAACTCAAGCCCAGCCCTTTTCCGCGGGGCTTTTCTTATTTAGGAAACCTTGCATGCCAATTGTGTCAGATACATCAATTGATATTTCCTTCTAAGTATCTCCTTCTTTCGAATGCCTTCTTATCACGTGGAAATATTCGTACAGTTTCCACGTGATAAGAAGGCATTCGAAAGAAGGAGATAATTAGAAGGAAATGTGTATCTGACACAATTGCATCAACACCGTTATGCTTCGCCTGGTTGGGCCGCAATGGCAGATTCCCCGTCAAGAAGCTAGTCGGATTCATCATCACTGAACTCATCATTAGGCAACTCTTGAAAGTCGAATTTCTCGGTCGCCCAAGCGGAAACTGGCCGAATGTCATACTCAGCAACATAACTGTAGGCCCCAACACGATGCAGCTGTTCGACTTGTATCAATTGGTCTTGGCGGTCATGGCCGACGGTACTGGCGAGTAAGAACTTCAGGAATCGGCTACGGCCTTCTGGCGACAAACGACAAAAGTGCTCTGGGTATGTATCGTCAAGTAGCCATACCTCTTCGAGCATCTCAACTAAGGCTGTCGGGAAATCGGGAATAGAGATCTGGCCACGTAAGTTCATTGCCCTGTCGACCCAAAATCCTATAGGCAAGCATAAACGTCCCAAGTGGTCGACGAGATCACTCCAAACTTTAGTCGAGTCGAGAAAATTGTACATGAATTTGATAGAATCAGCAAAATCTTGAGAGAGAGCGTCGGCGTAAGTTGCCAGCTCTATACGCCGGCCGATATGAATTTCTGGGTTGTGAACCATGGAAGAATTCTCGGGGAGCATCTGTGCAAGACGCTCCTGGAAGAAGATGAAGTTGGATCTCAATTGAGTAATGACATCAATCATTTTGATATGGGAGTCGGTAAGTACACGGGAGTTCTCCAACAGATTATTCGTCGTTCTTCTGGAGCGTTTAGCCAGCCTCTCTTCCTCTCCTAATCCTAAGGCCCGACGCTTTCTCGCTGGCGAAGGAAGGGGGTTGTTCGGCACGGAAGACGTAGATGCATGTGGCTGATGCGGGCTATTTACTGTGCAGGGACCTGACGCCGACGAACTCGGAGCGTTGGCAGCAGAGGCGTTATCCATTATGTCTAGCTGGCTTGTATGTGTGTGTATGTGTGTGTGTGTGTGTATGTTTTGAATACCGAGGACATGTGTTAAAAAGAATGTATAGAGGATTTAGGTATGGAAGAGAAAAAAGAGAAGTGGTATTCTTTTAACTATCATAGTGAACGAGCTGCTAACCTATGAAACGACCATGAACGACATGCCTCCGTACTGGATAATAATCAACGGGAACATGCATGGAATAGTCGCCGACACAGAGCCGATGGCGAATTTTCATGCAACTATCCACCAATATGAGTTGCAGAATGTTTTCGGTTAGGTCGGTTGCTAGATTGGGGGGAGGAAATACAAGATTACCGGTTGAGTGATCACATACTTATATTAAGAGTCAATTTCAAAGTGACGATAAGGCATGAAAGATGTGTTACAAAGCCTTTTACAGCGTTTCGCTAGAGAAGGTATCGCCATAAAATGACAGTGCCTAAAAAACAAATGTTCATAATTTTTTATCAAATGATGTTCTATTATGCATAAAGTTCTAAGTAGTTGTGGTATAATTACTTGATGATATTATGAGGATAATTTTGAGTGATACTGCCCGGGCAGTATTAAAATACGGATTTTTCCACGCAGTACCCCGCCAGGAATCAAAGGTACCTCTCCCCGCATATAAATCGCCGTACAACTACTTGTACTCGCGATGACTCAATTGACATAAAACTGAAACCTTATTTCACCTGTATACCCTCAACTGTAACTTGTTTTAATTCGATGAGATAAATCAGCAAAAATACAAAACCTGATTCAATCGAAAGCCCAATCAATTATCATTCGATTGATATAAGGTGTACTTATACTAATTGTAAACTGGTAGATATATGAGTAGTTGAAGTAAGAGGCATACTTCGGCAATAAGGCCAGCATTTCCTTTAGAACTGAAAGCTATTAGATCCATTACTGAAGTATACGTTTCAGTTCAACCTATTATTTCGCAATCAGTTCAGATCCTGGATATTTGCAATTAAGTTAGTATAAAAGGCCGTTAAGAGCTAAATCGAGTAATATTAGTTGTATGTTATTAGACCTTCTTATTAACTAATTATCCAGGCTCGGAGTCGTTAATATACTTTATATAAAAGATCAAAGGACCTCCGATTAAAAGCTTATTAAATAGCTAATGTATGGCCTTACCTTTAACTACTTTTAGTTTAATCAGCTTTCGATTTTAACGGTTGCAACTTATATCGATCGAATCTCCTTTAAAAGCCCTTTCGATTAATGCAAAGTTCATATTTCTACTAATTTATTCCATCAAGCGAAAACAGGTTGAAGTTAAAGGTGTACAGGTGTAGTGGGGTATGATTAAAGTTTCGAAAATTATCAATTGAGTCATCACTAGTACATGTATTTGTACCGCGATTTGTATGCGGGGAGAGGTACATTTGATTCTGGCGGGGTACTGCGCAAGAAGAAACCACTTTTTATACTGCGCGGGCAGTATCACTCATAATTTTTCTTGGAAAAGAGGCTTTGAGGGAAAATGAAAGATTAAGGAAAAAGAGGCAGTATCCGTCCAAAGGACTGAGTACTGGGTTAAGCATCATCATTAAGGTTATATTAAGACATATACATATCACTCATCTATCTAAGTAGGTAACTAAAGTTAACACACTAATCAAATACCAAACCAGTTAAATAACTTAGCATATAAATTCTTATACCCATCCCTATAACCCATAAAGAATACTTATCATAATTATCACCATTCAACAGTTAACGTCTATACTGCAAGGGAAAGAAGCGCTTTGTAGAAGCATTATAATAAGGTTTCGGAATCTCTGTCAAGAGAGATTTATCCAAATGCTCATTACTTGCGTTGCTATCGTTGGAGCTAGAGTTAGAAGAAGATAATAGCGGTGGTACATACGCATCTAAGCTATTAGGCCGAGCAAATTTAAAAGGCCTAGATTCTTCTTCTTCGTCGGTATCGGTATCATCGTCTTCCTCCTCCTCCTCCTCCTCCTCTTCATCAGTTAAACATACCATCCGTTCTTTCCTAACGGAATACACCCAGCGACATCCTTCTTCGTTAACCTCGCCTCGGGAGCGCTTCCTACTACCAACCTCGGCGAACGATGGGGATAGCTCCATAACCTGACTTGCTGAGCCGGCATGTTTCGTTATAATCTTCGGATCGGTACCGGGAGCCGACAGATCCCGTATTAGAAGCTTGAACGGGCTCCGTTGAGTTTGAAAGATGCGAAAGGTGTCGTCTTGAAATATAGACCAAGCAAAGCGAGCGAATAGGAATTCGCGGGAAACACCGTAGAGAGTATGCAATTTGCGATTATGATATAACGCTCGCTGTTCGAAGAGGTAACGGGGCCGCGAATGCAAGATATGTAACACCAACTCATACTTATCACCGGTATACTTCGGGAATATGAGTAGCTCCGTTTGATCGAGCATATGATGGACGTCAGAACGAAGTAGTAAACCGTTAGCCAAGTCGTCTAACGGTACCCGAGTAGATGGGTCGTAAGAATATTGCGCCATATCATTCATGGGATACCAATTCTTCACGGACCGAGGGATGATGTGGGCGTATTGATTTCCGCAAAATGCCTGTGTAATACGGCAACACTCGTCGCGTGTAGCAATAGCGTCGGCGCTTGCCCGTGGCAAGGTCTGAGCCTTATACCAAGGGACGGGGAGGATTTCGATATTACTCCAGATCTCGGGTAGACCATCGTGAGGAAATACCCAGTTACTAAAGTTCGGCGTAATAGGGTATTGAGCTATAGCAAATTAGCGACCACTTAACTTCGCGAACTGCGCTAGGCTTACCTTCTGGGCACGCAGGAACAAAGAGGTAGTAAGAGCTCTTGCGTAGAACACTGTCGGGAGGGCAGGTGATGCGACGCGCGCCTGGATCAGACGTCTCGGCTAAATATGGACAGTTTCCATCATTTCCATTACGAGGCCACGTATTCCCAACCAATATGCAACATGCGAGATATGCCAGGTTATAATCGATGCCATCGTCGTCCAAGGCAGGAAAGTATAGTAATGGGAAATAGCCCTGGGGATATCCGGGATGGAAGATACTAACACCCAGAACCGTGGTTTGTACCGCAGTGCTTGTATCTGTAGAGTGAGGGGGGATAGGAGGAGCGACTACAGCTGGGAATGGCTCCTTAAATTCCATTACGCATATCCGAAATAAACAGGTTGATTAATTGCGGTAAAACGTTAAGTAAGAACGTCAAGTAATAAGAGGGTAATGAGTAATGATCGTAGGTTAGAATAAAGCACCCGGGCTGGATAAATGACGTTGCGACCTAATTTGAGACGTTTTAGCTTAGCGATATCCTAAACTAAAAGAACTCTAGAGATCACATGACAACTTTCACATGTATATCTTACAAGTTAAGATCTCTTCAACTCCTTGTCTATCCTTTTAAGACCTGTAATAACTTAAAAGTTGAATATCCGGAATCGCGAAATCAAGAGCTTTAACTGTAAAGTAATTTTACAAGTACATTATGTTTCGAAGGGATGTTATTTAAATGGGAAGAGATTAAAGTGAATGTATTAATAAAGCCAATTCGTCGAAAAACAAGGCACTGTACAGAAGTCCCGCCCTGCCTCCGTAACCAGCCGACTTATGTAATAAAACACCTACTACAAATTTCAGTCAACTACTACAACAAAACAACTTTTACAATTGAACTGTTATCATGCCTTGAAAGAGTGACTTCTAATTTCATAAACTGACCATCCTATATTACTTAAATATATAGGAAGAAAAAAGAACGACATTTAACCAATATATTTGGTTATAACCTATCCAAACACCCAGAAATTACCGAACCCGGAACCTATCCTTCACTAAACCCGAAACCCATCCCTCACTAAACCCGAAACCCATCCCCTACCAAATCCCACCGAGGCATTAGTTACGCAACGTAATAACACCACATGCATATAAGAGTCTTTGCAACTTATTACTATAAGTCCCATCACTGCTCATATTCAGCCTGCGGAGAATCATGCCTAACTCATGGCCTAGGAAAATGGTTAATGCTAGTTATAGACTAATATATAAACCCTTACCTGGCATATTTTTGATCTCCCCGACCGTGGTCTCAAGTTCATCAATAATCATGTTGTTCGGATCTCTAAGAGGTCGCAGCGTGATTGTATGGTCATTGACGCTATTGTTGACGAGGCGTGAAATCATGTTCTCGTCCCTATAATAAACGCATGATTAATATTTTGGTATATAAGAATAATAGTTGAAGGGAAGAACTTACGAAGCGGTAAAGCGAGACTCGAAGTTGTCAAGCCGGGTATTGATGTTGACAACATCTGCCTTGAGCGTAGTAACATCTACCTTGAGGGTAGTAACATCAGCCTTGAGGATGGCAACATCTTCCTTGAGGGCGGCAACATCTACCTTGAGGGCGGCAACATCTACCTTGAGGATGGCAACATCTTCCTTCAAAGTCGCGACATCGGCTTTTAGAAGTACAACGTCAGCTTTAAGTTCTGCCACGTCAACTTTGGGCATGGTGATTGATATTGAGCGTGTGAACATTACCTTTGATGGTGCCAATATCTGTTTCCATTCTTTGAAGAATAGTCACGATCTGTTGGCCATGGTCAATTGCGGGCAAGTTACCGCATAGCGATAACCCATCTGCAACTCGGGACATATATTCCGCCATAGCTGGAAAGTCGGGTTGAGGTCCTAATTCCATGATGTATGTAGTAGATATGGAGTGGGAATTCAAAAAAACAGTATTTAAGTTGGTAGCTTGAGTGGATAAGGTTCCAGAAAAGATTGTTTAGGAGAGCATTCCTACAAGAATAAACAATGGGGATTCCACGCGTTATATCGTGGTGATTGTACCTAAGTACTTGTCCTTGTGTTTTCAGCTCGTAGAAAAAGATGACTCAAGTTTAATGTTGTTAATGTATTTAAAAGAATGTATAAGGTATATATAAATTTAAAATAGCTATTATATGAATAATATTTTCATAATGAAAATAGTCCTGAAAATCATTACCGAATAAATTTCTAAGTGTTTAGGCTAGAACTTTCTAATATGTATGTGGTAAAGGAAATCTTACATGAACAAGGGTTATACCGTTTGAAACTAAACTAAATTAAGTTTAAAGCCATGCATATAATCATAACTACTACACAAACATTTTCGACTCCTATTTCAAACATCGTGAATAACGTCACGAGCTGGTGATAATGCAACAAAACATATCATCATAAGTTGAATTAAACCAAACTAAACAAATCACCTCGCATGGTGCAAGGTTCTTTTTCTTTTTCCTAGAAACAGTGCATATTCTACATGTTCGCTAAGAATTAAGAGGAGTAAATGGTTAAACATTAAAACATCCATGACTAATACTGCTCGCGCTGTATGGTTTTGGCTGGTACGCGCGCTGTATCGAAAAAGGGCTTAGCGCTGATTCGAACGCGCTCCAGATTGTATTGAAATCCCATCATGTACTCGATCAACTTCAACCATTCGTAGCTCAATTCATTCGACGTTTTAATCTTTCCAATCTGGTTTAATCGAAAGCGCTTGATCTGAATTATATGCCATCTCCTTTTCTGACCTTCAAACCTCCATTTGATTGCAATATCCAAGGTTGAAAGCTGGCTGTCACTTCGATCGATTCGAGTCAATCTCAGCTCAGTTCAACTTCGATCGCAAAACCTCGATTCAATCCCCCATTAATCTTGATGCAACCAGGCCTATTCGAAAGCGCGCTGCAAGAGCAATTAAACTATTTTAATTATTAAACTTTTGAAAGTGTTCTGAATGCGAAACAATTGATCAAAGATTTAACACTACGAAAAGATATAAATTCTAGAATCGGGTTCAAAGGCTTAAACTACGGTACTTGATCTCCCACCTAATGTATATGGGATAATATGTATACGTTTTGCCGGCGTTTTTCCGGTCCCATGTAACGCAAGTAGTACTTATGTACCTAGCTGCTTAAGCTTAGTTCCGAAAGCGCGGGGGCTTATCGATAAATATTTCGACTAATCAGAAAACACGCATTCGGATTTAAGCCACACTATTGAAATAGTAAGGCTTTTATGAAAGCTCGGTTTTGATTGGTTAAAAAAATATCATAGCCTTACACTGTTAAGCACGGCTATAAGAGCCGCATACTTACTAAATACCTACTTACTTTACCACCTTTTCTACCATATTTTTATCCATAGAAGTTGTTTTACGTTTGGTCGAGAGGAAGACTAATGGCTAAGTATCTATGGGATCGGGACTCAGCCCATAGAGTTCCCGTTAAGTCCGTAAAGGTTCCGTTAGCCTCTAATCCTAGGGACAGAACAAACAAAGGGCTTCGTCTATATATATACCGTATTCTTCATGATGAGAGTGGTTAAGGGCTCCTCGCGTAATAACGTTGTTATTTCCAAGTTCTTTAGTTTCGCCTCGTGACTCAAGTGGCATAAGGCAAAATAAATGATAATGCGTGTACCCCCGATGTAACTGGCTCTTCAGTACTTATACTAGGTCCGGTTTATCTGTCAAGTGAACGTGTATATATGGTCCTAATATCTGGCGGTAGACAACTGTCATTTAAAAGGATAGGTTATAATATCCATTCATAATAACCTACCTACCAAGTAGTCATATATTTAGAGGTTATTCATCTCATTAAGGAATATTCAAAGTTGAAGAAACGTAAACTCAAGCTATCATCTAAAAGTAAGATCCCGAGCGCAAAAAGGGTTTGTCAAACATCGGTCTTCTTCCAGGTTAATAGCTAGAGGTTTATGGGATCGGGATTAGGCCCGTAGAGTCCCCGCGAGGGTCTTATTTGCGGCTAGTCCTAGGAGCAGGATAGATAAAGAACTTCACCTGTATGCATACCGTATTCTCCATAAAGAGAGTAGTTAAGAGCTCTTCGCGTAACAACGTCGTTGTTTCGTAGTCTTTTGGTTCCGCCTCGTGACAGGGTTAGTCATTATGATTTTTATCATCGCTATTATTATCACTACGAAAAGGCTACAAGAATATAAAGGATAGTGTCTTTAATAAACTTGAAAAACGGTGTTATATACTAGCAGTAATATTTCAAGGTAGCTAAATTTATATCTAACGCAGCCCTTACTAGGTAAGTACGTGCCTAATTCTGTTAATAATACCGTTTCTCCTACACCTCCCTTTTCTCCGCCCTCCGGTGAGGAAGATATAACATGAACCGCTACGGCGCACGTTTAAGGACATGAGTTGTTAGATAGGTTATAAGGATTTTATATCCAAGTGTAAAATGTGAAGCCCAGCCTAGCACGCCCAATATGCCCCTAGTAAGGCTCTGGGATAACTATGTAAGTAGCGGTCCCCCGGCGTTAATATCAACTACTACTACTATTACTACTTCGCCTAGTAGGGGGAAAGAATCAAACCAGACACGCTAGATTAATAGGTAACCCCTCCCGAGGATTAAGTATTAACCGCGAGGAGAATAGTATCGGGGATTCAGACAATACCTAAGGATGTAAGTAATAGTTAATGGAAGTCGTTCGACTCCTACCTAAGTACTATTATACCTATGGGCTCTTCTAGATACTACCGTACCTTACACTTAAACAAGACCCATTGCCAAAATGAGATATATCCACCCCAAAATGGGTTGAAGATTTAGCATAGCAAACATCGGTTTCTCCCAGTTACCCCTCAAGGACTAGGTGCTTGGAGCAAGAGGTCTTATGGCTTTGATGCCTAATAATATTTATTTGAAAAGGGAAGGGGAATTCGAATATGAATGACCAAATGACTTACCTTCTCCTTAAAAGCTTATAGTTTTTTTTACAGCGAGACGATCAGCTTTACCAACGCCGACTCGCGTCAAGCTTCGGATAATTACCTAAATATAGCGCCAAGGCAAGAGGATTAGCTAAATAGGCAAATTATAGGATTCGAATACTAACGTAGAACTAGAAGATAAAGTAAAAGATAAGCAGCATATAATACATACCTAATAAAAGGTAAGAATAAGCTATGTTCTTCCCTAAGTCTAATAAATACCTACTTATGTAGCTTTCACTTTATTTTCTCCCCTGTTAATAAGCCGCAAGATTTAACAGTAAAGGTCGGCGTCGTTTTCCCGTTTTAGCTTATTAAATTAAAAACTTTACAAGATAAAAAATATTCTTATTTATAATAAGTATATATTTACTTAGGTATTGAAAATATTATCATTAAACATTAGCAACGCTTTGTAAACCATAGAGCACAGTGTAAGTTCCATATATACTGCTTATTAATACTGTGTACATTTCAATACATTAATTGAATTGGCGGGTTGGCGGATACGGGCTTATGGTCCACCCTATTATCTGCTACAGCGTCGAGATAGGAAAGGATATGCTGCTGACAACTTGCATAGGAATGTCTCACTATTTGGACTTCCTCAGTTACATAAGCGTCATCTTAATCTTAGCAAACTTTTAACAATGAGGTAAACTCGCTACCTTGTAGAAATCGAACAAAAGCTACAGATATGTAATGAGTGACGAATGTCGTAAGGAGGCTACCGTATGAATCTAGAACGACGCTACTCAGATTCCAAGGCTCCAACGGCCTCCGGCAACGCTCCCCAGCCCTCTCGTCATCCCCAGATCAAAGTCACTCACCCACCCGCAGACTTGGCTGCTTGCTAGCTACTCTACATCTGGAGAAGGATGGAGAGGATCTATGGAAACGAATAGACAGGATAGATCGGACATCTACTACTATCTGATACTAGCGGCTATTCAACTTGTATGTACCTGTGGCAGCTATGGATGTACCTAGATGGTATCTCTCCTCGGCCCCCCTCGCGAAAGGACGACGCTATCATACTAGGCTAAATTCGAATCGCATCAAGCACACCCAAGCGTGTTAAATCTCGCAGACCGTAGACGAACTAAACCCTAGCGTCCCCCATTCCTGGGATCGCGTGCGGCTGGCGCGTCAATCACTATTCGGCTTCCTCCGGACGTCTCTAGCTTGGCTAGCATTGGTTTCTCGGACGCGCGTCGGTCCACTCGAAAACTCGACGGTCCTGTTAATATTATTGCGGATGACCTTAACATAAATTCAGCTATGGAGCTCATATACTAGTGCTGACTACATACTACTTATTTCGAAATTCGAATGCTTCTCGAGAGTTGGTTCATTAATCAATGACCTACCTACTAGGCAACTTGAAATGGTCTTATTACGGAGCTAGATACAGACAAGGCAGGTAGGTAGCGTACCCAGTTAATCCCTCCCAGGAATCAACCGGGTCCGAATTTCATTAGAGCCTCCAGGGCTCTGGGTGTCGCCATTGCCGCCTGCCGTACAAGGCGATAGTCTATGGGTCGTCCGTTTCACCGTAGTCCTACGTGAACATCTCCCCGGTTTCACTATGCCGGGAACCGAAAAGCTGATTATTGGAATCCGTCAAGACTAATAAAGGGCGGGAAAAACCCAACACAAGAACATGAACGGCGATGATGGTTGGGCGTATCTGGGTTGAAAAAAAGAACCAAACGTTTTCACGGACGGTCATTTGCATTATCTCTGCATCCGCCCATTCCCTCAATCTCCGTCTGGGATGCTCCCACGTTCCGGGTCCGCACGCAACAGCCCTGCATAGCGGCCGCCGACAAGCATCACGGTAACTGCGCCGAAGCGATCTGTATTTATGGGCCGCGCGAGATTAGATATAGTGCTTGGCCATTGTCTAACAATCAGGCAAGCAAACAAACAAAAAAAAATAATAATAAAACAGGGATTTCGAGTAGAGAACCGAGAGGGTCGAAAGCCACGATACCGCAGCAAGCCGTTGTCCTCCCCCATTTTAAGTCTTGGCCTACATCGACCACATTTCCCACATTCCGGTTACTCGGCTGGGATATGATAAAAAGAATGCAAGTACCTACCTACGCAGTATGTACTCTGTATTGTGAGACAAGTTACTGTTGTCGTGGGACTCGTGATCTATGTGGTCCATCGGAGAGAGATCGAAGGATGGAATTTCTATTATGGCTCAAATGTACATACATCAATATCCCTCGACGTTCATCTTCCCCGGGGTGGATTAATCGGCAATCTCCCCACATGGGAAGAACACGCCACCAGCGTTCCCAATCCATGTTCGTCGACGACGGTTCACTAACGTCGGCCGAATCCAATTGTCCAATTATGGAGTAGGGAAGAGGTAAGTAGGCAGTTAGAAGTTGCCGGTATGGCGTACTCCCGGCAGGCTATACTGAATGTAAATGTACGGCATCACGAGTCGTGGAGGTTTGGGGGGATGGATAGTACAGTAAACCTTGGCCATAACGATTGCCAAAAAACACCACTCTTATATCGCTATAGTAAATTATCGTTGTGGTAGATTTCCTAAAACAGTAAGATATGCTACGCATTGACATAAAATGAGAGGTCTAGCCGAAAAGGTATAGGGTAGGGTTAATATAAAAGCTAAAATAGGTTAAAATATTACTAAAAGTAGTAATTTATAGAGCTATTAATCCCTTAAAATACCCTTACCATAACGATTTAGGTGGTAACTTTTTTAAGAATAACGATATTTCGTTATGGTAAAAATATCGTTATTTTACATATAAATTCGCACCGTTTCCTACAAAATATCGCTATATAAAATTATCGCTATGCACTATAATCGCTATGGCCAAGGTTTACTGTAAAAGCTCGGCTTCGACTGGTCAACGATCAAGGTTCCCCCAGACGCCTTTACTAAAATAGACGCATGGACGTGCGTCGAACGATTGTAAGTTTCATGAACACCGTCTGGCACCGTCCGGCGCCTTGCTATGTAGATATGTCTACATACAGTACCTCATAACTCATACATGCATACACAACTATTCCCAACGATGGAAGCTGCCGTCGTCGATATCGGCACTTCCACCCACCCAAGGCGCGCATGGCCAAGGGAATGTGGCACGGAAGCCGCATGATGGTAGGCATAGCGACACATGGGGAAAGTTGCCCAATGGAGCTAAGAGGGCCGTGTTGCCAGTTAGGTAGCGGCCGATTGCCGAACCCGCGGGACGCATCCACGACAAGATCGGCTCCGCACTCACTCGAAACACGGACGTTGCCTCTTTCGACAATCAGGGCTCCCGTGGGAGATTCGAGGGGTCGAGAAGACTGTAGCAATAAGCCGTGGGCGGACGCGTCTCCTTGGTTGCCTACTGGACCAATGAACCAATTCATAACCAAATTCCTACCATGCGTTATGTAGGTAGGTAAGTAGGTATGTACAGAGTAGATATGTACAATATGTACAATAGCTAATCCGTACGTGTGACTTTTGCATCCCCCGGTGGATTCCCCTTCTTCTCTCTGCTCGTTGCCGTCACCCTGATTCGTCGTACCCTGCCGCTACGCTCCTACAGGGTGTGGAGTGCCCCGTGGGCGGGGGTCCAGAATCCGTCCTCTGTTTCTTGAAGTAGCATCCCATGCCGTCCGTGTAACGCATTACAAGTTTAATACACTAGACTAGCACGCAACGCAAGCATCGTTCAAGATATCTCGACGGAGGGGGTTGTCGTCCCCCATCCTGATCACCATGTAGGTACTGTTTATCGGGTGGCGGGACGACCTTCGCAAAGAAGAGAAGACGCCCGAGACGAGAGAGAGAATGGGAGTTTTTGGAGAAAAAGACTACACTAGAACAAGGTCGTTGACCCTGACTTTCTTTCTCTCGAAGCCAAGAGAAACAAATACCACCGCGGCACTTCGAATCATTCACCCCCGCACCGGCATGACCTTTTCTATTTTCTTCGAGGGCAAAAGAAAAATAAAGATTATTATTTCTTACACATACCGTTGGGGAAGAAGAAGTGAAGAAACGCCTCAAAATGTGGACAGTAGGCCACCGACCAATTGGCGCTGTACGCAACCGAGCTAGAGACGCTCTCGCAATTGCATGCGTTGACGTGATACCAAGGCAAGGCCGTTCGCGAGACGACATATGGTCTCGGAGATGGGAGTGGTACAGACCAAGACAAGGCATGCAGTGAAACGAACGAGCTTGTCTTGTATCACCATCTCAACGACCAACGATCTAACGACATGCGATATTCCTGCCCTCTCTATCTACCCGTTCCTTCTCTTGCTCTCCTCTCTCTACTCCTCACTCCTAATTCCTCAGCCCAGCCCAGCCCGAGAAGGAGACCCTTTCCGGGTTGTAACGGCCTAGTGAACCTGACCTAGGCCTAGGCTACGAAGAAGAAAATGCACTATTCTGTACTTACAGACTACAGGTTCTGCTTGTAGCGGGTGAGAAATAAAATTGAAAGACCCGCAACCTAGCTGCAGCTACGGGGGGTTTAGAAGGGCAAAACCAAAAGTGGTAGAGGCTTGAATGACAAGAGAGAGAGAGAGAGACAGAGACAGAGATAGGTAATACAGCATCCTTATTTTTTCTCTCTACCCACCACCTACAACGTACATACATCCACTAGCTCGGCTAGGTACTTTTTGCGTCCGTTGCGGCTGAGGAAGCGCACGTGTGCCAGGATTCCGCCCGGGGGGTTAGGATGATCGTTAGGTGGGCAGGCGGCGCAGGCATGCCACGAGGTTGTTCTCTAACATTCGAGATACAGGGTCGTGGAGGGTATGGATGTATGGTCGATAAACTCCGATTCGGATGACCAGAAACGTGGCCTGAGAGATTAAGACCAGACAGAAAATACCTAGGTAAAGAAAGAAAAAAAGAAAAGAAAAGAAAAAGAAAAAAAGTCCTTTGCAGTCGGTCTTCTACGGATCCGTGTGTAAAGCGGTTCGTTCGCACAGGAATCCTTCCCGCCTATCAAACAGAACATTCGCAACGCAACACACAGCATATAAGAGTGGGTTTACTCGATGGAAAAATGAAAAAAGACTCACCGCCGTTGAAGATAGATCATGTAGGTATTTTACCTTGCCCTGAATTTTTGTGCATTTTTATGGATGGGAGATTATTTTCCCCTGTATCGAAATGTCTCACTCTGCAGTCTGTTGAGTGTCGGTGATAACACCTCACCTACACCTACATACCAGTACCCATAGATGCATGTACATGTAAGAAACGAACCCCCCAATAAACCGGTCGATTCGTCGAATTGGCAGGTTTCCAGATCGGTTAAGGTTGGGTAGATATGAAAGCGTGGCGCCGCGGTTCTCTTCGCTTACTTCCGCCCCTGACCGCATGGTGTCATGTAATCGGTCACCTATTGGGAGGAGTGTATAACCTACCGTAAGTGGCTTGGTCATTGTTACAAGACAAGCAGGACAATCAGGACAAGAGTCTTAGAACTGGGGTTGTGTTCTCCGAGGAAGAACTTAGAAGAGAGATAATAGGTAACTAATATTCATAATAATAACCTATCATAATAATCATGACAACAACAAAAAAGCCTCCCCAGCTTCGAACGGGGGCGGAACTGTTGTCATGCATACATACTAGGTACATACTATGCGTAGGTACATACCTACCTACATGTAAATGCAGTTCGGGATCCCTAGTAAAGCAGTCCCTGACGAGAAGCCCAATGGTCGGCGCTCCCCTTGCAGCGCAACCGAATGAATTACTAGCAAATAAACCGTTATCAGGCCGGGGTTCATCCTGGGGATCGCAGCCGAGATCCAAGTTTTAAAAGGCGAGTGTGGCAGCATCGTACAATACAGTACAGTACAATATCTCCCCTATATGTACCGTTGTATGGGGGTGTATGGGGTGTATGCGCGGCGTACAGCACCGCTGTCATTGCAGGCGGACTGCCCTGAGCTGCCCTGAACTGCCCTGGACGAAGGTGGACGAGGGTGGACGGTAAACCGCTGATCTTCCTGCCTGTCATCTGCGATCTTCCCAATCTTCCCATCCCAATCTTTCCACCGTCCCATACAGATAGATACTAGATGTACATCCTTCCAGACTGAGGTCCCAACCATCCAGCCTGCCAGCCTGCCAGCCCATCTTGTCCAGGGTCAGGGTCCAGTTTTACGTCGTCCTGATCGACAGCGCAAAAGGAGTTATTTATATCTCATTCTCCACTTTCGACCCTTCTTCTCCTCCGTCGGGACGGAGCCGAATCAGGCCTTTCTTTTCTGGTGCGCGCCCTCTCTCCTCTTTCGAACAACCATCGTCGGCCTGTCGAGTTCCCGAACGGCGTGTCGCCACGGGGTTGTGAATTTCTTCATATCCTCCCGCAATAGCTGTTTCGGCAGGTGTTGTAAACACGTCTACATGCGACGACGGCTTCCGAGGTCTTACGCAAGCCATACATACCTATCTACCTATCTATTACTGGATATAGGTAGTGGCCACCGCTAAGATAATATAGCCCGGAGCTGGAGCTCTTTATCGCGTGCTCTAGGACGTTAACCGTTAGCACGAGTTCGCCCGCCCCCGATACTCGTCAGCGGCGCTCGCCGACCATAGTGCCGTAAAGAAATAATTGATTTTTCTTTTTTCAATTTTGAACAGTGTTGAGTGACAAGCCAAAGTGCGAATTCTATTTGCGGTCAAGAGATGAGAGATTAGCAAGTCGCTGAGTAATTGACAATACACATCACATCCATACAATCCATGGATGTACCTCCTAACTAAAGCTATGCGCTACCGATGAAGATGGATTTTGATTGAATTTTTCGATGACTGATTCTTTGCCTTTTCTTCGGTGAACTTGGGATCGTGAAAAAACCAGAGGGTAAACATTGCTACGTTCTAACAAGCAGCCAACAGACAACCTCACAACCTACCCATCCAGAATCTGCGCAAAAGAGTCACCATCCAGTAAAAGTCCCATCCCATCCAACCCACACTCACCCCAAAATGTGCAAATCCCCCCTCCACAACTTCCTCGCCTCGCTGCCCAAAGCCGAGCACCACATACACCTCGAAGGGTCTCTCGAGCCCGAGCTCCTCTTCTCGCTGGCCGCCAAAAACAACATCACTCTCCCCGTCAGCACCGACGCATCCTTCGCCTCCCCCGCGTCCCTGCGCAAGCGGTACTCCGCGTTCGCGAACCTCGACGACTTCCTCGCGTACTACTACATCGGGATGTCGGTGCTGCTGCACGCCGCGGACTTCGAGGCCCTCGCGTACGCGTACTTCGCCAAAGCCGCGGCCCAGAACGTCAGGCATGCCGAGGTGTTTTTCGATGCGCAGGCACATACGAGGCGCGGCGTTGCGCTGGAGACGGTTGTGGACAGTTTTAAGAAGGCGCAGGTTAGAGCAGAAAAAGATTTCGGAGTTAGCTCAGAGCTGATTATGTGTCTGCTGCGCCATCTGCCTCTGTCGAGTGCCTTGGACACGTTTGGGTTGGCGAGGGGGAAGGGGTATTTTAGGGATGGGACGCTGAGGGGTATGGGTATGGATTCGTCTGAGGTGCCGTTTCCGCCGCCGATGTGGACGGAGTTGTATGAGGCTGCGAGGGAGGAGGGGATCCGGACGACGTGTCATGCGGGGGAGGAGGGCCCGCCGGGTTATGTTTCCCAGGCGTTGGATTTGTTGGGGGTGCAGAGGATTGATCATGGTGTTCGTGCTCTGGTGGATGGGGACGATGCGCTGGTTGCGCGTCTTGCTGCTTCGAAGACTTTGTTGACGATGTGTCCTCTGTCGAATGTTAAGCTGAATTGCATTTCGTCGATGAGTGAGTTTCCGCTGAGGAGGCTGCTGGATGCTGGGGTTAGGTTTAGTATTAATAGTGATGATCCGGCTTACTTTGGGGGGTATATATTGGAGAACTACTGTGCCCTTCAGGAAACCTTTGGGTTGAGTATTAGGGATTGGGAGATGATTGCGAAGGGAGCCATAATGGGTAGTTGGTGCACCGAAGAGAGAATAGCCAAGTTGTTGGTTGAAGTAGAAGATGTCGTCGAGGAATGGGCGAGGCAATTCGAGGAGCAATAATGATTACCTACCTACTTTCTAAGTAGGCTCTTGGCTCATTCTGCTCATTCTTCAAATCCAAGATCTATCCATGATAACCCAGTGAACTGTTTACAGCGTAGTTTGTGCTCACTCATCCGGGTCAGTACCTGATATCCCATTGCCCCTGACAGGTCGTACGTGTAACTTCCAAAGCCATGGCTGTCTTGCACGACCCCGATCCTCCTGTCTTAGACTTTCCATCAAACAGACAGAGCCTCGACCGTTTCTGTAACTCAAAGTTTAGCTCAGGTTACTCATATTCCACTGCCACGAAGCTGTTCCGTCACACAAGTTCCATCCTCTCTAATCCATCATAACCAATTATAATCCGGCCCAGGGATAATAATAGTCTCAACGTGACCTCGACCTCTTCCGGCGGAGCTTCGATGTTTGCGCGAACTTTGACAAAGGCTGGGCATGTAGCACATGTATCAAACCTGTGTAGCGATCAAGACACCGGGAAGGGAAGTAATCCATACCACCGATCATGGTTCCTGCGTGGGTTCGTATGGACATTTAGGTAGATATACCGGAACGTTCCCAACTAACGCAAACATAATAATATTTGGGCGATGAGAGGTACCTGAGTAACCAGGTAGATGGCTGCTAGTAACAGCAGGAAACGGTATTCAAGGCTCACGTATGGCAATTCGTCCTGTGGGAGGTAGTATTTAGCTGGATAATACCAACAATAAATTCAGCGCTAATGATTGTATCAGACTGCTATGAACTCTTTTTGGCTTGAAACTGGTTGGTGATGAATATAGATATTTTGAACGTCTCTTTCTGAAAATATGTACAAAAGTATTGTACATATTTCGTCGAGTAGGTGGGAAGTGGAAGATTTCGATATTATTTTGGCCTCTAGTGGAATAGGTACTGGGTACGTAAAGGATCACACATACGAATTGATCTATCCAACTGTACGACTCACATCCATGATGGGATCATAGCCGATAGAATGTTTAGATGCTCTTGGTCAATCCAACATTGATAGATATTTTTCACGGGGAGCTTATCATATTTATGCTGCCTTAAAATAACCCCAGGCACCAGGAAGGCAAAGTGAGACAACACACAATTTCGAACACCGCCAATTTAGAGCATTAAAATGACGTCAGAGGCCATTACACGATACATGATTTAGCGTGCTAGGAACAAAAACATTCCTTAATGACAATCAATTAATGGTTGTGAACCCATGTTCTCGTGAACTTAGGAATTCACTTAAACCTTTAATGAATTTTATGTTCATTTTTTTCTTACAAAATCGTGAGCTTCCATTTTCAATCTTCACCCCCTAATGTGATGACAACGGCGATTGGACGATGCTACGGTAGCTATTTGGTACACTAATTGGTACGCTAATTGTTGGTGGTAGTGGACCATTCAGGAGGTTGTCGTGGCAACAGGTGTCAACAATCACTAAAAGCGACACTCTCAGACCCGCATCCCTTTCAATTTCACCCAACCAAATCGTCAAATTCAATATATGGACCTGCAGGTCAATATATTGTCACCGCAACACAAATCACTCCCAAAACAAACTTGGGCGTTCAGACGTCTAACTGCCTAACCGTCCCGAACGGTCACAATTCATAACATTCAATCACTAGTCACATTCACCTTGCTCTTTTCTCCTCCTCGAATCTCTCAGTCGAATCCCAATTGCGATTTCGAGATATTCGCCCCCCAATATTGACTGCTTATTCTAATGGACGGAGCTACTCAATCGCACACAAAGGAGCCACTCGACACAACCGATAAGACAAACATCGAACAGGATACATCACAGACGACAGATACCTCTGATTTCAGTTACGAGTCGACTCCTGATAGCACGGAGGAGGAAGAGGAAGAAGAAGAAGAAGAAGAAGAGGCAAACATGACATCCGCCAGTCAAACGGAGTCGGAAGTCCGTCCGAGCATAGAAATCGATAATAACGACAGTGTGGACGGTCAAGAAGACGTTGAAGGTTCTGATGACGGATCAGAGCTAGGCGATAGGACGAATACTGATATCGACAACACCGATCCCTCATACGAGGACCTCGATTACACCGAATCCCAAACACCTCAAGTCGACGATGGTGGTGATAGTAGCTCTCACCACGACGCAGACGAGGACGTGTTCAGCGACAAGAGCCCCCGAAGCTCATTAGGATCCTACGACGGTGTGCCCGAGTCGGGCAAGGCACATAGGGATTCGGACAATATGACAACGGTGCGAAGATCACCTCGAATCTCGGACATTTCCCAATACGAGCGGGAGTACGAAAAGGAGGAATTCGTCCCCACTATTAGAGGAACACCTCGTCCCCCCTTCCGAACTCCTTCAGATGTCCGCGCAATGCAGATGTCTTCTCCACCGCCTTCGGTTCTCGGCTCGCCCCGATCTACCAAGAGGCACTTCCCTACAGTATCTCGCTTAGGGACACCTAGTGCTTCAGCACACTACTCTCCGAAGAGGATGTCCACACCGCAGCGGTTTAAGGGCCGCAAGGAAGCTCCTCTCGTCTTACTTCACGTCACCCTGTTACCTCTTCGATGGGTCTGGGGTGACTTGTTGAATAATCTAGAGGTGGACGAGATGAGCGACCAAGCGAAGTCGCTACGTGAGTCCTGGCGGATCCTGCAAGATCGCGTCGGTGACACCGTCATCGAACGCGGTATCCTGCTCGGCCACCCCCAAAACGACTACGAGGTTCTCGAGGAGCGCTTGCTCGAAGCACTCGAGCTGCCTCTCCGTCGACGAGCGCGGATCCTCGAATGCGGCCACTATCTCGGCCCGTCTAACGAGCACACGATCGACGACGACGAGAGCGAGGACGAGTGGAGTTCCGCTCGATCTCGTGCTGGAGATGTAGATAAACGCCACTGGTGCGGCACTTGTAAGAACGAGATCCGCTACGACTCGCTCGGCGCAGGCAAGATCTTCCGTGTTAAGGTGTACGCTAGTAACGGCCTGATGCGAGCCGGAGCCTGGGCGGCGTGCTGGAAGGAGATGGAGCGTGTAGACGTTGAGATAGAGCCGATTGTCGAGCCTGCCGTGCAGGAAGAGCTAGTCCGCCTCGCTGCCGTCTTGCAGGAGCGAGAACTAGCACATCAAGAGGAAGCGGATATCGCGAAGGAGGTCGCACATCAGTTAGAAGAGCAGCACCAGAAGGAACGAGCCGACGCGATGAGTTCGCGGTTCAGTGCTTCCTCACCGCATTCAGAACGTGCTGAGTCGCGTATGTCGGCGGCGGACGAACGCCACCGACGGGACGAAGAACGACTTCGTGAGATCTACGGCCACGGATCCCCTCCGCTATCTCCACGCGGAGATACATCAAGAGAACCCCCGCAACCAGACCACTTCGCTCCCCCATCCCCCACCCCATCCTTACGATCTCGCTCGCACGAGCGTCGCAGCGACCACAGAGCACCCAACCACCATCAACACCGCCACCCCCAACAACGGCAAGGCTTCCAAAACGCCTCACTACCAGAGCTGATCCTGCAATCCATCAAAGTCCTCATGCAAGACCGGAAGAACGTGATAATCTTCACCCTCAGCGTCCTCGTGCTGATCTTCGCTCTACGCAACCCATCCGGTCCCGCGGAGCCTATCTACGAGCCAGTCATCCACCGGATGCGAGATATGCCGACCCCGCGCCGCGTGCAGGTCGTTGATACGACGTATGTGCCGACGGTGGAGGTCAAGGCTCCTACTGTTGTTGAGTCGGTGTGCGTGCAGGAGTCTGCTGCGGTTGCGGAGGGGCAGGCTACGGTGGTTGAGTCGATTTTGGCTTCTGTGGCGGGGTATGCGGAGCCGTCTGCTGCGGTTGAGGGAGATGTGTCTGGTGTTAAGGCTGTTGAGTCGGAGACGAAGGAGCTGGAGGTTGAATCTGCTGTGCCTGCGCAAGAGACGACTGAGGCGGTGTCTTCTCATGATACGATTCAATCTGAATCCGTAGCGGAGTCTCAAGAGTCTGCTGAGGCAACCTCGTCCTCGGACAGCCCAGCCATCGAGTCAGAAACTTCTTCCGCGTGTTCTCAGCCCGAAGAAGCATCCTCGGCCGCACTCCCAGAATCCTCCCCCAGCACGGAGACCACCCCAGAACTGCCCTCCGAGCCGGAAGCAGCGCAAGAAAACAACAGCGACGCCGCCGCATCCAGCGTCTCAACAGTCTACGAGCCATGCCCCGTAGCATCCGAAGGCAAGCCGCGGGCCGTGACTCTGCAGTCCGAAGAAACGGAGACGGAAACAGTGACGGAGAAAAAGGTCGTGCGTGTATTCACCACTGTGACGGAGTCTAAGACGACGACGGTCAGGGTGTATGCCACTGATGCGGCGACGCAGCCTGCGCTGTTGGTTGCTATGGAGGATGGACCGTATGGGGAGGTGGAGTTTTCCACGTCTTCGCCAGGGTTAGAGGGGGGAGAGAAGAAGGTTGTTGATGTTGATGCCTTGCTTGAGGATGAGTTGTGAGGTACGTGAGACCTGACTACATGGCTAGGTCCTATGGATGTGAGCTAGGGGCTTGTGAATAGGGGTTTGCGATGGGATCGGGTACATATTGTATGTAATGGGACGGGATGGATGATGGATGATTCTTTCGCTCGTTTTTGATGATGCCTTTTTTTGAAATCATTGCTCTGCGGGGGTGGGCTGTTTGCGTGTGAAGATTGAGATAGATCGACGATACCAATACAGCATCAATGATTGTGAATGTGTATGTGTTTGAATGATGGGGGTGGTGTTTCTGTTTGTAGAGTCGTGGATATGATTACTTCAGAATGAAAGTTGGATGAGTTATGAATCGATGTTGTGATTTGTTTAGGAATGAGATGATGCTCGATACATTCCTGCCTCAGTGATACTAATATAGGTACCTAGTGCTTCAAAATAACATTACCCTTTCTGATGATGAGCACCTGGGCACTGTTGTAATAATCTGGAAGTGATATTGATTTAATTGGAATGTCTCTTCTACCTGTTTACCATTCTTACCTATTTCCAGCGACAACAACAACTACGATTCAGTCTTAGTGAACCAACCCAAGATCGATTCTCTTCTTCACTTCATGCCAATAAGCCACGCGTTTCGCCTCCCTAAACTTCTTACCCCACTTAATCATCAGCAAGTAAACGCTGCATATAGCCAACCCGACGAAGGCCACGTTGATAAAGCAATTCTGAGTCCCTAGATTAGTTAACCAAGGCGTAATACCGTAGCTAATGGCAAAACTCATGGTGTTGCGGATGAGGATACATGTAGTCAACGCGTCTCCTGAGATATCCCGGTACGTGTCGACCAAATATGAGACACTTAAAGTGATACCCATTGTGTTTGCAAAGGCGGTAGTTCCCATAGCGAATACCAGTCCAAACCAATGTACCTCATGAGCAGCACCGACTCCCCAAAGGATGAGCGAAGCGGGGATCGCCAACGTCGAAACGGTAAAGAGCCAAAGACGGTGCTCCGGTTCAGAAACACCATTATTTCTCCGAGCCAAGCGAATAACGAACCGATCCGAGAAAACCCCCGTAAAAGCCGATGCCGCAGCGACTCCTATAACGCAGGATACATAACTCAATCCGACAAGAGACGGGCGGAAGTTGTACGGAGGGCTCCCAAGGATAATCGAACTCGTCGCATTGAGAATGTTGAAGTAGATGAGATACGTCCCATAGCTAAACCCGGAATAGAACACCACCGGCCACGAAAGCAGCTTTAGTGATTGCCAAGCCCGATAATGCATCATAAACGGCCTCGGCTTATCCACCACCGACAACTTCTGCCAAAAGCTCTTCGTCGCCATCGACGGCCTCGGCTCCAACGACGCAACACGAGCCACCGCACCAGCCGTATCCTTCGCTTCCTCCTTTCCCTTGTCCTCCACATTCCCGGTCTCCGCCACAATCCCCACAGTCCTGCGATCATAATTCGTTTCCTCCATGAAGCAGAACAGGAAAACCCAGGTAGCCGCACAGAAAATCGCCTGGATGTAGAAAACCCAGCGATACCCGATGCCGTCATTAATGAACCCGCAGATAATCGGGGCGAAGAAATTACTCCCGGCAAGCGTGAACGCGTACCAGCCCATATACGTGGCGCGTTCGTGGGCGAAGAACAAGTCGGTGATGCTCGTCTCCGGCAGCGCTTCGATGGGCGCCGCGAAGAACCCCGTGAGCACCCTGTTCGCGATCCATTGGCTGTTGCCGCGCGCGTAGGGGCCCCAGACCGTGATGGCCATGAGTGCGATGAGCGAGATGAGGTACGTTAGTCTCTTGCCGTATTGTAGCGCGAAGGGCTGCCAGAAGAGCAGGCCCCAGCCTAGTAGGAGGAACATGTACCCCGTGCCGGCGTTGAGGTCGGCTTCTGTGACGGAGAGCGCGGTGGAGAGCGGGACGAGGACGGAGTAGACGACGGATAACGCCATGCCGTTGAACCAGGTGTACAGGAGGGCGCAGGCCAAGGCTAGGTACTTGCGTCTAGGGGTCCAGTTCAATGGATCGTCTGGGTCTGTGGATGGGGTCGGCACCAGCACGATGTCGTTATGGCCCCTAGCGTGTCGCGTGGCCATTGTGTGCTCCAGATCGACCAGGTGGACGGTTCCTGGGATCAGCGACTCGTCGATGTCGCCATGGTCTGTGGCTATCGACAACGCCATTTTGAATATTGACTCTTACGAATGAATGCGCCACAGCGTCAGCACTAGAAGAGTCGTCAAGTCGTCTTCGAGTAGAATCACCTAGCTACTAGGTAGGTACCTAATCCTCGAATCTCTTCGGAGGCTGACGAAATAGGGAAAGGAGTGTAGTCGAGTCATGTAAGACGGGTTTAAGTACTTCCCCTCATATGTGTTCCATACATGTCCAACCTTAGAATCTACTGACTAAGTCGCTAAGGTTGAGATATGGTTTAGTAGTCGTGGACTGGTAGATAAAATACCCGCACGTACTTCGTACGCCCGCTTTCTTTGTTACCGAGCACACCGGGAAACGTGGAACCCTCGATTGAATTGGTAGAGCTGGCGACCATTCATATCCCCGAACCGGACAAACGGTATTGGTGCGGTATGGCAGTTATCTAAATCCCTGCTCGATCTGCAGTGAGGCGCTGCCACTATCTCGTCGATATCTCCGGTTGGAAGATAAGCGCAACGCAATGCAGCATTACCAGGTGGTTTATAGGACATTCCCGACAGACTCGCTGATAAGACTTTGGATTTCTTTGGAGGGCCTGTTGAGTGCCTGGTAACTGGCATGATTACTGGGTTTGTATGACCAAAATGAACATCCAATAACCGCGACTAATGTAACCATATCCGTCAGGGGAAATGCTTGTTTAGTCGAAGCTTACAGCGTACACGTTGATACACCAAGATCAATTGATTACCCCTATCTCCGCATAGAAATAAAGGAACACGAAGCCACATAAAGCCACAAAACGCCTATCTACGAGGTACATAAATATTAAGATAATATTAGTAAAATCTATTCCGTGCCGTATTAAATTTTTATCTATAAAAAAGTAAATGTAATCGAAATAACCACCAGGTGACTGTTTTCAATCTAAATTCCCCTCTAAAATATCCTCGCACGTCCGATAACCAGAATTCCTCTGTTTGCAACTCGTGCAGAGGACAACAGTCTTCTCCGCCACCTCCTGCAGGAACCTTTTCATCACCGGAACGCTACCCGAATATGACCAGCTGTCGAGTAGCCCGTTATCCGGCCCGGACTGAACACCAGTTTCCGATTTCAAAAATGTAACTTGGTGTCGGTTATTATCCTTCGTCGAGCACTCCGGGGTATGATGACCGAGAGAGCTGACATGTATATCCTCCAAACTGATGGATTTCGAAACGTCCCGGAAGATGGAAGACCATGCATTCGGGCTCCGAGGGTTATTGTCAAGTTCGTCGTCACCTGGGACAACGGACACTCCCACCATGCACAAGCACAGTTTTCTAAGGGAACCGGTGAGGTGGAGTAGAACTTTGGAAAGCGACGACGCGGGTGCGGTCATATTTTCCAACTCCAGACTCTGAAGCATTTGAAACCTCTGAGCCTGTGCGAGATGGTCGAGGCTCGTGTTCAGGATGCCATGCACAGGCAAACCCTGAACCTTCTTTCCCATTGACAAGTCCACCAACTGAGCAAGCCAGCCTATTATCCCATCTCTCAGAAAACTAGCACCCTTCGATCCCACCCGAAGACGAACCAGGTTTGGCGTATGCTCGAGCAGCTTGAACAGGTAATGGGGTTGCCAGGGAAGGAACCCCAGGGAGCCGGTCGTGAAACTCCCAAGTGATACGTAAGTAAAGCTTACGGAGAGGTCGAGGGAGCGGAGCTCTTGCAACGAGTACCTAAGGGGTTCAGCGAGGGACCCCGGGACCGCGAAAGCTGAGCTGGATAGACCCATGTCCTTCTTTCGGATATCCACGGTGATGGCTTTCAGTCGTTTGCAGGTCCTCGCTACAGCCAACAGGGAAGCTGCGAAAATCATATCTGGGAACTGGTCTGCGCGTATTACAGCATGTTTGTCAGGAGTTCAGTGTCCGTGTTTGAGACAGGGGTAAGGTGTACCTTGTGAGAGAAGATGCGACTCGTGGGCAGCGAAGTCAACTCCCGTCTGCCGGAGAATTTGGACGGTACCGTAGCTTACGGCTAGCTCATTTGATCCAGGTCGACGGGAATCATTCGGGACATTCACATCTCTTATGATCAGTTCGACCATATTCGGCAATCGACGCAGAGCTTCGCCAAGCAATACTTGTAGCCGCCCACTGCTAACCAGCCAGTTTTGCTCCACCGCAAGCTCTTCCAGTTTTTCGCCTTCGACCTTCCCCCTAGCAGGTATATTGTTGCGAATCACATTATTCCGGTTTAGACTTCCGAAATATGAAAAAGCGGCACTGCTATATACTCGATCAAGTCCGATTGTGAGCGTCGATAGACATCTTGATAGATTCGGGTGTTTTGATATGTTGACGAGACATCCTAGGCTGTCTGTAGCGCGTCAATATTGTTAGTATCTCAGTGCACTGGAAATAGATGGGTTTTGAAGGGCGTAGAGGTGTCGTGATGAGTCTCGAGGTAAGTGAAGACTGTAAAGTCTCGCTCTCTCCATTACCGCGCACCGAGGAACCTAAATAGATATAGGGGACATACTACACGTAGTTAGCATATTTATAAAACAAGACACTTCTAGATGAACAATGTAAGGGGCCCGGGAATCCTTACCACTCAGTAACCATAAACCGTCTATTAGAAAAGAACTCTTCCGAAAAGGAGTCGAATAAGAAGATCTCGGCCCGACGACATGTCAAACGGAGGCTGAATAAATCGTCCGGGGGGAGATACGATGCCGTATGCACGAGCAGTTCGCAAGGAAGTCCCAAAAGCGGAGATATGTATGGTTTGGTCCCAACGTGCGTATAACTCATAGCCGTGGGAACCTCGGATCGTGCCGTGATGGCAGATCGCGCAGCTTCGATGTGATCAGCCATGCTCCGGACCGTCATGAACTTGGGTGTCGGGAACCGAGGGAGGAAAATATGCAGAATTTAAAGAGTTGGATTGAGAAGAATCTGGAATATTACAAATATGGGATGGCGAGAATGTGTACGGTTGATATTTCTCCCCTCCCTTTGCCTCCTCTCCCTATCATGATTCTGCCTTGAGTGTTGGTTTAAGCCAGACTCCTTTTCGCCCATCTGCACAACTTAAGAGGCCAGTTAAGGTACCAATTCTACATATTACGTGTGCTGTTGGTTCTACCTACCCGGAATCCCATTTAAAAGGTAGGCATATATGTAGGTCATCTTTGCTTTGCCGTCTCCGCCGATGGCCGTTTTATACATACCACATGTGCGTGCCAGGTAGGCATTGGACTATTTATGTGCCCAAAAGATATCCATAGCATGTGCGACCTCCATCCATGCTACATGGTCATTCCCCTTGGGGGCTAGTAAAGTTATTGCAGATTATTATATCGAAGAGCAAGTGTTGGCTGTAGTTAATATATTTATACCTCCATAGAAACGTAAATCAAGGTAGTGATGATACCACCTACGCAGATGAATCTGACCACTGGACTCCAAAAGATAACCTAGTTGCATTCACAGAGAATCCGTCTGAGAGAATCGTGGAGTGCATATTTCATGTATTTGGGGCCTTAGGTACTAGGTATTCAACGATGTTGGTTAGGCATATATACCTGCGTACCTACCGGTATTAAGTGATCATCCTCTCGTGTCTCGTGGCAGTTTGTTCGAAATGCCTCCTTTCATTAACGATGTACCGTCACATCTTTAGCCCATTCCCGTTTTAATTGCGAAGAAGGCCAACTTTATAGAGGAGAACTCCTCATTGGTCACCAGGGAATGCAGGTGAACCAACACTGACAACCGAAACGGGGCTGACAATGACAGGTCGGCCTACGAAACGACCCGAGGCAGCGGTTAACCCGAAACGAGCTCAACATCTCACTATTTACACCTATTCATATTCATTCTACTAAGTTGGGGAGCAGGGGAGTACGTAACTATCCTAAGGAGCCGGGCTGTTACTAGCAAAAGCGACTATATTCGACTTGACGTCACGACTGGCGCCTCCGCTTACCTATCCACATTATATCGGATATCGTCAAATGATCTTACAGCTCCCGATAGCCCCAGCTTACCGAAGTTACATACGAAGATCTCTTATTAGTTTACGGACCATGCATGTGCGTAACATACATGCTTACAGTATCCCAAGCCACCCCCCAAAATCCACCTACCAGACCCAGCAGACCTTCCAGACCTGCATACAGATTCCCGGGATATACCCTGGCGGACATGATAGAAGGAAAACTATGGCGCTGCTACGGAAAGTATGGGTTACAAGGCCTGCATGTTACCAAGCGCCTGGCTCTTCCAATTTCTGGACCATTCCGATTTTGAGATAGATCGGGTGGTAGATCGAACATGCATCTTTTACGATCTACGCTATCGCCAATTGCTGAGGCGCTAGATAGATCGCTATCTCATCACCATGTCTCTTGCCGCATCCTATGTCACTCATCATTACTTTACCTATCCTATTCCTATGTTTACCTACAACGATAATATACCTGGTAAATCAAGATGGCAGACGAACAGAAACCAACGCCGGAGAACATGACCATGTTACAAGGCTTCGAGTGGTACGTGCCCGCCGACCAAAAACACTGGACTCGACTGGAGAAACATGTCCCTCAACTCAAGGCTTGGGGCGTCGACAACATCTGGATCCCCCCAGCGTCAGTTATCTCCAGCCTCACCCCTCAACCACCGCACCAACCACACAACCTAATCATTTAAAGCATAGATGCAAAGCCTCGTCCAACCAAGGCAACGGCTACGACATCTACGACCTCTACGACCTAGGCGAGTTCGACCAGAAAGGCTCCGTGGCCACAAAATGGGGCACCAAAGCCTCTCTCCTGCAGCTCTGCCGCACGGCGCAAAAGCACGGGGTAGGGCTGTACTTCGACGCGGTGCTGAACCACAAATTCGCCGCGGACCGTAAAGAGAAATGTCTCGCCGTAGAAGTCGACCCGAACGACCGCAACAAGGAAACCAGCGACAAGTACGAGATCGAAGCCTGGGTCGGCTTCGACTTCCCGGGGCGGGGGGAAAGGTATAGCGGGATGAAGTACCATTGGTACCATTTCAGCGGGGTGGATTACAATGCGCGGAACGAGAAGACGGCGATCTATAAGATCATGGGGGATAAGTCGCAGGGGTGGGCTGAGGACGGCGACGTCGATGGCGAGAAGGGAAATTAGTACTTACCTACCCTTACCTGCCTACCTGCCTATCTACCTCACCGCTCTACCGCTCTCAGTTAGAGCGATCGCCCCAAAAGCTAATCTGTGTGTGCCACAGCGATTTCCTCATGGGCTCCGACCTCGACTACGCGCACCCGGAAGTCTCGTCCGACGTGCTCGCATGGGGGTCATGGCTCGCGGAACAGTTGCCCCTCTCAGGGATCCGGTTCGACGCGATAAAGCACTACAGCGAGGACTTCCTTCGGAAATTCATCACGACGCTCGACGAGAGGTACGGGGGCGGCTGGTTTTTCGTGGGGGAGTTCTGGAAGGATAGTCTGGACGACATGACGCGGTATCTGGAGCGCATGGGGCGCAAGTTCTCGCTGTTCGATGCGCCGCTGGTGTATAATTTCAGCCAGATCAGTAAGGCGTCCGGGGCGGATCTGAGGGGTGTTTTTGAGGATACGTTGGTTTCGGTTATGCCGGTGAATGCTGTGGTGAGTTGGATGGTTTCCTACCTACCCAAGTATCTGCTTGACACCTAGGCGTTATTTGGGGATGGGGGATAAAGGGGTTGCTAATGAGTATCCCAAGACCCTCGTCATGAACCACGATACGCAGCCCTACCAAGCCCTCGAGGCTCCTATCGAAGGATGGTTCAAACCACTAGCTTACACTCTCATCCTCCTCCGCGACACCGGATACCCCTGTCTCTGGTACGGCGACCTGTACGGTATAAAAGGAGAACACCCGTTCCCGCCCTCTTGCGGGGGTGCTTTACCCAAGCTAGCTCTAGCCCGAAAGCTATACTCCTACGGAAAACAAGCCGATTACTTCGACTATGCCACGTGTCTGGGGTGGGTGCGGTACGGCACGTGGGATAGAAGGTACGGCTGTGCCGTCGTGATGAGCAACGCGGGGCCTGGCGAGAAACGCATGCATGTCGGCGAGATGCACGCCGGAGAAGTGTGGACTGATGTTCTGGGCTGGAGCGATCGCGAAGTTACGATTGGCGATGATGGGTTTGGTGACTTTGTCTGCGGCCAGACGAGCGTTAGCGTGTTTGTGAACCGAGACGCTGATGGGAGAGAGAAGTTTGCTGAGAAATTGTAAGTTGATGGAACACTGACTTTCGGCGAAGCTAGCTAACTATTATAGTGATGATAATATTTACGAGGAATAGAACAGAATATAATAGATGGACGGGCGGGTGACTTTCCCTAGCTAATAAACGGAGTCTAGGAAAATTGGACTGGCTTTGGGTGTTCTGGTCTTCAGGGGTTCGGCTTAGAGTACATACATACCTACCTAGGTACGATGTTATCCTTTTATATCGACTAACGAGGCATGTTTCATGAATACCTACATATTATATGAAGCTGATAAACGAAGCCACGAGGTATTGGTAAAGGGGATCTCAGCAATTAAAACTTATCTTCATGAGAAATATTTAGTAACGATGTTTTATAATACATACACAAGCTTCATCGATTGTATATGGAATTTGGACTAGGTGCAATGGCTTGTTGCTAAGCTTCCTGATCGTAATATAATGCTAAGATAGGGGAAGGATTGCGCCATTCGACTTTGGGATGTATCTGTAGGTAATGTTGTAAGTTAATGTGCTATTACGCGGTGGTATTTGGTGTTACTTTGGACTTGCCTGTTGAATCAGCATTGCCGCAGTAAGGCAATGGTCTTATGCTACCTGTAAGTCAAGTAAAGGCCGGCATTACTAATAAATAAGAAGCAAGTAACAAGTTCACACACGCATCCCTTTATTCTATTTACCATCGCAAGACTCTGTGAAGGGTTGTTCGCAATATGAGAGCAAGAGCCGGGTTGGCCTTAGACTCTGCCCTCGTATATAGTATGTATAATAGTATCCTCTAGTTCTGTACGTGCCTTGATTGATCGATCTGCTTACAACTTAAAAAGCTCCATTTATTTCCTTCATGCTGATATACGCACTCTAGCTGCGGATGCAAGGTATATATAAGCAAGTTGTAAATCCCGTTGTGTGTACCCCTTAATGCGCGTTATCTATCCGAGTCCACCCTTCCGAAGCGTCCTTGAAGAGGAATAAAAAAGAGCAATTGTTTTTCAAGCCAGGTACAGGCTTTCCCCCGAATTCTGAGTTAGCTGCCAGGATCTGGATATGCCAACATGTTTCCATACGGTACGGCGGATGCGCATTCTTGACAGACGCGTTCTGTTGTGCAACGATTATGTTTGTCACAATGCCATTCCTGACTGGGTTTGCAGAGACGGCACTCTTGACAATGGTCCCAGAGGTCAGTGGGAAGCCAACCACCCCGACAAAAGCTATACCAGTGACCGTGGAAGTCATTCTGGTTACAATTGCCCAAAGCACCCCGTAATAGGTCGAACTCAAGGCGCTCACGTTCTTCACGGTTCTTCTTTCTCTTACCACCACGAGCTCTCTTCCAGCTATCCTCCCACTTCTTGAATGGCTCGGTATATTCCCGAATAGATGCCCATGACGTATCGTCGTAAAGCAGGATATCTATTATTAGGTCCATATCCAGTTCCTCCACATTCGGCTGATTACAAAGCCAAGTGGCAAAGCACGCATTGGCGCCGCACGGCTTAGGGAAAGCGGGTGGTGATCCGAAGAACTGCGTCAGATCCGTGAAGGGGTTCGCGCAGGCATCAGCGCATGAGCAGGTCGGATTACAACTTAGTCCTTGCTTGCTACACACACAGAACACGCAAGCTTTCTTATCCCCGCGCCCTGTCTTACACGAACACTTTTTAAATCGTTGGCTACCTCTGGACGATGTGTCGACTGGTGGCGTAGGGACAGATGGTATCGATGGTATCGACGTTTTAGATAGATCGGGGTTGGTGTATACCTACGGGTAGGGCGGATGTTAGCATTATATATTATACATTTTTATCTATTCACTTCTTGTATAACTTTGGAACTTGGAAATCTGTAGGTTGTTTGTAGATTCCTAGGCTCACCTCTGTAGAGTCGTCCGCCATTTCACCTAGCGCATCCTCGTCCTCGTCGTCCTCAGGTAAATCTTCGGGTGTGTGACCGTTCCCATTTTGATGTATAGGGGTCGGTAGTTGAGCAGGGCTATGTAAATGCGCTGGACTCGGTAGATGTGCTGGGCTGAAGTGTGAATTTAAAGCGGAAGGATCTGAATAGGAATTGGCATTGGTGTGATATGTCGGGGCATGCGCCGTAGGTTGAGTAGTATATGGCTCTCCATACTGCGACAGGGCATGCTGCGGATGTTGTGGTATTGTAGTCGTAGGAGGATTAGTACGTGGTTGTTGGTGTTGGTGCTGCTGCTGCTGTTGTTGATGTTGGTAGCTTGTGACATGGTGATTTGTCGGTACTGGAGAATACGTTCCACCTGTTCCCGGCTGCGGTGATTGACTTTGTAAGAGCGTCTGTGTCTGTGTTTGGGCTTGTGCTTCCGCAAAGTTACCATTGCGGATTCCGTTTACGCTTGCTTGCGTATAATGTGTAGGGTGAGAGGCCATGTGTCCATTAGGGGGCGCCTGTGAGTAATGTGCCGCGAAAGTGTTCGCCTGCTGTTGGGGGCTATAGGGACCAGCGCTGTAGGCCGCCGACGAGGTTTGGTACGTCCCGGGATATCCGCCAGTTGAATTGGTCACCGGACCTGGTGAATAAGGGTTATAGGCAACTGCCTGTCGAGCGGTAGGCTGGAGAGAGTATGCTCCATTCTCGTAACCTGTGGGTGAATATAAGCTGAGGTTTGGGTTGACTTGGTGATGTCGCAGAGCGGGAGCTGCGGTCTGCGGGGTGCCGTTGGCGGTTTCTCGCGACGTGTTAGATCGCTGTCGCTTGGCCGGTGGATACGACATTGCATCTTGCTTCACCCTCCTCCTATTTATTTTTTGCCTTTTTTCCCTCACACGCTGACACGGTCGCACCGGCGGAACTCAGGGACGGAAGGGAGGCGACACAATCCAGTCCGGGACCGGTCAGGGAAGAGTAGGTTAAGGGACGATGCGGCACAGAATTCGTATTCGTGAATCGTAATTCAAATCGGGGAAATGTTTATTCGAAATCGGGATGAATTAGTAAAGTTTGTTCGGTCAAAAAGAATGAGATTTTCAATTTGTTGTTTCGTCGGTAGCTGGAGGTTTACTAGTGTAAATGTTCAGTCAGGGTTCAGATCAGAAATTCTTTGACGTCTAGAACCTTGAACGGTCAAAATTCCGCGTCTCGATTGTGGCGCATGGGCTCGTCCAGGGGGGGACGCGTTAAAAGGGATTGTACGCTGTACGCTGTATTGTACGGTTCAATGTTTCGTATGTAAATATGTATTTTAGTACCAGCCTAACTTTTTACATAAAGCCTTTATCAAACGTCCTAAGCACCTAAGCAGTTAAGGAGTTAAGGAATTCTTACCAACTGTCCGTTAGCTACTAAAGTTTGCGTTAGCGTCTTATTACATAATCAATAAGGGGCTTTACTCCATGGATGTCAAGGATTCAATCGAGGCTTTTTTTGTGGCTGTTATCAATTATACTTCTCTTTTATTCCTTCAAGGTCGATTGCAGAGATCTGGTCAAATCTATTGTTCTTTTGTTCTTATCACCAAAACACTGTCTCAATTGGGGGCCATTCTTTCCGAATTTCTGACCATACCGAAATATCACCAAGTAGGAAATAAGCTTATGTACATACCACTTGCATTGCTTAACGTTACATCTTTCGTAAGATTCGCCAACCTGATTATTCAAGCCCGTACCATAAAACTTCACTTCACCCACTCCAGCACTCAACATGATCACCACGTGCCTGAAAATTTGATATATCACCAGTTCTCCCAGCCCTTACCTACTTTCATGTGGCAAAGTCAACTACCTCTTTTGTCATAAAGGAATACATATTATATTTACTTATACATACCTCAGCACATAATTGCATTACTGTTTACCGAGGTATGTACCTATTTCCACATGCAATTACGGTTGTCCGGAGACCCACTCGGATCCGATGGGTATGACAACACCGACAACTTCTCCGTCTCTTCTCTATTCCTTCCCCAAATAACAATATAGGATAAGTCATCCGATTTATATGCGCAGAGGCCTACAATAGGTGACCTATACTCATCATCACACATACTGGTATTGCTAGCATAACGGACATTGCGGACTATCACTTCTAGTATACAAACCGACCAACTATCATCGAACAAGGCATCGGCACTAGAAATATCTATCCGGTTCTAGAACCCGCGCTTGATCTGGACTATTTCGTTGACGGTGTTATCTCTGATCCAAGGACTAGACTCCCTTACCTGCTTCGAGCACTTCAAGTCTCCAGTCGAGTGAGGAGTTATTACTACTAGTCTCGTATGGAGACCAATAAGTCCACGCAACGACTCTAAAGAGCCGGCCACGTCTTGTGTGCATATCCTGGCGTGTTATCGACGACTCGAAACTTCTCATATGGAGACTTCAGACTTTAGATATGGCCTAGATTTTGATAGAATAAGGTCGAATTATTTACAAGATCGAGGCCACAATCCGACTATAAGCTCACGGTTGTACCTCCATAATGGATAATTCTGCTAAAAACTATTTTAGCATATCCATTGCTCACACCCCAGGGATTATACTAAATTTAGTGATTGAGAAAAAAGGTATAACCTCGTTTAAGCGCCACGTAGGGAAACATAGCTCTTATAATACCTAGTTCCAAGCCTGCAAACTCAGGCCTCACGACGAGCACGTGTTAACCGGTTGTATTCCGCCCTTGCTGGTGGGACAAGCTCAAACAGAGTTGCAGAACGGAAGCTCTTCCGGCTTGGCGAAGCAGGGATTCGAAAATAGCCCTGGAGCTATCAAGAAACGTTAGTCCGATCGGAATTTCTCAAATCGTGAATTTCATCCCTTTCATGACATAAGTGAGCTATCTTCGAATTCAGTAGAGCCTTATATAAAAGTGTGTACCTTAATTATAGAATTATGTTAACTTTATCATAGTATTTTCGACGTACGAGTCAATGACATAACCGTACTACTCAGAGAAATTCTTAGATGCAGCCAGGTGGATACAGGCTCAGAATGATGCATTAACCTGCAAGAGTGGGTACACGACATCGTCCTCTCCTTTCGAGTTACTCGATTAGGAATTCGCGACGGAGATTCGACGCCTCTGACGTTTGCCAATCTTGAATGGAATGTTGACATGACCATCTGAGGTAGGACAGCGGGGTTTGTCGGTCTTGCTGAATAGAAAGGCATTGACCCTGTCGCCGTGACAAAGGTGAAATGTAATAATAGACAATGCCTTTCTTAACTATTCTTGTCCTTATGAGCTAAAGAAGAAAGGGCTTAATAAGGTATATCCGTATATTTAAACACACGCTCGTGTTTATGATTTTGCCGAATAGTTATCGACCTATGTACTGTCTACTAGTTCTACCGGTGAGTTCCCAGTCATTCCCCTAAAATTCTACGAAAACCGCCGCATTATCTCGTCGAACAGGATCCGACGTCTTAAATGGGAGCCTTTCCACCTAGGTAAAAAATACCCATAAAACGAACCAAGATGTGTAATAGCCGAGTAGAAGACTACAAAAGATGTGCCCGACCAGCAAGTGCCCGGCACAACAAGTCCACAATCAAGATATGCACGAGGGCGAAACTCCGTATGTACGGCAACACAGCCTACCATCCCGTACGTGTCACCAGCAGCACATTCACCAAGGCCGGAACACCCATTCACCCCGTCATCGACGAGACGTGTCCTATATGCTACCCAGAAAAAGCAGCAGCTGAACAAGACGAGAGGAGGGAGGAAGCAGAGAAGCGTGTCGCGGTAGCGAAGATAGAGGCTGATGAAGAGAAGAGGAAGACGGAGACTATGGTCGTGGATATGGCCCAGTTCATGGACGAATTCGCTCCGAATTTGTCATAGTATTTAAGGCTCCCCCATGCCTTTACCAGGTAGGTACCTAGGCGGGTGAGTATTCTTCGGAGTAGGTATGTACAAATCCTCTAGCCGCTACGCCTTCTAGGCTAGACGACATAAGAAGAGAAAGGAGATATGCTCCTAGTATATATGCTAGTTCGTCTCAAGGTAAGGAATTTAGATCCCGAACAAGTACCTAGAGGTATGCAAGATATGTAGTAAATAAACCCAACGCTCCAAACTCCGATTGCCGTTTCTTTTTTAGTAAACCGTCGTATCAGTAAATGAGTTGATCGTCGTATGCTCGCACGCTCTCGAGGTACGACTTTACTTGGCTCCAGTCCCGACATACTATATTGATGATTAGTTTCTATGATATAAGATTAGGTGGATATGGAGAAGGCTTACCATGCTTCGAGTCCCAGCCGTCGGAGCCTCCGTTGTGGTCCGGGAAGGTCGTCTCTAGGCCTTCCAAGGCCATGTCGGCGCTGCACATGATGGCTTGACGCATGTAGTCGAAGCAGTGGATCATGTGCCAGTGGTGGTCACCGGGTATTTCGTGGCCGGATGTTAGGCCTGAGTACGTCTGGACAATAGCGAACTGTTGTCGTTGTTAGTTATACTCACTACGGGTTCCCTAGCATGAGTGAATATTAATTGGCAAACTTACAAGACAGTGTAGTTGATGAGTGGCGGAAGTTGTGAAGACGGTTTTGTCGGGCCATTCGATTGGGTGGGGGAGGTCGTGGTACTTGTTCGTATCATTCACCCAGACAAATCCCATGCCCTCTGTTTTATAATCAGCATTGAACTATATAGGTAAGTGTAGAATTTATTTTGCTTACTAGGCATGAGACCATTCCATCGCTGCAACACCTCATCTGAGAAGAATTCTGCGGTGTTGTTGGGCGCATACGACTCATCTCTTTCGAATGTCGTGATCTTCGAGGTAACTGAAGTGGTTGTTAGAATGAGTTTGGGAAATCTCAGCTAGAAGCTAAACATACGTCTAGGACCAACTCCCGTAAAGTCTTGGCCGAATTGCCATGGGTTGTCAACTTCCTTATTCTCAGCCACAGGTTTTCGCCATTGATCCCGAATTAATAATGCCAGAATTATGAATAATAATGCAGTATCAATTATCCATCTCATTGATTTTAGGCCCGCAATGAATCTGCTTGTCGTCGTCCGTGTTCTCGGCCTATTTAATTCCACATCATGCCATTGCTTCTCGTCACCCATTAAAGAATCCTCGACCTCCGTACTGGACCTCGAGTCCTCACGGTCGTCAATGTGCGGCAGGTTGGCGTAGTGGGCTTTTTGGGACTCCATCGTGATCTACACAGGGAATCAAAGAAATGAAATAAAAAATAAAATAATTAATAACAGGTCAGAGAGAATGGTATGAGAGAAGGAAAATGGAGATCATGAGGATCAGTAGGAGGGATTGATTTTAAGAACAAGAACATTAAGTATGCTTAAACGAGGATTCAATTGACCCCATACTATGTCCTTCATAGAGTGGTGGTAGCTGTAACCGAAGTTGTTTCGACTCGAGTCTGAGACACCTCGTTTGGGGTTTTGGTTGACAGGGGGTTCGTTTTAGCGGCCAGACGACGACAGGATCGAGAAATGCATATTATGATCACGATGCGTAATGTGGGTTAGGAGTATAAATAATATACTGTGAAGTAAAGCTGAATATGAAAACCATACCTCTAATTACCTAGATAAATTTATTCAGCTATGGTATCTAGTTGCGATATCACAACGATGTAGCTAATTGTGAGGCTATCATGCTGTCGACCCATTCGCTAGTTTTGGTGGGTTTACACGATGTTTCAAGATCCTGGTCTCTTTTTTTCGACACGACGCTGCGACCTTTTATGTCCAGGTTTGCCAAGATTGAGACACCTTTAACCTCATTTTCAATGGCAAGGCTACCCGGCTTGAGTAGTTAAAATCCCCAGAAATCGCAAGATCATCGAAGCCAAGTTTCCAATTATCGTAGATCTCCGGTAATCGTTGCCATCCTATCAAAATGTGTGCAACTCCGTTGGACGGGTGATGCCAATAGCAGATCTCTATGCAATTACTGGTACGATATGGTAAGGTACGATATCATCGTATGTTGAGTCTTCGACCCCAGAATTCATGATGTAGCTACTGAGGCAATCGTCGTACTAGTTTTCGTGGTGCCAATTGAAGCCGTTGAAGTCGCTGGCGGCAATTCTTCTGTCGTCGTAGTCGCATCAGCTCGCCCAGCATCTCCGTCCCTTTCAAGTCCGTTTTCCAATGGCCATCGAAGATACCCTTTTCTGTCCGCTTCTTGAATACCTTTCGTGAAGATATATCCCATCAAATCATATCCGTGATCCGTGGGATGTGTGCCATCCTCTCCAATGTCCGCGACTTGTGGTCTGTCGGGGAACCCTTCGCTAGGATGCATCTCGGCTAGCAACACAGGCTTCGATTTATACTTCTTGATGAGCTCGCGATATTGTTGGTTGACATCTAGAATCTTGGGCTCGCAATCTGCAACCGTGTTGGTTAGACACGTGCTGAAGATTACAGTCGACCGCGGCGAGGTCTTTAGCAGGTAGTCGATAAGTTTCTCTATATCTGCGCCGGCCTTGTCGACATCACGATTTTGAAGCACGTTATTTGTTCCCGACTGAATCAGGAACACGTTCGGCTGTAGCTGAGGCACAATATTAATCGCATGCTCATAGGTCTGGCTGACCCGATTACCACCGTACGCTTCGAGATCGTTATCAAGCATTTCGCCAAATCTTTGAGAGCCAACCATGTTCACAGAAGCGCCAAGCGCAACCAATTGATCGCGCATCGTCAAGCGGAAGCCATTGCTATCGGTTGAGAATTCGCCTCGAACTAGCGAGGCACCAAGCGACATGATGCGCAGTGGCACACCTTCTGCTATGCTGCTTGAATTATCCGGTTTCCATGTTCCTATTGCGGACATAATACCATCAGCTGTGGTATTTATGTCGCTAAGTTGTTGATCATCGCCAAGGCTACTATTATTGTTGTCATTATTGTCGTTGTTGTTGTTATTATCGCTGTCGTGTTTAGAGTCGGGTCGGAGTACATGAGTCGCACCGAGAGCTAAAAGAGGATACAGGTTAGCAAATGAATGAAAATATCGGTATATCGCAAGGGAAAACGGTAATGAGAGAGGAAAAGGTAGACCTCACCTATTAACACAACCGAAACTATCACCAACAGGGTCAGAGTAAATATTGCCCGTTTGGTGCGAAAGAATGATAGTCGCGAAGACCATGGTCTCTTTTTCTCAACGTCCATTGCGAAGTAAGATGCGCCTCATGAATGAACAAACGAATGATCATTTAAATATGACAATTGATTGATAATTAAAAAGAGAAACAGAAAATCCTTCCTTCAATCTAAAAGCGCGAACTTGTCATCACCATCTTTGATGCCTCGACATAGCCCCACGGTTCCAAGGTTGTAGTGATGTAACAGTATTAGAAAATCTGAGCAAACATGACTGACTGTTGGGGCTTCCGAGTTCCAAGTTCTAAGCAGCCAAGGAGTGAAAACATGTTCAGCTATAACATGCCCAGGCCGCCCAGAAATTTAGTTTGAAATTCATTGCTTGAAACAGATGCTGCGATCTAAATCTCACCTGTCGACATCCAATAGCCAACCAATTGCTAAAAGTTGTGAGTTGGAATTCAGGGATCTTCACTGCCGCCAACATTCTCTATATTAGTGGCCAAAGCGTCCAATCGCATACCTGATATCCTCCCGCCTGCATGTCTCTAGATCTACCTCATGCAGTGTTCACGCAAACGCTAATCTGGTACCTAAGATCCTATTATCCCGTTTCTTCTTATGGGGAAGCTATAGGATGGGATCTAATTATGGACTATAGGAAAGAGTAATGTTTGAACCTTTATCTACAGTCAGGTTAAATTGAATAAAAATAAAAGCCTTGATTAGGTAGGTAAGTTCTAAGGATTAGTTCAGCTTAAAGGTAGATTCGTGACTGGTAGAAGTTGTCTTCTAAAAAATAAACCCTGAAGCTGAAGTCTTCCAAGGTTGGAATAGGGGGGGAGGACGGCTAACGGCATCTTTATAGGCACCTGCCCACGATCTCCGCACTAGCTGTCCACCCAATCGCCGACCCCGTAGCTGCCAGATTTGGAAATATCTCAATCGTTTGGCTCTTAACTTGCCATTTTATGGATTATCCTGGCCGAGTCTGATTTCTCTCATGGTATCAGATGAAGAATTTGGGGCACGAAAGAGTCGATCAACAGTTATATTTAGAGTAGGTACCAACCCTAAACCAAGGTTTCATCCCGCTTGTCAATTGTAGGGGAAGGGTTCTAACGACGATATAAGAAACTGCAGGTGGTTAACTTAATTTCATGAGTAGGGATAGTTCAATATTTCTTTTCCAGGTATGATATTTTACTATTTACGAGTTACTTATATGAGCCTAAAATTTATAGCTGTTGCTACTATAGATGTTAGATAGTAACTACTATGGTAGAGGATTGAAAAGGGGAGCGTACCGGGTAATGCCAAAGCCCCACCAATCACCTACCGATGAAATCGTACATTAGCGTCTTTAACCCCAAACTTGACTTCTTTTCCATCATTTCTGGCCATTAATATGTAACTTAGGTAAAGATCTAGGTAACGATGAAATCAATAAAGCACAAACCGGAGCACAAGAAACCGTCGTCCCAAAATCCCATCGAGATAGGAATCAGGACATGGTTCAATTCTGTGTCACCAAAACCTCAATCCCAACCACAACTCGACGAACTAATCGCTCGAGCCCCAAAACGATGGACGACATATGAACCGATGGTATTACTACCATCCGGCTCCTTCACCACCGCACCCTGGAAGGCCCTGCTATCAAATCTATCCGCCGAGCGGACATCCGCACTATGGACCCAAATCCTCTCCTCCATCTCCAAGAAATCCAGCGGAGATCTAACCCACCTCGCCATCAACGAAGGGATCCCCGCAGCCCTCCACCCCACCAACACGGAGCAAGCCGGAGCGCCAGAAAACATCCTGCGCAGCCCAACCGGTCTCCGGACCCTCCACGGGGACTTCGGCCCCGCCTCCGCCTGCGGCACAGCCGCTGATTTCACCAACGCGTTCTGGGTCTCGACGAGGCAGAACGGGGTATTCCAGACGTGGGCGCCGCGGTGGACGATGTTCAGCCGGGGCAACATCAAGGAAAAAGCGCGGCTGCTCGAATTCCACAAAGCCCGGTCCTTGTCCCTAAACACTGGAACAACAGTGTTAAGTGATGATGTCTTAGCAGTAGATCTGTACGCCGGAATCGGGTATTTCACGTTCTCGTACGCGAAGCTCGGGATGCGGGTTTTGTGCTGGGAGTTGAATCCGTGGAGCGTGGAGGGTTTGCGGCGCGGCGCGGAGGGGAATGGGTGGTCAGTTAGGGTTGTACGGGATGAGGCTGAGCTGGCTTTGCCGATGGGGGAGCTGGTGCGTGGGGGTGAGCGGATTGTGGTTTTCTTGGAGGATAACAGACATGCGGCGCGGAGGATTAGGGAGTTGGGGGAGTTGAATATCCTTCACGTCAACTGTGGGCTATTACCTTCTAGCGAAGCGTCCTGGAAGGACTCTTGGGATATCGCGGCTCGAAGTCAAGGGGAGGATGTGTGGTTCCATTTACATGAAAACGTAGGGGTGGCAGATATCGAGAAACGGAGAGAAGAAATCGAACAGTATTTCTTAGACTTGGGACGCAAGGACGGCAGCGATAGAACAGCTCGTGTAAAACACACGGAGCTGGTTAAGACGTTTGCGCCGGGAGTCTGGCACTGCGTCTTCGATCTGCACATTACAAGATCTAGTAGTATAATATGAAGGAACATCGTACACCATACCCCGTATGCATCTGAACACTCCATTTCATAACTCGTGTATATCCCCTCCTTAAACACACCATGTCCTCATGCTAGCCACCCAAACCAGAACTCCCAGAAATTAAGGGTATCATTAAATATCTTAGCTGCCTCTTCTAAACTTGCTCGGAATGTTATCCTCTACGATAGTCATCTTGTTGAGTTTCTCAAGCCTCGCCTCTGCGTCCTCGAGCATCTCGTGCTTCTTAAAGTGCTCAATGTCCTCGGGATGGTTCAATTCCTCGAGGGGACTATCCTCATTATGATATTTCTCCCAGTGGTGGATTTCGTACTCGTACTCGTCGTCACCGTGGTGACCAGGGCCCGTACCCATGTCGGGTAGCGTTTTCCCCGAGTCGATGAAAGCGACAAACTCGTCGCGTGTCACGAACCCATCCGCATTGGTGTCGAGCAACCGTAATAACTCGTGCTCGATCTCGTTGCGGCGCGATTGTGGCACGCCCTTATTCGACTCGTCCATCAATCCATAGGTGCGCAGGATCTCCTCGGCTTCCCAGTGACCATCGGCGTCGTAATCGTGTAGGACAAAGAAGGAGGAGGCATCGAAGTCACCGATATGGTGTTCCTCTGTCTCGAATTAGAGAAATCACCCCATACACAGACATTGAAGAGAATGGTCATTTACCGGCCATATGTTTTGTCATCCAGTTAGCGTTTTCGCTAACCATTGGTTTTTGCGAACCGCCATGGTTACCGTGTCCTAGAGCTCGGCAGACGAGACCGGTTGCGACAAGTATCGTGGCGCGCATTTTGATTCGGAATCTCGGGTTGTAACAAATGCTACTCGGAACGCTGAGCACGAGACCAAGGTCAAAAAGGTTGCAACAGGAAGGAAGATTAAGCTTGGAAGCTACTGTAGGAAGTTTCGTTTCAATATTCGATAAGAACAACAAGACAAGGAAAGAACCTTGAACTGGACTGGGGAAGTCGCACCCACAGATCTGTCTAGGTGGCTCCAACGCCTGCAAGATAAGCTAATACCGGTGGATAAGGCCAAAGAACCGCTAATGAGATCATTGTCTAGGCGATCCCTGTAACGATCCGTTTCTGCAGGGACAGCTCCAAGCTACAGGGATTATCTCCGCTAAGTTTAGCCTATCCGCGACGCGTCCAGGGGTTTATTTAGTGATCTTCCAAGCTTTCACTCTTTCGTAACGTTTTTGGGAGTATTCATCTTCAACTTCGGCATTTCTGGACTACTCCTTACGTCCAACAAGGCAAAACTCGAGCTGTGATTGGATATATGAATCACATCACAGGACGCTCGTTGATTGTGTCTAACTCTTGGTTTAAAGAAGAATAAAATTAGGACTACCAGAATGAGTCGCACCCTAGAGCCCACGCTCCTATCTCTACTACCAACCTATTCTAAAGACCTACCACAACCTCTACTCGAGCTCGCCTCCTCCCTGCTCGCACAATCGCGCCACAGCGCCGGAACTCTCAAGGCCGAAGAGGAAGTAGCTCGCGCCTATGCATGCGCCCACATCGCCTGCGAACGTCTAAAGATCACCCTTGATCTTCCACCGATCCAACCAAGACCTCCTGTACCGCCGCGAATCTATAAAAAACTATACAACCATCTAGACAATGTTTTACCGGCGCATGCCGTGGGACGAGCGGGGAGAGTACGAACGCCTAGCTCGAAAGCGCGTGATGCTGGTATATTCGGCAGCGGTCAGCGCGTTCCCCAGCGAGGGACACCGAGTAAGGAGGAATCGCTAGCGAAGTTCAGATCCCCGGCCACGGCTACGGTTAGGGGGGATAACACCCCGACGCGGTCTGCGAAAAAGCCACCCCCACTTCCATCGAAGAAGAAAGCGGGGGGTGCTGCAACTACGTTGCCCGCCTGGGTTCGTCCTACTATTCAGTTAATCTGCAAGGAGTTGGACGAGGAACGTATTGGGAGAACCGTGTTGGCTGGTATGCAGACGATTGCCGCGCCGCATGGGAAGCGGGCGAAGGATGAGTGGGTTAATGAGAACTTGACGCCGTTGCTCGCGGCTATTTACTTCCTCGTTTCTTCACAATTATATGTGTTAGAGCAGGGGAAGGAATTGGACGATCCGCAATATATACGGATGCGAAAAGCGATTCTAGGGGCTTTGGGGAAAGCGCAGGAAAATGTCAACGTAGTGGGTATGGATGAGGATGAGCTCTGGATTGGTTGGGCGGATGTTAAATCAAGGGATGTCGACAATGCCGTTGCTAAGATAGTGGAGAACGGTTGGCAGAGAGATGAGTGGTTTGCCGGTATCGAGCAATTGGTGAAGACAAATGATGCGGAGGTGGATGAAGAGGATGGCGAAGTGGATGGTGACGAGCGACCGTTTGGCGAAAAACTACATGTGCAGAGAGGCGACACTATGCTGCAAAGCAAGTGGGATATGACGGATCAAAAGAGAGAAGAACTTCGCAAGTGGAAAGAGGAGAAGCTGCGCCAAATCGAAGAGATCGAACAATCTCGGGAATCTGAGATGGATGTCGATGATTCCACATAAGCGAACCTACAGGATTGTATACATAAGTGCGACAAAGAAGAGATACCAACTATACCAACTACTTTAAACAATTATAGCCGAAAGAACAATATCCAGGTGGAATAATTCGATATGTTTTACATAATTCCCTGATAACCACCGAACTAAGGTACACCGTTGACAATCTCAGCAGAATGGCATAACATCACTCAAGTTCCTTTCCTCGTGGCATCGCCCTGTCCCATTGTATCCTGGACCTTCCCGCCCACGGATCCCTTATCCGTAAACTGGCGACCGATCACGCCTTCTTTCGAGAAGGGGCCGCCGACTTTCTGTGCCGTACCACCAATATTCCCCTCGGACTACATAAGTGGTATATGTTAGCAGAATATCCACTGTCCCCTATCACGGATCTCAACATACCGAGAATTGATGCCCAACCGACCCCTGAGAATCAAACGCAGACACCCGCGTCGCTGAATCTTGATCCTCGCCCGGTCGAGGCCCGAGATAATTCTCCGTAGCAGGGAACTTATCGAACTTAGAGTTCCGCTCCGTCTTCCCGGTAATCCCGCCACTGCTCTTCAGTCCCGAATCCTGTCCCCCCATCGCCTTCTTCATCGTACTCGGCATATTCTCCGCAGCGGACTTCATCGCGCCCAGAATCCCCCCTTTTTCCTTATTCTCGTGTGTCTTCTGTCCAGGCATCATGGACTCCAGCACGCCGCTATTCTTCATCCCGTCGCGGTGGGACTCGTCGTAGTCTCTGTGCCCTCGCATCATCGTCTCCTCGACGCCGCCGTGTCGGCCGTCGCGCGTGAAATCCCCCATGTGGCCTAGGCCTTGCTGCTGCTGCTGCTGTCTCTTCGTGTCGCCTGGCTTTAGGGCTTCTTTGAGGGACCCGAGGAGGGATTTGTTTTCGCTTTGGTCGGGGACCTGTTAGTTCATGCCTGGGGTTAGTTTCGGTTATTCGATGAGTAGGTAATCTGGACCGAATGAGAAAAGTCACATACATATCCAGCCGCCGTTCCCTTGGGGTCTGGGTCGTCTGATTGATCCACGCTCGGCTGCGCGTTCGTGGCCCCTTGTTTGAATCCCCAGATCGGATTTCCGCCTGTACCGCCGGTTGACATGATAATGAATCAGTATTTCGGATTATTAACTGGGTTTCTATTGTTCAGTTGAGAGGGAAAACAATAATTCGGTTCATTCCAATGCACCTCGATTTCTAGTTGAAGGGGCGATTATATGATGGCCACTTCAATGTGAAATAGGTCCTGCCGCGTCATCATGATGTTCACAACGCCAGTGAGATATCATTATATCAACATCAACTACATCGAACGTACAGAAATGTTGCTAAACGATTCATGAAGCTCCACATTTTAGAGGCGACCGATCTGACGTAGGTAGCATGCAGTTGAGATTCCAGATCTAACGGCAATATCACCATCACGGTTCCTGCATATCAAATCCCTGCCCTACAGTTTGCGTACCCCCCTGATTTGCGTGGGTGAGGTGAGGCCTACATCCACGCATTTCAGCCTCAAAATGACTTGCAATGCTTCTAAAATTACGGCTCGGCGTGTTGGCGTTTCTATCGCTAATACCTGATACTCTCTGTATAGGGGGAGGTCACAATCTGCTAAGCAGAGGTTGTTACGGTTGGTTCATCGCGAAGCCTCACACCTTATGCTGCAGAATTTTCACCCCTGCACCACCCTATGCACCACCTTATGCACCACCCTATAATACCGCCCTGTCACCTAGATTTTGCAGCATGTATCCCCTATGTTCCCTCGTCAAGACCTTGCGTATTGGTTGGGGGCCAGGGCGTGCTCTCACACAAAGGTAGTCGATGCCCACTCTTCGAGTATGGCCAATGCAGGCATCCACCATCCAATAGGAGTACTGCTTTCTCCTTCGTTTACTCTCTCAAAAGATCCATCATCATGGACACCCATCATCAGGTACCTGGTGTCTACTTCGGCAATGGTGCCTCCAGCGACGCCACCACTATCGAGGGAACCTCCGATGGCCGACATGCTATCTTACAGCCAATTGCTCATTCTCTACTAAGTCGAGAAGGGTTGGTTTTTTTTTTTTTTCCTCTTAACTAATGGTTGCATTTTTTCTGCGTTGCAATAGGAAGTATTGCATATGCAGATGTGGTGGAACATTCAGTCGACCGGATGCACTTACGAGGCACATCAAGGGCGAATCCAAAGATGCCCCGAAGCATTTGTGCGACAAGTGTGGGATAAAGAGTTTCTCTCGCAAAGACCATCTGACCCAACATCAGAAGTCCTGCCGTGGACGCAAGATTGGAAACCAGCCAGGCGGCCATGAAGCTGAACCTCTACCCCTCGCTACAATACCTGGCCCTTCCGTGCTTGTGAACGAAAATGATTTTATGCCAAACCAGGATCCCCCCTTTCCATGCCTCATCACGGGCCGCGATAAATGGGGACCGAAAGGCTATGTTCGACTTCGGGACCTGAACGAGCATCAGGGTTGGGCACATCCTTTCATGCCCCAGAACCTTAGTACTATGTCGCAGTTCTCAGAAAACATGCAGTCCCGCCCGCAGTTCAACAACACTTCTCAGGTGTATCAGCACCATGACGTCTCCCAAGACTATCAGCTCGTCGGTGGCTTCCAACCCTCTCTGCTGAACATTGCTCCTCAAGTCCCCAAGCCGCTTTATGATCCCCCCTTTCCATGCCTCGTCATGGGCTGCGATAAATGGGGACCAAATGGCTATGTTCGACTTCAGGACCTTAGTGAGCATCAGGGTTGGGCACATCCTTTCATGGTACAGAATCTTGGTACCATGTCGCAGTTCTCAGGGGACATGCAGCTTTACCAGCCGATTAATAATACCCAGTTCTACCAGACAGACAACGCTTCTCAGGTGTATCAGCACGATGATGTCCCTCAAGACAATCAGCATGTCGCTAGTCTCCAATTCCCCCAGCCAACCTATGACCCCCAGTTCCAGTGGCCAGGCAACATTGAGTTGTATGGACAGGACAGCGTCGCCCAGTCCTTCCCAGCGGATGGTTCTTCTCTAGCTCTTCAGCCGGAGATTGTTTCCCAGCCTAATCAACAGGGTAACACTGTTGCTGATACTGCTGATACCGCCATCGATGGTAACCTAGACGACACCACTCAGGTCTATCAGCAAAACGGCGCGTTCCAGTTCTAGTTCTAACGGACGCTACCCTGGGTGCTCTATAGAACGATTCGATGTGACGAATTTAGGTAGTGAAGGGATTGTTGAAGTTGACTGATTTATGAGTATGGTTTCCATAGAAAATTGCGCTGACACTGTCCGCAACAATACAATTTTTTAAATAAAAAATGACCCTGATATGATACTCACGTGCACCACCTCCGTACCGCTCATCGTAGACGTATCCATCGATACCCGTGTCGGTATCCCTAAATATCACAACCCCCTAATCCACAAACAGGAGATTCTAACCCATCATACCCCTGAACCCGACCTCACAAGACATATATAATAATTCAAATCTCGAACAGAGACAGGTAGATAATAAAAAGACTCGAATTCAGAAACTGTATTAGCCCTCACCGATATCCGACCTATGGTACAAGGAAGCCCAACACACTAAGAACACCGAACCGGACCCGTGTACCGCCGTCGAACGCCAAAAGATCGGGTTCTTCGTTCTAAGAACCGCCGCATGGCTATCTCGTACCACCGCCCCCTCCAGCATTTAAACAGCACTGTACCCGCCACGACTTCCGCTCCCCTGTACCGTGTTAAGCACTCTCCTAGTCCAGTCCTTGAGGAGGTATGGGATATCGCGAATAGTGTCGCCATGAGGAATGAGGTCCCAGCCCCGGGCCCCGTAGCGGTTGTAGTTGAGCCACGAGCCGAAGATGAGATAGGATGCGGTTCCGAGGAAGACGCTGTGTCTCGTTAGCATGTCATCGAGTTCACTATACGATGTAGAAACGGGAAAGCACTCACAGAATAACAAGCCACGTAAAAAACCCCCAATGCGGGTCCGGTTTCTCGCCGGAATCGCCCGGCCCGTCATCGCTCCTCTTCTCGCAGGCGTATTTAGACTTCCAGGTTAAGCGCAAGATATCGATATTCGAATCCTCAGCCATCGGCTCGTAGCTCTCGAATATCAAACTCGGGTCGCCGTCGATACCCAACTGGACCTCCTTCGGCGTCTTATCTCCACCATTATCGTCACCATCCCCCTTATCGCCATCAGCGCGGAACAGTAGGGGATTCGTCCTGGCCATTAGAGGATCATCACCCAGTTCATATTTATCATCAGCAGGATCATATTCGCCCTCCGTGCCATTACGGGCCGAGTCGCAGAGGAACTCTATAATAGCCCTCTGCTCGCGCTTCTGTCCGCTATCGGTTTTATCGAAGCCTCCCTTCATCACCAGCCGCAGGCCTTCTTTCTTCGAGTCCGAGTTCGAGTCGGAGGTGCTCAGTCGCGTGACTTCGGGGTCGAGGGGGTGTCCTCCGACGTTTTCCAGGTTTCCGGCGATGGCGGTGGCTTTTTGGAACGCGTCGCCTATTCGTCTGATGGCGCAGACTGGGGATACGTAGACATGTGAGCATGCTACCTAATCCGACAAAAAGGGGAAGATCATGGTAATAGCATCATTACAGCAACATAGCAACGTAGTAGTAACATACCTTGAGCGCCGTTCGGACACTGCTCGTCCTTCTTTACGTCTCCTTTCTTCTTAAGCGGGCGGCAGATGTCTACTGTGTACGTCGTGTTGTGGGCGGCGTCACCGATAATGTGGCTCGTCACGACGGAATGGGGTCCGCCTAACGCGGATAGATCGAATTTCTGTTTATCCGCGACGATTTGGTTACACCTGAACATCGCCTCCGTCGGTAGAGGAGCAAAAAACAGGGATAGGAGTAATGCGGCGTCTGCCGCTTGTAGAGATGGGACTCTCATGATGTGGATGTAGATATTTGCCGACGCGGGCGGATTCGTCGGGTGTGTACTGGAGTTGAGTTGCGCGGATTAAGTATCTAGATAGCTAGGATAAAGATGCGACGAGATACGTATTTGAACTCGGATCTAACGGTTGGATGATGATGATGATGATTAATGAACGTATGAATGGAACGCGATCGAAGGAAGCCTAGAGATTCTAGGGAGTTGGTTATGTCAATACAAAAATGGAATAATGTAGTCGATCACGACGGCCAAAAAAGAGCAAAGAAAGGCCTGACGATGACTTAGATTGTCTACCTGAGCAAAAAAACAAGCCTTTCGGGACTTATGGGATCATGGAAGATAGATTGCCAAGGGCTTGTCACGATCTAAAGCCCATTTGTGTCGATGATGATGGAACTTAAAGTGAAGCAAGTGTCGGTACACTTGGCTTTAGGTAATAATTGAAAGCTTCCCGTTCTTCCAGTTACCTTCGGCCACCCGTCGTCATACCTTACAGGGGGTTAAAATTTAGTTGCCGAAGCTTATATAAGTCGCCATTACGTAATTCTCATGCCGTGTCCACCTCCAGCTACCACCATGGTCGTAATTCACGTGACACCCATTGGTTCGACAAGCCCCCCCTTTAGAAGACTGTCCTACACCCTACACCATAGTACGCAGCACTCAATATATAGTAAATGAGTAGAAAACGAGTAGAAGTACATAATCAGTTCGGAGCTAATTACCTACTAGGAATGTAGGTATCTATGAAACAAATAATAACAATAGCTATAGCACATGAACGTATCGTCTCAATATTATTTTAATTGCAATTAGTCATCATAGAGCAAATAGTACAAGAGCACTCGATTCAAACTCAGCCACTCAATGTTTGACAGCTACTCATTTGCAATTCGGAGTCGCGTTCATCGGTAGCTAAACCACCATCCGTGTCCACCAACCCCTCCACTGTTCGTGATACCGTAATAAACTTGCAAAATGGGTATAATGAAAATAAAACCCGAGCCCCATGACTGTACGGAAACATACTAACGATGCAAGAGCTCCGTATCCGTTACGCCAATGCCAATCCATAACGCCGTCCGTAGTAATCTCGAGTTAGGTCCATCTGCCTTCGACCGTATGCGCCTTGGCTCGAGTGTAAATGTTTGTACAATCCATTTAAGGATAATGTTTTGTGGCGACCCAAATAATTTGATGGCCGTCTTACATGCCCTGCTGCATCATGCCGTTCATGCCGTTCATCCCGTTTTGCATGCCTTGGTGCATCCCGTTCTGTATATTCTGTGCCATTTGCCGCCGTTGAATGATTTCTCTTTGCACTGATTCTTGTGCCTTCTTAAAACAGTTCTGTTTGAACTGGTCATGGATGTCCGCTGGGAGATTTGGAATTCCTCCAAATCGCTCCGCAAATTGCGATATGTTTTGCCGGTAGAAATGCTGTTGCCTAGACCGGATTTGCAAGGCCAACGGGTTAGGTTGGCCCGACTGTTGACCCTGCTGTAGTTGATGTTGCATCTGCTGCTGTAAAGCTGCCATTTGCGCAGGATTCATGCCGTTAGCAGCACCCATGAAATTTTGGTTGCCCATCTGCTGGTTAGGCATCTGTCCTTGCATCTGATGTTGTTGCTGCTGCTGCTGTTGGTGCTGCTGCTGCATGCTGTTAAGTTGCTGCTGATAGCGCTGCGCAATCTGAGCTTGCTGAGCGGCAGTCATCATGTTAGAATTTGGCACGTTGTTCATGTTCATCATCTGCCTCTGTAGCATCTGTTGCTGGAGCATCTGGTTATGAAGCTGAGGGTTCTGTCTGTTCATCATACTCGCATTCTGCATGGCCTGGATTTGCTGTTGTTGCGCGATGTGTTGACGCTGCTGCTGGGCAATATGAGCAGCCATTAACTGATTCGAACCCATAGTCTGATTACCCATCATCAGCTGACCCATGTGGGAGTTTTGGGCTATCATGCCTGGCGGGGGACTCGCTTGAGTCATTCGGGGAGTCGGCATCGGTCGGTTAATCGGAGTACCATGTGGCATCTGCGGCGTCGCGCTCGGCATACGAGGTGTGTTTGAAGGATGGCTTTGTTGGCTACCCCTAGCGGACATGCTGACGGCCATAGGAGCGGCCATAGGTCCATGAGCTTGAACCACAGAAGATGATCTTGGGGGGCTTGCCCCCATGCCCGAGTTTGTTTGCTGCATAGGCACGTTGCCAACCATAGGGCTTGACATATTCTGTGGGGTGTTCTGGCGAACGACGGGCGACGAGACGGGGGGCTGTGACACCTGCTGTGGGAACCTGTGAGCTGCTTGGGCCGGCATAACACCATTCGGCATCCCGTTCTGTGCCGGGTGTCCATGAGATGCCTGTGGCATTTGATTCATCTGGGTATTCTGCGGTGATTGAGCAGCCTGGGCTTGAGCTTGAGCTTGAGCCTGTGCTTGAGCCTGGGCCTGTGCTTGGGCCTGCTGCTGTTGTTGGGCCATCGCACGGCGCTGGGCTTCCTGTTGCTGCTGCTGCTGCTGCTGTTGCTCGGCTTGCTGTCGTTGTTGCTGCTGCTGCTGCTGCTGCTGCCGAAGTTGGGCCTGTCGTTGAGCTTCATCGCGACGAAGCTTCTCCTGTTGCTCGGCTTGTTGTCGTTGCAAGGCAGCTTGTTCTTGCTTCTGTTGTTGAAGCTTGCGTTCGTTCTCCTGTTGCCGAGCCTTCTCCTGTTCCTTCTTAGCCTCATGCTCTGCCCTAATATCAGCAAGGACCTTGAATCGTTCGAAGCGAGGCTCGAAAGCAGTAGTGCCCGACTGTCCATTTCCGTCGCTGTCGTCGGTACCAGCCTGAGCGCCACCCGTACTAGTTGAGCGCCGTTCATCGTATGTAAGCATGTATTTCTCTTGCTCCGCAGCCAACGCCTCGTCGGCAGCCCTTTCGGCAACAGTACGCTTTCGAGTCTTCGGTTTCGGCGGCGGCTCAGAGTGGTGAGAGTCAGCCATTTTGTCGAGGAGCGCGATGGCCTCTTCCTTGTTCTTGGGGATTCCTAGGCGTAATGGTGCGGCAGTTGCTAGTAAAATCTGTGCTTCTGCAGCATAAATGTTGCTCGCATCTAACTCCATCCTTTCGCGTTTCACTTTCTTAGCCGGCGGTGGCATACCAGCTATGGTCGGGGTCGGAGGTACGGCGGACATTGGTGTAGCAGGAACCATGCCGGAGTCAGCGCCGGCCTTGACGTCTCCAGAATTGCGTGGAGTTGTTGCTTTGATCATCAAATCCACGTGTAAACTCTGCGGTGTTGGATGTAGAACAACTGTGAAGATTTTGGTCTTAGGCGGCACTTTGCTCTTTGATCCATCACCAGGAGCAGGTGGTGCCGGCATATTTTCCTTATCGCCTGCATCGGTATCAACGTGCTTCTCGTCGCCTCCGGAAAGACCATTTCGTGCGCTATCCTTAGGAAATGCAGCGTAGGGGGACGGCGTGATGTAAGGGTTGTAATTGTGAATCGAAGATGGCTTTTCCGCATTTGTCTTGGAGGCCGGACGCGCGACGTCCTTCGACTGCGCAGGTGTTTTGTGATCATGTATTTGAACGATTAAGCAGCCCTCATAGAAGGCAACACCGCCGCTGTTGAGATCCGGCAGTATATCGTGGGGTACTGTGCGAGTTCTGACGTGATCGAGAAATAGTTTCATCGGAGACTTGTACGGGAAGACGCTATCTTGCTGATCAAATCGGAAATGAGTGGGATGAAGATGCACGATAAGTGATGGGGGCTGGCCGGCATATTTCGTGAGGATATAAGAATCGGTTAACACTGTTCTATCGTAAGCATACATCGCGACGAAATGATAATAAGCATATTTTGCGCACCAGCTGGACGTGGCTCAAAAGACTGATGCAACGATGTGTCGGGCGCCAGAGTGGCAGATCTTAGAGAAGCGTTATTTCTCTGATTACGACCCGGGCCTTGATTAGCAGTGTCGCGTCTAGAACGGGCTATACTGGGCCGATGAGAAGTTCCGTTGGCGCCGTTCGTAATAGCGGAGTTAGATGCATGCTGCGATTGTTGGTGCTGCTGTTTGGCTATAGCGGGCGGAGGGCGCTTGGCCGACATATTCGGAGATGGCGAAGATTGAGATGATGAGACTCCATTTGTCTGGATGCCTGGAGGTGGTGGTCGTTTGATTTTAGGAGTAGGTGGTAGATTTGCGTTAGCGATGACTGGAGCCATGGCTTCTACCTACGGCTCTGCGCTGCTAATGAAGCGACTATGCGACGCTCAATAGGTTGCGACTTGAGATCGAAGGTATCATGAAAGTATCATTTGATATGAGCATTGATTGCGATGGTAGATAAAGTAGACGGTTGGGTGGTAAGAAAGTGTGAATGGAGGCGATTGGTAATAATCTTGGAAGACAGAACGCGCGCGCGCGATCAGTCCGAGGACGGTGCACAAGAAAATGAACGATTGACCGGGTCCGAGTTACATCGAAAAGAAAGCTGATGAGTATGCGACGAACTAGTGACAACAATTTGGAGCCGACGATAGTTGGCTCTATAGTACAAAAAAGTTGGAAGAATGTTGTTGAGTCCTTGCTTTGTGTGGGGTTGATTTGTGTTAGTAGAGATTGAAAGATGATCATCTTCGAAAGGTCAAGTTGGAATTGAGCCTCATCAGCCGCTTTACTCAAAGGGTTGGCTCCACTGTGCACCTAACAATTGTGAATTTACAGATCTTAGATGCGTAAGCCACATCTTCACCGCCACAGTATTACCTAGACGCTAAGTGTCCGGGTACCTAGGTACTTGATACTTAGTACTTGGTGGGTAACATCCGAGGTTTAAACTTGCATGCATGTGTAGTACAAAATATCGTATCGCCGACAGATGATGATATGTAGAACGTCTTTATCAAGATTCCTTAATCCTACACCATAACTTGATATACCTAGTAAAACATGGATATATGTAAAAATGTCTAAGGAAATACTAACTAGGTACCTAGTATATACACTTACATATCGCAACCAACACATGGATACGGACGAAGTAATTCATATACGTATCTGCCATTACATGAGACGTTGACCAAGTATCCAAATTTATTTCAAAAAATTGCAAAAACAAGACCGCCAATTCATACGTTCCATTCGTGTCACCATTCCCAGAGTAATTATGAAACATTATCACTCCTTTCCTTGAACCCGACGTGCCCAATCGTCACCAACCCGTAGGCTATCAACAACGACCACGCCCCTCCCACGCCCAACCCGCTCTTCTCGCTGCCACCATAAATCTACTTCCTTCTTTTTCTTCTTCTCCGCGTTTTCGGTCTCTGATTCGCTATCCGCAAGGCCGCCATGGCCGCCATCGGCTCCCACTACCAGAATCACATCGTATTTGAGCCAGGTCTGTAGCTGCGAAACCACGGCCCCGTCATCGCCGGCAAGAGACTCTTGGAGGTAGACTACTTCGGGCTGCAAGTGACGAAGGATATGTACATGGCCATTAACCGATGTGAACGGTAGAATCATGGTTTCCTTTTCCACTAAAGCCAACGCTTGCGAATACACTGCATTGAAAGGCGTATTGGCGGTAGAGCTTAGCCTAAATATTCAATTAATAAACCGGAACTGGCGTATTGCCATATAGTTTTTACTTACAATGGACTTTTCGCCTCTTCGCCTGGAGTATGAGCTTGCTCATTAGCGATGTTGGAGAACGATGAACTTAAAGATGCTGGAGGCAGGTTGCTAGGTGACGTATCAAGAGTAGTGTCTTTCAGACCCGGCGCGTAAATCAGGACGAATAGTTTGGTCTTAGAAAAATCGGCAGTTCGAGGTATGTGAGTAAGAATCGACTATGTACCAGTTAGTAAGCAAGAATTGTAACACCCCTCATATCGGATGGTGTCCTACAGCATGTTCGTGAAAGCCTTCCGCGTCGAATTCATCCATGTTGGTGTCCGCCGAGACTACGATCGCGACCGTCTTCCGCCGTTTGCTAGTGTCTCTAGGCTGGGGTGGCGGTGATTTCTCCTTTCGAGCCTCGGCTTCCTCTGACCAAGTCTCATGGTCAGCATAAGCGTTCTTATCATCTTCTCGTATAGCAGCTAGCGCACTACCAACGGCTGCACCGACTCCTGCCATTCCTGCTGCGACCGTCTTGCCGGCGTTGGAGAGGAATTGCTGTGGGCTAGAAGTACGTCGCAGAGCACCAGAGACTTGCGATCCCCATCCCGCAGAGACGCCGGTCGCTTCCGGATGCATTTCGTCGACGCCGTAGCTTACGTCCTCGGCTCGAAAGGAAGAATCACCTGGTGGGCGGGATTCATTTCCCGTTACGCCGTAGGGTGGGTTCTCGCCATAGTCGGCATTTTCGTAATCGAGGTCGACAGGATCAGGATCGCTCTCCTCTTCTTCGTGTTCGCTGGTATGTTGGCTCCATGCCCAAGCGGCGACGCCAACTGTCGCAACGGTGAGGGTGACGGCGAGAGGGAGCCAGGCAACCCTCCAGCGGGACCTCGAAGATTCAGACGACGACATTTATTCAAGTTGGACCATCGCAAAATTAAGCCTATAAAGCAGGCCCTCGCACGGAGCGGTGGAGTAAATAGTGGTATGCAGATCACAACGCAAGCAATCCAGCCGGGATCCGATCGAAAGAGCTCTAGTTGTTATTATGATTATGCAGATACCGATACCTAGGTCAAGATACCGATACCAAAGACCATATACCGAGACCTAGCAGTTTGCAGTTCGTAGTTCGCAGCTCGTTATCCGCTGTTGGAAAATGGATTTGCAAGTGGTGAAAGTTCCAAGGTAGTTTGCGACGGTCGAACTTGGAAAATAGCGGGCTGGGGGAAAGCAAGAGTGGTAACACCTAATCCTAATGAGAAAATGAATGGGGTTGGGGCTACGTGTAATAACCCTGCTGCCCTGGAGCTTCGTTGTTGTGGTTTTAGCTGCGGGCGGCGACGGCGGCAGGAGCAAAGCAGCAAATGGATGGACCAAATGTAGTCAAGACAAATTCTAAGGTCCAAGTTCCAAGGTTTTTTTCAAGGTTTGAAGCAGAATCTGCAGAATCTGCAGAATCTGGGAAAGAGCTGGAGCTGAAAGGTGCCCGATAACCAAGTTGCAAGTTCCATAAGACGAGCAATGAGGTGGCTGGTCACAGCTTCTCCGCCGAGGTACCGAACACCCCTGCAGGAACAATTGGCAGCTGTAGGGCTATCTCCATTGGTTGGAGGGGAAACGCTACACCGAAAATTACCAAAATGGGAGGTGCGGCCATGATTGGATTCTCACCGATATCGATAAGAGATTTTGTATGATTGTGGATTCTTTGGTGCATCTGGGCATTTGAACTTAGCTACGTATTTTCAACATTGAAGTATCGTGAGTGACTCAGGATTTCTCATGAGCACCATAATTAGCACTCGGCCTTGTTCTTAGTTGAACATTTCGATTATCTATCTATAAAAATAAGCGACGAACGTTTCTAGGTATTTTCTCTTATTCATTTTCCAGATGAGGAATAAAATTAACACTTTAATAGATCATCTAAATCTAAGGCTTTTATTTCATCATCGGCTGGGCAGCCCCTCCATCAGGGCTCGTTAAGATGCCCCACGCTGCGACGGGCCTTCAAGCCCTCATTCTGTGCGGACCCGGATCTTCGTTTCCGACGTTCACCTCAAACCCAGATGAGAATCCCAAGGCTTTATTACCTATAGCGAACCGACCTATGGTATGGTATCCCATAGATTTCTGCTATCGCACCGGAATTACCAGTAAGCGCATCTCCGTGGTCTAATAGTCACCTTTACCCCTTTAAGAACCTAAGGGCTACTTCACAATGACTTAGGTTCTCATGATTCTAATTTTAAATCTCATACCTACTCTTCGTGATAGCTGTGTTCCACTACAATGACCGATTATGCTAACATATCTTAGATATCACACTTATTTGTCCCCCCTCTGCCTCTGAAGCTATTACTACGGCGCTGAACACAAACCCCTTTCTGACTGGCTTACCTCATCCTCGACCAGATCTGGTGGCTCCTCATGGTCTCGATCAGAACGCGGGCACCGCTGAGATATTGCGGCTTCCCGAAATTCGAGACCTCGTCACCTCGGACTTTATAGTCTTACCATGTGATCTAGTTTGTGAGCTAGAAGGCGATAAGCTCTTGCAAGCATGGATGGTTAAAGCTGCGAGTCTCCCAGACATCCTAGGCAATGATGAGCCGCCATACTGCAATGGGGGCTTAGGGGTATGGTATGAGACGAAGACGGCCACTCCTGTTAAGGGCGAGGAGACGGATTTCATCGTAACTGCGCCAATGACTATCCCTTCGGTACCTACATCTAAAGATTCGATCCTACCACAATTATCCTACCTGACTTATTCCATGCCAAAAGACTCGCTCAACGATCTCGTGGATGAGAAGAAGGGCTTCCCGATACGGCACGGCTTATTACGCAGCCACCCCAAACTTAGGATTCTCACAACACATCGGGATGCTCACATTTACATTCTACCAAAATGGATTTTGGACTTCATCCAGGAAAATGAGCGTCTCGAAACAATCGGTGAAGACGTCATCGGTTGGTGGGCAAAGGCTAATTGGGAAACGGGACTTTTTGGGAAGTTGGGAATGAAGAGGGTTATCGAAGGTCGCAGAAAAGTACCAGAAGGAGACAAATCAGCACATGGAAATATCGGAGAGGCAGAGGAGAATCTACTCATGTCCCCAACAAGAGGACGATTCGAGCACTCCCCTTCTGCCGAAGATATACATAAGGGACATGGCGACGGACTGCTAGACAAGCCAGAAGAGCCCGCCGTTCCACCGATTTTGGCGTACATTCACCCTAACCATGCGGATGCTCCGCTACTCCGTCGCGTTGACACGGCTCAACTTCTCCTCGCCGTATCGTTACAGCTAGCAAAACTCCCCTCTATTGAGGAAACAGGCCTTGAGACTGCATCTCCGTTTGCCCATTCCAAAAAGGTTGCTTACCCAGAAGGCGTCAAGCCCCGGACCACCATCACTAGACAAGACACCTTAATTGCCGAGAATGTGATGGTAGAGGAGAAGACATCAATCAAAGAGAGCGTCGTTGGAGCTAATTGTCAAATTAAGGAGGGTGCAAAATTGTTCCAATGCCTTCTGATGGATGGCGTGGTGGTCGGCAAAGGCTGCAAATTGACTCGTTGCATCTTAGGCAAGAGAAGTGAGATCGGAGAAGGGTCCACGCTCACAGATTGCGAGGTGCAAGAAAACCTGTTGGTCGAACCGAGAAGTAAGTCCGAACCCATCCTCATCCAACACCCTTGTCCCCGTGGTGCCACGAGGCGGTGTGATATATCAACTAACAAATTCGCAGCCGAGGACAAAGAGAGCAAACTTATGAGCTCATCCGGACTGGAGGCTAGCGAGCAGGAGATGCGGGAGGCATTGGACGATATTGACGAGAGCGACGGAGACACCGCCATGTTAGGATAGGGTAAATTAAGAAATAACCGCAACCCAGGTTACCGGTATCCAATGCAATAGAATTCCTCGTGGCAAGGGTTTCCCGGATCATGCTACGTAACAGCCTCCAACTTGCGATTCCCCCTTTTAGACATTCATATCTAGCATTACACCGCCCCGTTTTCTTTCCGGAGATCATTCGCGATCACGGCCCCCAAGCGGAGGCTTCATAGATGTCATCACCTCTAATCTGTTGGTAGCAGGGAATTTGGTGAAACCCCTCCAAATAGCACACCAAATATTTGACATGCAGATGATATTTGATCGCTTGCTTAATTGGATTTTGTCTTGGTACTTTGCTTCTAGATGTGTTTGGGGTTTCTTTGTTGCTGCCTTCCTTGGTAGGCACTTGATAATCTAGAGCTTCAATTTCCTGTTCACATGCCAAGTCGAAATATGATCTGTCATATTTGCGATAGTCTATGCCTTTTCTCTGGAAAGTTTTCTCCCCCAAATACACAGCCAACACTAGAAATTCTCAGCCCCCATAAAAAGAAGGCTTTCCAGATGCCATTTTGGGACACTTCGGCATCTAGAGCCCTGGTATCGATCGTGAAGCCTTTGCCAAGAGTGTCGATTCCCCGAGGCTGATTCGCATGTAGCCAACGCCGATTATTCACACCTCGATGCTGCGATGCTGACAGCAAAATTGCCATCGAGATGCGAGATTTTCCGAAATGGTATAGCACTACGCTCCAGCTATGTTCTATGAGTGACTATCGTCGAGTTATATGTTGTGCAACATCGTATCAGGTTTGGCGGCGCTGATTACAAAAGCAGATGTCGGATAGATATCATTCGCTATTTAACCCTCTTTCTTTCTAGCCATAATTACGTACTAGTCACTTCTTCACGCCTGAGTGCACTATTTGAACAAGGACTATCAAGAAGGCGCCTTTAGCATCGGGTGATTGGCTGGTGAGTGTGCCATGATCCGGCTGTGGAGTTGAGACGTTATAGCATATCTCGAATATGATTGGCAAACGCCGCCTGTCGGGTATACCAATTTCGTACTAGATCTTGCTTTACCACCATAGTGACTGCATAGAACCCGGTCAATAACTGAATAGATCAGACGAGATCCCCTGAATAGGTACCTAGTAGATACATTGGTGGCAAGAATCAAATCTGCTCTAGCTGAGAAATGTTAATGACAGGAACCTTAAGCTTAAGGATTCAAGCTAAATTTACGTGTAAATATGCTATATACAATGTTAAACTACCTACCAATCCACTACGCGAGGGTAAAAAGAAAGTCGTCTTCTAAGGTTGCTAACAATGGAGCGGCGTGTGCCCTTATTGTCAATAACACATGTAAGATGCCCCTATGAATAGTAATAACCAGATATGCTTAATTTATCATATATCATCTACCTACTAGGTACGAAAGATGGAATACCTGATAATTAGAGCCGTGGTGTAAGATCCGGCAGGTAGGCCTCCGGCAACCCGGAGATTGCGCAATCCACAACTCAACAAAACACCGACAATGAGCACGATGGCATCAGTGGCGGCCCCCGTGATCATCTTATGGGCATAGATCTTCAGATGGCTTGAGCCTAGCCGATTTAACGTGGAGACAAGGAACATACACCCGGTATATGTCTTCTTTTTAGGTAATAAGAATATTCAGCTTTTCCCAGCCTAGGCATGCATTCGGACGTATTAGGTTGTTGCTGATAAAACAGATCCATCCGAGATACTTAATTTTTCCTCATGGATTCCAAGGCCGGCATTGATATCTCCAGGGTTCACGATTCAATGTGTAGTCTCATCGGAGAATTTCGTCCTATGTAATGAATTCCACGCATTGCAACCCCCCATCAGTCCGTCTTTACATGATCTTGCTTGACAATGACTACTACCCTACCACCAAGGCTAGATACGGGTTTTCAGCATGAGTGACACCTCCATACATATGCAGAGTAACCAGATCGACGATAGCAATCCGCAGCGGCGTCCTTACCCGGTACCCGGCTAATTGAACGGATTTCGCCTTCATATTCGGCTTTCGGGCGCAAAATATTTAATAAAGAATCATAAAGCTAGGTAGAGAAACCTGCAGCAAGTGCAGTAGCTCGCAACATACCTACATATCTAGATGAAGCTGAGCGAACGGGTTCATCGGCTCGCTCAACAACGGATACGACCTGTCACTTGAATTTCAACCAATGAAATCCAGAGTAACTAATTTTGGTAGATTCTACAGAACAAAGCGGAGCGATCTCAAGTGACTACCGTATCGGTTGAAGAATTTTAAATGCAAGCCAAAGAACGCTTGATGGCAGAGTTGTCCGAAGAAAAAGCCCTTGAGCTAGTATTAAGAATGACTAAAACCATAATTGTCAAGATAAAATGCCTAAACACCAACGAGATGTGTTATATTTCGTTACACATTATGTAAGACAACTTAACCAAAGTATCACTTTCCAAATATCTTCAAACCCACAAGCTCATAGCCGACCAAAAGTGCTCATGTCATGTCCCCAAATCACATAGATATCCCGGTACCTAACTTGATCTTAGCAACCGTTCACTGGAAGTTGAATTGATCTTAAACTTACGATTATCAAGCTTCCCTCCTATCTTCTACATTGCATATAGGACAGATAGTCGTGGAATAGTCTTCCTTGCGTATGCAGCCATCGCATTCATTTTTATCTTTATGGCATGGAGTATCTGTCGTGGATTTCACGTGGTTGCTGGGACACCCATAGTATATGATCTCTATCGTACACATTGTGCTCTTTAATTTGAAGTTATAATTACTTCTCGGCCGTAGTAGATATATGCGGTGAGGCGGGATCGATATGAGAATGATGAGACTGGTTGAATAGATAATAGAAGATTATAATAGCGTTCTATTTGAACTTTTATATTCCACGACCCTGGTTGCCTTGCTCTCATATTTGGTGTTCTTGTACACATATACCTACACACACAATATAGCTTCTGTAATATCTCATTTTCGCCGGCTTCAGTATGATGCCATACCTGATTCCTTCGAGCACCTTCCGAGCGCCCGTTGATCTCACTAATGTAATAGACGCGCTAATATCAACACGAACTCATATTAAGGCTTAGTCGAATATGTAGTATTCCACGTAGAGTAGGAGTTGATGCAAGTGATAGAGGAGGCTTCTTGTCACTTTTCAACTAAAAGTAATATTTGCTACCTACCTACTAGGTAGGTACTTTATTTGACTGTGTTAGATGAACCTAAGAAAACTGAGCCGATCTGTGAAATTTGACGAGACTATAGCCCTCCGCCAAGTTCCCCCCTTTTCTCCCTTTCTTCAATCATGTATGAATTTCCTAAGTTTATTTGGATTCATCATTACCTATTTTATCTGTAATTACTCATAGTATTCTATGAACTCTAGCAGGAGTATCTGCTTAATCTTCTCGGAGTTGCCATTTATACGTCTTTGCAAGTCTTATTCCTTTTAATTCTGCCTGTATACCTATCCTTGGCCATCGGGCCCATATACCTACCTACTCCATATAGTCCCCCTCTTGATTGATAGGCAAGATACTGTTTCATATGATTTTGGAGTAATAGATCTGAATCATGTACTTTTGGATGAGAGAGAACAACATCAGAGTGTATTGACCATGTGCGAACGAGCATAAGTGGCACTGTATCACACTGTGTCTTGATCTATCCTTTGGATATCTGATCCGAGCTCACGATAAACGCCGTTCTGGAAGGCAATTCACGTTCGAGTGGTGCTGAATTTCAAGATTGAAATCATCAAACAAGAAGGTGAGCTATAAGGTCGAATGATAACATTTCATGGCAAAGCACTTTTAGCTATGCACGCCAAAGGGTCCTCTGCCTTGCATCGCTGCTCTCTCGCGTACCTAATTTCGCGTACCCCAGGGTCTTCACTAGTGGCTATACGTGATCAATCTCCCTGCTGTCCAATCTACTGGAACGCAACGAACAATTAGAAGCTATATTTACCCGTCATATGCAGCCTTACCACACGAATACCTATCCCCTATTTTTAGCTGAAGACCTTTCGGTACGCGGCTATGGTTAATTATATGATATATTAAAAAAAGGCTACCTACCGTAGCACGAGAAAAAGTTCCTCGCCGTCCTCTCGGTTTCGTCGGGATAAGAAGAAGCTAATGTTTGCGCGTTACACGAAGCTCTTGCAGGTATCACATAGCATCGCCGTTGAAGCTCGTAATAGCATCTGTTAGAAATACGTTAATTAAACACATTACTAACACATTACCAATGCTCGCACATGCTTTGGGTCTGAGCTGCCAATGGGTACGGTGTATTGGGACGGGGAAGTGATTGAAAAGAGATGATCCGGCGGTGATCAGCTGCTTAGAATTGTATTAGTAATGTTTGCTTGCTTCGGCGTTGGGTTGTACTTGAAACGCTCGTGGGCGACCAAAGCTGCTAAGTAAGAGGGCGGTGCGAAACTACGGGCGAAGGCCGAGAAATAAAGAATAAAGAAAATAAATATATTCGGTCCCGATGGTGGAACTGGGATTTCAAGTTTGATTGTCTAGCTACGGAGCCGCGTGGTCGCGCTTGAGAGAGCAAATAGATTATCGTCCTTAATATCCTGTCGCTCTTGGTTGTATTGGAATTGCAGGCTCGTATGAACCCCGAGCGCATTTGATGACTATAGTTGAGTAGGTAGTGGTCTCTTTGTGGGAAAACAGGGGATTGCGACATCGATCGCGATCTACCTAGGGAGAACAATAATTGTATATTCAGATGCGACCACTTAAGACTACCAGAAATGGACTAGATCTTTCGCCAGTGACTGACACCGCCGAAAGGGCTTTCTGTATCTGTTAGAGAATGGATTAGGGAGTAAGATGAGTTGCAAGTTGTTACCTAGCAACAGAGTGCGACAGAATTCGAGATGGTGTCTGACTTCTGCCATTTACAGCTGCGAGGTGTGTGTGGTGTTCCAGCGCCACATAAGGTACGACGCAAGGAATTCCCCGGAAAAGATATGACATGGAAATCAGAAATCCGATATGTCGCAGGTTCTAGAGGTGCCACGCAGCGCAGCATCCCAGCATAAGGTAATACCCCTGGACGGCGTTAGGAAAAATTGTAAGAATTGAAAGAATTGCTGGTGTTAAGGCCTCCCAACCTACCGAAGATACGTCCAGTCACAGAACAATACGGGGAGCTTAATAATGCCGACATAGGCCGTATTGTTTTAGTGTTGGTGGTCTGTTCTGGTAGTTAAAATTCCGACGCGGTGGCTTGTTGGCGTTGGTAAATACCCAGGTATGTAGAGACTTTGTTCTTATCCCGTTGTTGGCAATAAGGCAGTTCAGGTAGGCTCGTAGGTACTAGGTAGGTAGTAGGTGCTGGACAATCATATTCATGATTCAGCAGCCGAGTCATCAGACATAGCCGACCCGAATGAGTGCCGATTCGGTAAACGTCTGTAGTGGGCGATATCGATATGGTTGCCATGTCGTCAGCATTGTTAATACCAATTTGAGACATCTATCAGAGTGGTACGTGGCTTAAGCCAGATGTAGGACGGCCGTTATAGTATTCTTTGACAGCGTGGTCATCTACGTGTGTGATTTGAAACCGTCTCAACTAACAGTTTATCAAGACCAAGTCTTCAAATTTAACTCAACATTTACAAAATAAGATGAATCTAGCATCTTAATTCCGCACTGGAAATCGTCGGGGAGTTTTACGACCAGGATCATATCCGGCAATCCGATTTACTTGAAGTAGCAATTTGGCGTAGATCAGTGGGGAGTTAGCAGTCTGTGATCTCCGGGGTAAGCCTCGAACAAGCTGACAAGCTGTATATGTACGAAGATCTACTGCATAGTACTTACCTAGTAGGTAGGTAGTAAAACGAATAGTTAAGAATATTTTATCAACCCCATCGACGAATTTCTAATCTCTTGGCCAACGGGTGGACCTGATTAGAAAATCTAAGAATCATCATCTAGAGACTCGCTCAATAGAACGAACAATTGGGAACAATTATGTGCCCCCTTGTACAATTTAATGAAATGAATAGGTACGCCCTTTGCACAAATTAATCGACATGTTCTGAGCTTCGACAGCTATCGTCTCCTCCTGTGGCTTGCACGACTAAAGGAAAACCAGGTTGCTAGCGTGTCTACGAGCAGCCTATCCGTACCCAGCAGGTAGGTAAAGAGGTATGTACCCCATGTCTTGAAGGGTAGAAGAATTTAGCCAGCAACCTTATCACCTTCATTCTGCGCATTGGCAATCGCATTCTTTGAGACACCTATCTTTGGGGATAAACTGATCCTGCTATGGACCGAACTACGCTTGCCCCTGCGTGATGCCCCTTACTCAGTCTCTGGAGGCTCGTAGGGCAAGCTTCGAACTCAACGCCACAGCTTGATTACCTATCCATATGCTGTAGCTATGCTCTAGTTTTACAATCTTGGATGGAGAAAAGCGCGATCGACCGCCAGGAACAGGGTGTGCCAAGATCCCTTCATCGACCCAAACAGGACCAGACGTTACCACTAACCCTGATCTAAATCTCTGAACGGTGTATTCCATCATATATATTATCGTTACTTTAGGTTAAGTGGAACATGCGAGCATCTAATGTTGAGAACTGCTGATTAGTCGTATTTCTCGGGCACGATGTAAAAATAGTCCTCCGAGATTTAATATAGCAGTGACATGTTGACGACTATAGGAATCCCCGTGGCCGATGTTGTGTTCCTGACATCATTCTTTAACGACTCGGAAGACGCTGTTACCATGAACCTGGCTTTTGTGTTCGCGACGCTGATCAACGAGTTCGACAGCAGTATATCCGGGGAGCTTTCATTACAGTTTATCCAATGTCTTATGGTTTATTGCTCGATGGTCGTTGTCTCTGAGTGGACCGATGTCTTACAGTGACGAGCCATGGTGAATAGCACACTGCGGGGCTGTATGCTCCATTCCTGAGTCCCATTCCATATGGTGGACTTGTCTATGCTTCTCTGCCCATAACGAGTATGTTACCTAGGTAGCAGATACACTCTCTAACACTCATGTCTCGTAGATCGGTACGCGGTACGTGCCATTTCAAGCCATGTTCATGCGAGATTGATAACTCTAGTGCTTGATCTGAGAAGCGTCAGTTGACAGGTGCTTAGATGTGTAGGTAGGTACTTTTGGTGCTTGCTAGAATGACTACTGTCGTCTCTGTTTGTTGTGTTTTCCGTTGAGTCTGTTTTCTAATTTTACTTCACACAGGCCCCAGCTGAACAACAAGATCCAACCAGGACTGGCTAGAAGGCTATGCGTGTTGGTTGTCCTTTTGCAAGGATCCGATGCACAAGCTGGACCCGAGTCCCTGGGACCTAATGTAGAACTCGACTTGTGTCGACCTAACTGAGGGGGGTTGCGACAAATTGCAAGCAATGGGTTTTAATGGAGCCCATCTTTAGAGTGAGGTGGTGGCTTGAAGACAGCGACCTGCGGTACGCCTATCCTTTCCCCATGTACCCGTGCGTTTCTAGACAGACGCCTCTCGACTACTACGCGTTCTCATTCCTTTCCTAACCTGCCATCCATACCCTTGCGGGCAGATGTCTAAGTATATTGGCCGAGCTACCCTAACTTAGTAGTTGCTTTGCGGCCTAGTGTCTATCTAAAGGGATACCTTTCTCTCTAATTGGAACAGCTCCTATCTTTGTCACTTCTATATCTATTTATCTATCCCCCCCATTCCTCCTGTCCTCCCTGAAGCCTTTAATTCATTACATTCGCCAACGAGTCTAAGTGCCGGTACTATATCTCGTCATTGAACGCAACCCCTTTGGATTGTGACCCTTGTTCCCAATCCCTTCGAATACCTCTGATAATGGATATGCACATGGACTTGAAAGTAGGCCTTGGAGACGAGTTTTCCTTCGAAGGCCACGGGTTATCCTGCGCTTCGTCAACCGGTAGTTTCTCTTCAGCATCGACTTCCAGTTCTATGCCCGAGCCCTTCACGCCTACATCTGGTCGATCGACTCCTGGGTTACGCACTATCTCGATGGATCACGATCACGTCGCCTATCCCGCCCCGGGAGGCTTTGAGTTGACACCTCCATCTTCGGCATTTGGCGGATATTTCCCCCCAGACGCTAAAGTAGATATGCATCGATATATGAACTGCCACAGTGCTTCACCAAGCCCGAGCCGAAAGTCTAGCATGCAGACACAGATTATGGACTTCGACTATGCTCCAGTTCTCCCTGCCGGATTCGCCTCTATGCAAGCCCAAGATCATCTCGAGCCCGCCAACCACCAATCTTTAGGACATTACGCCTTTACGGATTATGTAGCGTCGCCGCAATATCCAGTATCTACTCCAGCTTACCACCATCTTGGAAACGCAGCTTGTGACGCACCCGCGATGTGGGAGTGGTCAGGAGATAGTCCCGTATCGTTTTTTGGAAGAGGAAACCCGTCAGCATCACCTTCGCCTTCTCAGCCTTTATCCACTCGGGATCGACATGGCTTGACACCCCCATACCTCTCCAGTCATAGCAAAAGACGACTCAACGTGGACAAAGTACAGCAGAAGAGTTCGGCCCTCCAGAGAGCGCAACAGCACCGACACGGCATCCGAATAGAAAGGATCGCCGCCGCTACTTTCAAATGTAACTACCCAAACTGCCAGAGGGGACCATTTAAGAGACAAGAACATCTCAAGAGACATAAGAACATGTGAGTATTAGTCGAAATATTTTCAAGCCAGTGGCACAAAGCTGACAGAAAAAAAGCAAACATGCCGAGAATCCAGTAGCGATTATAACATCGTGTCCATTTTGTGACAAGCCGTTCAACCGCAAGGACAACTACAGGCAACATCTCAAGCTACACACACTAAAGCACCGCCCAACTCGCCGTACGGATTACTACCCTGAGGCTCAGGCGCTACTGGATGAAGAAATCAACAAAACCAAGCAAAGGAGCCAGTTGAAAAAGAAGAGTGGAGGATTCAAGGACGAGGACTAACTACAACATTCATAACCGCGACTACCCTTTAAATTCTTATATACGACAACGCTAGAACTCAAATAAGTCTAGCAACAATTTTGGCGGGTGGGCTTCAAGGCCGGCTGGTGGATTTCTTGAAAGAATTAGGGAAAAAAGGAGCACGGCGTCAATATCCGGAGTCTGGGGCTGGATTTGCCCTCACTTATTTTTTTTGTTTTGTCTTGTCCATTTCGCATTATAGGAGTTCCGGGGAATATGTACCACGGGCAACCGGGCTTGGGAATCAATACCTATCAATATCCTCATTTTTTTGTGAGCGTATTCGCAAGAATACGACGCCACTGGCACAGTTGATTTTTGATTTTTAAGGGACTCACTGATCTATGAGGTATATCTCTGTACAGTATTAGTTATTAGCATTTAGGATAGGAAGTCGAAAAGTAGGATCAGTTATCAATTTTGGTTTCTTGGACTGTACTGTCATTTCCCCTTTTCGTATCTTTGTCCACATAACCATACATGTGTTTCTGATTTGGATGAAACGAACTAATATAGAATCGACAATCTACATATTTGAAGAACGCAACTATACCCCGCAAAAACTAATATATGACAGGTTGATGGGTAGATGTGTCTCACTGCAAATGGTGTAGGCGCGCTTGTTAAATGTATATGGCCGAGACAGTCAACATTGAGCCTCAAATATGCTCTTAGTTTCTAGCAACTCCTCGGACAGTCTTGATTGTTATCTTGTTGCGACTGTGTTATGAATCAACGAGGAAAGGCCCGGGACACTTTCTTAGATATCGTATCTCTTAGCTGAGAGGATGATATTGTGCCTCTCACTTTTTGGCTCGAAGCCTAAAACCTCAATAAATTCGCGAGACCTTATTTATTAACCATTGTGATTAATATATTGTTTTGGTAGCAAGTCTTTCACCCTAATTCTCTCGTTTTCACTAGGCATGTTAAAATACTCCATCATAGCACCAAATGCCGTCACGATTTAAATCTTAGGTACTAGGTCAGTTATCTGAGAACAATACGATCAATAGCGGTAAGGCATATATTTTCCGTTGTTATTAATTACGAAGAACAATAATATGTGATTTATTCGCATGGGTAAAGAATAACTTAGATGTCATTGAATAGGAGGTGTCTATACGATTGGCCATAGAAGAGCGTCTCGTTTACCGCCACCAACTGCATAATAGGAATATTTAGGAATGGCGGTGGTACTAAAGTAATGGTATGACGGAAGAGTAACCAACATGGACTTGTACTCTTCACCGCAGTCATCAGCGACTAATCGTGTTCCCACGACGAAGCATTGGAAAGTTTCCATCTGTTCCACAGCAGTTGGAAGTACTCGCACAAGCGACCTACGTCAAACTGGATTAAGAAAGGCTTGACGAAGAGGCGTCTTTACTGGCGTTTTTTCTTCGCGGAGCGTTCCGTAAATTTAGAAATATGGCGGGTGTTAGCGCGTCCTAAGTAAAACAACGGAAATGAGCTCCTCCCCGACGAGGGTGGGCGGAGAATCTGGCCTACGCTCCGATCATACGACGATCGATTCATCAGTTAGGTTAGGGTTATTCTCTTCTAGAACTGCAGCCTCGCAGCGGAACGACGTTTTTCGAGGATTCTAGGATGGGGGGAGGTATGTAGTAAGACGCTTGAAAAATGGGGTATATCCGAGCGTGGTTGTTGGAAGGGCCGAGCCTTACTAGGGGACCACGTCGCTTTGCAGTATACTACCCAACCAGATGATGGTCGTAAAAATAATCTCTCGTGCATCTACGGCGCAGCCAACAAGATCCGTGGGGAGCCGTCTATGCCTCGGACAGGCAATACTCGGGATAGGTACTAAGGTAGTGGAGGATTAATATGCGCTCCTCTTGGCGCCGCGCTTGAAGACCCAGAGCTCTGGATCAGCCCCCATCTAAGGTTAGGTACTCCATAGGGCTTTGGCGTTCTTGGGTTAGCCAGCTTCGTCGAGATCACATGGTGAAATATCATAGACTACCTTCAATGTTACTAAACATCTGATAACTATGTCTGCCTAACATAAGAACTAATGGAAGGTCAGAGTCATTGCGTCATGGACTACGTGAATATAGAAACCATTGAATCTAGCTTCATAGATGAGAGATACTTTTTTGTTGAAACTCTAGTCTTTCGATCTACAGTCTACGATAATTACTAATATCATATCCCGATGGAGTGGCACCGCAACCTCCGGGCAGCAAGTTAGTCAAGACGCAAACCCCGGGTAGGGTACTGGTTGTGAGGCCTCTAGCAGGGAAACATCATAACCAATGCACAATGTCGACGCTCCGCTGCCCAACGACACCCCTCCTAGCAAACTTTTCTACGCGGATATTAGCTCGGCACCGAAACCACGACGTTATTTAAAATGCTTAGGGCTATAGTGACGTTCTATTCATATCGGTACCTTGGTTGATTCGTCAGTTTTATCGCTCGGATTGAGTTAACTGCGCTTCCGTGATTCTCAGGCAGCCTCAGATTAACCTCTAGTCCTTGAAATATCATCAGAACCACGCTAGAGACCGTACAACAGCTGATAATCATGGAATCATTAGCTACGGTGTTAAGAAAAAACAATTACATATGCGATGTGATTTTTAAATCCGAGAACCCATCAACTTCGACGTAAACATGCCTGAAGCTATACTTGCCATACCCGAACCAGGGAACCTGGCACATTTTCTATGCAAACTAGCTGTGGGTCATCATGCCCGAATACGCAACATGGGTAAGGGCGGCAAGAAATAGGTACATGGCGCTCATTGGCACACTAGCACATCTCATGATCTCGTGATATAACCATTCAGGACTCGGGGTGGACTCGTCGTCCACTACCGAATATCCCAGGCCCACGGCTCTATTCCAGGCGGGTATGTACATATTAGGGGCGTCTTTAAACTGACGCCGGTAGGTGACGCCAAGGAGACAGAAATGTATGTGGTTGTGGGCTTCGCCACTTGATATCACGCGTCGTTCTAACACTGCTAAGGTCCACTTAGATTCGCTGAGACCAATATGCTTGGGTTTAGTTGAGGAAAATGAGGGTGTGTGGATGAGACCCCGTCATTCCAGGAACAGACTAACACAACGGTTTTCAAGCTGAGTGTCTATCATGCATGACCATATGCTTTATGTATATGACACATCACTGAAAAGCAGTATTGATAGCAGAAGAAATGTTAAGAGGAAACTTCGGCCCTCTTCATTCGGCTGCGTATCTCAACACGCATAAGCGTTCATAAAACTACTGGTTTATGCTCAGTTTATTAAGAAAGTTTTATACAAATTAGGACTAAAATTCAATATGGGTGGAGCTTTACCTGATAATTTTTCTCCTGAAACTAAAGAAAATCTATTAAGTAATGGGCATAAATCTCTCAGAAAAGGAAGGTGATTGTATATGACTAGCCAAGCTAATGGGCCTTCCCAATATGCTAAAAGAACTACTCCGGTCTGCATTTCGGGGTATCGTGAAGTCATTACATGCCTGAGCCGACGAACACCTGGACTGTGCTTTCGTTCATGCGATGAACTTCATGGAATTTCGCTACCACTATTATCGGGAGTCAGACACCGACGGGCCGAAACCTGAGCAGAAGAAAATGGCAGCTAATGCCGAGATAGAAGACATACTAACTCGATTATTGAGAATATGTGGTTTCTAAAACAATGACATAATTGATAGCGAGTATATTCTTGTGGCGTGTTTCACTAAAACGCCTTCCCCAAGGTGTCTCGGCTTCTAGCATCCAGAACTGAGTCGCCCGGAGGCCTCGAAAGAGCATGTATTACTATCTATTGAGTTTCAGTCATTATTTTTGTTCCTAATCCTGCTAAATAGGTTTGATAAGCAAGTGTTTTCATATTGAGAGAATTTTCAAGCAGAGATCTCTTTCGCGGCACTAATGAATAGGATTCTGGTTTACTCGGCTCATATATCAGGTACATTATATTATGAATGATAAGAACTTTCTTAATACAGTAGGTAATTTGTGTTTATTATTTTCACTTTTCCTTGTTGAAATGAGATTTTGCAATGATAGGTTGAGGAAAAGTTGAAATGTAGTTGAAGACTTAAAGTTATGCCGGTCCAACCAAATGTTACGTTTCAAGCTGATAAGGGATGCCCTGGGCGATGAGGGATATACTGTGTTGATCGATATCAATGTTACCTGCATATATCAGTGCCTGGTTTATGTTCGCATAATCATCACCGTGAATATAATACCTACCTACTGAGGTAGGTATCCTTTCAGGGAGTGATTGAACCTTAATAGTATAGCCGCACATATGCTAATAGCCTAGGTAGGTTATGAATGAAAGTAAGATGTTTTATATTCAAGATCTGTACAGCTTTGTAAACTTGTAACCTATCTCTCATGAGCTTGCATTGTACTCTTGAGATTTAGGAGTTATTACATACCATACTTAATCATGTATTATCATAAGAACACCTACTATAGCGGGCTTAATTATTGAAGTAAAGCACACATAGGTAGCAATAATTGATAGATGGAGGATTTTGGAGCGTAAAGGAAGGCTTTAGGCTAAACCAACTCATAATCGTCGCGTCGTTATTCTAATGTAGCCTGTATTTGTCAGTAGATGATCCTATTTGAAGATTGAGCAGGCATACTAGAGCTTATTACATGTAGGCATCCTATTTGGGACCTAGAAACAGGATCGAACCAAAGATTTCCTACTTAAAAGATACTATCTACCGATATTGAACATTGAAAGAAAGATCTCGCCGGCGACTGTAGCCCCTGACGCACTGGCCATACCCCTATTTAGGTACTCAGGTACCTATCGCTAGGTACGTATCCTGAGAATCGAGTCATATAGGTACCCACTTAAGAGGGGTTTATCTTATCGGAGTTGCTTTGCATCAACCGATCGACTCTCTGAGACGAGGGGCAGAATTATGACTCTACAAAAACAATCTCAATCAATCTTCTAACATCAAGACCGACACACACACAAACAAACATACGAACACGTACCTATACTCTCCCAGACGCGTAACCTCGAGATTGTCGATACGCGAATTAGAAACCGCAATCATGGCGGATCTAGTAGAGAGCACTGCCAAGCTGCAGCTCGATGAAGAGACAGGGGAGATGGTCTCTAAGGCCGAATTGAAGAAGAGACAGAAGAAACGCGAAAAGGCCAAGGCAAAAGAGGCTGCGAGAAGCGAAGCGAAGACCGAGGACAAGGCCAAGCCGGCCGCGAAACCATCTAAGGCCACTACCGAAGAACCAGCTATTGATCCTAACAGCATGTTCAAGACTGGCTTTCTTGATGATGTCTTCAAGATTAGAACCATGAAGCCAGTCTTCACCCGTTTCCCACCCGAACCCAACGGCTTCTTACACATTGGACACGCAAAAGCTATCACTGTCAACTTCGGTTTTGCTAGGTACCACGGAGGTGAATGTTATCTTCGGTGAGAAAAACCGTAAACGATATGTGTTGCCATCACGACTTACAAAACTTCTCTCTATAGCTATGACGATACGAACCCTGAAGCTGAGGAGCAGGTGTACTTTGATGCTATCCTAGAGATGGTAGAATGGCTCGGATTCAAGCCTTACAAGATCACGTACTCCTCCGACAACTTCCAGAAACTTTACGATCTCGCCGAGAAGTTAATAGGACTCGAGAAGGCCTACGTCTGCCAATGTAGCGATACCGAGATCAAGCTCCAGCGCGGCGGTGAGAAGGGTACCGCTGGACCCCGCTACCGTTGCAAGCATGCGGAACAGCCAGTCGAGGAGAACCTGCAGAAATTCAGAGACATGAAAGATGGAAAATATAAACCCCAGGAGGCTTTCCTCAGGATGAAGCAAGGTTTGTCTATCAGAATCGCTATGTATTATGGATTAATTGGACTGTACTAACATTCTCACAGAGTAAGTTCTATTTCAAATACGATGTGGCGCTCGATGGAAAAGCTAAATGGAATGAAATTAGTATCACAGACGGCAACCCGCAGATGTGGGACCTTGCAGCTTACAGAGTTCTCGATGTGAGTGTTTTCAAGGACCTGCACCCCGGTCGCTTATTGCTAATTATTTGATTCTAGAAACCGCATTACCGCACTGGTGATGCTTGGAAGATTTACCCGACGTACGATTTCACACACTGTCTTTGCGACTCATTTGAGGGCATCGTAAGTATCAAACATATCCCGGTTGCGAATTGGACAATTTAATAACTGGTTGGTTACCTAGACACATTCACTCTGTACTACAGAATTTGGTATGTCCCAATCTTATCATCCTGCATGTAAACCCCGCTGACTCTTACGCCCCAAGTCCAAAGCAGAGTTAGCTACGAATGGCTAAACAAGACCCTCGGAGTCTACGAACCGATGCAACGGTATGTTTTATGCTGAAAAAAAGGCACTTTGGTTAATTTACTAATACATTTATAGAGAATATGGGAGACTTTCAATTACCGGTACAATACTTTCCAAGCGCAAGATACTAAAGCTTGTTGAAGAGAAGATTGTACGAGGTTGGAATGACCCGCGCCTTTACACGTTGATTGGAATCAAGCGCCGGGGTGTCCCTCCGGGCGCTATCCTAGAGTTTGTGAATGAACTCGGTGTTACTACTGCTAACTCTGTCATTGAGATCAAGCGATTTGATCAAGCGATTCGCAAATATTTGGAACGTACCGTTCCTCGATTGATGCTCATCTTAGACCCCATCCCTGTGGTTATTGAAGATGCTGATGATCTTGATGGTAAAGCTATCAGCCTTCCGTTTAGCCCGAAGGAACCTAAGATGGGCTCCCACGACGTGAAGTTTACTAAGACTGTTTACATTGATCGCTCGGACTTCAGAGAGGAAGCAGATCCGGCATTCTTCCGCCTTGCTCCAGGAAAGGTAAGATTATATGTTAACTTTTCCCGACTCCTGATTGGGCCGCTTCTAACTCCTGTAACCTAGACCGTTGGACTCCTTCAAGTTCCATATCCCATCAAGGCAACCTCATTCACGAAGGACGACGTGACTGGCAAGGTTACTGAAATTCGAGCTGTGTTTGACAAGGAAACGAAGAAACCCAAGGCTTACATCCAATGGGTCTCGACCGAGGAAGCGGGTACGCGGAAAGCAGAAGTGAGAATTTACAACTCGCTGTTTAAGTCCGATAATCCGAACGACGCCCCCGGCGGTTTCTTGAACGATATCAATCCTGAAAGCGAGGTAATTTACCCGGATGCTCTCATAGAATCCGGCTTCAACGAAGTCAGGAAGAGAGCTCCATGGCCAGAAGCGGCAGGCGAAAGTGAACTCGGCAAAGGCGGTCCTGAGAGTGTTCGCTTCCAAGCTATGCGTATCGCATATTTCGCGTTGGATTCCGACTCTACCGATGATCGCATCGTCCTCAACAGAATTGTGGCGCTAAAAGAAGACGTGGGAAAGAGCTGAAGTGTTTCCACGGTCGCGTGTTCGTAAGACTGCTAGGATACCCCAGAAGAGGAGGAAGGACGACCGGCACAGATCTTAGCTCACGATTGGGAAGTTTGAAGAGTACGTATTGACCATTAATGAAAATGGTGAATACTCCCTTTTCCCTCAAATTCATTACATGGCTCTGATTTTCAATTGTCCTCTACTTGTTAATAGGTACCCAGACAAAAAAGAAGGTCTCCGTACTCAACCCCCTTCGAGAAAACTTAATTGTCCCCTTCTTCCACTTTGCGACTATGTGCTTCTTAGCTAAATTCTCATTTCTCGTTTCTCGTTTTTCAATCTTTAAGGCTATACGGCCGTGTGGCTGGAATGCAATGATGGGATATATACTGACGCGACGACGTCGCAGAGCTACCGGGGTGGTTCCAGTGGCAGTATGTGGTACACGGGACCCTGTCGAGCGACAGTGACTACCTTCTACCTAAGCACTAATTTATGACAGACTACTACGTTAACTGGTAAGACAGGGTGTTAAGAGGTTAGAAAGTCTTCCTCTGTGAAGTCGTCGAGAGGTTCGGCATTTTCAACAGTAGGGCTCCAGTCTTCAGCCAAGACTTGGTAGCATAGGTACAAGGGTGTCTTATATACTGAGCCGCTCCGCCAGCATTCTAATGACCTCTTTTGCCGGTTGACATCCTTCTTAATATCACGAAGATATTCCTGTTGGTCGAATGATAAGCCGTCAACCGGTGCAGCTGGTTCCTGCCACGATAGTGCTAATGGTGCATGGCCGTTACATGCGAAGCGAAAATAGACCAGCATAGTCTTGCAAGCGTGGAAGTACCCCTTGCTAAGCGAGAATGCACCACTAGAAGAAGGCTATTGACATTAGCACGGAAGATATAGTCTACGCCTACGAGGAATAAGAGCTACAAGAACATACCTTCAGTCCGTGACGGCTTGTGTAGTCGACGACATCAGTGAAGACGAACTCAAAGTTATTCATCATGATGAATGTGGCGAGGTAGATCTCGAACCAATTCTCCCGGTTCTTCTCGTGGATCTTCTGGTCCAGCTCACTCAAGATACATAGTTCGAGTGGGGAGAGGATGGATCTAATCGCTATATCATCGATCTGCGTGTCCATTATTGGGGTAACAGGAATGATCCCGTTAAAGGGACACCGTACGCCATTACGATCGTGTGGATTCAAAGGATCATACGGGGGCTCGAAGCCGGGGAGGTTACTACAGATTCGCCATGGCTTCTCGATAAAACGTGTTACAACCCAGTATGTCAGGCAATTCAACACAAGACTGCTCTGCAATAATTGTTACTACGACGGAACACGATGACATTGGGGAAAAAGAAACACGTACATCGGAGACCTCCAAATACCGAAACGCCGCCTCGAACGTCTTTCTAATGATAGGGTTCACGTCCGAGAGTAGGCAATTGACATACTCTTCCTTATTAAGTGTCACGGCCTGCCACATATTCCGCGTCGCTTCTTCGACGTTGCATATGTAGAAGGGGGGCATCTCCATGACCCTCTCCTCAGACGACTTATCCCGCCATTTCCAACTGATGGTATCCGTCGGGCACGGCGTAAACCTCCTGATGGTGACGACAATCTCAATTCCTTGGTCCTGCGTGATGATAACTTTCAACGGCTTTACCCTCTCACCGCCGTTTTGCATAAAGCATTTCCTGAAAAGTCGATCTTGCGTGGCAGTCCAGGCTTCGAGGTTGTTGTTGAGGGTCGAGCCTAGAAGCACGTTAACTGCCATGCCCGAACGATTTCGGGGATAGCCTTGATTCGCCCACCTCGCCGATGTAGATGCAGACTGCGGAGTTTCACGCGTATGCAAGGTGTCTTGAGATACCGGTGAGTTACCTTAGAACATCTCTCGCACGGCATGAACGGATCCCTCGTCATGTTACACTGTGTAATACTCAGTAAGTACAAGTAACCGGTGAGCAGCTCGCGGGTATGGCTATAAGTGGTTAGGTCCTGGTCAACGTACTCTCAACTTCTGCTGTTGGCACCTCCCGCAGGCGCCATATTCCCTAGTGATGGCAGTAGTAGATCTAGATCCGCCATTCAAGTCGGAACGGATCCTCTCACTGGCCCCAAATGTCCGAAAGGACCCCTGGAATAAGCCGTTCTTGTCACGCTTGAACTCAGACTTCGGATTCTAGGGCAAAAGGATATGCTGTTAGCCGGGATTACGGAGAGGGTATACCGTATACTCGGCAACGCTACGTAGAGACTACCTACCTTGTCATTAACGAGGGCATCTACGCGATAAGCGCGGCGACATGCTGGCTCGCGTTTTGCCTTCACTTTCGGACCCTTGTATGGCACGAATGTAAGCTCCTCCAGATCTCCGCGGCATGGCCCGTCAATGGCCCGGCTCTGATCTATCCCGGGCAGAGTTGCATGATCGCTCCTAGGATACACTTGCGGACGCCAATTCATCTCTACCTGGTTCTCTACCTGGTTGCGGCTTGCTTCTCCTACCTTTCGGATCACGTGGGGGTGCGGGTGCGGGTGCGGGTGCCCATTTCCCAAACGAGACATGGCTGACGTAGAGCCGATCATTGAGGGATTTACAATTGCCATTGGAGACGAGTTCGAATAGTCCGTACCGGTATCATCACTGCCAGATGGCGACGAAGATGTCGACGCCGCAGAGAGCTCCCAGGGATCGAAAGAGGCCATATTCCCAAATTCCCAACAACGTGACGATATTTCCAGATGTGAGAGCGCGAAGGGTATGTATGTGTGGGGATAGTCATGATGAGCAGTGTTGTAACATGGAGAACGGGGAACAGGCTCACCGCACAGGTTTTTTAATGGTAAATCCACGAATATGTGCCCGTGAGGCTGTGTGCATGTTAAGCATGTAGAAGGGCCTCGGGATGTCCTGTGGCTACGATTGGCCGCCAAGGACCGCCATTGGCTTCCCATCGGATATGACCGCTATGAAGTAACGGGGTCATCGGTCTCTCGGTGGCCGTAAGAAGGTTGATGTGCACTGTCCTTCGGGCTGAACGGTACATACATCTGACCATCTTACATTATACGTGCATATATCTGCAGCAGATATAGTGTACACCAGATGTATACAACTCTGCCACTCTATTTTCACCGGTGTCGTTGGGCTGGATCACCTTGGATCCCCCGCACTTTCCGATTACTGAAATAGGAATTGTCTACTATAAGGGGATACCGCTTTTTAAAGGATGGGATTTAAGCGAATCTTTAATAAGACGTGGCAATACTTATTCGACACGGCATGGTGTCATGGTCTCCAGCACAGACGTTCTTTCATTGCCCAACGAGGCTGGCCTCCCCCCCTTTTTTTTCCATGACCCTGCGTCTCTGCCTACCCGAACTAATCCACCTTTGAATTATTCCGCTGACCATGGGGGAATTTCCGCCGGACACGCGATTGGCTCTGCGAACAGCGACCTCGGCCGATCTAGAAGACATCGCGACCGTGGCCCAGGAAGGATTCCCAGACGACCCAGAGTTCAACTATAGGTTCCCGTACAGAGAAAAATATCCAGATGACAATCGCAAATGGATATTACAGGAATATAGAGAATACCTTGAACAACCCGATAAGTATGAAGTAATTATTATCACGGCGAGCGACAATGACGACAAGGCCGTCGCATTGTCCGTCTGGGATATCTCTATTAGTAAAGCTCACCGAGGAAGTGGTAAGAAGACTTCAAAGGGCACGAAAGCTAAGAATCCGGCGTCGTGGCAATGCAAATTTCGCTGACCCCGAATACCCAGATCTTGGCATCCCCGATAACCCGGAAGAGCAGTGCCGGCGGAGGGACGCGAATCCAATTCACTTCAGGAAGTTCAAGGATCGCATGAACGAAGCTTTCGAGCTGTACTTTAGCGAATATGGAACAGACCAGATTCACCTGTGGCTTCTCGCCACCCGTCCGGCTTTTCGGCGAAGGGGAGCGGGAACAAGGCTGTGTCGATGGGGTCTAGAGCGAGCGTCACAAAATTCCATTTGCACTACGGTTCTAGCAAGTCCGATGGGGAAATGTCTTTATGAAGAGCTTAGCTTTACCGATTGTGGTTCGTTCGATATTCAGGTGGAAGGCGAGGCAGAGAAGCTTCAGCTCTGGGCGATGACCCACCCGAAGACTGATTCTGTCGCCGCCGTCGTCCAGGTCGAAGTGAAACGGGAGCCTTCTAGCTGGTTTTTGCGCTGGCTCAATTCCCTTCTCTTTCTTGGACAAAAATAGGTATAGTCGCATCTTTCGGTCTTGTCGGTTGCCGAATGACTCGTCACGTCATGCGCAAGATTAACATATGTAGCAGTTTTCTTTTTCTTTTTCTTTTTTTGGAAAAAGAAAAACTTGGTCCAACATGCTTCTCTCTCCACAGTCTCCGAAGTCCCTACCTACATATGCACGTCTCTTGGACATAAACGCTTCGCTTGTTTGGGGAAAGTCTAATCTTCTTAATGTGACAGCCCCCTCCGAAGCACCCGTTATTATATCATATCTCGGATGGGTTCAATCTCGGTGCCACGTGTCTGTCTAGGTTCTTGGGCATGTGCAGACTGCTTTCCTCCCTTGCGAGAACCATGTCGGCGACGAATTCCAGGTTTCAGGCGCGCGTAGAAGCGTTACACAAGGTAATCTATACCTATGTCATAATAGATCTTGCTATATCGTCAGGCATAATTCTGATATTTTACAATCCCTTGTACTTAACGTCTCCTACATGTGAATACATGGATAGGTATAAATACCATATCTTAGCTATGATATATTCCATATCAAATATCTACCGCTACCTACCTGCCTTCGATTTGATCTTCTTTTCTGCGACCCCCCCCCTCATTCCGAAGTCTTGAACTATCGCTGACATGGTCGGCATGGATAGGTGATCTTTGACGAATAACAGATCGAGTATCCTATAATCGTATGAGGTGGATCTCTATTCGCTTCAATAGTACGTCCCAACACATTATTCCATTGGCGTCATAAGGCGAATTCGAGTGTCTGTGCGGCTCTCTATGCTATGATGGTCAATGATGACCTATCCGTGCATTCAATGAGATTAGAATCTGATGCGACCCTGCCGCCAACATAACCAGATAAATCCCTCAATGGTTCATCTGCGATATCGCTGCTGGTCCCATGTCTGCGCCCACTATTGCTGACATGTTATCGGCAGACCCCCTTTCCTAAAATGGGAGCGTACATGAACAGCCTTAGAGCCTTGTCTGAAAATCCAATTAAGATCTCTGTCACATTTTCTCAGCGCTCGATGATTGGCTCACGTCGATTTAGACGTAGGCATTATTGAAGATTCTATGCAAAAGACCCGGTACTTAGGTCCGGTAGTTGGATATCCTGGATTATGACGATCCCGTGATCCGGACGAAGTCGCTACGACATCAAGGCGCTTCTCTTCCCACTCTGAGAATCGGTGAAACCAAAATCTCGGTCATGCCCAATCTCGAGTAACTAAGCTAGGAAGTCGGGACGTATTTGGGAATCGGAAAGATATATAGAACAAGAAAAAAGTAGCTTGGTATGGGACCGTGATGACCTTTGGGATAGGCTATGCTCCTGCTACGGCCGGCCATGGCGACATTAACGTAAACAATAGACACGATGTATACAGCTAGTATTCTTTAGGGTCACAACAATAGTAGTAGAGATTGGCAATGATCTGAAATACTTCAGCCTCAGTGAGTACAAAGAAAACGTCATGTCTGTGCCATTGAAACATATTATCCCGAGTATTCCAAGAGGGAGCCAACTCTGGTACTGAGCAAATAATAAGCCAGCTCGACTCGAGTGCTAGACGCATGTAGGTTACAATATCATATGCAACGATCACCAGCATAGCTACTGATTGATTCCACAGTACTCCTCAATTATCAGCCCATATCAACGGACTATACACATCTCAATGGCCTCAACACCGCAGGCTACCGACGGCAGAACCGGAAGTAAGACCCGTCAACGACAAAAGACACACTCGACAACGACAACGGATACATCTCAGTCCAGCACAGCGAGCTACTCGCTCGACAAATATCTCAACAAGGCTAATGATAGGTCTCCTTTAACAAGGTATCTGTCCGACTTCGAGGATATTCCGATAACCGAAAGACTCAGCCAAAGCGACCAGCAAACCGGAAGATTCCACATCACAGATGGGTACCCTAGGGGTGGGCAATAACATAACCTACCTCTACGGATTGGAGGAGAAACTATTTGAATACCTGGTGAGGTACCTTGGTTTTCTTTGCTCAGTGATGTAACACCAACTTTTTCTTACTGTATGTATGTATGGATGAGAGGGGAAAGGGGGCAAGAGGGGGGTTGCAATAGTTTTCGTCAAGGGGAAATCGGAGGGAACATGTATCGACTAGGGTCGTTTCTTTTCAAAAATTCGGCGTTCATTAGAGGAAAAAGCTAGTATGGCCCTCTCTCGATAACGACTGTGGACTGCTACCTAAACCCAGACATGTGTGTGTGTCCCCGGGTTTTTAGTATACGATATTGCCTTCCAGTTTGCTTGAATGATACAAAACTTCCAGTCAATCTGCTCTCCCATCTCAGCAAAGTGAAAATACATAGGTAATCAAGGTGGGTTTAAAACAAGTAAAACAGTGAACAAAGCCCGAGGCTTGGGCTATACATATAATAGAAGAGTCATCAAACTGAAATCATGTCCAACGAATAGAAGCTGAGCGAAGACCTTGGAGCGAGGGGAAGGGTTGGTTAGTTCCGTTGGATCCTAGCGTGAATTAGCCGTTCGAATTCCAATCGTTCTCTTGCCCGGCTTCGTATTTGATGCACCATTCCTCATCTCTCCCTCCATCGGGCGTGTTAGGGCCGTAGATATTATCCCACTGTTTCTGCGCGCTCTCAGGAACCTTCCAGTTCTGCGCCGGGTCGCGAAGGTAGAATTTCAGTAGATGTCGCTGGAGAAGGCCCTGGCTACTCTCTGTAAAAGAAGACCGTGCATGCATTATGGCCATGTCGTTGATGAACGCGATATCGCCCTTTTTCCAGGGCAACGGCACCGCGTTCTTCGCCATGATATACTGGACAGCGTCCATAGCCGCGATCTGTGCCTCATTCACGGGAGCCAGACTTGGATTACGTTGTTTCCCTTTGAAACCAGCCATGGGAAAGCGTGAGTATGTGAACATGACATCGCCAGTGTCAGAAACATGGAGCATGGGCCTTGTGACAGGGGGGAACTGGCTGTAATCCTTGAATCTTTTCTCAATTTTAGAATTCTGTCATTACCAGGGAGGTGGCTGTAATTTTTTTTTTCACACTTACGTGTCAAGGACCCAATAATCTGAAAGAGTTTGCAAGACTTCTGGCCTTGATTGGGCCAGCTCGTTGAAGAGTTGGTAGGAGCTCGAGACAAACGTCTGACCTCCCGTTGTGGCAACATCCAGAGCATAAAGAGCTAGGATCTCGCAGTTATCAGTGTGAAAAGCCTTGGGCATGTTAGCTCGCTATGCTCACATTTTTAGTGATAAGAAAACTTACTAGGGGCCCATTGGTGAATCCAGGGGACTTTTGGACTGCGTCTGTAGGAGAAGCTGCACTAGCTGCGTTTACGACATGGCCTAATTTCGAGTTTAGTAATACTTCACAAATTGTTAGAGGGACAAAATAATACGTACATAGAACCTTGCGGCGGTTCTTGTCCAAGAGTCCATGCTGGGGAGCTATGTGAGTTGCAATGCCAGCATACAAAATCACGTTCTTCTCCGGGCTGTATTTATCAGGCTCGAGACCCTGGACGACGGTAAACCCGCGGCCATAATAACATTGGTCAGAAACCTTCCGGAGGGATTGTTTAAGCTCTTGAGGTAGGACAAAATTCTCGGTGGAGATGTCGGATAGAGGAATAGCTTGGTCTGTTTATCCTAGTAAGCAGCTGAAAAATTCTCTATAAATTTTGCATTCTATGATTCCAAGGAAATTTCAACGAGAATTTGACAACACAAACCTTCAATTGCCTTAGCTGCATTTTCAAGGGAAGTGATATCGTCGCCTGAAAGCTTCAATATGCACTGGTTCATATCCTTCTCGATGTCTTGGCGGGACCAGGCCAGGGGTGAGTCCAGGGAACGTGGTAGCCTCCCATTCTCCTTAGAATCGACGCGTTCATCGGATAACGAAGCACCGGATTCGAAAGCCTTGATACGAGCTGCGAGCTGATCCTCGGGAGGAAAATACGATAACGGAGTGGCTGCCATGATGAAGATGGTTCAGGGGTAAGATCAACCTAACAATGTGCCATTCGTCGATGTTACTCCAATATATTGCCTAATTTTAACTCAAGACGAGTTCGCAGAAAAATTTCTGTCTCCCCTCGGCCATTTTATGTTCGATCCCGTCGCGAAGAAAACCTACGATACCTAGCATTGGCGAGGCTCTGCATCGTTCCTAGTGCTGCCTACACCCTCACATTGAAAGCGCGACTGTGCGGGCGCCAATGGTACAGGGGAGTCCGATCCAGTGATGCCTCGCGGACTCGAGGACGACACATCTTTGGCCAAATTATCCGGGTAATGTCGGGATAGGTATATCCCCAGAGGTGATTAATCGAACGAGTCCCGCCAACCTTGGAAATCCTACTAGGTAAGGCGTGTCGATACGTAAGCGGGATTGTCAGCCATAGGGGGGATATTTAGCCAGTTGAAGCGAAATCCTTCCGCCTCTGACGCAAAAAAACTCCAACACCTCCCTGGCAAGACGGCGAGTTTCATAGACACACCGGAATATTTCAAGGGGCGAGGACCAAGAAATCAATTCATCTGAGGCTTAGCGTCAGTTCAAGGTTTCTGGTAGGGTGATATCGGTTTTTATTTTGGTATCTTAGCATATGCAGAACTCCACTCGCGGGCAGTAGTTCGCTATCATGTTAGATGTAGTTATGTAATCCTATTGGTATGTTGACACACTCTGAAGGAGTTGAAGGTTTTTTACTTGTCAATCCTTAACAAACAGGGTAGGTTACACCATATGTATCTGGGTAATAGGGGATAGGCGGCAGACAAGGAGGTAGTAAGTGTATGTAGTGTGTAATGTGGTGTATGTGGTGTATGTGGTATATGTAGTGCCACCTAGGGTCCATCCAGTATGATGGCATTCGAGCTTGCGAAGCTTGACCAATCCCACGTCATTCATACCCTCCCGTTTCGACCCGTGCCGACCCGTGATCCGCCCCCACACCACCCTGAGGCTCTTAGAGTAAGAGTCACAGTTCCGGGGTTCCAAGCTTCCAAGGTTCTAAGGTTACGTGGGATTTGGGATTCATTCATCCGAACGCGAAACCCCCAACATCTTCTTTCGGCTATCCGAATTTCCTCCTCCTAATTCCTATGATTCTTGTGACATCGTGAGAATTCCCTTTTCATCAAACTATCGATATATCGATCTTAGTATTGACCTACGTGGCAGGAATATCGAGGGCCATCGTCGGAAATTATTTTACAGCTCACCAGCTGGTAGTTCACGTCAAAGACGCGTTATTATTCTCATTTTCGTGTGATTTCTGATGGCCTCTTCTGCCGCTGTCGTTGCCGAACTGGATGATGATGACCACCATCACGACGAAGATTTAGAGCATCGACTTTCTGGCGACCGCTTATTGGCAGACGAGGAACCCCTGGTTCTCGATTCTGTAATTTCTACAGACGTTTCGAGCCCGGTAATGCGTCATAAGAGGTGGTTGCTGTATCTAGCGGCGGCAAGCTCGCTATTGTGGTACGTACAAAATTGACAAAATCTAACTGCCGAAGAGGATTTCGTATGATCTTCAGCTAAAAATCGTCTAGCATGTTCACCATCAACTTTGATCTGCTATTTCTCTCGACCAACTACAGCAAGAGAATCGGTAGGTTGTCCGGAGTTTTAGGGATAGGTTCCCGTATGGCCGAGACTATTGCTCACTTGACCATTTTCTCTTAGCTTCCGACCTCCATCAATTAAGCAACGCGGTCTGGATCATTCTGGTTGGATCCATTACTGAGACTGCTTCTCAGCCCGTCGTAAGCCGTTTTCTGACCACTCTGAACAGTAGTTTCCCGGTCTTCTGACACTTTGATTTTCCAAGTACGCATATCTCAGTAATAACCAAGGGCGTAAGAGGGCTTTCCTCCTTGCTGCAAGTCTAACGGCGATCGGTTTCTTGCTATGGTTCGAGATCCTTCGTAACTATCCCTTTTGGCGTAGTTATTGACCCTAAGTCATAGTTCTCTCAGTACGCGACTGTTACACTTAGTTCTATCTCGCTTTGTCGTCGGTTCCGGATGTGCTGGAGTATCTCTCGTAGTAACTATCATAATAAATGGTATAATTTCTCTTGGTGCGATATTGTATTGTGACCTCGCTAATTCACTTAGACAATGTTCCGTTGAAAGATTTCGCCCTTTGGCGAAGTCTACTCATTTTTGTTCAGATGGCTGGCGACGTTTCGGGGGGGCCTTTGGGATCTGCTATTGCTGATGCATCCAGTTGGCAAGCGTATGCATTGATATATACACCCCGAGGAAAGTCCCTAGTCGTATTAACGAATTTTCTGAAGGGTATACGGAATAGAGACGATAGTGATGTTATGCGGCCTTGTCGGGACATCTTTCTCTCTCGCAGGCTCTCGAAATCAGAGTAGAGACTCCCCGAAGCCTCGACTCGACCTTTTACAGACACTCCTTCTATTCGTCACGATTGCATTACCCCTATTCGCTCTCAACCTTGGCGGAGATATACTTCCATGGAGTCACCCTGTCGTAATAGTGCTGTTTTCTTGCACCCCGGTGGCGCTCGGTGGATTAATATTAGTAACCATAAATCGTTCAGAAAATTCCTCCATGATTAAGAAGTTGCTTGACCGTTCCGCTATCTTAGCTCTTTTTACTACTACTTTCTTCGTTGTGTACGCCTTCAACTCGGTAAGCCACCATTCTCCTACTCCGTTTAGAAATTGTGTCGCTAACATCAAGCAGCTCACTTATAACATGGCCGTATACATCGAAGCTCGATCATTCAACAACCCATCTACGTTTGGCGACTGGGCACTGTCGTGTATATTCCTTTCGCGCCCTTTCGGAACGTTTCTGGCCGGCTTGATTATCAAAAGGTACCGAAGCCCCTGGATTTTACTTCGGTGGAACATGATAGTGTGGTTTTTCCTATACATATTAGCTACATCTGGGACTATGCGTAAGGCAAAAGAAACCGCCGTATAAAGTTGAAGAGTTGTTGATAATCATCTAGCCCTCGAGAACCCTGCAACGGCGCCGTGTCTGTTACTTATCGGATTAAGCCTCGGGGTATTCGAAAGCTCCCTTATTGTGTCCTTGTTTGGCACTGTACAGAAGAAAGGTATGTAATAAAATTTATCTCTGTGAATATCACATCCCGAGTACGAGACATGATGTCGTCGTTCATACTAACACACTTACAGAACAAGCATCGTTCCTAGCCGCCTTTAATGTGGTTGTCGCATTCGCTGGTGATGTTGGTGTTGGGGTTTCCTTGGCCTTGACACAAAACTTTCTCAGGCGAGGCCTGCATCGCGCATTAGTTGGCATGCCAAACGCTGAAGAGGTAATAGAAAATGTAGACCCTTATCCGCTCTGTATAGGTATAGTCTCTGATAGTACGATAGGTTATATCCAAAGCTTTGGAAAGCCTGGATTCAATCCGCAACATACCCCTTGACGAGCAAAGTAAGATCATCGAAGTATACAAGAATTCGATTGAAAAAGTCTGGGGTTCGTATAATCCATTGCTTCCGTAGAAATTTCGAGTGCTGACAAACGCAGCGATATCTTGTGTAACACTCCTTATCGGCATAGTGGCGACGATGTCACAGCGAGCAGTATATCGAGATGAGAGCGAACCTGGAAGAAACGACCACGTCCACGCGGGATAATCTGACTCGATACTTACTGCAAGTCCTTATGGTAAGGTCAGGCTTGTATACCCCTTTTAGAATAGACATCGCACACAGCGAATATAGGGCCATTCCTAGGTAGAATTGAGCACAATTGATTTTGATTAAATTTCTGTAATGAAATAGTGTAGAAATGTTGTTGCACAACTCAGTTAGTAAAATATTAAGGCATGTCCATATTGGCTGTGGCGGTGCATGGGGAAGTGTGACCCCTTATCGGGAAATAAGTGACAATGACGTACGATGCGAGGCGCCACCTCCATTCAATCCTCCCCCTTTCAACTTTTTTTTTGGCTCTTATTATATTTATATCTAACTCATTATATTCAAGTGATGGGTTTATTATGGAGATTCTACCGTCATACGAAGATGCGATAAGTAATCCGGACTGGCTGGATCTTGTGGCCGAATACGTCCCGGTGATTTACTGGTCCCGGTGTTGTCTGGTCGATCACCGGTTTTATTACCGGTTCGCGCCCCGCCTTTGGCAAGATCCGTTGGTTACTATTAGACGCCTCGGGATGCATCCGAATGATGGTGAGCTTTGGAATCTCCGAAACGATATCAACCCGTTCTGCCCCTCATTTTCCATTACTTGCCACTTATGCACGCTTCATGTAACACCGAGACTGACCTGATTATAGACTTAGCTTGGTATCGTCGCTTCATAAATAAGCACATCAAATCTGCCAGACTTAAAACCCGGTCGTATGTTCGCTCTCTGGATTTCCGCAGTTTCGCATCGCGGGCATCTGGCCTCTACTCTTCAGAAGCAAGCGAACGAGCCATCTCAGAAAGTTTCAAGCAATTACCTCAAATATTCCCGGGGCTCATATGTCTTCTCGTGGACGGACATCCGGAACTTAATCCGGAGGCGCTGGCCACTAGTACCAGCACATCTGAGTCTTTACAACTGCTTGATCTAGCTCGGTGTCGCCATGAGCTCACGCCAAAGCTATTTCACTCCGATTTATTTAGGGGTCTTGTATATTTAGATATATCTTATGTGCCAGGATCTGTTAAAACTGCACTCCAGTCATCACTCAATCCCAGATCATTACCCGAACTCCGGGTACTGAGGGTGGCGGGTCGAGAGATAGATAATCCGACCGCCAGTCTACTATTCCAGACTTTCCGTCGCCAGCTATGGAGCCTTGACCTAAGCTACAATAAACTAGGAGACGATATTCTTGACGAAGTTGTTGAACGCTGCGTTTCTCTTTTTGACTTCCACACAGATGCACACTTTGAAAAAGAAGGGAAGTTGATTCAGCCGAAGGACATTGGGAGCCGAAAGTACGGGCCTTTTCAATTCGTTGTGGAATCGGAGTATAGTAGTCGGCACCATAATTTGGAAAGATATCTCGCCGATTCTCCGTTCTACACCCAACGAGCCGATGAGATTGAGCTGCAGGAATGGCAAGCTTTCCGTCCCAATGGCCTTTCTACAATCAGACGCGATGATGCGAATACGGCGAAAGAGTCGTTGCTTGACGAAGCAATGTCAACTGTAGTTAAGAGGATTAGCTTTAGGGGGCAACCTGGCCTGCGAGAAGGTGGATTGACGCACCTATACTTGAGCGGAAATAAGTTTACTGTGCCGGGTATCGAAAGGCTTCTGAGAACATCTCGCGGACGATTGGAGCACTTCGAATGCGATTCTTGCCTGTGCACACCAGCCAACTCGAAAGGGGTTAAAATCCTGGGTTTCCCAAGCTCCGCGCCATTATTTCGGCCTCTTATCTCATCGGCAATACGGTCTCTAAGAATCCATCATTCTGTCGTGACCCAAGTCCCATCCGTTTCAATAGAAGGGTATTCCTCCGCATCTACTGCGCGACTTGCCGAAGATCATCTGTTTCGGAACATCCAACGTTCTTATCCCCTAGCTTTCACACCCGATACTAACACACGTATCACTTCACTAACGCTCACGAAAATCCCGGCCCGATCGACAGGACCAGTAATCGACCAGCTAATCCAATTTCTTCAATCTGCATCAGCACAACAAAAGGCTATCAGAGACGCCGAGGCGCTATTCCGCGGACGCGGCTCCTCAGCTTTAAGAGGGCTGCGACATATACGGCTCGAATTAGAGTCGGAGTTTTCCGAAAGGGTAGACGTTATCTCAACAAGCGGTGATGTTGACTTTGACAAGCTTCTCGATCCAGCCGACGATGATTTTAGCCGCGATACGACGAGTTTCTTCGATGACGAAGATGTGTCGTTTGGAATTACTTCGAGGAGGAATAAAGCCCAAGTCAAACCAAACAATGCGACCGTCGATACCAAAGGATACGCGCAATGGACTTCGGGTAGATTGAAATCATATCCGTATTCAGATATCGACACCGAATACATGACCCAACACGTCGACGCATCGCACTCGTGGTCAGGCAACGTTTATTCCGCCCCTGTATGGATCGGACCAGGCGTAATAACACCCCATGCCGCGGTCAACGAGTACATGTGGAATCTGCAAGACCCCAATCTTCGTACTAATATCGGACCCGCGACTCCCAACCACGTCGCTGCCGGAGTGCCGCCGTTAACTTACATATTCCATACGGCATGGGAAGCCATGATTATGCCAAAGAATAACGCCATCCAAGCGGCAGTAAAGAGCTCCACTCGATTTAAAGACGTAGCTACAGCCATCAAAGAGTATCGTCTTCGGACGAGGGGCACAGCAGATCATTGGGATGGGAAGTTAGAACTGGTGAGAACGGGATAACATGTGTGTTCTTGTATTAGAACTAGAGTTTAATTTCACGATCATTTTAGATACCCCATAGGTAGCCTATACATATCCGCATAGTTCCCTATATCCGTGTTCAGTATAAAACACACCTCACCTAAGCCATCTTCCCCAAAACATAAGGATGTCCCGCACTCAACCCCCCATCGACCGCCCACGCCTGCCCATTAACATAACTCGCCTCATCGCTCCCCAAGAAAAGCGCCACCCTCGCCACCTCATCCGCCACCGCACCCCTCTTCAACGGGTTCAGCTGTCCGATCTTCCTCGTCGTGCCCCGCGCGCGCGCGGCCTCGAAGGTCGGCGCCGTCATCCCTGTCTCGATTAACCCAGGGCAGATGGCGTTGACGCGGATATTAGTCCCCGAGAGCTGGTACGCGATTGTCTGTGCGAGGGAGATCACGGCGGCTTTGGATGCGGAGTACGGTGTTGACCCTGCGTTTGAGCGCAGGCCGGCTACGGAGGCGGTGCCGATTATACTCCCGGAAGGGGAGGGTTTGGACGGGGTGGTTAGATGCATGGCTGGGGCGGCGTATTTGGCTGCTAGGAAGACGCTGTGGGTGGGGAGTCATGTTAGTTAGGGTTTATGTTTTCTTTCTCGCTGTGTTTAAAGAGGAAGGGAAAGGAAAGGGAAGAGGAAAGAGGACGAACCTAGAGACATTTGTATCCAACACCTTCATAAACTCCTCCTTCCCCACCTGCGTGAACGGCGCATGCGGGCCAACAACACCCGCGTTCGCGAAGAACACATCTAGTCTTCCGTACGTCTTCACCGCATCATCCACAACCGCCTTCACGGCCTTCTCGTCCGCGGCGTCGAATTGGCGCGTGTGCACTTCGGTCGCGGGGTACAGTGTCTCGATTTCCTGTTTATGCGCGGCGAGGTGTGTGCCGTCGAAGTCGCAGATATAAACCGCCTTCGCGCCGTTCTCGGCGAATAGGTGCGCGCTCGCTCGCCCGATGCCGAGAGGGGAGTTGGCGCCTGTGATGATCACGACTTTGCCTTCGACTCGCGGACCTACGGACTTTCCGGCGATTTTCTTGATTTCAGGGGTTGAGGGGGAAGAGGAGGAGTTCGGGGGAGCAATCTGGTTTCCCAGAGCTTGCACTCTTCGTGCTGCGTCGGACATCGTGAGTAGTAGGTAGGTGGTAATTAATACCTATTTTGAGCTATTCAATGCCGATGAAGTACTATCTAACCAACTGCCAAAGGATTCGACATCAAGATACACGAAAGGTTTCGCATATCTTTCACCCCTTGCCCTGGAGAAGTTGCAACTTCACCGCAAGCCATACTCCAAGACTTTGGTTTAGAGGGCGTACAAGGGAGTACGGACAATGCGGAGATCAGGTCGAGGAGCCGAGGCATAAGATCTACAGATCTTATTACCTAAAATAGAGTACCAAGGTATTAAATTGCAAGGGTTAAATCGGATATGCAGTGATACGTACATAAAGTCGGGTCGTCCAATCATCTAGCCGCTATTATGCAACTACCGTATCTGTAGATACCTTTTCTTGACGAACTCCTCACGACTCCCAACCAACAACCTTACGATCGTGCATTGTAATCATACGTTTGTCATTACTCTACACAAACCTGACAGTTATAAAGAGGAGTGGTGTTGGTTCTTTAAGACGAAAGCTTGAACAATATGAACTAGTCTATTATACAACCTCCATCAGGAAGTATCGTTTTATGCCTCTAGATGCATCCCATCTATGCTCTATGCATCTACGATATACCGGATCTGAAGCTCGAGGCATCCCCAAAACCTCATTGCAGATGACACCCTTAAGAGAAGCCTACAAGACCAGTCCGGTACCATCTAGTCTAATGCAAAAACCTGGAAAAGGAAAAGCAGCTTTTACCGGTAATCAACGCCAAGCTGCCAGACGTGAAGAACGACGACGCCGCCCCCAAATGCACAAATCATTATAATGTGAATGGTCCATGCATCAAGGTATCGTCCATTTATTCATTATATCCACCGTCCATCGCGATCGAACCCCGCTTATTTGGAAATCTCTACACCACCGGTAGCACCGAGGGCCTTCTTGATATCTATAAATAAAAATAAATTAGTACCATTCTCGATTTCGATAATTGCGAGTAAAAGGGCGATACATACCACCGTAGATGGCGAACTGGCCAGCAGTCAAAGTTCCAACCATGAAGAGACGGGCACCGATACCGCTGTAGGATCCACGGAAACCGAGCTCCTTTGCGATCTTGATAAGACGGCTGGTGGTGCTCTCACCGGGGAGACCCTTGGTCTTGTTGATCTTGGAAAGCATCGTGTCTGCGGGTTGAGAGACGATAGCAGCGGCGAAACCGGCAATCAGACCAGATCCCAAGTTGACGACAGTTTGCGCACCGTCGGACATGTCCTTCTTGGGGTATTGTTGGTATACAGCTTCAGCAACCTTCTCGTAGACAACGAACTTGGCCATGGTGTAAGGAACCCTATACGGAGTCAGCATCATTTAAGAGGTTCTCGAATCGGACCTGTGCGAGGTATGCTTACTGCTTGAACAGGATAGGACCGAAACCGGCGTAGAAGGCACCAACACCCTCCTGCTTCAGGATCTTGCTGAAGCCGCTCACAAGACCGCTAGCATATGTAGGCTCAGAGACGAGACGGATACGGGTAGCCTCAAGGGGGCAGAGGGCAATATCGGCAAAGAACTCGGCGAAGGCGGACGAGACGAGGTAAACGCCTGTTCGGTATTGCGAGGCATTCTCGAGACCAACTAGGTTGATGGCTTGTTGCTTGAAGAACTCATATCCACCGAACTTGAAAGCGCCCTGGAGGAAGTAACCGGCGAAGGTAGGGCCGGCACCGGTTAGAAGGGCACCAGCACCCTCCTTGGCGATCACTTGGCGGAAACCACCGATGAGACCTCGGTTGTAGGTAACAGGGTCGAGCTGGATTCTGGTCTTGACGCTACAAGAAGTTCATATTAGCTACGATACACTAATAGAGATATCGGCGCATATATAACGATATCCAAATCTACGAATTCGACCCGCAAAATCCCATTGATTCAGTGCGAGCGATTGTTGGCGCGTAAAGTCGCTGGAAATATGAATATGGACACCTACACATCGACGGGAGTAAGACCACCGTGGGTGACGGAACAGCAGACGGCACCGGCAAGGGCGAATCTGGAGTAGAGGGCAAGACCGCTAAGAGGGGCGGTCTTCTCGGCGGGTGCTGCAGACATCTTGAATGCTGAATGAACGTGAGGATATTAGAAAAATGGAATTAGGATGAGTGGAGATTTAAAACAGCGACGACAAAAATTTGAAGTCGTTCACAGAAGATACCCAATTGAGGATATATTGGCGGGGAGGGTGTTGAAGCTTTGAGGCTTTTTAGGATATGTTGTGGGTAGAATAAGAAGAAGCTGTCAATGTTTCGGCGCCAACTAAAAAAATTAACAATTATCAATTTCGTCGGAAGATGGCGGAAAGGTGGGTCCGGTAAGAGAAAAAAGGGCTACAATGGAATTTTTCGGGTCTTGATTCGCCGATAAGACCGCCTAAGCCACATATCTTAGCCAATTCATACCCACCAAGCCTCACCGCTCAGTGAATTGAACCACTGAGAACAGGGTAAAGAACCACATGTTAGCTCCCATTTAACCGCGATGTGGCTGAAATATTCTTATCACCTACACCCTCACTCGAAAATTCAAGAGTTATTAATAGATCTAAGTATGTCAATTCTCTACTCCCGCTCATTTCGGACGTCCATTTGAAAATTCTTACGGGATATATCGAATACAAATCCTACCGGAATATCGCCATCTATATTGGACCCCAATGACTCAAGTTGGAAGAGCTGAAGATGAATCTGACTCGGATCTATCATCGCCAAACCCCGGCATAGTTTGTATGCCACATTCACAAGTCAGAGCCAAGGTTATAACTCATTCGAGAGTCGCGTGAATCGAATTACCAGAAATTTAAATAGAGATTGAACTATACGCCGTTATGTCTCCAATCATTGATGTTGCCAAGTGATTCCTTTCGACGAGGCACGGTATTGTTCTCTAACTCTCAGCGGACTCTCAATGAATAGGTGTCACCCCAACCCTATGAAGTTCCGAGTGCTAAATCCGCCACGGCTTCGAGAAGGAGCCTCGAGAGACCTATGAACACGCTTAATAAGCCGATTTGTGCAAGTTGGAATAATTGTGCCACTCTTGATCGACCCGATTAGGTCCCAGCTACCTAATTCATTTGAGTTCGTGAGCATACCTACATATGTATGTACCAGAGTAGGCACGAATGAATCGAATAAGGAGTAACATGGCAAACAGCCCTGGGAATTTCTTGATGTGACAATTACCTGCTGGGAAGTCACGAGAGACTGATACACAAGTACATTGTGTACGTGACTGGGAATTCGATATTGCCTTGGATGGGAAAGCAAGCGCACCCATGGACGTCGTTCCCGTCGTCCTTGCCTCATATTAACTTGTGGCATCAAGCACCCAGGTAGGTAGGTACATCCAGACACGGTAGGTAATTTAAACCTCTCATCCATCAACTTCATTGCTACACCAACAAAATCGACTCATCAACCCTAACATCAGTTCCCTTGCTTGATTCTACCCACATATTCAAGATGCAGATCGCAGCCATTTTGTTGGTCCTTACCTCCGTGTGCATCGGCTCCGAGGTATCAACAGCAATCCGACTTCAGCGAGACGATATTATCGTGTCTGCCAATTCGACCGCTGACTCTTCTGGTATCGGTAATGGTACTCTTATGAAAGACATCCGCAGCCAATGCGATAGCAACAGCTTCGGACTGGTGTCTTCTCAAGAAAGAATGGGGGTCTACTATATTCGAGGGGTCTGCGGCGGCCTGTATAAAGATCGTAGTCTAACACGATGCTCCTTCCTAGACCTTGGCATGTGAGTCAAGTTTCCACGAGCGCACGCATCGCCTACAATGTAAAAGGAAGTTGTTAACAAATATTCTTGGGTATAGGTGTTACATGAACGATGGGGGAACCATAAAACCTGGAAAGTTGGGCGATTTCCATTCCTCCTGCAGCAGCTGTTCACTCCATATAATCCACGACTTGAGCATACTGGCTTGCGATTGCGATAAAGGCCCAGGTAATGGTTGGGGGACGCAGCCGACTACGATCCAACTTGGTATGTCTGATCGGGAGGTATTTGAAAGATCGGGGACAGAAACGCTGACTTTTCCTTCTCAAAGACGATCTTCTGGTCGTCAAGAACGGTTTCATAAGCTGCTATGGCTATACCAACTTCGAGTGTCCGGCGGGCAACGTGCCATACTAAGTTTTTCGAAGACGAATATGCCTTATGTAAAAGAATATGATTGATTTTCGTATCAAAAGTTTCAAAATTACGTCTGACACCATCAAGGTTTCTTTGGGGTGGGTTGAGGTCTAGAATTTAGACTATAGCTGGGCATTAGCAAGTTAGGTCGAAACACAATACTGAAGCCGGACCGATTTCGATTGAGCAACCCATATTTCGCCCCAGTTGTGGATGTTGTCCGGCTCTGTCCCCGTTAGATAGTACAGTTGTAGTACTAGTTTATGGGGCAACTAATTGCGACGATGAATCCCGTGACGACTTAATTATCTGTTAGAATCACAAATTCTAATTGGGATTCTTAGCATCTATGACGAGCTATCTTTAGGGAGACGGCTAGTTTAGCTAGTGAAAGGGGCAGATACCTACTAAAGGGGACCTAGGAACTGTCCGGTTATAACGAACATCACACATTGTGATTAGGTAATCGAATATCCACTATATCCATTTCTGTTTAGTAAAGTTCATCTTTCGCGACTTCACCTCAGCAACCTCACCACAAAGCATCATCATTACATCTCCTCGGTGTCTGTAACCTGTTCTAATACCAAATTTGACCTAATCTAAGATAAGGAATCTCTTAGAAACTTGGCGGCTAGCCCTCCGAGATATTATCCAGCTGTGTTTCAATTGGCCATGGTTGGGTTTCATTCGGTATTCAAGAGGCTGACGTTCGATGCTAGGTATCGAAATGTGACAACTCGAGATTCCGCTTAGTAAAGTATACGACATCGTCAATCCACCTCCACCTCAACCCCAACATGATATGGAGATAGCCTCTTGAGAGAATTCATCGTCCTGCTTCAACTTCTCCAACTTTGCGGGGCGTCTCCAACTTTCGATTATCATGCAATGTGCATAGGCGTGAAGGGTGGATTCTTGCTTCATCTTCATGATGTAATTTAAGCAAGATGAGACGCTATTCGGGCCTAAATCCATTCTCAAATGTTATGGAAGGTTCCGCATCTTCGGCGTCCCCAGTGGGGTGAATTTGGGGTCTGTTCGGGGTCGATAAACCCCTCAGCAATTCGGGGATGATCAAAGCTTCTACAGGTCTTCGTGATCGACAGAACATTCTATGTACGCTGTAAGTAATAATGAAGCTTGTCGGGATAGCCGCCAAGACGCGTCACTGCTTCTGTCTCCCACCGAGATGCTAGATGCTGAATGCTGCACATGGCAATAGACCCACGGATTTCTCCGATAGCATACTTGTTTCCTTTTACGAATGGGATGATATATGAGCTAGTTTTACAAAAGACTGGCCTAGAGCGATACTAATACGAACAGAGATTTTATCTGAATATTACACGCCCACGATAGGACGTGACTCCAAAAGATGCAAGGCACGCATCAGGGAAACCGCACGTACACATTACAAAGTACGCTCAGATTTACACTAGATATAGGTGACTACCTAGTAAGATACATGGTCACCAATGTCATTAATGCCCTTAGCCTCTCCGCGATGATACATTTCCGCCGAATCATTCCAAGTCGGAATCGAACGGTCAAGGATACAAGGAATATGGGGTCATACGGCATGAGACACGGCAGGATCGCCGACCAATGAGGTGTGTGACCTGTACGGAGGATCAGCCAAGGCTCTTACTATGATGACGGACTTTTCATTCTGTTTTCTAGCCTAAGTGGTCCCAAGTACCGTGCTCTTAAGCCACTAAACAGCGACTAAATAGCAACTAAACCACGAAGAGACTCGGTCCTCGGGCTAATTGCGGTCTCTCCACACTCCGCAAATCTCCAAGTTCACGATTCACCCCACATCATAGACCCCAGAACTCTCAGAATCCTTGGCGAACGTGGAGCGTGTTGCGTGGTTGGGATGTTCCAAGGTTATGAGGAACTAGAATTGGTAAGGAATGTTGGTGAGTAGTCGAGGTACAGGATAGGTGATCACTGATCCGGATGGTACACCCGTTCGACCGCAGTGCAGTGGACAATGGGCAAGGGGTAACCAAGCGGTGGCCAAGCAGTGGCGTAAAAAACAAGTACCTACCTACATTTATATCAACATTACCATCTAATTAAATAGCAGGATCCTTCCCGCCCTTTACATGCCCAAGTTCTAGACTCGTCACACCGTTCATTTCAAGTGACACAGCGACCGCGCAGAGCCTTCTCAAAGATCGTCAGGCTTTGGCTTCGGCTTCGGATATTCTCAAGTGGTCAAGTCAAGATGGGCTTCAAGGAATTTGTCAAGAGGAGGTCCCTCAGGGCGAAGGATAACCAGCGTACCAGGGCTGCCGAACTCACATTAAGAGAGTCGCTATATCCTATATGTCTTGTTACCGTTCTTTTCTTCCTTTGGGGTTTTAGTTATGGTGCGTAACAACACTACCTTGATAAGACTGACTGCCGGTCACACCCAACGGCGAATAAATATCAAGCTAACATCGCCAAGGTCTGCTCGACACGTTGAATAAGCATTTCCAAAACACACTTAACATCACCAAGTCGCGATCCTCTGGTCTCCAAGCCGCATATTTCGGGTATGTCTCGCCTTGAGGAAACACGTGCGCAACCCAATTGCTAATTCCCTCGTTTAGTGCCTACCCTCTTGCTTCTCTCGGTCACGCCAATTGGATTTTGCGCCACTATGGTTACCGGGCCACATTCATATGGGGTCTCTGCTTATACGGTATGTCGCGTGCGCTCATTAAAATGTAGAACCGCTTCGATTAACTGAGATACCATAGGCATTGGCGCACTCGTCGCGTTCCCTTGCATTCTTGCTAAGTCCTTTGCTGGCTTCTGCATGGCCATCTTCATCATCGGCAATGGCCTCGGATCCCTAGAAACCGCGGCGAACCCTTACATCACCGGTAGGTCATCCAATTCGTCCAGATTACGATGATACGATAATACTAACATGAGAAAAAAGTCTGCGGTCCGCCCCGATATGCGGAAATCCGCATCAACATATCGCAAGCCTTCAACGGAATCGGCACCGTCGTAGCGCCCGTGCTAGGCTCCTACGTCTTCTTCAAATTCGACGACGCGACGGCTCTCCGAAACGTGCAATGGGTGTACATCGCGATTGCGATCTTCGTCTTCATCCTCGCTGCCGTCTTCTTCCTCTCCGTCCTCCCCGAAATCACCGACGCCGACATGGCCTTCCAGGCGACCGAAACGCACGCTAACGCCGACGACAAGCCGTTCTGGAAGCAGTACCGCCTCTTCCACGCCGCCTTCGCGCAATTCTGCTACACCGGCGCCCAGATCGCGATCGCCAGCTACTTCATCAACTACATCCGCGACACGCAGCCCGACGCCGACGACACCAAGGCAGCACAGCTCCTCGCCGGCGCCCAGGGCGGTTTCGCAGCCGGCCGCTTCTTCGGCTCCTTCGTCATGCGCTACGTGCGCGCGCGCAAGGTCTTCCTCCTCTTCCTGGTCCTGTGTATCGTCTTCGTCGCCCCATCCATCACCCAGCGCGGCTGGACCGGCATGTCCATGCTCTACGTAACCCTGTTCTTCGAATCCATCTGCTTCCCGACCATCGTCGCGCTCGGCATGCGCGGGCTAGGCCGCCACACGAAGCGCGGCTCCGGCTGGATCGTCGCGGGTGTCATGGGCGGCGCCGCCGTCCCGCCCCTCACCGGCGTCGCGGCCGATTACCGCAACACGGCGTTTTCCATGATCGTGCCGCTGTGTTTCTTCGTCCTCGCCTTATCCTACGCTATTGCCGTTAACTTCGTCCCCGCGTACCGCGACCCCGCGGACGCGTTCTCGACGACGGAGGTCGGGCTGACGAATCGTCGTGACGACGAGGAGGCGGCGGATTCCGTCGGTGTTATTAGTGATGAGAAGGCTGTTCAGGCGGAGATTGAAAAGTGATTCACGAGGGATGGTGCCTCCCTACCTAGGGAACTTACTAAGGACCACGTCCTCAACCCCACCTGTTTGAGGCGGGTTAAGTGGAGATACACGATCTACCCCTACCTACCTACTCCTTGCTATTTACGAAATAAACAAATATATAAACGAATGAATACCTACCTGAATAGAAAGATCTAGTTTTTTTCTTTTACATGTCGAATGAATACCCGGGATATAAGTGAAAGAAGGAAGGGGGCGAAACAGCGGAAATGGAAATGGAAATTCTTAGCATGCGTACAAGCGCTTGTGTTTGACTTGTTTGTTCTTGCTATGAATAAATGAGGGTATGTAGAGGTTAGCGATGTAATGAGAGCTACGTCTACAATCTACAATCACATCTCCAATTTGCTTCATTGTCTTGTCTGCTGCCAGGTACCTATTACCGATTCAAGTTTCCTATCCACCGGCCGTGAATTGTGAATACATTAGAATTCATCATTACTAACTAGCTACTAGGTACTATGTAGATAGGTAGGTAGGCATTTTGGTGTGCGAAGCACCTAATCGAGACTGAACAAGCCCTCCCGTAATGAGCGAAGGTTCCGAGGTATCACCAATCCATGAGACCGACATGCGCCATGCAATTGCAAATTCCCGACCTCTATCCCGGGCCAAAAAAAACTCTTCAGCTCTGACTCTTGATATGGAGCTCGAAGGAACAACCACACATATACTGTGCCCCCTCGGGTCGACATCAGGTAGACCCCAAAGTAAGCGCGCCCAATTAACGCCATCCAAGCCTCCCCCAGCTTACCCCGGAAAGCAAAGGCCATGCGTCCTCGGTATAATCCTTCCCCTTCTACCCCATGTTTTACAGCACACCAAGTCGGCGAAGTTACTTCCGAGGATCAATTATACAGGTACGCATATCAATGGCGTAATAGGTAATGGATGCGAAATTTTGGTCAAGGCTGTGCATTGTTACCGCGAACGTCCTTCTTGCCTTCTTGAGAACCATGTCCTAGCGAACTCGCGGATGGGTTCTTCTGATATAATTTCGCGGCCGTTTGTCCGACCGCAAGATCCGGAGACCCGTAATAGCCGTGTAGTTCATTTACTTCTGCAAGCGGCCCTAGGGGGTTTCCTATCGTCGTATTTGCATTATTGTTATCACGCGCACCTCGCGAAGAGCCAGACGGGTCGCTGCTCCTCCTAACGTGAGAGATGGGGGTTTGAGTCATACTGTTGGACCGCCGTCGTCCCGGGTCGTCGTCGTTAGCGCCTAGCTCCGAGATGCTGTTGGCGCTACCGTCGAGTTCGCTGGTATTGCTAACTTGTCGTGCGTGTGTATGCGTCCCTTGTGAATCGACGCTGACTCTTTGTGGGTACATCCCGTTATCATGGTTATCGGGAGGGTTGGGAGGAGAAAATCGAGAAAAGTCTCCTTGCCAAGCGGGAGGCGTTGATGATGCGTTAGAACCCCAGAGGTTAGGTGTTTGAGATTGTGACCGTCCACCGACGGTAGAGTCATCAGATAAGGACCGGAAATGCGCGTTTCGGGCTCGAGCGACGGAGTCTGCATCCATCCCGTCGACCTCTGAGATCGTAGTCTGCTCGAAGCCCGATTTCTGCGAGCGAGGTTGATCGCTAGAAGACTCAAGTCTGGATCCGGCAGCTGCTTTGGTGGCTTTTTCTGTGCGCTTGAGCTGCCAAATGACGAGTGCTGCAATTGCGACAATGACAACCAGTAAAGCGACAGCACCTCCTATTATGCCCCCTATCTGCGACGAACTAAGACCGCCTCCACCGCCACTACTAGTACCGGTCTCAATAGATGGCAGTTTTGAGACGGTGCTGGCAACCAATTTTGGTACATTTGCAGCAGTGGCGGCGGATGTGGCCGACGTTCCTGGGGTGAGGACTGTTGTGCTCGTAACGACCGTCGTGATTGTGTCTCCTCTTGAATTAGTGGTCGTCACCGTATCGCTGACGGCGTATGTCTTGGGAGGGCCATAGCAAGTGTAACTTCCGCATGTCATTCCGTTCGGACAGCACCCGTACGGAGATGACGTGCAAGCAAAAAATGATGCTTGGCAGGTTTGCGATACTGTCGATCCAGCCGGGGGCTGGCAGCCGGATTTGTTGCATATATAACCTGTAGGGCAGCAACCCCCTGCAAAATACTAGTATTAATGTCTGTCTAAATATTGCAAAATATTCTTGGGAGTTAGTGTGTGCTCACCCGGACCGTCATTTAATGGGCAATTATAATACCCGTCCCGTCCGCACGCCGATGTTGGTCCTCCCGTTGTAGCATAACATGATGATACGGCGCAAGCATAGCCCTCAGGGCAACACCCGCCATTGACTGATGCCGAACATAGATAATAATTTGATTGTTGGCAGGAAGCGTCGCGTTTAGGATGACGGAAGAGATCATAATCCTTTCCCCATTGATGAATTTGATATCCTTCGTCGCCAGTAGCTATTGCGGCGGGAGCCAAGATCGTCAGCGCCGCCAACCCGACAAAAATCGAACCTAAGAGCTCCCTCATCGTAATGTCTTCCGGATTTGACGTTCTCGGGGGTCCGTGGTCGATGTTCTGAAAATGCAAATTGAGTTGCCTAATCGGGTGCCTTGTCGTCCCTCACACCGTGGTACCCTCACGAGGTTACATGCGAAATGCTTCAATATCGTCGGATGGTGAGCCGCCTACAGAATAGTTCGCCCAGCAAATATTTCTATGTCTAAAAGTCACTAAAAGTCGCAAGTATGGCTGAAGATAGATAAACCCAAGATATGAAAGTGAGGCTCTAGCTTGTTAGGATTGCGCCACGTTGTGGAAAAAGACCCGACGACCGTCAGCACTACATGGGTGATAGCTTACAAGCTGGCTTCACTAGTTACTCTGGAAATAGCACTCCAATACCCTAGAGATCGAGATGCCCCATCAGACTATAGCCCTCGACACGTAGAAGAGCGGAGCCAACAGCCATAGATCGACAATGATACAACTTGGGGGATATTGGGGGCGACAAGGGTTGGAGAAGCAATAGATATCTTAGATGGGATTCTGGGGAGAAGATCAAGACATATTCACTGGCATCGTTGCCACTGGACTGCAGCAAAGAGCGGGAGGGGTCATCCACATGCAGAAGCCCCCGCAGCTGCAGATGGCGAACTCGAATGTCTTATGCCAGTCAGCTTGACGAATATGTCTCGTAAGTGTAACGCCAACAAGCTGAGATGCATGGTAGGCCCCTAAATAAGAACACATCCCGGCTGCGAGTGAACGTGAGTGTCAGCTTCGACAGTTCTTGATTGGATCCAAGACGCGGGCCGAAAAAGAAGGGTGTCCGCCTTTTCCAGCTGGTACGACCTTTCTGCCTGGGTCTTAGGTATCGCAAGCGTTTCCTTGTTGAGTTCTGAATGGTTATTCCTCCACTGGCGGTCAGTGGCGCGATAACGGAGTTCTACCGGACTTAGACTTGCACTATATAGATATTGCGATCCGTGAAAATATCAAGGAGGCCTACTCTTCTGTTTGTAGGCGCGTATGCGTAATCTCTACTAACGAGGATCGCAAACCGCAACAACAGTGATTAGGTAGGTAGGTACTAATATGCGTAGATCCATCTCAATTGAGATCTATCGTCTTCGCATCGTGACCTAGCATCTGGGTAGCTCTAAGCTGGTCTAAAGATGTGCACATATAGTCTTAGACTTGCAGGTAACTGGACCTTAGGGCTGACACCCGACCAGGGTGAAAGTGGTATGGTAAAAGTAGTGAACAGGCTAACAACATTGAACCCAATTATTTTTAGGAACAAGACAGTGCTGGAGCTAATACGATATGATTTTCGTTGATGGATTGATGGATGACGATTGACATTTGAGAGGTGGTGATGAGGTTAAAACATTAATCGAAAGTTGATAATAATCAATTTGAAAAGGACTTATGTAATATACTACCTAGGTACTTAGCAGAAGTAAGGTTCAGATTATAGTCAAGTGTTGGGCTTAATTACTCCCTAAAATGGAGTTGCGACAGATTTCTAGCGCTATTTCATGCCCAAATAAGTAGCTCGTACCACATTCTCGGTCGCACAATGCCTTCCATGATGAAATCATCATGAAATAACCAGAGTTGGGTCAAGTCGTTCCTGGATCTTGTACAAGGAAAGATGATTAGAATGAATCAGAACTTGATTTGTCATCTGTCAAACTTTACTTACAAAGGTTGCGGGTGTCTAGCTCATTTCTATATTTAATCATCATCATCGTCAAGATAATATCGAATATATTACATTAGTAGATAACATCCCATTCGTCGGTAGAACCGGCGGGGAAGGCTTAATACTAAACGAATATACTAAATATACACCATTTTCAAACTCGACAAAAGAAAACCAAGAAATCGACATCATCATCATTGAGAGAATTCCTCTTGTCTACGATAACTGAGTAATACAAGGCAGGTAGCTATAGAGCCGATTGACGACAGACATCAGACGGCGTACGGTACCTAGAACGGCACATTCCGATCTAGTCGGCGATGAAACGTTGTCACGTTCTGCTTCGTTGGGTTAACTTCAAAACTCGTGATCGCAATCCTAGCTAGGCCTTACCGCTAACCAGCTACTAAACTGGGCAGGTATCAGCTAGCACACCACCATCTCAAACCACGAACGGCCTAAACGCCATACATAGTAAAAATCAGGGGCGACGATATAAGCAACGGGTAGGTAACCCGAGGTATTTGGTTTTTGCGTATTCGCATCTTATCAAGGTAGATACTATACCCGCTACCCAAGGAGTGATGCCCGGGTATCTGCTAGGAACTGGAGGTGAAACAAGTCATTTCTCCACCAACCCGTCCTGTCTTGACTTGTTATTAATCACATCTATAGGGGGTGGTATTCGGGTTTTATGCCGCAGACTTGGATGTCCTCTCGAGATTGCTCCGCAGAGTAAATCTTGCGAAAATTTATGATAATAGTTTTCGAGATTCGAGGCCATGAGGTCACAAGGTCACGAGGTAGAGGTTTGGCCAGCCAATGTCGTTCATTTAATTCTGGATAATATGAGGCTCAATTGCGACTTTAGGCTTGATCTTCTTCTTTATCTCTCGTCTTCCAAGTTGGGATGATCAGGAAGATTATGAAGATTATGTAACTGACAAGTCCCTCGATTTCATCTCCAACGAGAGCCAACAGAATCAGGCGAAGGATTATTCTTAATATGTACCTACAGTAACCTCCCCGACGCCTGTGGACTGCGTGGATCCTTACCGTTGCAACCCCGCAAGTTGATTTACCTTGTCGATCGTCGAAATTTCTCCACACTTTAGTTCGTGATAAGTCAAGCATGGCTGCCATGGTCTGCTTGGACCTGGATCTACCACCGCGCTGCGCTAATCTTTGGGGCTCCTTGGGGCTTCTTGTGGACTCCTTGGGGAATTCTAGTAGTTCTAGACTTCATTTCCGAAATACACATGAATACTCATTCGCTATTTTAGCTGTATTCATCTCTGTCCCCTTCGGAGCCCATCTCCGGTCACCGTCCTTCTCGACTAGGTTAGTGGTCGAAGTTGGGGCTTTGACCTGCAGTTTTCTCCACAGCGTCACGATGATGGTTGAAAGGTGAGATTCCTTGGGCCTTATTTGCTGCATTTTACTTCGTACTCTCCTCCCCGTCCTCTCACTTCTTTTTAGATCATCAGGAGTCTGATCAACCTCGTTATATTCTCTCTAGTACCCAACACTTCTTGCATTGTTCTATGTCTTGAACAGCATCTTCGTTGGAGTAGACAGAAACAGCAACACCTCGGCCTCCTCGGCCTGAGTAGCCTCGTCCAATTTGAGGGGTAATAACATTACGCGAATTGAATCTTAACGACGAAGAGTTTCGGTACAAAGGTGTGAGGAGATGATAACACTACCTGGTGTTAGCTGGCAAGATGTTGCTATATACCAAATTCGCTCCTCCTAAGGTGCCAAAGAGGCGCTCTCGAGCAGGTCAGTATGAGCTACGCAATTTGATTCCGAGTGCCAGATTTGTCTTTCTCTTCTTGAGCGCATAGCTAACTCGTAGGTCTTGTTCAACATAGGTTGCACATTTTGGTACGTTCAAGCCTACATCCTACCCAATTGACCGCTTGTCTATTCGTGAATAATGCAACTGGTTTCCTGACACAATTATAGTAAGGAGAAAGTATGGCGCATTTTCTATTGTTAGCTGCTATCTTACTATCTAGCGCGCTTTCTAACACGGTATTTGCGACAACTAGAAGAAGAAATGTGACGAAATGCGCCCTCAATGTGCGCGATGTGCCGAAAAAGATCTCGAATGTACTTATGAGGCGGTAAGGCCACGCCAGCGGAGAAAGAAAGAGCCTTCACAATCCGAATTCCTACAACAGCACGGGGCGCGAGAGTCTATGTTAGACGATCATCAGTGGGACGAGCCTACGACCGATGACATATCTATATCCGAGTGCTTCAGTCCGACAGATACTGAATTTAATGCTATGTCTCCAATGAACTTATCGACCGCGAGTGAGATCCCGATCTCTCCTATTGATACCAGCCCTACCACTTGCGACCATGGAATTATAGATGATATAAATCAAATAAATAGCGTGGTACGGAATACCTCAACCATCAATGAGGGTCCACAAGCGCGGTCCCTACAACCTGACCTCGCCATGATCGCCCCTTGTCCTGTCGGGTCCCCAAGACTTGAATTTGTCTTGCCAACATATTCTGAATTCTCGAACCGCACCAATCGACGCGCCCTTGTCGATCATTTCTGTAATGTCCTGTCGCATTTGATCGTTTTTCGGGAGGAGTCTGGAAATCCTTTCCAGCAGTTGGTGTTGCCGCTCTCTCACTCAAGCCCACCAATCACGAATGCCATATACGCATTAGCGAGCGCCCACCTGGAATACCGAGGCGTTGAAACATCGGAGAAATCGCTGTACTTTCATAATCAAGCCATTCAAGGATTGGCTAGGTTAATCGAGCAGGAAGGTAAAGTGGATAGGACCGAACTTCTAGCGGCTATTATGCTCCTAGTCTATTACGAAGTTGTGAGTGATATTGACGATACTTGCATGGCTCTCATAGCTTACTAACCTTACAGCTTGTTCAACGCGGACGGTCAAGCATAGTAGATGGGCATCTTAAAGGGGCTCTGACCATCATGTCAGCATCTCAAGAAGAGTCAACCCCAGCTAGCCTCTTCTTGGAACGCGTAAGCTGCCTGCGATCATAGCGATTCCCCAAATGGACATACCTTACTAATCAACTGTAGGCATTTCGGTTCTATGATGTTATCACGGCGCTGTCATTGGGATCGGCTCCTCTCTCGACAGCTCCGGCTGCTGGCTGCCTCATCCCATTTGCCCCTCTAGATGCTCCTGCCGCGTCTCCTCTTAGCAACGTGGACACCTTACTGGGAATGTCTACTACCCTATGGCCAATAATGCATCGTCTATCTAACCTCCTTTCTCTAAAGAACGACATCGAGAGAGCGTCTCGAGAAAACCAAACCTCTAAAAGCGCAGTTCTAAGAATGGAGTTTGAAACTACTTCCCAGGCTATCGAGACTGCTCTTACTCGATGGGAGCCTTTTCTTCCGCCGAATATTGCGATTCAGGATGGCGCATTGAGAAATATCGACGGGGAAGAGATTCCGGAGCAACTGCTATTGCAATCCATTCTCCACAATGCTTTGGCGTACCGGCATAGTGCTTTTGTCTATCTATATCGTACTATCTATGGATACCCGGCGCATCGCGAGGTGGTACAGAAACATGTTCATTCTGCGCTTACCCATTGCGTCGAAACGGTTACATATGGAGGTCCAATGGGGGCACTATTGTGGCCTCTATTCGTAGCCGCATGCGAGGCGGTCAGCGTTGTAGATAGAACGTTGTCTCGAAGAGCGTTTGTTGGAATTGACCAGCGTCAAGGCATGACCAACATTGCACAGGCATGGAAGATTACTCAGGAGGTTTGGAAAAGGCTAGATGCGACAAATAACGATATCCCAGAGGTTCACGATACCGCTCTTTGGAGGAAAGTCAGCGCCGAGATGGGGGTCAATATCGTCCTTGGTTGAGACCTCGGCTAAGTTCGGACCTAATTGCAGGTTGTCGCAGCACTGCAAGGGACAAATATCACTAACGCGACCGTCTACTAGCGGGCGAATTTTGATTTTTACTACCTCGTTGGTGATGATCCTTCATTCCATCCTATCACATCACGAAACAAACCCCCGAAGTAAGATATCCGCCTCAGGTGTAGCTACTAGCTGAATGGTGGGACGATGGGAAATAATTAATACCTTACCTAGTCGTGGGCGGCCGCCACAGAAGTGAGCGATAGGGCCTTACGCGCATCGGAACAGGTCCATCGGACACTAAAACGTGGTTGGATGCAGGTAATTCCACGGATTTTGTGTAACAAGCAGTGATCGGGTGTGGGAGAGAGATGACGATGGTACTCTGACACCTTAATGCCATTAAAAAGATGCGGATATATAGCGCCGACTCTGGAAAAGCCTGCGCTATAAGGAGTGTGAGTGTGTTGCTGTGGGAGTTTCGCAATACCTACACCTTTTTTAGGCTATTCTCCATACGGACATCCCCCTTTTGAGAAAGCGTATCCGAAGATTCACGGCCCTATGCCGTTTATTCTACGCAATGCCGTGCTAGGCGTAAGAATTCTATACACTTATAAGGGAACAAGACGCTAGATGGCATATCTCATCTAGACCCTTATTCGGATACTAATTCTTGTAACCTTTATGCATTTCTTGCAAACTCTTGGAATTTGCGTGGACCAATGCGGTTGCGAGGGTTTTTATGGCGCCATCGTACCAAGTGGTTGACCAACCCCTCAAACCCATAAGCCCATGTCAAGCTTTAACTATGGCTGATATATGTGATGTATAAGTGGAAATTTCCGAGTCGCGCACAAAATTGCCATGGCTTGGGTGGCCATGGGTGTCCAAGGGGAGCATCCTTCAGGCTTCTACCGATCTGCCGTGTGATGAATTGGGGATGCTTATGCGTCGAATCAATGGAGGGGAAGGTCAGCGAGCTAGTTAGCTAGCCAGCTAGCCAGTTAGCCAACAAGTATGGTCGGTGGTAGATAAAACGACTATAGCCAGACACAGAAGAAACGCTACAGTATTTCTCAGAGAGATACGGAATAATGATCAGGGTATCTTCGATGTTACCCAACTTTGACGAGCTAGGATCTTAAACATATTTCGGCCTTATCTTTATATAAAAGACTTCACGTCTAATATTTACCTTACTGCCGGTGAGACGAAAAGAGCTGGTCAAATATGATGTGTATGTAGTTGGCGTAGTAATACATACGATACCTACATCGTATGTCGTACATATACCTACCGTACATATGCTGAGGAATGTTGAGAAGCTGACGGAGGAAAATGTTCATGATGATAGGTGTGTACCTGGTTATGTGTACTCTTAAGGCTCTAGGACTAGGACATGGATGTATGATGGATGTATGTACGTAAGTGAGAATAGCGGCCTTTTTCTTCTTCTCCTTTTTTCCTCACTTGTGATTCGACATGATTAATGACTTAAAAATCTTCCCACGGACCACGTCGTATTATCTGTCAAACCCCGCGGTCCCACAATCTCCTAGTCGATCATCACAACCGTCCATTGTAGTTCTGCCCTAGCCCGCCATCCCTAAATTATCTCCCTCTTGAACGCTCGACCGCTTCCCCCAGTTCCTAGCCTTGGATATTTTCCGCGTTTCCGCCGTATTGGTTCTAACGTACATAATTCTCGGCGCTCTTATTATTTGCGATCCCCAATTCGATAGATTTTCACATAGATCTTTTATACAACACACCACATGCGAGTCCTGGAACTTGCCGTATCATCAGTTCCAAGTTATTGAGTCTTGAGTCTTGAGTCCCGACCTAGCTCGGAGCTCTCGTACTCCAGTAGCTCCAGCACCTCTAGCACTTCCAGTACCTCCAGTACTTCCAGCATCTCAGCTCCCCCAACTCGTTAGCGCATATTCTCTCGCTCTTTATATTTGACGACCTAAAACACGCAGCACACCCGCATCTTTGATTTATTTCCGTTGGTCCCGGTTACACGCACTTGTCTCGCACCTAGCTGCCGTACTTCGTGTATTGTACATCATCACACCGACTTAACTTTAGTTCAACTTAGGGGAGGCAATGTCTTCTTCAAGAAGTTTGTTGCTGTGAAGAAAAAGAACCTGGAAGCTTACGGAAGAAATGAGTCTCGAGCTGAATCAAGCAAGATTCTTTCGAAACCCCCTCGTCTTCTCCATCTCTCCCCACAGCTTACAACGCGGAGTGACAGGAGCTATATCTTACCCTTACCTATTACGCGCACGTTGATCCTTGTTGCATTTGGCAGAGGCGCAGGGACAAGAGCACTGGCACTGACTAAGAAAAAAACACATCCGCGACTAACTGGATTGACGTTGGCTCGCCTTCATCCCATCAACCGCAATCGCAACTGGAGAACCTGGAGTCTGACCCGGCATCAAAGCTCGTGATCTTCTCGTACGACCCAGCCTGCATCAGAAAAAGGATTTTTCCAATTTCCACTATCTTCTCTGCCTTCTCTACGTTTTCCACGCTGATCCTTAGCGACGCCTCATTTCTGCGATTTGTCCACTTCCAAGCTTTCCCACCGTGCCACCTAGAATCCGCCCTCTAAGAATGGTCCATTGAAGGCGAACCCCACCGTTTTCGTGTACCCAATGTGAGCGTATGTGAGACAATCCACAAAAAAATAAGAGCAACGCAACTCGATGGAGTTATAGAGAGCCTTGGTGCGTCGAGCTTTAGGTGCCCGCGATATATCTGATAGAGTTTCTTACTTTTCTAGCACGACGCTTCGGCCGAAGTCAATTATAAGATAAAAGGGGTTCTCGCTATTGTTATCGTCATTGCTGTCGTCGATATAGCGCCCACACAAAAAAAACATCATGGTAACTCTCATCAATAGCAGCGGACCCGATCCGTTGCCAACGCCTAAACAGATCCGATTCGTCAATAATCAAGGTCAACCACCTACCAAGAGAAGAAGGATAAACGCCGCGTAAGTATGGATGACTTCCTTTGTCCGGTGATGAGGACCTGAGAGGGGGACTGAACCGTGATTTGCACCTGGGGTAATTGACGACTCTTTTCCTATTGTTTTTTCCTTCTGTCGTTGTCGCAATCCTCACAGGAATCCCACAGACCCACCAGTTCAGTCCCAACATCAGGGGGTACGACACCGCGAACGTCTCAGCTGACAGCGGCTTCTCTCTTCATGTCAGATGCCTCACTTGCCGTAGGCGAAAGACGAGATGTGCCGGCGAACACCCTACGTGTTCGACCTGCACCAAGAACGGACATGTATGCTTAGGATACTCCGACGGTATCGAGAAGAGTATCAGTAAGAAGGAACCTGGCCGACGACCGGATGGCACCAATTTCGATATCGACGAAGACGAATACGCAGACGAAGAACCGGAGGTCGATCGCAAGCAATGGAAGAACGGTAAAAATGGAATCAAGCAATTCGATATGCCCGACGACTCCCCAAAGTCCTCTCGCAGGACATCGGAACCGGAACAGGACCGAGTGAAGCTTGATATACAATTAAAATCGGAAAATATAGACTGGGAAGAACCTAGCTCGCAACCGACACCGCGTCCTGAACCACTCCGACGACCTATCAATCCTCGAAATCCCTCGTTCTCAACCGAAGGTGGCCATAGTGAGACTGGTCATTCGCCGGTACAATACCATAATGAGAGCCATCGAGTTCCGTACTTTCGCTACTTCGGCCCGACCGCTATAGTGCCAGGTTTTAAACAGATGGTGGTTAAGGTCCGGGATCGAAGACGTAGCTCCATATCGGCTACCTCACCCAGCGGTGCGAGTTCCATATTCTCCGGTCTCATGACCTCGATGCAGCAAGACGTTGAATTAGGCCACCTAGACGATATGCCCATTTACGACCCGACCGACACGAATGATGTACATCCTCTGATTATCCAACTCGTCGATACATTCTTTATACATCTAGGAAGCAACTACCCCTTCCTACGTCGCGAGAAATTCCCTAAGTTAGTTCAGGAGAAGCGAGTAGAACCCATATTAGTAGATGCCGTCTGTGCTCTCGCAGCTCGGTTCTCCGATAACCCCCTGTTTCGAAGGTGGAACGAAGGCAAGCTAGCTAAATCGGAGTATGGCTACATATATGCCCAGCGAGCGAAGTCGGCAACCGTCGATACCTTTCCATGTCCATCGGTCGCTGCTGTCCAGGCATGTCTATTGATGGCATATGATGGTTTCGGTGCCGACCAGGATAGCGCCCTGTGGATGTACTTAGGAATAGCGATTCGTATGGCAGTAGACTTAGGCTTGTCTAAAGAAGATGGTGTGCGGTATCAGGGCGAGAGAGATCCTTGGTATGCACGCGGATATAACAGAAAGGAAGGCGACGACTTTGTCCAACCGAGTCAAGTTGGTGCAGATGGGAACGTTCTCACTCCCGAGGAACAGAAAGAGGTTGAACAGGAACGGATTGACACATTTTGGGCCGTGTTCTTCTTAGACCGCGCCATTTCCTCTGGTACTGGTCGACCTGTCACCCTTAAAGATGACGACTTCGAACTGGAACTCCCAAAATCATCTATTGATCCTGTATCCGGGTGGCCCGACCCATTGGCATCGTTGCTGCAGATTATTCATCTCTATGGCCGAGTTTCGGACGTGCTTAATAACATCACGCATGCCCAAGACCTTACACAAGACAAGTTGAACAAGCTGTCTCATATGGAGTCGGAGCTCACAAGACTCCATCAGAGGACTGATCCACGCCTTCGGTTCGATGCCAACAACTTTCAAGCTCACGTCAAGAATGGCCAAGGTACAACCTTCATACTTCTACACTTTTGGTTCCACGCTTTGATCATCGTCCTACACCAGCCGACGTTATTAACGAAAGAGGGTACGATCAACCGCTCGCATCAATTGAAGCCACATAGTCGGGAGTTATCTATGTCGAGTGCCAAGACGATTGCCGATATTCTCGCCTTCGCCGAATTACTCGATCCCAAATGCTTTATCGGCAATCCATTTACCTCCCAGCCTATATATATCGCAGCATGTGCGTTCATAAAGGAGTCTAAGTCTAGCATGTCACAACCGGCTTCAAGAGACACATCCCCTTCCCCCGATGCAAAAGGCCATGCAAATAAGGCTCATCCGGTTACGATAGACCCGGGTCCGGCTTCGAGGCACCTCTTACTTGCCTCAGCCGCGAATCAGAACTATCAAGCTTGCTACAAAGCCCTAAAGCAGATGCACACATATTGGGGAGGTGTTCGATACATATTAACCGCACTAGATCAGAAACTCGACGGTCAGTGGGACTGCGAGACTTACACGATCGAGGAGTACGAGAGTGCCAGGCGTTATCGCCAAAGCAGCGCCATCGCCAGATTCGCGAAACAATTCGAATACCCATCCTCTCCAATTCCCGACAACGGACCTCCTCTAGCATGGTCGTTAACGGGTACGACCAATTCGCCGAATTCAAGCTTAACGCTACTCTTCCAGAACCCTGTGAACCCGAACGGCGCCATGCCCACCCAAGTCCTCCAATCCACCGTTCCCACCTCAGCCGCTCCTACATCCGCACCTACACCGCCGGGAAACATGATTTACGACCCCATACGCCAGAGTCTACCAGAGACCACGGCATCCATCTACCACCCCGCCTACCCGCAACCAGCCACATCCGCAATGCGGCACTCAATAAACCGCTCGCGCCGCGTCTCCGGCGGTTCAGGAGCGCAAGGCAAATCCTCATATCTACGCTACGAAAGCATGTCCTCCCAAGACGACCTCAACAAGCCCAACTCCTCACAAGTAACCCTAAGCGTAGCGCCGACATCCTACACGCCATCATCGCAGCAATCGTACGAGCAATCGGGCGGGAGCGGGTATCCGACGAACGGGTCACCGGCAAGTAGTACGCAGAGCCAGAACATGTCGACATCATCGACGTCAGACGGGCCGTCGAACTTCGCGCAGAGCGGGAGCGGGCTCGCTTCTAGCGGGTACTCGTACCTCGGCCCTGGCGGGGCGTCGAATCTGCATCTGCTCACATATGATAATGAGACGGACATCGGACAGCATTTGACGAGTTTTGAGAGCACGGAGATGATGAGCTGGTTTGGGGAGTATTGGCCTGGGGATAGTACGTGGTTGTTTCCCGGGGACTCGACGATGTCGTGATGGTTATGACTGATGAGGGTGATGATAATGAGGGGGGATGAGCGATGTTGGAAATAGGTGCTTTGGGGGGGGTTACAACGACATATACATACATACCTACATAACCTACGCCACCCTGATCTAAGCAACACATCTACTTGCTTACTACACAGCGCGCTTTTCACGTTTTACTATATATACAATACGTTATTCGAGATATACTAGTTCCGGCGGAATTATCTCACGAGATTACGATTCGACGTTATTACGGAGCGAGGTCGGGCTATGTGGTTTTTACCGAGATACCATCCATGGTCCTTCCCTCGTCTACCTATACTTATTCTTTAGAGCGATTTTCATTCCCGTCATGGGTTTTCCTCTCGGGCACGATTTTTCTTTGTGCAGGGTTGAGCTTCGCGGCTTGGGGTACACGATAACAATGCGCTTTGGGGGATCTAAAGAAGGCTCCCGGCGGAAATAGGAGAGAATGTGAGGGAATGAGAGATTTGGGGTTGAGATGAGTCGGGGAGAATGTGGGCGTCGATTCACTTGCCGACATACTGCCTGCTATCGGGTAGGAATTGGCTGTTAACGTATACATCACGAGAGAATATAGGTAGGGTCCGATCAACGTTTCCTGCGGAAGACAAAAGGGGATTGGGGTTAATAGGCCATATGGTGAGCCGTCTACATCGCTCCCGGGCGACCTAACGCAATATAAAGAGATAATCTTCATATATTTCGCCTATGACGGTGATGAAGGCACGGTATAAATTACATAGGCAATGAAAACGGAATAAATCCAGGTGGGGATTGAGTAGGTACCTACTGACAGCATTAGTGCAAGTTAAGCATTACCACCAAAAATCAAATCCCCCAACATACTCATCTTCACCACTCAATCATCAAATAACCCCCACGAACGTCGTAAGAATCGCCAAGCAACGAAGCAAGGGGCAAAAACTCATGAGCCGCATGTGGAGTGCTCTCCACTGCGTTGCATATATTACCCCTGACTAGATGACATCAACGAAGCCGTCAGACGCGGGCCTTGACGTAATGGCACGGCGCGGGATAAGCTTCCGTATGAGATCATATCAAACCGACTTTCCATATATATATATATATAAAACTAGGACACCATCTAAACACTACCTATCTTCTCTTCTCTTTTCTCCATATCTACCTGACACTCTCCCTTCTTACCTAGATACCAGGCATAGAAAAGATAAAATAGTAACCCAGAACTCACCAAACCACACCACAAAATGGCACCCTCCAAGACCCCCGGCCAAAAAGACGCCGCGAGCCAAACATTCCTCAAGAAGCAAGCCGAAGGTACCTACCTCCCCTTCCCTCCTCCCCATAAACCCCAAACTAACAATCCCCTCCCCCCCAGCCCAAGGCCTAGGCGCCCCCAGCGCGCCCGCGCACAAAGAACCGCACGCGCCAGGCGAAGCGCCCGTAGCGTCGGACTCGGGGATCACAGACGTGGGGATCGAGGGCGGGAGCACCAACGTACCGGGGGAGAAAGGGATTACGGGACCGCGGGTGCGGGACGAGGTGGATCGGCAGGGGAATTCTATGGTTTAAGTACCTAATAAAGATTTATACTACCTTTGTAGGTACGTTACGACGGATTACTTAACACCGAAGGCAATTCCGAAGTCTTATGGTCCAATTTTTCGATTTCGTTCTATAGGAGTATGACATGTCGAAGCCAAGTTAGGTAGGTACATGTTCCCTATGTGAAGATGTGGCATTGGCAGTTCTAAAATTTCTCTTGTAAGCTAGGCCACACAGGTTCGTCGCATTGCCCCCGCTCCTCTATCCATGCTTGGATCCGTTCGATATCCCATCCGCTAATCCACCTGTCTCCCGGTTTATCCGTCTTGATTGTTGGTTTTCCTAGTCTGAAAGACCTGTTGTAGATGCAGGCACCGGCATGGTAGGAGAACTGGAAGCAGTTGTTAACGGTTCTGCATAAGTTACGGCAGTCCTCGAATGACTTGTATGCGTTCATCTCGATGGCCGGGACGTGGAGCTGATACTGCAGCTTCTTGAGACGGTCTTTTTCTCTCTGCCACGGCGGGAATCTTTCTCCGTGGTTCGGATCTAGGTACACCACATCCTCGCTCATGTTATCCCAGTCGTTGCGTATAGGTTTTAGTTTAGGTGCGACAAACTCGTGATAGATGTCTTTGAATCGTATCGTGGGCTGAGGCGTGCCCTGTGACTCGTAAAATCGCTTTTCAAACTTCCAAAACGAAGAAATCTCCTCTAAATCCATGTGATGCATGGTAACCAGTGGATGGCACCACTCGCGGGGGCCGTACGGGATAGTATAGGGCTTTTCGCCGTTGATTGTCGGCCACTAAAGATTGTCACTCCTCTCTGATTCCTCATTTTGAAAACGAGGAGATATGAATCTCTTAATTCATATAAAATCCAAATATCAGCATGGTAAGAGAGTACTTACAGCATATTTGACACCCACTCCAATTGTTTCATTCAAGGCTAGGGCTAGCACGGCGTCCCCACAGCACGATTCTTTAGCCTTCATATCATACTGATTGGCGATGCTAGAATGATTTCCCACAAAGTCTCTTATAGTCCACTGTGAGAGGATGTACCCGCTGCCGCCGTGTGCGAAGCTGAACTCGTTGGTGAGAGCAACGCTACCAATATAATACTTGTCTCTAGGCAGGCTTTCCAGCTGGCGTAACCATTGGGCAAGGTTATTCCAGAGAACATAGGTATCAGCATCGATGAAGAGGTACCAATCGTAGTGAGGGCGCAATTTATAGGTTTTCTCGACAATATGGACATTTTTATATTTGTCCAAAATCCAGCCGTCAAACTCGCTGCCGAGATTTCCATTGCTATTACAACTCTGCTGGTCCACGACACAAGCCTTTTGTCGATTATAGAGGCTGAAGTCCGGATTACCCTTCGTCACTTCCGGGAGTATAGTATCTAGGCTGTCGTATACGTGACATCCAGCAATATCTTGCTCCATATCTGAAAAGATAAGGAAGTCTGGGAGACATCTCAAGATCGTGACAAGTTGGAGGGGAATTCTTGAGTATGACTCAGTAGCTCCGGTCTTTATGATGACCAATACGTTGGATGTATTTGGAAAAGAGTCACATGTGCCATAGTGTCTTGTTAGATGCAACCCTGAGCTGTCAGACTCATCAGTACTGACGAAGCTAGGCCGGTTAACATGAGCCGAATTATGAGGACGCCTGAACGATGGGATTTCAAGGGAAGAACTCTGAAGAGACCATGTAGAGAGACGCTTGGATATGAGGAAGAACATGCCAAGACATGAGACGACTGCAACGAATTTCCCATAGGAATATTTTAGGATCGTCATTTTCAGGGAACTGAGATCATGGTTCCATTCGAGTACTTAGGGTAAGTGATACGATGAGTCCTCTTGAGAATGGAAGGTAAACGTTTGATTGACGTGTTGGTGGAAGAATGAATGACTGGACGAGTCGTGAGATATGAGGATTCAAACATTGGCTCACATAGTAACGTCAGGATAATAATGTTGCGAAGCTTACGTTGAGAAGCGGGGAGTATGATTTAGAATCATTGTGGTAAGGACCTGCCTACCTCTCACCTGGGCACCTATCTACAGGTACATTAGATGTGTAGATGTCTGCTTAGGGAGGAAGTGACAACCCAATACCTAAGCTTCTGCATACTGGGTAGGTACTAGGTAGATAGGTACTAGTCCTGATACTCGGGCAAGTACGTGCGATATAAGCAGGCATGATGTTGTCGTGAATATGTAAATATAACAGGCAGGTAAGTAGGTACCTACATGTACTAAGTTATCCATGGATCTAAACATCTTATATCTCTTAAACGCTACGGAAACGGAATTCTCGGGGTGGCTTATGATATTATCACTCAAAAGCATACTCGGATATGTACCTGGAGAGTCTTACTTTGATCGAAAGGACCAATGGATGAGGTGAGAACCTATACTTCATTTACGTGCATGTGAACTTCGCGGTATGGCATGCAGCATGCTATCGCGCAATTGAGGCCATCGCGCAGTCGCGAACATTCATGCTGCTTTACACACACTTCAATTATGTATTAGGTAGATAACATGATTTTCCTTGGTCAAAAGTAACTGGTCATAAATACAAATTGGTCATCGTCCGATTGATCTCCGATTTGGTTCAAATGTTCTCTCCAACCGAGAATGCACCTACCCGAGCTGTTGTACTGCCTTCCAAGGTTTCACCTTTAGGCGTGGGCGTGCCTCCTATTAATCATTTACTTTCACTATGTTTCATTTTGTGTTACCTTAGCCTGCTTCGTCCCCTCCCCCGCAACCCCCCCAAATCATCGCGACTTGCCAGTCACGACAACTTGTTGCCTAATTCCACGCAACCAACCAATACCTACGACCTGCATCTTAATATCATAGAAGCATCTAGTTGTCAATCTTTCAATCTTTGAGCCCTGCAATGTTGTGAATGTCTTTCTTCTTTTCCATAGAGTCTGGGACTCATATTACTCCTATAACTAGGTACTCTCCAGGCTCTCTCTATTTCGCCATCACTCATTCTTCTCATTCTTACTTTCTACTTCTCCATCTGACAATAGTTGGTCACCTTCACAAAACATCAATCAAGCTCTAATTAGATGTTGGAAAGCTGTTTACCAATCTAGCACCTATCCAAACTAAACTACAATTAGCCTCAGGCAGCTATTGTTGATCATTTGACCCACCCCCTCAGCTACTCTCTTTGGCAATCGCCCTACCCTACCTGTACTTATTCTGTGTGCACCCTGGTTTAGTCAAGTCTAAGTCTTTGTGCGTGGCTGCGCGTGGCTTGCCTTAATCAAGATGGAAGGCCTGGAGATCTTCATACCGGATCTCCCCATCGGATTGACTGATCATAGTCTTCGAAAGCAGTTGGATCCTTACATCACCAAGACACTCGGGATTAAAGAATGGAGTTGCGAGAAGAACCGTGGGAAAAAATTCGGGAATATTACTTTCCTCTATCGAATCCATGGGGAGCAATTCTTGGAGGCCTATGGCAATCAGCATTCCCGTCGACGTGGCCCCCAGGCTCGCCTAGTCTTGCTTGGTAAAGAAGTTCAATGCAGAAGGAGCAATAGAAACCCAAATCCCTATCTGTTGAGATCCCTGCTGAAGATGGCTGAAGACGAGAACCTATACGAAGACGATGAGCATGAACAACCATTGATCAAGAACAAAGATGTCGCATTCGAAATTTACAGCTTTTCCTGCGGTCATTATGAATATCCAGACGGCACATTTAGTCACGCCACAGATATTGCATGGGAAACTAGAAGCACCAAATCGGTGGCTAGATTTGCTCGGGATTCTCTTGTGATCTCGTTGGAGGCTTACGTCTTCCCCCTTAGAGTGGAAATCCCATATCGCGCCATTTACGAGATAATAGATTCCCAGAGGCCGACGTCCTTCACAATGGCACTTTTTGAAGCACCTCGAATCTACCACTTTGACCCTAATGATCCAGGTGCGTCCAAGATTAGGCTGCCTCAGCTTAGCTCGGCACATGCGGAAATCTTAGGACAGTCTCTCGTCTATCGTATCCAAGTCTCCCCAGCCAGTTTTAACGCCAAGCTAGAAGATCTAAAGAAAAAGGAGAAGCTTAATTTCTCGCACTTTGACATCCCAGAATCCGTGATAGGCAAAACCTACATGGTTGATGGAATGAGGACGTTCCGGAATCTGCTCAACGAATACTATGTTAATTCCATCATTCCTTTTGATGTTCTCTTTCAATTCCAGGCTCTTGTTCAGAATGGTTATTTGCTGCCTCAGACGGTTGAAATTGTGCTCAGACGTATCCGCCAAGTGTCACAAACATCACCCGCTAACGCATCCCGCAAAACTCCTGGACAGATAAACGGCCACAGTGGTGTTAATATCACACAGAGCAACGCACATTTGGGCTGCCCTTTCTCTGCGGGGGCAGTAAAGAAGCTTTTCAAACAGACGCCTTTTCCTGGCCCGGATATTAGCGCAAGCATATTCAATCCAGACAATATCTGGTCGCTCCTTGAGTCCAACGAGAAAGAAATCCGTCAGGGTACCGCGGAAGAATTGGTATCTGAAAGAGTAGGTCGGAATCTTATCATGGTTTATAAGGTGCAGATTACGCCCACCCGGATTACTTTACTCGGACCTGAACCTGAGGCAAAGAACCGCATACTTCGCAAGTTCCCCAAGCATACCGGCTTCTTCGCACGCGTGCAGTTTTGTGAAGAAGATGGGCAAGACGTATTCTTCAACGCTCGGGTGTCACTCGTGCTTATATGGGCTCGATTCAAACAAATTCTCTTAAAAGGGGTTCATATCGCCGGCCGAGAATACATGTTCTTGGGATTCTCACATTCTTCGCTTCGGGCTCATGGAGTATGGTTCATGGCCACATTCGTCGACCATAATTCAGTCCTCCAGATCTCTACCAAGGTGATTAAAGATCTTGGGAAATTCAGCCAAATCCAATCACCATCTAGGTGTGCCGCTCGGATTGGTCAAGCCTTTTCTGAGACGCCATTTGCCATCGATCTTCATGAGCTCGGGGCGCAGGTACAATATATCCCGGACGTCAAGTCTCGCGACGGAAGTCGAGTCTTCAGCGACGGCGTTGGTACATTATCGAGGTCTTTGATGGAAGCTATACAAGCTGCCCTACCAAAGAATAGGGATACCACCACGTGCTTCCAGATAAGATGGGGCGGTGCTAAGGGGATGTTATCTTTGGACGATACCCTCCCAGGTATGGTTATGCGCATTAGGAAAGAAAGCATGGTCAAATTCGAAAGCGAAGATATTCGTCTTCTAGAAATCTGCGATATGGCAAATAAGCCCATCCCCCTTGTTCTCAATCGACAGATGATCAAGATTCTAGAGGACATGGGCGTCTCGGGAGAATGGTTTCTCGCCGCCCAGAACCGTGAGCTTCGAAGACTGCGTGAGATTACCGCTCAAATTCAAAACACGGTGGTATTTCTCAAGAGGCAAAAAATTGCAGAGCAGATCAACTTTTCGAAGTTCATTCGTCGCCTCTCTAGATTGGAAATCGATTATAGGAAGGATGGCTTTCTCTGTTCCGCCGTGGAAACCGTCGTTCTGAGGGAGGTCCGTCTGCTCAAACATAAGGCCAGGATTCCGGTGGAAAAGGGCGTTACACTATTTGGTATCCTAGATGAATTCAATTTCTTGACGGAGGACGAAGTCTACATCACCTTTGAACACGAGAAACTAGCCGGAAACAGAAACTTTAACCTGCATGAAAAATTAGTGTTGGTAACCAGATCGCCTGCTCTCCATCCTGGCGATATCCAAGTAAGAAGAGCGGTGATCCCTCCACCAGGCCACCCACTCCGTTCACTCTCCAATTGTATCGCCTTTAGCCAGCAAGGGATGAGAGACCTCCCTAGCCAACTTAGCGGCGGAGACCTGGACGGTGATATCTATAACATCATCTGGGATAAGGAGGCGGTTGACTCGGCAATCCGAGAGTTCGAGCCTGCTGATTACCCGCTAGTTAAGCCCAAGAACATTGGGCGTGAGGTCACTCCAGAAGATATGACGGATTTCTTCGTCGATTTTATGGCTACCGACCAGTAAGTTTCAAACCTAACGTTGTTGCTATCGTTTCATATATATGTTGAACTCTCTCCACCTCATTACTTTAACTTCCGTCTCCGAAAACTAAACTCTTGCTAATACCAGGATTTTAGGTTAGGTGTAATCGCTACAAAACATATGATCCTCGCGGATATGAAGCCTGTCGGTACCTTCGACAAGGAATGTCTGCTTCTTGCTGAGCTACACTCTATTGGTGTAGACTATAGCAAATCGGGCATTCCGATCGACGTAAGCAAACTCCGGAATTTGACACGAACGGATTGCCGACCCGAATTGTGAGTAGATCACCATCACAATAATGTCATATTATCTTAAGATAATGCAACTGTGATTAGGCTTGACTCTTGATAAGTTATGCTAACTTGGAGACAGCTTGGCACCAGCTCCTCCTGCTCATATTATCGGTCGAACCGAGGTTGAGTTTGAAACTCAAAGACCGCCTTCCAATGATGAGGATGATGACAGTGGTCCAAGACACAAATACTATAAGTCGGAAAAGATTCTGGGGAAGCTGTTCCGAGCTATCGATGAGAAGAAGATCTGGAAGCAAGACATCCATCATAAAATCAACCGTTATGAAAATTCGGTTTGGGATCAATTGATCCGACATATCCTAAGCAAATGTAGAGCACTACGGGGAGTTGATTGGCAGGCAGCTCTAGACGATGCCTATCGCATCCGAGAGGCGTAAGTACCTGTTACCTACGCTCGAAGATGGATTATCTTCGCGCTGACAAATTTCTTAACCTTTATAGTTACGATGATGCGATCTGGAGTGCGACAATGGACTACTCGGATAACTTCACTCAAGGATTAACGGAATTAGAGGTCTTCACTGGTTGTATTTTCAGCAAGTCGGGCATTCAGGTAGGTGGTTGACTCGGAGTTTTGACGGCATCTTTGTTTAAATTTACAGTACACTAAATAAAATAGAAATGCTAATAAATCTCAGACTCGACGCCAAAGAGATAAATCAATTCGACTCAAGGACGAGTACGACCGAATCGCGAAATGGATTGAGGGATTGATACGCAAGAAGGAGGTGCCATTGCGGGAAGGTGAAGATGCTGACGCAGATGAATTCAATGATCAGCCCACAGATCATGATGCAAGTGGTCTGGGTTCCAGTCTCGGTCCATCGGCGCTCGACTTGAGCATCGCTTGCCTTCATGTTAGCACTAAGCAGTCTGACAACACCGGCAGGAGCAAAATCGACTTACAGAGCTTCAGGATAGTTGCTGCTCAGTGCGCGTTAACGGAATTGGATCTCGCCCTTGCACGACAAGAAGCCGCTTTAGCAGCGGACATGATGGCAGCAAACTCGAGATTTCCTCATGCAGTCAAAGTCTCCGAGTCCTGATATCGAATTGATGATGTGCAATTTGGTCTATTACGGATTTTCGATGGATCGGAAGGGCGTCTAAGAAACGATAATGATGCGTATGAATGAATGAATGAATTTACGTTCGGTCGGCTAGCTAGGTGCCAGGTAGGCATGGTATGATATGGGCCTAGTTTGTCGTGTTTGCCTAAGAGGTACCTACCTAGGTAGGTACGGGTGTGAAGGGATGGATGAGATATCAAATCGGTCATTGACTCCAAGGTTTCTTAGCTATTTGTCCCGGGTTACTTGAGAGTTAGTTGTTGATCTAGACAGCACTAATATGATGTAACGCGAGTTCATTTTTAATGATTTTAATCAAGAAAATTCAAACTCATGATCTCTTGACGACGAGATGCCATTTTTCTCGTTCACTTAAGGAGAAAAGCCGTGGAGACTTTTCAATACCGACTCGATTTGACTTAGCTGGTTCTATCTCTTAACTGCCCAGTGCAGCTCTTGATGCATGCTCCCGTAGAACAGAGGGAGAGTACCGTAGGTATATGGATACAGCTTCATACGTAGCAGCCGGCAGCTCGCTCGCCCCTTACCCTTGCTAAGGGGTTGCTCGTGCGCCCTTAACCTCTCGTCCCGACCTTCATCCACCCATCCCGTCCCGTTCCCATGAATTTTATAAGTTCCCACCGGTTGATATGCGTAGTGTCTTGCCTTACCCCGCCACCCCCATCGCCTCTCTATTTGCCATTTGTCATGTGTTCTTACTAACCTTGCTTATTCACCTATTCTCTCTATTCGCCTTATCCCGATCCTTATCCCTATCAGAGCTTTCCCTCTCCCTCATATCCCGATCGCGTTCCCGCTCCCGCTCCCGCTCCTTCTCCCCTCGATCTCCACGCGTTGCGGTCGCGGATGCAGCTGGGCTGCTCGCTCGTGTCGGCATGTAGAAGTCGTATCGGTCCGGGAACAGGATTATGTTCGCTAGCCGCACGACTTCTGCTTCCGCTTGCGTGCTGCTGCTGGATCGGCTGTCCCGGCTGCTGCTTCGGCTGCCGGTGTCCATGTCTACGTCTCCGTCTACGTTTCCGGTTCCGTTTTCGGGCTTTTCTTTCCCGGGCTCTTTGGAGAGGTCTTTTGATGCGGATGAGGGGGTGGAGGTGGAGGAGGTGTGCCGTGGGTGTGGGTGAACGCGCGTCTGCGCGCCGCTCCCGCTGAGATTCCAAGGCGCTAGACCCATCGCTTGAAGCCCTTCTTCCCCGCCGACTTCGCGGATGTCTTTTTCCCCTAAGCGTCCCGTGTGCGGCGCTTCGCTACCTAGGCCGGTTCCCGTCGAGTCGAAGTCTGGACCTGGATGTCCCCGGAGAAAGGTCTTGCGCTGCCGTGCGAGGTACAGCGCGTTTGTTTGGGTTAAAGGCGCGGCGGGCGTGTATACTAGCATGGACGTGTTGTCTTTGTCGTCGGGAGGGACGTCGCCGGACGAGGAGGAGGTTTGGGGTCGGCTGTTGGTCCGGTAGTTGGTGTTGGAGAATTGGTACGCTTGGTCTGGGTGCCAGACTATGTAGTCGCCGACTTGTAGGGTGGGAGCTGTTACGAGGCTCTTGTCTAGTTGGAGGTGGGGGTGCCATGCTGCTGTTACGCGCTGTGCGTGGCCTGGGACCGCGCCGTGTATTATCGTGGAGGGTTCCTTCTCTAATGTCCAGTTCGATGCGTCTAGGTACGCGTTCCATTCTTCGGCGCTGGCGCCTTGTGGGGGTGGGCCTTCTTTGGGTGTGAAGAAGGGGCGGAGGAGGAAGTATGCTGTTGATAGCTTGGGCGAAGGGAGGAGTCTGATCATGCCTGGTTCTACTACCGTTAAGGCGAGGATACCTTGGAAGAGGCGCATCATGGAACACACGCCTGCGCCGTTGTATAAATCGGACGTGGCGTTGATGCGACCCGCTGGATCCCATGCATCGTATGATTCCCAGTCGCCCTTGAAGATAGCATCGTATAGACCGGTGCGGCCGTATCCGTCCTGTTCCCAGCGCTCCAAGCTTCCGTTATCTACTTGCGCGATCTGTGCAGCCGATGTCGCGGCTGCAGCAGCGATTAAGCTGTCCTCATGCGTCGCTGTTACGGCCCCGTTCACGGTAAGGTTTCCGTTGGTGAAAGATTCTATTCGGATTCGATCCGCATACGTGATCGGGAACCGCGTCGCAAGTCGGTCGTCGTTATTCGTGTTCCACAGCGACATTGCGAACCGTTGCGCTTGCAAAACATTCGGATGCGCGCGCGACCGCACTTGCGCGGGAGTCCAGAAGAAATCGAAACATGTCGGGTCTTGCGCTGGTGGTGGCTTATACTCGTGCTTCATCTCAAGATACTTCTTCGTTTCTTCAACCCAGGTGCTCGCATCGGCCGAGGGGACGACGCCCTTCACGACACCGATGCCGTGGCGTTTCAGCTGGGCATTGAAAGTCGCGACTTTGGCGTCGTCGTCTATATCGGTAAATTTTATCTCTGGAATTAATCCGGGACCGCTCTTTTCGATGTATTTAACTTCGTCGCGCAAGGCGGCAATTAGTCGTCCCCAGGATGCTTCGAGGGCGGATTCGTGACCGGCTACAAGTCGCTTTTTCAAACTACCGAATCTAGAAGGCAAGGGAACGGGTTGGGTGCCGTAAAAGGACAATACTGGGGGCTCCATGCTCTTGGTAAATGTCCTCGTCCTGCTTTTTGAATTCCTGCCTTCTTTATGATCGCCGTTTCTCGTCCTCTTTATCCCTATAACTCCGATATGTGGTGTTGGTGTTGGTGGTGGTAAAATCGCTGCTAAAGAAGAATTATTACTATAATTATTTGTATTCGTTATCGCTGTATTCGTTATTGTCGTCGATCCTACTACTGCTGGTGCTGCTGTCCCTACTGTCCCTGTCAACGTGGAAGTTGAGGAGTGGGAAGTTTGGGGTTTCGTCGCAACTCCAGCGGCCGTAGCCGTTGCAGTAGCAGCAGCGGCAGCCATTGCGCTCTCGAATGGAGGTAGTGGTGAGGGGAGTGCGGCAGCGGCAGCGGCTGTGCGCTGTACCACGTCTACGTTGGACATCCTCAGCCTTTTCCTTTTTCCCTGGTGCGTACCCCGTGTCTTGTGATCTCTCCAGTGCGCTGTAACTCGGCCATTCAGATTCCGTAAATCTTCTCCTGCCCATACTGGGCACCGCGGGGTTGAGCAAGGACTAAATAGGTATGGGATGGCAAATATGACAGGTATCTAAGCAGTGGAAAGCTACCAGGTTTGTAGAGACCATTGCTTGGTTTTCGAGGGGCATACCAAGATGACAAGGGTCTAATGCTTCTCGCCCACTCGTCCCCATTCATATTCCCCCATCATCCCCATTCATCCAGGGGTCTTTCTCCCATGCGGCATCCCGGGCCGAACAGGCATGGTTGCCGCGCACCTATTTAGATTGACGAGCCGGCACGCAGCTCCGGGACCAGTGTAGGCCTAGCCCCCAGACCAAAGAAGACCTAGGAAGACCCAGAAAAAAAAATAAGTGTCGCTTGACGGACCGCCTTACTTGAAGAAATACTTACATAGTATTAGAGTCTTAGACGATCAAGGAAAGCTGACAGGTAGATGAATGGGCTAACGATGAACAACAACCGACAAGGCGCCAAATAGATTGAATCTGGATCCTTATGTCTCTCTCGTCTCTAGGGTATTTCTAGGATATTTCTGAAATCTTCTAGCTCTCCTGGTAAAATTCAAGTCCGCCCACTCCGACAACCCAACAGCCTTGGGGGAGACCCTTTTCTTCCTTCTTTCAGTACCACTCCGAGTCTCCGAAGCCCACTGCTGTACTCATGATTTCCATCCCGTCCATGACAACCGGGCCACCATATCGATCGCTTTTCATTGGCTGGGAATTCAAACAAGGAAATTTCCCGTCGAATCTCATCCGGATCATATACTCTGCATGATCCATCCAGTCCATCCAAGATGAGCTTTTTGCTTATGCATGTCCCGAAGTAGACCATTAAGGAAAAGGACAGTGACTTACCAAGACGGGACAGCTTTTTTCCTCCTCACATCCATCCCGTCCCCATCGCTACCAGCTGTACCCTATCATAAAGCCTCATATAGCTTTTCATTTCTCAACAACGCCTGTCGCGAACCGCGAAATCGTAGCAGGTTTCTGCCGGGGCACGTGCCGTTCGCCACCACCAAGCGGTTGTGACACTTTTACCCCGAAACATTCCTTGCTGCACCTCAAAAGCAATCACGAGTAGATACATACTACTTTTCCCGGGAAAGAGGCTCGACGTGGCTCCTTTTGCCTACTACCTAGGCCCCAGCCGCGTTCCAACCCTAAAAGAGGCTCTGGAATTCCCGGTTTTTCTTGTGGCAGCCCTCCGTATTCGGCAATCATGTCGCGGGAAACGCTACGCGTTGCAAGAGTCGGGTTTTACTAGAACTTCCGATCTATGGTTCGTTGGGTAACGTTACGAAGTTAGTGTACTGATCCGTGTATTTCCTAGGTACTGTAGTATGAGTATGTTTTAGAGCCCGGATATGTGAGTTTATTCAAGAATCCCACGATATCGTGGTGGCCGAGAGATGCTACCGTCGTCGTTGGAGTCTTGGATGTTTTGAGTTAAGCATGATGCGAGATAATATTCTGGAACCTGTCACAGAATATTGGCTTGCTCCTAGGCACCTAACACCTGAGGAAATAGGGCGTTTGGGTGCCTAGCTACCACGCATGCACCTTCTAGCTTTGGTAGGAGGTGCCTAAGTCATATCTAGGCGCATAGGTGGCTAGGACTATCGCTAAGAACATCGCTAAGAGTGTACATCCTAGCTTAACAGTTAGTGAGACATGTGCTAGCCCTAAGTCTCTTTACAGTTGCAGGTGCCTCCGTAATCTTTTCCATCCTAACATCATCTACTACGCGAGGCATAACAGTACCTAGCTAATAGCCGATATTACATTTATTGATTAATTGTCATATGAAAGCTTTTAATGGAAACATGAGCAAGTTTCTGTTTGCATATGATTGTAGATTTTAACAGCTATCCATGTTCTATCGACCTAAACAGTTAGCTTCACAACACTGTCGATGAGATGAGCAGCTTAGTGTCAGATCGCAATATATTCGTCCAAATTCGGAGCCGTATCACTACCAACTGCGATCGAAAATTGGTTAGGGTCAGCCCACGAAAAGACAAGCTCGAGAAGCTACCGGGAGTAGGGACCGCATGAAGATCAATTCCGGGGAGTGTCATTCACAAGCGGCTCCAAACCTCCCGTCGAAACCACCAGACCGGGCCCCTGGATATTGTACACGAAGTCTTACATGTGTTTAGCATCTAGAGACTTGACGGTATGGCGTTATCGACAACAGCGATCACACGCGTGGGGGCTCTATCAGCTCACATCCCAAGGCATCGATTTCCAAATGGACCGTACATACAGAAAGTAACCTCGACGGCTGCCGGGAACGCATCAGACATATCTTTAATAACTAGCGGGCTTCCGACAGGCGGATCAGCTCTGCTTGCGTCATCCAGAGGCCTTTCCGCATGCAGTAACACCCTAACCGACTCCCTTCCGTCGTGCCGGCGGCGTAGGCTAATCCTCGCCAAGGTGGGGGTCAGCTCGCCGACGATTTCATTATTTTCGGAATTTCGCTTCGTCTTCGCTTTCTTCTCTCCCACGTGATCGTCGAGATGCTTCCTCGATCGACTAATCATCATGATAAGATGATTCATGGGTTAGTAAAGTCATTCGCTATTCGCTTGAGATATCTTGATGCTATTTTGAGGATCAACAACGAGATAGCTGAACGACGCGTCATCTCTGCCGATATGTACCTGCGTTTGACTGATCGACGGAAGGATCTAAGCCTCTGTTAAGCATGTTTGATCACAATACTGAAACTATCTCGATGATCTAAGCCACTTTGATATGCTCGATTTCAACATTTGAGAAGACTTCTAGGGAATAAGTAAGTCCTAGGCGGTAATCTGGCCCGCTCGCCGACTTCCAAGCTGTGTTCGCCTGGAGATGGTATCCGAAGCTGAAATAGGATTTTCAAAAAACATTCCATCGTCCCTGGTCGAAACGAATCACCGCGGCAAGAAATCTTGTAAACAGTTATCAGACATGTGATGGAGAAGCAATGCTTGAGGCTAGAATGAAAACCAGTAAATGACTAAAGGTCTCGACTCTTTTAGTTCCACGGTTGATATGCGTCTGGATATCATGTCCGTCACGGACTGAGCCAGAACAACGTTCTTCAAACATCTTGGCTGGTAGCTTAGGTTGCTCTCTCGCGGTGCATGGCATACTTGGCGTCTTTATCGTACCATCTTAGGGTTAGCGAAGAATGTTTATATTGCCAGCTCACTCCACAGTAAGTCCTACTCGATTCTCGCCAGAACATGGCGTGGACCTTTCGTGTAACAGAGAAGAAGGTCGGGAATCGCCTGTGGAAGCTAGCTAGCGAGCTTAGAGATATGCTTACAGAATTATCTACCATGTAGGAATTACCAAAGAAAATATTGACGTAATGCTAAATTTAGTTCCTCTACGATAATTCGAGAAATCACGATGTTCTTATTGTTACGAGTGTTTAATAGCTAGGCACTAAAATGTAAAAATTCTGAGAATATTCAGATCTATCATAAGGGATATCAACTCTCCATCATAGCTTACACTCTCGAACAAGGAAGCCAGCCCTTGCGATAACCTCGCCGTAACCAATGCAAACCATCACCATCTATACACCTATATAAACCCTTCCACAGCCTTCCAGAACCCTTCCGGATTCTCGCACATAGGCAAGTGGCCTGCCTCAGGAACAACAGCGAGCTTAGCACCGCTCTTCCCCAGCTGATCCTTAAAGCCCTCCATAGCCTTAACCAACGCGCCCTTCCCATCCGCCTCCCCAACAACCAATAACCCCGGTAACCTACTCTCCTTAAGCTCAGGCGTTAAATCGTAGTTCCAAAGTGCCTGACAGCTAGTCTTAAACCCCTCAACATTATTCTCCGCAACCATATCCGCAATCCATTTCGCCGTATCCGGCTTCTTCGCCAGCGTATCAGGATGGACCCACCGCTCCACCGTCTGAGCAGCTAACTTCCTCATCCCATCCGGGCCCTCCGCAACCGCAATCCGATCCTTCCAAGCCTGCGTATTCGCCGGGCTGGACGCGACGTTGAAATCGCACGCGACGAACTTATTCAGCCGATCCGGGTGATCGAGCGCGAACTTCAGCGTCGTGGCGCCGCCCATCGAGACCCCGATCAGGGTATCCAGCTTCGGGATCCGCAGGGTCCCCATCACGTAGCTCAGGTCGTCCGACAGCAGATCCAGGGTCGCGGGGCGTGGGAACGGGATCGCCCCGCGTCCGCGGAAATCGTACCGCAGGATACGGTATTTCGGGCGTTGTTTCTTCAGGATCTTGATGAACGGGTCCCACATGTGATACGAAGTCAGCAGGGAGTTCACGAACGCGATGACAGGAGCTTTGGGGTCCGGGTTTCCCTCGAGTCTGTAGGGAACCGCGAGCCGGTCCGACAGGGTTAGCGTGAAGTCGATGACGGCGTTCGAGGTCACGGACAGGTTAGTAGGGTCGCCCGGACCGAAACTCGAGGGGTCGCCGCCGAGGCGGGCGAGGTTCTCGAGGTCCCGTGGTGCGGGGCCGAAGATGTAGAATAGGGAGTAGACGCGTTGGGTTTTTAACTCCGCGCAGGTCTGCACGTCGACCCAGCCCGGCGTGCTTTCTGATATGTTCTTCGCTACGTCGCCGAGCCTGTTCTCGTTCGCGAACTCGTGCAGCACGATGAACGATGTCGGTGCTCCGATCTCTAGGCTTGATGTCCGCAGGATCCGCGAGCGCAGCCACCCGGGGACTCGTGATAGCATGTCTACGTGGTCGTCGTACCATTTTAGTGTCTTAGCTTCTGCGTTGGCTACTTTTTTGAGCTTTAGCTCGACTGTGAACAGGGTTATGCGCTCGGCTTCGATGTCCGTTAGGTGCGCGCTTGGGATAAATTGTTGTGACTGCTTCGTCGAGACAAGGTCCCAGAAGTGTCTTTCCACGTCTACCTTAGCGATTGTGGCAGCTTCGTGGGCTGAGCGGTTCTCTCGCAGCTCCTTGTACATTGAGGTTTCTAGCAGCGGCATAGAGGTTACATTGTAGACGGCTAGAAACTGGGGCTTCTTTCCGTCGGCGGCCCGATAGCGAAGCCCGTTTTGGAAGAACGGCAACCGAAGTCTAGTCGGGCCATGTTCGTTATTATACCATTCGTGGAATTGTGCTAGTGGCAGCTCAGGCTGAGGCTGCATAGTCACGAAGAGCATACCAGGGTTGGCCATGATGTCTCCTCTATCCTGTATCCTGACTACAGGTACCTATTGTCTCTCCGCGATGGTACTGAGGAGTCGTTAGCTAACTATTTTGGTATTCACGATTTTACGGTCGCAGCACGGAATAATGAGATATGTATGTTACTTACCAAGATGTGGAGATGGTTACTTCAACCCCAAAATTGTAATCTCTATTTCCTTGAAATTTCTGTCGATTTCTTTGGTCACGAGTTCAGTTTATGCACAGCTAGCAAACAACGTCTGTTTGGAGTAGCGATGAATTTGTTCTAGAATGCTAGAATTTCTACCAACCCTTTCGGTAGAGAGAGAGAGCCTCAGCAATTAAACAATGATTTTTCCCACGGCAACTCGTCGGCAGATAAGAGAAAATGCGAAGTGGAGAGAAGGTCGCAAAAACACTATGGAATATCGTGACCCCGAACCAGGCCGACTAAAATACCTAAAATACTGGAAGCACGCGCCAACATTGGAAGAAGTATTGTTAATCAATCTGGGCCTTGGCATATTGAATATATGGCCACAATGACGAACATAATCCTGTTTTCCTCTTTACCCCCAGCTAGCCTCGCGCTCAAGCGTGTAACATGAGACTGAGCCCTACATCACACTAAGCCCTTACCAATGCTGATATGGGAATAGCTATCGTCGGCAGTCTAATTTAGTCTGATATAGCTTTAACTGATCAGTGCTAACGTACGCGAGCTTTTTAGGCGTGCGAGCTCAGCTACAGCTCCGTTCTAGCTCTAGTTTTACATAAGCTCACGCCCTATTGGTACGGCTATATGGTGCTGATGTATGTACTGTAGCATTGAAGATAACTACGAGGGGGATAGGTAAGTTACTGAAGAAGTTTGCACGTGCTGGCTCTTGGGATAAACGACAAATGGCAAAGGAACTGATGTGGACTGAAGAAGTTGGGCATCGTCGTAAGGTAGAAAAAGTGACCAGGAGCTCTTGTCAGCGTTGGGATGTATCACAGGTCTAAATATGATTTCGGCATGGTTAGCTTCTAGAAAACATCCGATTTCTCGACAGATATGGAAATGGCATCCCCGATCCTCGGGGTTATCAGGGACTAGGACATCGACAATTCAAAACCCATGATTGGTTAGCCACACGCCCCTTGTTCGTTGGAATTCAGCTCAGTGACCCGTCCCGGTCCCAGCAAACGAGGTGACGATCTTCCTTCTGAGATGTAAGCACGTCAGAGTACAGATCTGTACAGGAAAACCTTCCGATGCGGTCTGCCAAGCCTCGAGAAAACCATCCGAGCGGAAGTTATTTTGCTTCGTAATAACGGCGTGAAGTCCGATGATTATTGAAAGCTTCCGGGTTTGAATCTTCGCAATTCTTTTCCATGAGATGATATTCCTACCATCCTTTAAAAAAAGTATTTAAAAGGAAACTTGAACAATGGCAATGGCTTCCACAATAGCACGTGGCTGCTGTAGGCTCTTCCCTAGCGTCCGAGCGATTAGGGTGATCCCTGAGCACGATCTAGTAAACGAGAAAGCAAAATGCAAACCAACTCGACCGCGACGGCCGTAACAGCTAATTTGAAACACCAAGACCGACCAGAAGATACGGGAGACAGCACGGATGCAGAGACTTCCAGAATCCCTAGCGAGAAATCTCGAAGAGACTATCGATTCTGGGCCATTATTATAGCGCTTTGCATAGTGTCTTTGCTCTCCGCAGCTGAAAATACAGTCGTCGTCACATCCCTGCCGACGATTGTTGAAAAGCTCAACGTCGGCCAGGATTATGTCTGGATTAGCAATGTCTTCTTCTTAACGAGGTGAGCAGGCAATGTCCTTAACCCCCAAAATATCACATATCTCATCTATGGATATTGCATTGTTTGACGACTGATTCGTGTGTTGGTTAAAGTGCGGCCGTACAACCTCTTTGTGGGCAATTGTCCAATCTTTTCGGCCGACGCCATCTCGCTCTATCGATTGTAGCTATTTATATCGTTGGTAGTGGAATATGCGGTGGTGCTAGCACTCCGGCCATGCTAATAGCTGGCAGGGCTGTCCAGGGAGCCGGGTCAGGCGGTACGATACCTAACACACCTAACTCTTAGCACTTAGCACAGTATCAATGCCTCGGCATCCTCAAGTCTAGCTGCTAACTGCCACTAGGGATTAATATGATTATCGATGTTATTATATCCGATCTCGTCCCCCTAAGACAACGCGGGAATTTCATTGCTATCATCCTAGCAGTATACGGTATTGGCACGACTTTGGGACCGTTCATCGGCGGAATAATCGTTGAAAATATTTCCTGGAGATGGGTCTTTTACATCAACTTGCCGATCGGAGCTGTGGCGTTCGTGCTCTTGTTCCTATTTCTCCGCGTTAATTGGGATAAATCCGCACCGGCCTACGAAAAGATTCGACGGCTCGATTATGTTGGAAATGGAATCTTGATCGCATCTACTGTGTCGATTTTAATTGCATTAACATGGGCAGATGTGGTATATCCTTGGGGCTCGTGGCATATTCTGGTGCCTCTGCTCGTCGGGGTTGCGGGCATGATGCTGTTCGTGGCGTATGAGGGCTTGCCGTTCGTAGCTGAACCGGTCATGCCCCTGCGACTATTCAATAACCGTACCGCCGTCATCGTTTATGTTGCCACGTTTTTGAATTCGCTTCAGAATTATTGGGCGTTCTTCTTCATCCCACTCTATTTCCAAGGTGTTAAATTAGCATCGCCGGCAGAGTCTGGAATGGACTTGTTAGTGTTCAGTCTTGTTGGCATACCTGGAGCAGCGATTGCGTTGCTGGTATTGTCCAAATGGGGCCGATACAAGATTCTTCATATTGTCGGTTCTAGTCTATTCGCCCTCGGAATAGGATTGTTTAGCATGGCTGACCAAAACACGAGCACGGCTGCTTGGGTTTGGATGAATATCGCAGCAGCACTAGGAACCAGCATGATCATGAATACATTACTCCCTGCTTTCCAAGCCTCGGTCACAGAAGCCGACCAAGCAGCCGCCACAGCGAGTTGGTCCTTCATCCGAAGTTTTGGCAATATATGGGGTGTGGCAATCTCCGCTGCCATCTTCAACACGTTCACCGCAAAGTACGCGCCGTTGGTTGACGACGATAGGGCTAGAGAGTTATTGACTTCGGGAAATGCTTACTCGAGCGCGACTAAAGCATTTATAGAATCGTTCGAGGAACCCGTACGGCAGCAGATCCGGACGGTGTTTACTCTGGCTCTTCATAAGGTATTTCTGATTGGCGTACCGTTCATCGGAGTTATCTTTATCTTGACTCTCTTCGAAAAGGAGGTGAGGCTAAGGACCGAACTGAAAACCGAATTTGGTCTCGAACAACGAGAAACCGATGAGAGTAGATAGGTACCTATCTAGTAGGTACGTAGGTAGGTAAATAGTCCTATAATATTATATTTAAATTAAACGTATTATTATTGCGACAACAATGTGATCTGATCGCCCAGAACATTCAATATTTGTGATATTGTAGTTGCGTCCTACATAGGGAGTAACGTGCGGAATATTGCTGATAGGGGATACGAATTCCACTCCGGTCTGCGAACTCAACTCGTATTGGCTACAGGGAAAATGAATTAGGCAACAGAATAGAGCGATCAAGAAGCATGTGCGGAATCGTGGCTTAGCGGTTTTAAGCGGGCGGCATTGCTACATGTAGGTACGAATACGTTATAAGGCAATCGGACTTCAATCACACCGTCCTAGTCCGATTACATGATGGAAATTCCCCCTTTCCATTCATTCTAGATCCTGCCAAATTAACTATCTCTACTTCGTATAAATCATTTTAGCTAAATCCCAATTGTTGACCTGGCAAATGTCGCGAACATGGCCACGGCTCCCCACCCGAGATCCAGTCTACGACGTACTGCCTGTGACCGGTATATTCCCTATACCTAACCCAAACATGTACCTAGTATTTAACATCTAATGAAAATAGATGTCGGCATTCGAAATTGAAATGTTTCCGTGACGAGAACCAGCGGAAATGCGCTCGCTGCTTACGACTCGAGCTGCGCTGTGAAGTTGCGCCAGCCAAACCTCCGGGACGGCCTCGAAAAGCACCTCCTTTAGCACCTGCCGTAGTAGCTGAGTCAACAGACAATATAGATGTTATATCCCCACAATTTCTAGAAAACGGGACGCAAAGTTCCGCGGACGAAGAACCACAGTACAGTCTGTCGCAGACTCAGAACCCTGACGGCCTTGAGCCGGGGGCGTTCGGCCAGACTCCACTAGCATCACACAATAACATCAACGGCTTCATCCTAGCGCTTATGCCGCCGATCCCCGATCTAAAAGCGCCCGAGTGGTACGAAACAAGCCGCTTCGACGCGGGCTTTGCTCCGAGCAGGGACCCGCTAGAAGTACACAGTCTCTTCACCGTGAAGCTCGATCGACAAGAATGTCTCAAAGAGCTCTCGCAACTAAACGTCGACCTAGACGTCCTAGTCCAAGCAGTGAAGAAATTAGAAGACGACGGAAAACTCAACTTCGCCGCCTTCTGCTCGCACTTCCCCCCACCCGCCGGCGACGGCGTCTCCTTCGCCGAGAAATTCCTCATCATGTCGCAGCGGTTCCAGCAAGCCATCACGAATCTCAGCTGGGTTGTGAAAAACGACCCAAAGCCGTTGCAAAACACAACATCCATTATCGGCGACAGCGACCTCCCCCTCGATCCTCTCCTCAACATCACCGGACCCCTCCCAACGCCCCTAACCCAGCACGAGGAAACCTCCCCGCCAACCCCTGAAAACAGGACTTACGACCAAGGCGAGCTCCTCGAAACGCCATTCGCCTGCCTCCTCGTAAGCTGCTACGTGCAGCTCATCATGCTCTGGGAGAAAATGTGGTTCCACGTGCGAAAACGCACGAGCGGGAGCGACCTCTCCGAACTAACGCTGTCCGACCCAAGCAAAGGGGTACAAATGGGGGCCTTCTACATCTTCAGCGGGCGTCTACAGAGCATGTTCTTCTGCCAAGCAGTGCTGTACTTCCTAGACAACATCGACCGGGGGTTAAGCATCCACCCTGAACAGCGGGCGCAAGGGGTCCGCGGGCTGTTATCGCGCTCGCAGCACTTCGAGCTGCTGCAGCGGGAGCTCGGCGGGGAGGTTAGTGCGGGGGAGAGCGAGCGGGTGAGGGTGTTGAAGGAGACGGTTGAGAAGACGAGGGTGTTCACGCTGAATGATGTGGGGTGGTGAATATTACGTGTTTTCACTGTCGTTGACTTTGCGATGCGTGCTGACTTGGCTAAGTTCGCTGTTCCGCTCTTGATTTGGCGAGAGCGACCACGTCTAGGCTTGTCTCGCTTAGGACAGGCTTCGCTTTGCGGGATACTCTGCGAAGCTTCCTTCGAGACGTAGCCAGATCGGCATGTCTATAATTCTCGTCGGCGAATCCAAGATCTTCGGTCGTTCCCCGGGGCGAAGAACCGAGACTAGACCGAGTTTCCCACCGGTCGAGGAACACGACTCCTCGAATGAACAGGCATTATATATTGCCGTCCGGCTAATATTATGCGAGGTTATACGTGCGGAAAGGACTGTGAGCAACACCGTCGTTATTAGACGTGGCAGTAGACGATACACTCTGCCTTGGGTTGATAATAGATATGCGGGTACTCTTCTCGCTTCTACAGGGTTGATTGAGGATAAAGGAGAGATCTACGATTCAAGTTAGCGAAGTAGATCGATGAGTTAAGGAGGTTAAGTATATCGGGCGATATGATCCTATCCTTTCAACACTCTTCTCTCTCGGCCAAGCGAACTCCACTATCTGTGATACCCCCCGACTCATTCATGAGGTCAGAGGAATATTACTTAGATGATATTATGAGGTTAAGAATAGGAGAGAAAAAAGAAAAGCAAGCGTTTCAAATGTACAATATTAAATATAACCAGTGTCAAGAAGCAATTCAGGGGCCCTGTCCCTACGCGGGGTTGAGCCTCTTATGACATAACACTACCAAAATTAAAAAATTATTTGGGTATGGAAAATAGCTCACGAGGAACTAAACTCGACGATGGCGGCAATTTTGTAGATTTGATCTCGACGCCTCCCTTGCCGAAAGACTACCGTAATTCGACAGCGACAAGCTTATAAAACTACCTAGGTAATACGTAAACCGGAGTTCGCCTTAAGAGAACTTGGGGTTTGATGTATAAACCGAGTCTCCACGAATTTTCTTTTCATTACTCGTAGGCTATGCTCCAGGAATGCCATCCTTCCTCGCGAACTCCTCACGACCGATAACGCCTGTAGCAGTTTGGGGGTATCAACACCTATAATTAGAGGAACAGAATAGAAGGAATATTCTCGGTGTTCACTACGTCTCCTTCGCGATATTTAGGCATCCGAAGTTGTTGTGTAATGGAGAATAGTAACCGGTTGGTGGCATGAGGTATCCACGCTAAGTGCTCAATGAATGAGGGACCTCGATAGTGAACTCGAATTTGGATTTGCCGCCATCGCCAAATACCACAGGGAGTCCCTCGTACATTCTAGTGTCCCGGTTTTGGGTATCATTGAGCTTCAGCTTCTTCAGGTCTTCGGTGACACTGGTAATCCGAGTTCTGTGTCCCTTGTTACTGACACGGGTCGACTTAGTTTCTTGTCGCTTAGGAGGGACCAACTCTTCAGCATCCCACTCGCATGTCAAAACTTTGAACTTGACCTTCTCCGGGTCTGCCCGGCCTCTGTGGCGTTTCTGGCAGTGTGTGACATAGTTGTCTCGCACCCAATCGAGAGTGCGGAATACGTGAGTATTGATCTTGCAACACTGGGGGTCAACCTCGTAATATGTACGTCCACCTTCGCCGCTGGCAAAGTGCTCTCCCTTATTTCCAAATGCTTACTCATGTTAACTTTGACCAGTTGACATCAAGACTTTACAGTTCACATACCTTGCTTTGCATAGACACACGAGGTAGGCATGGATTTATCACGTTGCTTGCGGACAGCTAGACAATCCATGAAGTAGAATGTCTCGAGATTTTTGAACAGAGCTGCAAACTCGTAGGCATGTCGTGGGCGGGTGTTATCATGGTTTCGATGAAAGTTGTGGATAATACCACAAGTACGACAGACACGACACTCTTCATCCCATTTACTGCTATAACGAACGGCCACGCGGCGAATCTTGGCAAGCTGATCAAGATCCAGATGGTCCGCCCAGTAACCCAACGACCGAGACCACGAAGCACCTGGATAGTCAAAACAGACAATATCAGAGGACCTCTCCAAGAGTACCAAGCGGCCATTATCCAGCGTTAAGTTTCCCGAACGTGAGATCAGGTTGTCGACCAGATCCTTGGCCTCGTTGCAAGCCAGGGATAGTTGTGTGAAAGTTTTGTTCATGGTGAGATAATAGGACTTGTCGGCAGCCGGAAAGGGGAAAACGGGTTTAAGGGTGCTGCTGAACTTGGCCCGCTTGGCATCTCGTCCAGGCTCGGCCTCGGATACTGGTAGACGATCCATAATACTATCACCATCGTCGGTTGCGGAGTCTGAGTCGTCCATTATAGTGTCGTCGTTATGTTCGAACTTAAGGAAATGAATCCCGGGTGTGTAGATAATTTCCTCCCATATTTGGTGCCGGATATCGAAAGGAAAACTGGAGAAGCAGGTGAACCGCTGGAGGCTCGGCGGAACGCCGATGTGAATGGCAGAAGACGACATAGTTGACAAGTCTGAGTAGTTGAGGGCGAATTTGAAAAGCTCGACTGGTGTGAGAGAAAATTCTCGAGAATGTAAATTACGGCGAGCGAGCGTCGACGGAAAGTGGCGTTCGTTGGTGGTCCTGGCTTAATTCCCGGATATGAGGAAGCCCGACTGAATTATACCCAGTAGAAGAGGTGCCTAACTTCAAGTAGCAGATTCCAGATGGTTCAAATCCAGACCAATGAACGACGAGAAGAAGAATGACATGCAGCCGTATCAAAGGCCCATAGTTTAGTTAAAGGGATAGAAGCCAAAGCCGCCAGTAGTGTCGTATAGAAAACGGTTGCCGAAGGCGGGAGACGGATTAGTGTCTAAGTTCTGTAGGTGAAAGATGGGATGGAATGTTATAAGTGAAAGATATGTAGAGAGTCGGAAGTAAGAAGCAGGAAATAGAAGTAAAGGGTTAAACAATTAAGTTGAAAAATGTTCAAGTCGAGTGGAAGTTAAGAAGTTAAGATGGTCCGAGGTTGAAAATGGTGAGGAAGGAAGAATGGATGGGTTAAGTCGGGTATGTGCTAAGTCAACAGGTACTGTACCGGTATGGATGTACTGTAGTACCGTAGTACAGGAAATACCTCAGGGAAACTGCACATGTGTTTAGGCAGTGGTACGGCAGCATTCGGTGTTCAGATTGTTCATATCGTTGTACCTATCGTATGCATCTGTCTTATAATCTGTACATAGATGTATAATAAATGGATCTATTTCGTCATATCAGAAGTTAGAGTGAGATGAGGCTGAAATTAGGTCAGGTACCTACAGGGCCGAAACTGCCCATACTCGCCCGCAGTAGTGGGCACAGTGGGCAGTAGCAGTGGGATTACAGAATACAGGATGGATCGATAGTGGGATTAGGGGATTAGTACCCCGCACCACCCTTATTTCATGGCGGACAGTGTGGGTTGGTGGGGTCTCTTAAGGGCATCCTCAAGGTTCGGTCCTACCTAAGATTCGAGATACAGGACGAATTAGGGTGTCGTCACATCTTTCACATTCCAACCGTGGCATTCATTTACTTTATATGTTACATACGGGTACCTAGTAGTTTGTGTTCCTACATTAATCTGTACCTAAATTGGTTCAGTATTAAATTAATGCCCTGAAAGGGTTTTTTATCAAATAGATTGCTTGGTATCGCACAATTCTTTTCATTTGCAACCTTGGAAATGATTTCAAAAAGTCGAATATCCGATTTGTCCAATTGTCCAGTTCAAATTAGAATGACCAGAGCGTCTAGATACGCTAGATACTGCCCCCCAATGACTAAATCGACAGTCTCTTTTAGTGCATTTTAGTCGTTTTCAGGCTAATGAAAGACCGTGTAAATGAAACAACCTTGGAACTACGTCAGGCTCAATTCAACGCTTTAATACCCAACTACTCCCACTTCCACTTCCACTTACACGTAACCAACATCGAACCTCTAAACAAGAAATATTTTACACTATCCTTTGGGTATTTATTCAACCAGGTAATTCATTCCGAATAACACGTATTCTAGCCCGATGTTTATTAGGTATATAAACCGCGACCGAGGCATCTAGAGCATTTAGACTAACCAGGTCCCGTCCATCATCTGCCATTTACGAAATACACAACTTCACCACCAAGCCAAGTCAATAGGGATTTTAGGATTTTAAGAATTTCAGGTAAACAGTAACGAAAAAGCAACGGATGATCACAAGACCAAGTTTCCCCTTCACAGCACAATCTCAACAACCTCGCTCTGGAAACTTCCTCGGAGCGCATCCTCACTGGCGCCAGCATTGTCCAAGGAAACCTTAGTAATGGCGTCGGCCTCTGACAGCCAGACACTAGTCCACTCTCCGCTGCAGCGGGCGGCCACTCTTCTGCCACGTAGCGTCTCCAGCAGCGGCCCCTTGACCTCGACCTCCTGCTCGCTCGTCTGACCCGCCCCGATCGTAACGAGCGATTCCGGCCCGGGGGGCATCCTGCGCCTAATCTGGATCGTCGGGATCTGGATGGGGCTGCTGCTGTCGTCTTCGCTACCGGCGGGTACCGCGAAGGACACGACACCCAGCTGCAGGGCCAGCGGGTCCAGCGGAGAGTTCCACGACAAGATCGTTACCGCGCCAGAGTGTGCGTTGGTGACGGAAATCGCCAGTTTCGCCGGCTCGCCGCTGACTTGGCGCACTGACACCTTTAGCTTCGAGATGACGTCGTCGGCCGAGTCTGCCATCTTCTTGTTTTTGCTGTTGTGGTTGTTGTTGTTGGTGTCGGCGACTAGGGTCGATGTGCTGGGATTGACCGTGTACCACGATACCGCGAACGTGATGGTGAGTAGAAGTATCGACAGGATACTTCGTCGTCGGATAAATTGTCTGATTCCCATCAATGCTGTTAAGTGAATTAATTTTAAGGGCGAGTTTGTCGATACTGAAATTTCGCTGCTGCTGTTTCTAGATTTTTCTACTTCAAGTATTACCGCAGGTTCAGGTTCAGGTTCAACTTTACCACAGCAGGTGACTCCTATCGGTCTCAAGTAGACGTTTGCGTAAGCGTAAGTTTGTAAGTTCGGACCTGCACAAGACCTAAATCAAGATTGGCTTCTACCTCTACCTACTTCTACCTAATATTTAACATTCGATCAGGCTCGATCGATCGATGCCGATTGAGGTTGCGTCACCGTGGATTCTCGCGAAAGCAACTTCTCGATTGGGATTATATGTACACTGTATTATCGCTGCCTGCCCAGATAGAAGATACCAGCGCGGTGGGTAAACTCGATGCCAAGAATGTCCCGCCGGACTGGTCCAAAGGGGCAGGTGTTCTAGAACTATCACGAGGTTGATGTGATTGGCTATTCCAGCTATATCGTAAGTGAAGTAAGGCAGTTATTACATTGCACATCATAGAGGTATGGAAACGTTCTCGTATAACTAGAAAAATTGGTATCATCAATTTAGATATCATCATCTATAAACAAATCCATAGTTACCTAGTATATACAATCCCATCTATAAGCAATTTACCATCACAAATCCATAACAAACCTCCAAACAACTAACCCACCCCTCAATCAAAAACATCAGTAGCGTACCGAGTATTCCGCAGCCCCTCCCACCACTTCGCCGCATCTTCCCCATCAACCTCCTTCCCAAGTCTACCCTTAACATCACTCTGCATCAACTCCATAATCGCATCGCGGACGCCCTCCCCAACAGCCCTAGAGCCACAAATGAAAAGCTTCGCCCCATCCTTCCACAACTTCGTGACCTCCTCCCCAGACGCCTTCAAGGCGTCCTGCACGTATTTGCTGCCACCACTCTCGCCCGGAGCACGGCTATACGCGCGACGAACGGTGACAGCACCGCTCTTCTCCCACGCTTCTAATTCATCCGCGTATAAATCATCTTTGCCGGGCGCACGGCAGCCGATGAACAGCATAGCGGGGGCAAGCTTGCGACCGGCAGCGACCATGGCGGAGCGTTCCTGGATGAAGCCGCGGAAGGGGGCGAGGCCGGTGCCGGCGCCAACGCAGATCACGGGCGTGTTTTCGACGTCTTGGGGCAGGTGGAAGGCTGCGTGCGAGGGGCGCACTGAGATGTGTAGTTTGTCACCTGCGGCGAGGGAGGCGAGGTATGAGGATGCGACGCCGACGTAGCGGCCCTGTCCGGATTTGGAGGGCGAGTCGAGAACGGAGAAGGTGAGGGTTACGTGGGATGGGTTCCACAGGGGAGAGGAGGAGATGGAGCTGTGAGGTTGGGTTAGTATGGTGTTTAATATTTTATGGTTGGGGGGAGAAGAGGAGGGGGTCACGTACTATTGTCGTACACGCATCGGTGGAAGCATTGCGAGGAATGCGCCGAGAGGTAGGTCGACCGACTCGTACTTCTCTAGGAGGTCTAGCACCGAGGTGCGTTTGGTTGAGATATCTTCGTAGGAGTCGCTTGCGAGTTTCTTAAGAGTTTCCTTCTCACTCTCATCCTTCGCAGCTTCGACAAGAACGCCAATGTTCTACGGGTAATTGTTGTTAGTTTATCTGCTGATATCTAGGGAATAGGAGTGTGGCTATCGACTTACTCTCTTGGTCGCAGGTTGGGATAGTTCGACGTAAGCACCGAATATACTATGAGCAGGTAGCGACGTGTTCGTCGGGAGGGAAGTCATCCCATCGCTGCCGATGGTAATATGCGCATCCCATGGAAGATGAAATCTGCGCATGGCTCGCTCGACTGTCTGCTTGGGGTTAATGGGCAGCACAGCGAGATAGTCTCCAGCTCGGTATGTCTCGTCGCTAGGGAGCACAATTTCGATATGCTTTTTAGTAGGTTCTCCTTCGGCTGTCAACGTCCGACTCTCAACCACCAGGCCTTCGTGGACGTCCTGTCTCAAGGTAGATGTGCGCGGGCTCGTGATTGACACCTTAAGGCCGACCGCTTGCGATAGATCGGATGTGTCATCAGAGGTTCCGTATTGTTTCTTAAACGCCGGCCAGAGAACTTCATCCTCCCATGTTTCGAAATCGGTGAATGCATCGCCATTTCCAACATCGGTAAGTCCCATATCCGCGACTCGGGTGGCACCGGCTTCTTCAAGCTTGCGGTCGACTAACTTGGGTATCCTGTGAAAAGTCTGGGCCCAGTCGTGGTGACCAACACCAAAAACGGTGTAGTGTACACCCTCGAGTGCCTTCTTGTCCTTGATACTCTCAACCCATGAGACGAAATGGGCGGCGTTGTCTGGAGGTTGCCCCTCGTAAGATGCAGTGACTATGATCACCGGTTGTCCCTTTGGGAGGTTTCCATTCGCAGTATCTAAGATATCGATCTTAGAAACAGTGAATCCGTAGCGCGACGCGTCGCTAGCTACTCTTTGCGCGAAAGACTCGCAAGTACCACTGTTGCTTCCGTACAATATTGTGATGGGCTTCCCACCGCCCTCACCGGTAGATTTAACAGAATCTTTGACCGAGAGCGAGCTGATGGAGTCTGCTAGTGACTCCTTGCCAGCTAGACGATGTTCGAGTTGGCTGGGTGTCAGTCCGTCACGGATGGTTGCTCTCATACGGAAGCCTTTAGGCTTGATGGTCAGCGTCTGCTTCAGAGCTAAGCTATACGACGGATCATCCGCCACGAAATTGAAGCTCTGTAAAAGCATGGCTATAGCCAATGTCGCTTCCTGCCAAGCAAATGGACGACCGATACACTATTAAACACCAGATTAGCAAATAGAAGCATGGCTAAATAGTCCAGAGATATACGTACCGCTCGGAGTCCATTGCCAAAGGGTTTCCATGCGTTCTTTGGGAGCTTATTAAATGGTTCATCCAGCATACGCTCCGGCTTGAACTCTTGTGCATCATCACCATAGACAGCCGGGTCTAAATGTGCCTTCTTAAGGAGCAAAGACACGAGCTCGTCCTTGTATACTGGATACTTGCCCGCAAGAAGAGTGTCCTCCTTAGACGTAACTCCGATCTGCGGAATCGGTGCATCTAATCTAAGGGTCTCACGCATTATCTGAATGCGTGTTAGCTGTTTCTATTAAATTCTGGGGACGTGCATGATCAAATGCGTCTTCATGACGAAACACGCAGTAGGTAGTGGTGAGATGGATATGCATGTATGTATAATCAAATGATAATAAAATATGTCAACTTACGCCTGCAATATAGGGGAGCTTTGACATATGCTCCACTGTGATGGGTCCTTTTCCAATGACCGTGTCGACCTCCTCCTGAGCCTTGCGATAGGCCTCGGGGTGCCTGAGAAGTTCGTAGAAAGCGAAGGAAAGTAATCCAGACGTTGTCTCATGCCCTGCGATGAGAAACGTAATGAGGTTGTCGGTGATACTCTCGTCGGTCATATGCTCTCCAGTCTTCGGATCCACGCCCTTGAGCATGGCACTAAGCAAATCTTTTCGTTCGGAGGGGTTCTTTTTACGCTCTTGAAGAACTTCATCCGACGTCCTCCGTAGGGTTTCTATGTCTTTCCAATATTTGGTGTCTTCATTTCGATAGAACCAAGAGGGCATCGTTCTATTCGGCCTGTTGCCTGACTCGGTGAGGAAGTCACCCATGGCTGCGAGGAAAGGATGCATCTCTGATGTATAGTAGCTGTTGAAACGATAGCCCATCGAGCAAAGAGCGAGGGTATCAAGCGCAAGCCGAGTGAAGTCGTCCGTAACTTCGATTGGGTGACTAGGGCCATATCGAGCCCATTTCATAGTTAATTGGGTTGCAATCTCATGCATTTCATCAAACATGCCCCGAATCGACATGGGGCCAAACGCGGGCATGAGAACTGTTAAGTATAAGCAACCATAGCAACAAACTTAGATCCCGATCAACAAACCTCGATGGGCGATGCCCCAATTTGGCTCTTCTACTTTGGCCTACAAGATTGATTAGAACACTTATTGCGTCGAAAGGAGCTAAGCCAGTTAACTCACGGTGAATAAACCATCATGAACACCATTTCGAATTTCGTAAAGAGCACCTTTCGGGATCTTCTTGAACCTTTTCTCATCACAAACTTCATCAATAAGACGGTGGCTTGATGTGAATACTACAGATCGTCCTGGAAGACGTAGTCGGTATATCTCGCCTGTGAGAGGTATTTTTAGCGACGGGTCCGAATAGTGACGCTTTTCTTTTTTTTTCCTCGTTCTATGTAACTTACCATACTTATCGGCAAGCCCGACGAATGAACGTAAAGGAAGTTCTCTGTCAAGTTCGGCGACGTGACCGAGGAATGGGAGCCCTGGTGGTTCTGGAATAGGTGTTGTGTTGGACATCGTTTCGTCTGAACTGATACTCGAGAGGCTTAGAATTGAAGGCCACTCTATTTGCATATCTTATGGAGTATTGTCTCTGAGCTAGAACTCAAGAGACGATTGTGGGAAAGAGGTTATATATGAATGAATATGAGCACCCGAAGGCGTAAGGCTCAGCCCCCGGGGAGTGGTACACAAGTCCGAATTCCGCACGATCGGTATTTTGAGAGGACGGACCGGTAGGTGCTCGGCCGACACAAGGCTTTCAACAGGGAATAGGAAGTAGTACAGAAGAATCGGGGTAATTGATGCAGATGCAAATGCAGACGCCAATGTACGTATTGTCTGACCGATCAATGAAATGTCGTATTTAATGCAGGTAATTTTGTCCTCTGATGATAAAAAAGCAAACAAGGAAATAATATCATTACTCGATGCATCAAGCCACTGAGCACATTCCGGCATGAGCGACTTGATAAGTTTTCTTAGCAAACCTCATGCTGGCGCGGACCTCGGCTCGGTGGTCCTAGGTAGTTGTCGATCCACTTTGGACATCGAACTGGCATTGACATCCATCTTCTAGTCTTTGACTTCATAGGCCTATTCGCCTCGTTCATCTTTTATCAACCTATCAATCCTACCAATCCTAGCTTCTTGACAGGGACATTGCCGTTGAAGACCCTTGAGATCTAAAGACCCGTTTACGCTAGGATGGACGGTGCCGCCGGGTGTCGGATCGTAAGTTACATCACATTAGTCCGGTTTTGATCTCCATGCATAAGTACTGTAGGTAGGTATGTACTGTAGGTGCCTGATGGCTTGATGGCTTGGTGGCTTGATACTTGATCCTCGATAGTCTAGGAATTGCTTGGCTACATGATAAAACGTGGCAGCACACATAATAGAACGATGGTGAAAAGCTCTGCAGGCCGAGGCATATCGTTTAGGCAATGCACGGAGATGAGTAATGAGTCTCGGTCGTTTGGCCAAAAGTTGAAGGATTCCAGGTTTTATGAGAGTGGATTAGGTACTAGATATTCGTACCTACTACTTGCTAAGTTGCTTATCGTATTTTCTATCCGGCACTAAGTCTTCGGGTTAGCCTTTCTGTACTACATAGTACGTATCTAGTACGCACTAATAACGAGTAGCTGGCGTCATTACGCAGATTTCCTCATGTGCGCTTTCTATTTCGGATGATGCCAAAGCAATGGTGAATTCTGCAAGTGATATCGAATTTCTTAGCTAACTAGAACAGTTCTAGTCGATCATATATTTTCAATGTGGGTGTTTACGCAAAGATGTCAGACAGAACAGTACCGGTTTCTATTTCCAGTCGACTCTCCAGTTTCGATTGTTAGGGCTGAGAATTACGCCTAATAAGCCCAATGAGGTATGATAAGAACCAGGTATACCTTCAAGTACCTCCCCAATATGGCATTGCCGTCGACCGAGGTTCAGCTTTGAATGTTCCACTTTTCTAATTCAACATTCTCTTTCAAAACACTAAAAGAACAAATATTCTCTCAACAATTCTTTGCATTTTAAACATATGTTAACTTACGCATTGCCTATGCAATGTCTTGTATGTTTCTGGTAGTCTTCCGCGAGCTAACCTTTAAGCAGTACTTAAATGCGACGGGGCCAAAATTGAATAATTGGGGCCGGTCCCAAGTAAACTTAAATCTTGAGTTTCAGCTATTACCAAAGAGGGATAGTACAAAATCTTGGCATATCGTCAATTTCTCGCTCTATGATGTAGGTCGGCGCGCCGCACCTCCGTCCTATTCTGTTATGTCGGCCGGGTTAGTGACACGGAGTAATTCTTAACCCGTTCATATTTCTTCAACCCTACTACCAACGACTTGATCTGCAACAACCATACCTTGATCCATCCTCGATCCATATGCTCTACACGTACGATCAATTATAAATGGTGGTCCGTGTTTATAGGAGATACGCGTTCAATTGGGCATATGGCGTCGACTCAATGACACGATATCGCCAACCCGCGCGTACCGCCGCCTACGCCTCATCCTACCTACGTCAATGGTTGTTGTCGTCATATTCACACATACCTACCGATCCGACAATCCAAGATACACGAGCCGTTACGCCTTACCGGACATGTCTAATTTGCCGATTCTCCAGCGGAGTATACGTGAAGACTTAAGCTTCTTAATGGCTCAGATTCGCCCAACCGTTTCTCAGAGTCCGTCATCTACCTAACATTTATTTTACAGGTGAATAAATCCATTTTCAAGATTTGGATATCCAACGCGAAACTTATAATTTACCATCGATGCAGATACCGTATCCCGTTTTCTTTTTACTAGGTACTATGTACGTGTAAAGAATTATGTGACCTTGTAGGGTACAGGCAGCTCCGAACATGTTACTATACAGCGAGTCATCGTGTCGGGCGACTCTGTAAGTCCCTTTTGATCTTGCTGGATTTTATTGGTAGGCAACTATAATATTTTCATATATATGTCTTTGTCTACGAGATCATATATCGACTGCATTCGGTAGTGATCTAGGTAGGTATTGTGAAGTGTGATCGCGAATAAGATAATGGCCATTATCTACAATATTGAGGTGACAAAGAACAGCCTGCCTCAATATTACCGCAAGCAACAGCTATATTGGATGAACGTCCAATGAACAATACAGGGTCAAAAGTCAGCTGTCAACGTATGCTACGTAAGGAAATAAGAACTCTCCTACATTTTCCTAACTACTTACCTACCTAGGTATTCATTTAAACATATACTTGGGTAGCTGATTAAGCAACCCAAAATACACGAGATAATTAAAGAAAGGTACCTGGGTACATACTTTCTTACTTGAATATCACGTCTATCATAACTAGATCACAGGCGGAGAGTGTTGCAAGATAGCAGCCCTGGAGATCGGCAATGGACCCCGCACAGCGCCGCCGAAGGAACAATGGCAGCACATGGGTGATTGTAAAGACAATCATAAGTCTTGTTATAGGTCTCATCGGAGGTCTAACCATAGCGGCTGTCTTTAATGGGCACTTCAATGAACACCTATCTTCGGACTATATTGAGCTACCGCGGACCAGACCGACACAAGGAAGCACACTGAATATTAGCGAATCCATGGGTGATTTATGGACGGGTTCTGAAGGTATCTTCGACGACAAGATTGAGGCGGCGCTATGGTTTACTGATGCAGATGCCACTACCCAACTCATAACCACATTATTGGAGGCCGTACCCCTAAGTTATGAAGTATACCCTGGGGCGTTTGACCATTTACGCATACCATCGACTGAGCGTCAATTAACAAAGCGCAATACACACCTCGACATAGCGAGGACTGCGTTTACGGAATATTCCGACGTTCGCGAAGAGCTGTATCGTGATATCTTATCCAACAGAGTCTTATGGCATTGGTACGCCGATAGGGAAGTGGACGTTAAGTTCTTTGGTCATATTGCCAATATGTCTACGGAGAATACGACGGGCCTTGAACTTGAACATTGGGAAGATGCGGAGGAGTTTGCGAGAACTACCGCGGTAGAGCTTATCCAGACATATCGTAATATCTGGGCCAAATCAAACGCCGTCAAGAAAATGGGAAAGCACCTGGATACGCTGAAAAGTAATGTGCAAGAAGCCATGAGTATTGAATATGAATTTATGAAGTATCTACCGCTCAAGTCAGCCAAAAACCAATTGTGGAATGGTCGAGACGCAAATAAGACACTTCCCTTACTTTACACAAGTGTCGTAAAGCTATCATGTCGATACAAGGATATTACGAAGGGCTTGAAAGGGATGGAGCTCATCCTGAAGAACCCGCCATCACCACAATCTGGCTTTCCAACTAAGGGAGCGTCTATGATTGCCTGGTCTCAAGTTATAGAAGGCCTCGTATGGCACTGGGGCACGTTTTTGCTCAACTCACAGCCAGGCAGGCTATTCGCCATGAGAAGAGAAACGTTGAAGGGCGTAAAAGACCTCCGCACTTACGACTTGGAAAAGTCGTGGGAGCAGTGGAGAGATCGGAACTGCGCTGGTACGACATGCCACACGAAAACCACCCTCACTTACAAGTTTGGGGTCTGGGCCGGCTTGCGCATACCAGTACTGGAGGGCCGTGCTCAGGATGAGAATGCGTTTTGTAAGAGACAGACTATACCAGCTGGTCAAAAGCCGAATGTTTGGCGGGGAGTGTATCAGCAGGTGTGTTGTGATGAAGAATCGTCACTTACGTCCTTCATAAAATACGGACCGGTAGATACGATATCTACTCCTGTTTAGGTATGGTACAAGCAACATAGTGCAGGATTGCCTATGAAGATAGGTACCTATGATGCAGAGGGACAAGTGATGGATGTGGGATAATTATGCCCGTAGTTACCTAGGTAATATTATATGGGTAATTATTTCAGTCTTTTTGATACTAAGCTACTAGGTAGATAAGGTACCTTTTCCCGCATAACTTATAAAGAATAGAAATGGGACGAATTCTCGAGACATATCTTTCTGTCCGGACTGCTACCTAGGTACTTAGTAGGAATAAGTTGACCAAGTTTAGTAGCCCCTCAGATAGGTACTGACAACTCCTTCGCTAATCCCTACCTTTACCCTTCTTCTTTCCTTTATTCCCTTCTCCAGTGTCCGTTGAATGATACCCTCCTGTCGAGACTTCCGTCACATGGTCGTCCCAGACTTCTAGTTGGATTGAATTGTTGCGAAGCTCCTCCGCATCCTTGAACGTGCTAAGCGACGCAGTCTTTTTAGTTTTTACCAGCCGCGCGACCGTGATGCAGCCAGAGCCGGGGGGAGACAGCGCCGCTTGGAAGTCGACCGGTTTCGCACACTGAGGCGATATCGCTATATAGCAAGATGGCCAGGGAGAGGTGCCTTGCGCTCGCTGTTTGGATGTGTAGTTGACTACCGGGAAGGTGATGTGGTGAGATGTACTGGGGTAAACGTAGACTTCCGGGTAGGCCATATCTTGGCGAGGGAATGGCGATACAGTTACTGGGGTATGTTGGACTCTGGCGTCAGCACACTGGTTATGCGTGTGTTCGGCTATATCTCTTTCAGTCGAGAGGTCCAGGGGAGGTGTGGTATCCATACGTCTGGCCAGTCTCATCCAGACGCACTGGTCGCAAGGGCAGACGTGGGGTTCATGTACGATCCGTGGTGTGAGATTTGGAGGGGGGAGATAAGGAGTGAATCGTTGACAACCTCCTTCGGGAGTAGCGTTCGGGTCTTGAGGAAAATCGATAGGCATGATGGATTTTCGTGTTCTCTTATGTTTCCCATTGGTCTTGGGTTGGCAAGATTCTAAACAACTTCTGATGAGACACATATTTGTACTAATCTTGGATAGATATCTACTTACATTGATAGACGATATCCCGACATTGCTACAGATATTCAGGCTGGATACCTTTGTAAATGGTAAGGTCTCAGGCAGAAAGACGTTTGAATAAAGATCTTTTGGACTTCTTTGCTGTAAAAATATTCTTAGGAAGGTTATCACGATGTGGCAGGTGAATCTACGATAAAAAGGCTCTTAATATTGAGGCCGATATACATGAAAAAAAGGATATTTGGCCAAAGACGTATCCGTGACTTTATCCTGGCTGTGGAACTTAATGATAATGAATACTAGTTGGATTTACGAAGAACCCGCTTACCTACTAGGTATATTGTAGGAACTGTGATTTGTATTTTCTCATATCCTGCTTCAAAGATATTTGAGTTAATATTCAAGATGTACTCATTATCAACATTACAGCGAACCACTAGCTTATGGAAGGCGAGCTCTTGGGGATCTTCGGTACTAAAATATACTTTCACATGGCTCATAAGTGGCTAGAATACTAATTAATTCTTTTCTGGGGGTGTTTAATGTTATTTACACTTATCAGGTCATTTGTATTCCGTAAATGTAGATGGTTGAAAAAGGGGTCACTCCTTTTATGGCGCTGTATTTGGATTACATAACATGAAATTGATTACATAATTATTATCCATGGGGTGGATCCACTGAGTGACCATAGCACCTGAATGTTTGAGCACCTGGCAATGGAACGTGGCCAGAACTTGATAAGGCTCGATAAGGATAGCTGAAGTAACGCAGGTACGGAAGAACTTTTTCGTTTTTTAGTGGCTTGAACTTGCCAAATCCATTATCGCCGCATTGCGACAGATTCCAATTCCAAGTCACAATTCATCGTCTTTTTTTTTCTATCACCTTCTCTAATTTAACACATTCGTCTTTCCGATAAAAAGGCTGCGCACCCTACTCTGCCTACAGAGCAGTTCTCTCTTCCTTGTCATTCTATTTGATCTCTACTCGTCTTCTTTCAAACGTATTCAAAATGGCCGGACTCAGTCCTCAAGTGTACGTGTTGTCAAATTTCCTTTACACGTGTGCGTTGCGCCTGCAATATACTAATGGAATTGCAACAGAACCAACATCATCATCATTCTTGGAATGATGCAGGTGTCGAAACGAATCCCATTCGAAGACCCTAATGTTCTCAACATCGTTCGCGCGCTGTACATCGCTAGCAACGTGATCATTGCTAGCATCTACTTCTACACTCAGCTCCAGATCAACAAGAAGAAGGGTATGACCTCTTTTTACCCACGAAATTATAGACATGCCCGACCATGTTGCTGACTCAATACTCTACAGATCTCACGACTCTCAAGTATGTCGAGCCGGCGCCGATGGGATCCTCGGAAGAGGGCAAGCTTGTGACGACCACTGTGCACGCGTACGACTCGCAGCAGATCAAGAACTCTTTCCGATCGCAGCTTATGGGTATCGCGATGATGGGTTTCATGCACGTATACATGAAGTACACCAACCCGCTAGTCATCCAGTCTATTATACCTCTTAAGAGTGCCCTCGAATCCAACCTAGTCAAGATTCACGTCTTCGGCCAGCCCGCTAGCGGAGATCTCAAGCGCCCCTTCAAGCAGGCTGCCGGACTTATGGGTGGTCTTCAGAGCGGCCCTGCACAGAGTGATAAGAAGGCTGTCGAGGCTGCCGAGCGTGCCGGTCGCGGTGGAGTCAAGGACGAGTAGATTGGATGTCTTAACGTCTTGTCTACCTATAATATTTTGAGACAGGGAGGCGGTGACCTCGGACATTGTATTGGTGTTGTAGGCTTCGGATTTCGGGCGTCATTAATGTCTCTCCCCGGTTACTTACACACAGACGTATCGTCTGACACGAATAGATGATCATAATTCATGCATACATATGATTTTGTCTCGGTGCTAGATTGTGTTTTTTTTTTTTCCAATTTGTCTAATATGATATTAGGTACTAACTCCGCATCCTATGACAGGAAGCGAGTCCCGGTCATTTAAACTCGAGTCTCGAATACAACTTATTGTTAGTGCGAATCCATTTTTTCCGAATTTGTAGGAATGCTTGTATCTTTGTACCATTTAGGCAGGCCTCAGCCGTAGCAGCGCAAACGTCGGTGCTAGTTTCCCTTCTAAAACCTCCGACGTCACCATCTTACACCACTAAATTTAACCCCTGTATCATTTTAGACGGCAACAGCAATCGCAACGTCGTCATTTCCTAAATAATATGCACGTTTAAATACCTACGACTTCTTTTTCTGCTTACACATATTCTCGTCTTTCATCAAATTTCGCATCGAGATGGAACGTCCATCAACGCCGCCATCACGGGCTCGAACTCGAACTGCCAACCCGATAGCCTCCCCTCCCACCCCCGAAGTCACACGGCGCATTGTGAGTCAAACCCCAACGAAATCCTGTGTATATCGCTATTTCGAGACCATGCTCTAATTAATTTGAAATCACAGGAAGAAAATCGCCTACGAGCCAAGGCATTGCGCGAACAACATGAGTCCGCCGCCCGTGCATCCGGCGCACCATCTACCTCGCGCACACCATCCGGCTTTATCGCCACCGATGACATTCACATTCCGAATACGCGAAAGCGCACCTACGATTCAATATCAGGACCATCTACCAGTCGCGACGGCCGCACTAATGGCGCCTCGCCGGTCAAGGATGGTGCCGAGGGGTCCAATAAGGGGAAAGAGGGTAAAGACGAAGGATCTATCAGACCAGCGAGGAAGTTTACCAAATTCGTCGACTACGACCTCGGGAAGATGACAGATACAAAGGGTGGATTCTTAAGCACCGAGGATGATCCCTGGAATAAGGCTATGTCCGGCTCGGTGGCAAAGGGAAAGAATGGAGCGCCGGCCGAGGGACCTGGGGAGAGGCCTAAGGGAATGACGGTGCAGGAATGGGAGAGGCTCCAGCTGCTAAGAAAGCTGCAACGGCAAAAGGCGGGACCCTTCGAGCCGGGGTTGAGTGTGCTGCAAGATAAGAAGGATCGGAAGAAGTGCCGGGAGTGCGGAAGCTTCGAGATCGACTTCGTATGGGAGGAAGTATTCTCGTGCTGCATCTGTTCGGCTTGCAAGGAGAAACACCCGGAAAAATATAGTCTTTTAACTAAGACGGAGTGTAGGGAGGACTACCTTCTCACAGATCCGGAGCTGAAAGATGAGGATCTGCTACCGCATCTCTCGAGACCTAATCCCCATAAGTCACATTGGCATGATATGTGGCTATTTTTACGATTTCAAGTCGAAGAATATGCCTTTAGCGACCAGAAGTGGGGGTCTGCCGAGGCACTAGACGCTGAGTTTGAGCGCCGCGAGACCGAAAAGAAGAAGCGGAAGGAAGCCAAATTCAAGGAGAAGCTACTGGATTTGAAGAAACGGACGAGAACGGACGCTTATAAAAGAGAGAAAGGTAAACTCGGAGGGTCGGCATCGTCGGGTAAGAGAGCTCAGTTCGGCGACGCGGTGTTAAACGGCGGCAAACATGTTCATGAATGGGGAAGGATCGTCGAGAATGAAGACGGCGCGACGGTGAAGACGTGTACAACTTGTGGCATGGAGGTGGAGGAGATGGAGTTCTAGAGAGGATAGTAAGATGATACCCAACTATGAAATCGAAGCAAATACGTCAATATCCGTGGATTTATGTTAAAGGAGTCCCCTGGTACGTTTACTACTCAATTGCTTCGTCTTCACTAGCATTACCATACTCCCCCCCGGATCAAGAGGCCGCTTATTCTTGACGTGTTACAGTACTCCCTGGAACAGAAATTTATCGGTGTCCAAATGAAAGGTCCCCGTTGACGGCGTCCAGCGGTTGCATAGAAATAGTAACCCCCACCTAGAAATGCTTTGCCTCACCCAGCGCAGGCAGGATTACCGCAGCTACCGAAACAGCGAATCTTGTACATCTTCATAAGCAGATCTCCACAATAGTTCATTTACATAATCATGTATGGAAGAGCGAAACACCGACATTACTGGGTACTTACCTATAACAGAAGGTGTGGAACTTTTGTTATAGAATCGAGAAACCAAGATAAGTTCTCAGAAATAAGACATTACCTACTTGACTCGAACATACTACTATGTTCGGAATGGCACACTGTCGGGTACTCGTAGGTCAAAAATTGTCACACAGGTGCTATACTGCTATAGTATATCAACTGTCAACCCCCCATTTAACGGTATTAATAAATGGTCTCAATTAGGCGGTTTCTAAACCAGCTTTAGGTCTAGGATACACGAGTCATAGATACTAACTCATTGACACATTTGATGATCCACAAGGAACATTTCCGTGGAGAATTATGTCGAGTGACATACCAACGAGTTATCATAGGGTGTGTCCCTACCTAGGTACCTACTAGATGGTATCACAGCATATCATAAAGGGCACTCTTCTCTCATAAAACCTGAAGCGAATGCCACTTAAGTGCGCCACTCCAACGATGTTTCGATCATGGATCGCCAAAGAGTCCTAAGTAACACCTCTTGTTTACCAGATATCCACCTAGTAAGTGCTTTAAACTGTCAACGTCAGAGGCTTGCTATGCATGTGCGGCTAAGTACCTACTAGGTAACTAAAAGCGGGAGCTTGGATTATAATTCTACATCCAATGATCACTCACATACCCTACTAGTATAGACAGGCTTCACATACACGGGAGTCGGCAAACATAGCGCGAGATGAATCTGCTCGATCGCGCTTGTTTAGCTAGACGAATGATATCAGCAAGAGACCTAACATACCCACAGCAGGGAACGGTTAAGCCATGATGATTTCCATTTACATTATTGTTATTGGCTGAGAGGACGTAGCATTATCCATGGATAGAGACAAAAACCCCAGTCTACCCCAGGTGCGGGACCTCCCTAGTTTATGTAGGAGTCGGACAGTTCGGACTCGTGCCCTACCGTTCCTCCGCCTCTGGAACCCTGGAACCACATACCACAGCCATTCTAATTATCATTGCTGCCATCACATGCTCATTGGTACCGATCTTACACCGCGATGATGTAGGTCGGCATCGGCAACTGTTGCTCATTCGCTTGGCGTCGTGAGTCCGAACATTCGGAACATAGGCGTCTCGGCCTTTAGCGCCAAACCCGAACTGTGTACATGCCTAGTACACAGGTAACGGAAGAGTTCAATATAAGAGATGGATGTTTCCAAGAACAGTTATATCTTTCACAATTGTACGACAGTCGACTTTGGCTTGATTGGATGGTATCGCTTATTTCAATATAATCCATTCGCATCTAAACTCGATACAATTTATCAAGTATTATGGAAGTACTAGGGGGTATCCAAAGCTACCAACTCGTAGCTATCGCCGCCGGTTTAACCTTGCTAAGAGTATGGGCTCTCTTAAGATAAGTGTGTCAATCAGCACTAACCCGTTCCTTAGTACGTTTATACTGTCCTAAGTAGTCCTCTGGCGAAAGTACCAGGACCTTGGTATACAAAATGGACGATAGCGGTTTTCAGATATCAACTCATCAGAGGGAAACGGCCGCAATGGGTTCATCGTTTACATGAAAAATATGGTTCGTAATACACCTACTTTATTCCAACCTTGGAAACTATACTATCACATACGTATATTAACCATCTCTTCGTCGAGTAGGACCCATAGTGCGCGTCTCTCCGATCGAGGTCAGCATACAAGACCCAAAGGCTGCTCAACAGATTTATTCAGTCAAGAACGAATTCCGGAAGTCGACCTGGTACCAAGATCTGCTTCCAGGTCTTCCCAATGTGTTCAGCACACTCGATATCGATTATCATAGACGGCACCGAAGGCTCCTCGCCTCCGAGATCTCAGATTCGGGATTGGCAGTTCATATACCCACAGTAGACTCAAAAGTCCGTCTAACTGTTGAACGAATGTCGGAGGAAATGGAGGAACGCGGTGTGATAGTAAGAGACCCTATCTATAATTATAAGGCAAAAAGGTAGACACTAACTTTAGACCCCCTTAGGACGTATATCGCTGGGCCATGTATATGGCAACAGACGTTATCGGAGAGCTTAGCTTTGGGTCCTCGTTCCGGATGTTAGAAACGAAAGAGGTACGTCTTTTCATTCACTCACCACATCTACCACCAAGGAACCATACTCATTAAAATAATTTATAGGAAACCGATTATATCCGCGACTTGAAACTGATAGGGTTCGCCGGTGGACTCAGGGCGACGTTTCCATTCCTCACGTTTCTCTCCAACTATATATGGGTGCCGGTGATAAGCGTCGGACTTAAGGTCCGGAACAAGATCCGCGACTACGCGACCGAGTCACTAGGACGACACTACAAACTCGTCGAGGAACAAGGAGATGACGCCAAACCCACTCTTCTATCTAAACTGTACCGGGCCACCGAAAATGATACCGACACGTTGCCATTCATCGAACTGCGCGAGGACGCAATGGCGTACATCGCAGCCGGCAGTGACACCACGACTAACACGCTAACGTATCTCCTCTGGTCCGTCTCCAGGGACCCAGAAGTCAAAGCGAAGCTTCTTGCGGAGATTCAAACGCTACCGGACAATTTCGAGGATGCGGACGTTAGGAAATTGAGTTATGTGGAAAAAGTAATCCAGGAGACCCTTCGCTTATACTCCGCCGTGCCGGCCGGTTTGCCCCGCATTGTGCCGGCGGAAGGTGCGACGCTCGCGGGCTATTTCATTCCGGGTGGTTACACAGTCTCGGTCCAGGCGTACAGCATGCACCGGAACCCGGAGGTGTTTCCGGACCCGTGGAAGTTCAACCCGTCGAGGTGGGACCATCCGACGAAGGCTATGAAGGACTCGTTCCTGCCTTTTGGTGGAGGCAGTCGAATCTGCATCGGTTTGCACTTGGCTAAGATGGAGCTGCGGCTTATGACTGCGCGGTTCTTTACTAGATTCCCGAACGCGCGACCGTCGAAGCTGGAGGGGTTTACGGATGAGGATATGGGCCCGAAGATGTTCTTTATTATGCAGCCGAAGAGTCAGAGATGTCTTATTGAAGGGTACTAGGAAAAGGTTATTTAGGTAGGTTTTAGGGGGTGGGAGGTATGACTAGGTAGAAGAGTTTATGGTAGGAAGAATGCACGAATTATTGGATATCTATTAGGTAGTTAATTTATTATAAACATGTAACCAATTCCGAGAGTGATAACGTAATGACGAAAGTGTAGGTATCGGTGTTTACATGTCCCTTAATTTCTTACCTGCAGCTCGGGGGTGTTCATGTCATAGACTTGACGATGAGATATTTGAAATTGTTCTCAATGGCGAACATACATGTTAGGATCAGAGCTATTATATATAATATGCTACGTCTATCACTAGAGTTGTGCTCAAATCAGCCAACTGTTCTTATACTAAAAATCCAATAATAACTCCATATAGCGATTGTAAGAACAAAAGGGTATCATCCCACACCAATGTCCATAATAAAATGCCCAAAAGAGAGGATATAGGCTCATTGAATCTGAAAACATGACCTTGTAACGCCAACATCACTCTAACTTCCGAGACCAACATCTATGCTCCTAAGCCTCAAATATATAATGCGGGGGTATCAATGACCGTAGAGAATGAAAGAAGAAAAATGAAGATGTAAGATGAGATGTAATCCGCATCGTCAGAATCCGCCCTCTAAACCCGCTCGACGGGATGCACCGGCTTAGCCCCCAAAATACTCTCCTCATCCTCCTCGCGCTTAACCGACGCACCAAAAAACCCCCTCGGAACATCCTCCGCAGTCGCAGCGGCAGGCGGGACCGTAACCGACCCAGGACCCCCAAGCTCCCAGCTCCCAACGCGCTCATGTCGAGCCCCAGTCCTCGCAATCGAAACATCATGATCCGAAGCCATCTTCTCCGCGCCCTTGAACCCGCCCAAGCTACTCCGGCGTCTCTCCGCATCCGCCGCATCCCCACGCCGGATCCTCAGCCCGCCGAAAACAAACGCGACTAATCCCCCAGCGAGGAACACCGCAATTGTAGTCAGCGCACCAATCACGCCTGCCACAGCCGGCGAAAGCGACGTATTGCTGTTTCCACCGCTGCTGCTACTCAACGAGCCAGACGAAGTCCCCGAGTTCGACCCCAAGGCACTACAGAACAGCGTCACAGAGCCGCAGATATCGCACCACTGCGAAATATCCTGAATCGAGAAGCGCGCAACACTCTCCTCAAACTCCGCCCAACGGACCCGCGTCTCCGAGTTCCCCAGGCCGAAGAGGGGGTACTCCGCCATAGGCGCGTCGTTCGCCGTGCCGTTGCGGTATAAGAACCGCACCCACAGGTCCGCTTGGTTGGGGTAGCTGGCGTCGTCGGTAGTGCTGAAGAGCTCGAATGTCATTACGGAGCCGGGCTGCGGGATCTGTGAGAAGAGCGTGGTGGTGGTGATTGAGGAGAGGTTCGACAGCGCGAAGAAGGCGAGCATGGGCTCGAAGGAGCCGAAGAGCAGCGACATTTTGTTCGTGCGCCCGCCTGAGTGGATGTGTGAGGAGAGCTGGGCTACTGCGCGCGCGGCGAGCATGCGTCCGGAGATGGCGCGGATCATGTCGCCGTCTTGGGACCCGGATGCGGAGAGGTTCCCGTTTAGGTCGAATTGCTGGTTGTTGGCTAGGTTGCGCAGGATCGCTAGACGGTCGGCTTTGAGGGTTTTTTGCGCTGTCGAGTTGTGGTTGTACTGGTATTGCGCGTAGTCGTATAAATCGTAGGCGTAGTCGAAATTGAGCATGGAGCTGGATATCGCGCCTGGGAACACCTGTGCGAATGTGGTCTGGTAGAAGTTAAGGGTTGAGTTGTAACTCTCTTGGCCGAGTGAACTGCTTCTGAAATCGTTGCTCGATGCCCAGTATTCAGCACATGCTGCGTGTCCTTCAAGCCTAGTAACAGTATTAGTGGGCTAGAAGGGTTCCATTAAGGTGTATAAAGCTCACCAGACAGAGCTCATATCCGTGACTGATATGGTCAAAACATTTGGGTATTGATAACCATCCAAAGGGTAATCTATTAGGGTCCCATTGGCTAATGTAGACGCATTTTCACCCCCACTACTTGACGCAAAGGTTCGAGTGATCGGTGGATATAGGCCTTGAAGGAAAGCCAGAGCGCCTCCGACTACATAATCGTCGGTCGTGCTATAGATTGAGAGTTGACTATTGTCAAGAGCTTGCAATTCCATACCCGAGATAGGCGAGCTACTCGTTATAGCGCTGTCTTCGACCGATAAATTGGCATTGGGCGACAAGTATCGAGCTCTGAAGAGAGCTCCCTGAGAATAAAGTTGTTGCGCACCCAGAGGAGTTAAGCTAGGAGTGAGTTGACTTTGCAATGGTGTACGGTCGCCATACAATACGTATGAAAACGAAGACCAGACTGTTTCGTTCGTAGATGCTGCCAGAGCCTCGCCCACGAGTGAAAAAACGGCAACCAATGCCTTTAGTGAATGTGAAGCCATTCTTTAGGCCAAGCTGTGCTATGACCGGGTTATACAAATCTCAGGATAGCAAGAGACAAAGTGAGACAATACTTAGGTATGATAACTCAAGGAAGTAGAGTCAAAAGAACTATCAAGCTCACAGAGAAGACAAGGAGGGGTATCCGAGGGGCGAGAACAAAGATAGATGAGCCAGCCTACCTTCGACCCTTGCGTACTTCTTGCGCAAACGTGCATGTACATACATACCGACCTACCTGAGCGATACACCTGCATATATGACTCTCGATGGCACCAGATAACGTGCTTGGTTTTCCAGGTCCACCATTGCATCCCGCCAGACAGTACCGGCGCCGGAGTGTCAGCTTAGTATAAGCTATCTCTTCACCAGCGAGCCTTAACCATCGAAAGCGGCGGGGAGCTTGGGGAATGGCGGGGTAGCTCGCTGGTGTGAAGAAGCACGCAAGATAAGAGCAAGCACGCCAAGCTTGGCATTGTCTCTTTTAGGACTCTGGGGGCTGACTGGGCTGGGATGAGTTATCATCGGACACGATTTTACCCCTGTCGATTCGATCAGATAGAGCTCTATCACAGGCTCGCTAGGAAACCTGCAGTAGTGATCTGCCCTATGAGTGTCTATTATGCCATGGTGTTGAAGTGGCTGCATAAAGGTCAACCCGCCAATATTAAGTATTTCGTTTTCGGATGCTGCCCTGGCTTTTATAAAGAGGCAGTCCGATCTTAAATATTTATCGATAGGTATGACCACAACTAGTACGGAGAGTGCCGAGGTAGTGTTCTGCCATGCGACAGTAGCTGAGCGGATTTAGAGCGGCGTTTAACGGATTCATGATATTTTATGCAGACGGAAATTTCTATCCGTATGCTAAATTACTTCTAGCTATGTAATAGTTGCCTGTACCCTAAACCTAAGTGGATGGATATACAATATGATCCGTCCTTTTCCGGGGCCGCTAGACAGAATCGAGTATTTGCAAATCTTGGCGATGCATCGATTTTAAGTGCTGAGCTGCAGCCGCTAAGTCCGGGTCCTTCGATTCTAGATGGGTTGAAAGATGATGCCATTGTTGATAGCCTCGAGAAATCTAGAGGAACCTAGGTACGAACGAACCGTTGATTTATAATATCGAGCTGTAATTGCGCATATAGGGTAGTAGGTAAATTTACATTAAGCACACCTGAGCGGACAAAAAGCGGCATTTCCCCTGGGGTAGGATACGACGCACCCTATCAGCGACGGCAAACATGAGGATATCTGACTGACGGGCGGACATTTTGTCCGCTAAAGTATCCGAGTTCAGTCTATTTTCGGGTGGTATCCTAGCTTCATCAGGGTAGCTCGGCGATGTGGATCCGCCATTAGTATGCCTACTACTCAACTTATAAAGGACCGGTTCTCCCATATGAGATGAATTGAATAGAATATCTTCTCTCATAATATCAATCTAAATACAGACTTGCTAAGATACACTTCACTTGTTCGAATCAATGGCGAAAGGCTCTATTCTGGTTACCGGCTCTAACGGGGGTCTAGGTTCTGCCATTCTTGAACGGATCATCCTTCGACCGTCTGTCGCCCAAGACTACTATGGGTTATATGCTGTGCGCAAGGCCGAGACTGCTGATGATGCGAAGAAGGCTCTTCGGGGTGCTGCCAAAGCGAAACACCAATATGAGCTTGTCTCAATAGACCTCTCGAGCCTTGATAGTGTACGCAAGACTGCCGCAGATATTAACGAGCGAGTCGCAAGCGGCAAGCTACCGCCTATCAGGGCCCTTATACTTTCCGCCGCCTACCAAGAACACTTCTCCCATAGCTTCACCAAGGACGGCTTCGATATGACCTTTCAGGCTACCTACCTCTCACATTTCCTCTTGACACTTCTCCTATTACAGAGCATGGATAAGGAGAAAGGTCGCATAGTCATTCTAGGTAGCTGGACACATGAGTAAGTGACCACCATTCACCCTAATACGCTAGGACTTTAGTTAATATCTCCTAGCACTACCGACCTAAAGAACCAGTCAGGCCCGTATGCGGAAACATACATACCGGAAGAGTTCCACCAGATCTTCACCGATCCGGAGGGCAGCACCGAGCCTATCGCAAAAGGCACATGGGGTGCAGCCAACGGAGAAAAGGAAGACCGATTAGCTGGCATGAGGCGATACGGAGCTGCTAAGCTATCCCAGGTCATGACATTGTGAGTGTCTCCGGCCGTAGCTATCATCTCCTGGCCATATCATCCCATCTCAAAGCATATTACTAACACCCACCAGGAAAGAGTTAGCACGCCGTATACCGAAAGACCCGGCTCTGTCCAATATCGTAACACTAGGCGTGGACCCCGGAGGGATGTCCAGCCCTCTATCCCGACGCGCTTCATGGTTTCTGCGTAACATCGCGCTTCCCATCGTCGGCGCAATCATCGCACCGATCCTAACCTGGCTGTATCCCAACGGCAGCCTGCGAACGACGTGGAAGTCTGCCGGCGACGTGGTGCGCGCCGCCTTTGATTCCGACGGCGATCTCGCGCATCCGAATGGACTCTATATCAACGGAACAGAACCCATTGAAACTAGTCCCGAGGCTAATGATGAGAAGAAGACCCTTCGGTTATGGCGTGATAGTCTTGTTTATGCGAATGTTAAGGAGGGCGACACCGTGCTGGCGGATTGGAAGTGAGATGAGGGTTGGTGGTAATCTGGAACATGTTGCGCTTTTCCCGTCGTTGAGTATATATTTTAAAAATTCTGTAAGGTAGTCTGTATGCGATAGAAAGTGTTAATGAGATTAATAAAATTGGAATGGAATTAAAGCGGCTCGGGTGATTAAACCGATGGTGCACAACGGGTTATCCGAGGTCGGAATCCGTCTCCAGCATTAGATTGCGAGGGAGATTTGCCGAGTATTAAATGAGTGCCGCCAGGTCGGTATCGAGAGATTGCCGTAGCCGGAGACAAGGTCGATCGTTCAAGCAGACAAGCTATGCTACGTGCCAACGTAGATAGATGGGCGTTCCTGTAGGGACCGTCGCAATCCGGATGCACGAAATGCATCACTTTGCCTATAGGAAAGGCTAAGGGGTTGCGATGACCGGAAATGGTGAGCGTCTGCAGCCCTGCCGTGCCATTGCTAGAACGTTACATATGTGGGGATTTATATTACGGCTATATTAGAAATCTAGGTACGCCTGATAACTCGTTCCTGAGCCCGTACTCGTATAGCTTCACTAATGAGTCTACCCGGTGTTCCGCCATGGATTGGTGCAGCTGGAGTTATCATTATGCTATGAAGGTGGCGTGGATTTCGCATACGACGGGGCACTACTCCTTAGTCCCCGTCTCCAAGTTGGGCTAGATATTTCAATAAATAGGGACTTACTCACCCTCTTTACCCCCGGGAGTAGTAGGGATACGGAAATAAATCATGAGCCTTTGGCTCTTCGGCAATTTATCCGCGTTTCTGGAAGTTGTGATGATCTCCTTGGGTGATGAAATGGCTAACGTACAAATATTGCGGTTAAAGTCGTGGCGCGTGACCGGCGCCGTAGATCTTGGGATCTATGCAATGTATGCCGTGCTATACCAACCAGGTAGGTAGGACCAGCGTCGTCTCACATATATTTTCTCCATGAGAAACCGGCTCTGGAGGAGAAGCTGATTGGTCTGGCCCCGTCGTATGGGGTAGCTTGGACAACCGCGTGCAGCGCTGATTCGACGCTGCACAGTTGCCAGCTTAGGGAGCTGCATCCCATTCTCCTCAACGGCATCTCGTAACAAGGTCTTCGGAGAATTCGTAAATTTCTCCATCAATGATTCAAGTGCGATCTTCAATAACGTTAACCCCGAAACTTATGACCGGGTAGATGGAAGCCCGCATCTTTGTTAGTTGTAAGTCGTCTCTTCGGAGGTGACGGAAGACCTGTCCTACGACCACTCGACCATGGCGCTATTCAGGTTACTTCTCCTAGGCTTGTTGCCGTTTCTATGTCTTTCTGCTTCCCTAAAGGATTTTCCGCAACTTTATGGACCGCGATCATGGAGTAGACTCGCCGGAGGAAACAACACAGCCGATAGTGGACGGCATATCCGAGCGAAGCTTCAATCCCAGAAGATAAATAATGTGACAGGCGGCGCCGTATCAACATATGGGACATCTAAGATCTCGGACCGGTCTCCGCGGGAGCCATTGGCCAGATATGGTGCGGGGATAGTGTATATGTTAGAGCGTGCGTCGTGCACATAGACTTATATGAAACATTAGCTGATGAGCTTGGGTAGTTGATATCGGAACGCCCGGACAGAAGGTCTCTGCCATCCTCGATACCGGATCGTATACGCTACTCTTAGATCCAGACTGTAAACAAGCGGCGGACCCGGAGGCTTGTCAGACATATGGCTTTTATGACACGGCGCAGTCTTCTACCGCTAAGAGTCTCAATGGCTGGTTCTCGGGCCAGTTCGGTACAGGCTTTATGCAAGGAGTATGGTATAGCGACACGGCGTATGTAGGGTTGGATTGTACGTATGAATCCTTTTTTCGGGGATAGTTATTCGAACATGGCAATAGGCGATTAACATATATTCCTAACATCGGTATGACAGATTTACCCCTTCCAAACTTGAGGATTGGAGTAAGCAAGTGGAGTCAGTACATCTGGGCTGGAGTTTTGGGCGTCTCGTATGGAAAAGCGTGGAATACTGCGTATCAAACTCTGCTGGACCTCATCGTCTTCCAGAACTATATCGAAGTACCAATATTCAGTGTAGGTGTCGGATATCAAGGTGGTGGAAGCCCAAGTGAGTTGACATGGGCCTTGTGGCAAGCTCCTAAAGTAGCCTCGATAGAGCTGACTTGAACCAGGCGATATAATCTTTGGAGGGGTCGACAGGAAGAAATATCGCGGATATCTCGAACCTCTCGAGATTTACCCGTATCCAGAGCAGCAGTTGAAGCTCTTTGACCAAGTAGGGTAAGATATTGTTCAAATCTTTGAGGCCAATACTGACCGTACAAAGCTATCGGGTGAACCTAACATCTTTGGCGGTCACCCCTCCTGGGGAAAATGAAACAATGCTGACGGGAAGCAACTTCGAACGCAACGTCTTGATCGACTCTGGATCAACATACACATATCTCGATGCTAATTTGGTTGCTATAATTGCAAAAACCCTGAATGCGAATACGGATGAACACGGAGTATATCGGGTGCCATGCGAAAACCGAGACTTAGACGGTTCCGTGAATTTCGGGTTTAACTTCTTCAACATGGTCATTCGCGTTAACTATGCCGATTTTATAGTCGATTTTGATAGCTACTGCGCCCTCGGTGTTCAACCTATAGATCATTCGGACTCGACGTGGGTGTTAGGGACTAGCTTCATAAGAGCAGCATATCGTGAGTGTTGGATTAAAACACATCATGTTTGAATTGGAATACTAACAAATAGTTCATTAGTTGTATTTGACCAGCTAAACAATGCAGTATGGATTGCGCAATATTTGCCATGTGGCGATGACGGGGTAGAGGATCTCACCAAGGACGCTGGCAGACAGCTGTGGTTAGAGGTTACGGGTCTGTGTTGAACGGAAAATGAAGACGGAAAAGCTGAAATGGAAAATGCAGATCGCTTGATTATACAAATATCATGTACATATAGCCGTACAGTAGTTATTCAAAACATGTAAAATCATTTCTAACACCCCAAGCCACAGATCAGACATCTGGTCCTCGAATATCTTCACTCAGTGGACCTTGCCTCGTCCAAATATTCATCTAGAATCGAGTTAGTGAGTTTTGCCAATGCTAGGATGAGTATGGTTACACATCAGAAATTACTTACCCCTATTTTCGAACCGCTAGTAACCGGCAAACCAGCATGCAGTGTTCGCTGATCCCCTGTACCATCTTCGTTCAAATTCTGCCAAAATACAGCATTCCCAACAACAGGCCTAAACGTCACCCCGTTCTCCCACGGCTCATCACAGTCGACAAACCCACACCAGCGCTCATTGATAGGCGCGGATACCATGGGGAAATTGGTGCCGCCACCCGTGATGTCGTCAGAGGCTGAGACATACGCGAAAAACGAGCTGAGCCGGTTTCCTCCCAGCGCAGATGTGGCGTGCGCATCGTTTGTGTACCAATCCGTGTGGAAATGATACCGCTCTCCTAACCCGTACTTGACTAGCTGCAGCGGCTCGAGGTGCGTCCGCGGGATGTCGAAGCCTTGGAAAAGCAAAGCCCGTTCCTCGATGCATCGGACTACAGCGTTGCGCGGAACATTGGTTGACTGGGAAGTCCGCGTCTGACGTAGCCCTTGAGCTCCAGATTCGTCGGCAACGGCTGAGTGAGAGAACGTATCTTTGCTGCTCAATGTTGTTAATATTAAGATATTGGCTAATGTGGAAATAAATTTCGATGCTCACGTTATCTCTTGTAAATGTGCTTGCTCTTCGGCTGTGACGAATCCCTCTAGGTATATGACCAACGGCGATTTGGATACTATGCGACTCTGATAGGCGGGGTGCTTGCAGGAATCGCTGGACGCCAATGGCTTCTGCGCACCATCGTGACTGTGTGCGCTAGCTGACCCAGCGGCAAGTCCTAACAGTAATACTGATTTTAATGAGTTCATCATGATCTGAGCTTCAAATTGAATATGAGAAGAGAAAAATATGAGTTCGTCCTCGTCGGTCCAAAAAGTTAACCGACTTCATGGTCACTGATGAAATCCTCCGCTGTTATAAGGAGAGGATATGTAGAGTTGAAACACCAATTGTCTGCGTAGAAATGAGCTCCCCCTGTTTAGCGTCGCAGCAACCCGCTGATCAAGCTCATTAGTGGAGAGCTCTAGCGCAGATCCAGGGTTACGGGGTCGTGCATCGTCAGATCTAACCCCTGACCTGCCTGATCTGCAGGTAGCTCAGCTATGTGGATGGCTTGTATTTGACCCCGCGAGATCCCGTTCGGTTGAGAACAGATGAAGAAGTTGTTCGATCAAAGTCAAAATGAAAGTCGGAAGTATAGAACTCTTATTATCACTGTTAGTAGGTACAGCAGTGGCCTGGGAACATACAGACGAGAAGGAATTCCGACGGGCGATAGGAGGTCATAACCATGCCTTAGTTGCATGTAAGTCGTTGGTCTCTGCTATTGACGAATCGCGATGATAAAATTGACCAGAAGAGTTGAAGCTGACATCTCAATGTAATTACAGTTATAGAACCTTCAACGTGAGCCGAATTCGATCTCTTGTCCAAATATCCCACAAACTAATAACTTACTTCATTTTCAGCGCTGCTAGCCAAGCTTTAGAACCAGAATGGACATCAGCGGTAGAATCAGAAAAGAAGGCTCTAATTAGCATAGACTGTGCCTCCACAAAAAGTCTATGTCAGGAGTTTGGCATCATCTCATATCCCGCACTGCGGTTCTTCGACGGCCATGGAAAAATGACATCCTATCGAGGTCCTAGAAGGGCGTCTTCGTAAGTTAATTTGAGGATTTAGTTACCTATAAATAATTACAGCAACTAAGACAGACTCTTTACTAGCATCCTCTCATACCTAAAGCGAGCAGTTCGCCCCTCCATCACGACACTAAATTCAGAGGCAAAACTTATTAAATTCCAATCTCGAGACGACTATGCTATGATTGCGCAGATCAACGCTCAGGACCCACACATTAAAACAGCGTACGAAAAGCTTGCCTCCCAATACCGGGACCGATTATCCTTCGGGTCGGTAGAAACATCGGGCGCAACGACGGTATCGTGTTACAACAACCGCGACGGCCAGCAATTCACTGTGTCGGACCTGGCTGGTATCAACGCCTTACCTCAGCTTATCGAGAGTTGTCTCGAGCCTGTGATCGGTGAATTTACACGAGCGAATGAGATGAAGTATTTACAGGTAACTAAGCCGTTTGTCATAACTTACAATGATTCTTTTTCTAATAAAGCTTTATAATAGACCGGCAAATCGCTAGTTTTCTACTTCGTCACATCATCGCAAGAGCGGGAACCCTACGTAGCTGCAATGCGATCCGTTGCCAAGATGTACAAGGAGTATTTAAGCTTCGTGACAGTTGACGCGGGCGAGTACGGTGACCTAGCAGCGCCTCTAGGCCTAGTTCCAGGTGCATTTCCCGCATTGTCGGTGCAGAACCCGATGTACGGCCAGGTATTCCCATATCCGCGAGGGAACCAGATTACCCCCGAAGCTGTAGGTGCTTTCTTGATGGACATCGTGCAGGGTAAGGTGCAGCCCTGGGACGGAACCTTCAGCTCGGATGCCGCTGGTGAGCATGCACACGATGAATTGTGAGCTATGAAGGTTTAGGATGAGGAATGGGTTGAGAAATGATGTGTAAGCATAGTTCCATGACAAGATTGTATTTATATGATATCCGCCGAAAGAGCAAAAATACCATGACATCTCTTAGCTACTTGAAGCCACCCAGTTCCAAATGAGACCAGTCTCGGTTTCTACGGCAGACTCAAGAAGAGTTCCAGCAGCTTGGGATAGTCCGGAACACTAAATTCGCACCAGGTCAGTCAAAATCATCAAATTCAAACATGCGGAATACCTACCCCATTCCAGTAACAGGATCCCAGCCCTCGATCGCCGGAAACCCAGTCGTCTTACACGCTCTATTATCCCCCTTCGTGATATCCTTAAAGACCTCCGGGTGAGAGTACTGCAATCGAATCATTAGCCAACGTCCTTTCATCCTCTACACCTAACCTCCAAACCCAATGAGAAACTCACCAAAACCTGATGCACAAACCCAACAGGCCCCTTCCCAACCGCATACCTCTCCTCATTAACCAGCGTAATAACCGCGCCCCAAAGCGGCGCCGACGCCGACGTCCCCCCAATCCTGAGTAACTCCCCGCCGCTCGAAATAACAAAATGATCACCATTCGCCGCCACATCCGGGTATCCCCTGCCCAACTTATTATACCTACCTATCCCCGCCCGCGGATTCGTATAATTCCCTCCTCCCCCCTCATACCCCTCAAACGACAAATTCGCTTTACCAAGGTACCCATCCACGACCCCCTTCTGCCACTCCGGCGCCTCGTAAATATTCGAAAACCCGCCGCCGGATCTAAACCGATCCGTCGCCTCCTCCGCATCCACGCCCGGCGTGCCGTTGGTCTGCAGGACAGTTGACCCTACGGTCAGGATATACGGACACGACGCCAGAAACTGCGGATTAAAAACATCTCTCTCCGGCCCTAAACACCCCGACGGTGCCGCGGGCGACGAAAACCCACCTACCCCATCATCACCAGACGAGATGACAACCGTGGTCCCCTGCAGTCCTAGCTTCATGATCTCCGCGCACTGCCGCTGCTGGTACGATTCAGGCAGGTCCACTTCGGCGCCGCTGTACGAGATGCTGATGACGTTCGTCGCGGGATACTCCCCGCACATGAGCTGGCCGGCGAACCCGCCGCGGTCGTGCGGGTTGGGGTATTCGGGGTCGCGACACTCGGGTCGCTTGCAGTTCCCGGTTTCGCCGTAGGCGGTGAAGGTGCAGTAGCTGCCGTCGATTGCGTTCCAGAGGTCTGTTGTACGGAGTTTCGTTAGCGGGGAAGATTACCTACTTAGTGTAAAGTAAGATAGGGGAAGGGGGAAGGGGATGCGTACTGTTGAAGAACCCGGTGTAGGCGGCTGGGTCGGTTTGGTAGATGTTCTGGTACCATTCGTCGTCGACTTGGTACAGCACGGTGTCTTGCGGGTAGATCAGCCCGTACGCCATTTGGAAATCGAGGTTTGCCTCGGACCCGGCCATTCGGAGGCTTGTGGTGGGGCCTTGGCCGCCGTCTACGGAGAACAGCTCGGGTTGGGTTCCGTTGGGGATGTCGCTAAGTGTTGTTAGTTGCTTCCCGACTGTATACAGGGGTGAAGGGATTCCTACTCTGAGAAGCTCCAGAAAAACTTGTCGAGGTCGTATTGGGTGTAATGTTGCCCCAGCGACTGGAATATTCCCATTCGGTTGTCTGGATGTTTCTTGGTCCCTTTCGGGATGCCGTAAAGCGCTAACTTTTCATTAGATAATACGGACGAAGGTACATAGGGATATAATCTTACCCCTAATACAATCTGGGGTGACATATTGGTCACAGCCACCCGGCAACGTGAAGTTGCCGCTCTCGATATGCGCCGTCCCCACGGGCTCAGCGAATCCTGTTACACCGGGACCCATGGCTTTTTTCGAGGATGCAGCATTCCTACTCCTTTCGCTCATGGACTTTGCGAGCTCGCTCTCAGAAACTCTTTCGCTAAAGCGAAGATGACTGCCTACGCCCACTTCACCTCGTTTCTTCGATAGGGGTTGTTGCGTGTTGCCGTGACCCATCAGCTTGATGCCGGGGGTAATATAATCGATATGCTCTTTCACTTGCTTCGGCACATGGTATCTTTGGGCTAGTTAGAGCGGTATTCAATAGTTTCTTCTGGTTTCACACTCACTCGTCGCAGGCAATATCCTTAACACCGGTACTAACATGTTCCCACACGTGGTAGTCTGCCATTAATAGTTTTTCTACCTCATCGACAGAAGCATCAAATTGTACCCACTATCGAAAATAAGAGTTAGCAGACTTATTGGCGCAACAATGGAAATGATACTCACTTGTTTATTGCTAGATTGCGAAATGTTACGCGAGGGGATGCCTGCCTCGACAAGCCAATCTTTAATTGCTTTGAACCCTGCCTCGGCCGGCTCAAAGAATTTAACGACCTCTTCTGCTGAGAGATGTTTACCATAGTTCTTTGATTTGGGATTTGAGCTTTGGGTTCCTATTAGCTACCAAGAGACATACATCGGGGAAAGAGCCGACACACATGTCCATCAACAAATCATGTCCTGATTGAAGATTCCGCTGCTTCAGGCCTACGCGCATAGGTAAGATAGCCTCGGGAACCGCCCTTTGTACTTTGGCCCAAGACCTTGCTTGCACTTCTGTTCTTTTCTCATGTTGAATATGAGTGTCTGGAATACTGCGTCTCGGCCTTGAGGAGCCGGAATTATGGAAAGGTGGCGCGGCAAGGACCTCTAGCACAGTCAGGCCCGCCAAGGCAACGAAAGAGAACAGCTTCATCTTAACGACCTCTCAGCATCAAGAAATGAAGTCAGAACGCCGCACGAGAAAATCATGCGACGCGCGAGAAGTTTAAGAAATATGCAACACATATTATATCAGCACCATTGCATAATCCAGGCTCCGCTCCGCTTCTAGGAATGGGGTGTAGGTACACCATGGTGATCTTCGTACCGAAGATATTTCGGCATTGCATGAGCCAAGGTGTAAATAGAATACTATCCACTCTCGCCGGGTACGGGTAAATGTGTCAGTCAGCTAATCAACTCTACCTTGGCTTCTCCCTTATCAATATATAGCTCGCAGCCATAGTGGAGGGGCCAAGTTGTAAAGATAGTAGTGAAGCCCCAGGTATTTAATATTCATTACTGGCTGCATTCCTTAGGTCTCGTATCGACCTAGATGAGGGACGGGTAGCCCGCAAGTCGAAGACTAAATTCGAAGATCTAGAGCTTTGTAGAATGATAGTAGTACTTCTTAGTTTCCCCGGATTTGGTTGGAAATTTTAATTAACGTGATGTTGAGGGTCGCACCAATACTTAATATTACAGTAGGTAGGAGGTAGGTAGGTAACTATCAGTGGCGGCAGCAGGCATGGAGCATCTTGGCAGACAGCTGAGCTGGAGTGCATAGATTGGAGGGAGTGACGCAATATTCGATTACATACTGCATGATTGAGAGTTATCCCACTTTAGAGTGAACGTCATGGAGGCTGATTGACCTAACCGTGATCTACCGGTCTGCCAGTCCGCATTGCATATAGCCGGCGTGAGGAGACAGGATAGGTATTCCGGAGAGGGCGACAGCAACCCCTCTCACACTCAAATCTACTGGTTGTCAGCTTTCCTCCGCAATTCCTGGGAATTGCAAGGACAAAACCCCATATTCTCGAGGCATAGTTAGGTGAACCATGGGGATTCAATACGAACCAATCTCATAGGCCAGAGCGAAATATCCATGCATGGTCTCAAGAAAGGTCCATTGAGTAGGTAGATACCTAGGTACGTTAAAGCTTTGGATAACCTAACGTAAATAGATGTGGTTCTTCATCGAGGTCATCGAGGTCATCGCCAATAATTCCAGCATAGGACCACCATTATTTCAAAGTTTCATCTCTTCATTACTACCTAGCAGGAACCTAAAATTCGCCGTTATACCGATTAAGGGGACAGCGAGTGATAGAAGCATCTTTGACTAAGTAGTCGTTCACGTCATCACGGAGAGGCTCCTCGAATTCGTCCGGCATTTCGAGGTTCCAGAATTCTTCCTCGTGCGGCGGGGATTCCCTCTGTCCGCGTACCTCGCCGCAGATGCAGGCATCGTAGAGGTTCATCGTTTTTCGAATCTTCGGGAGGAGTACCTGCCATGAAGTACTCCTCAGGCGGACGTCGCGAAGACATAAGTCCTCAAGGGTGTTCTTATGTCTCTTGAGCATCGACATAAGGTCCTGTCGTTCGCACGTAATGTTTCCCAAGGTCAGGCTTTCGAGGTGTTCCCATGTGTGTTTCGGTTCCATAATATCCTCAAGACTGGCGGCGTAGCCGTGTTCTTCCGAGTGCCAATTGAAGACCACATAAAGCGTCTGGAGTTGGGTCAACGATTTAATAAAGTCGCGCAGCAAACCAGTTTTCAGTAGCTGCCGACATTGGGGGACTTCTGTGCCGGTGGTAATATCCCATAGAGTCCCTGGGCCCGCATTTGATTCTATCATGCCAACATCGATGCACAACTGAAGGCATGTAAGATCAGAATAGAAGGGCATCGTGCGTTTCAGCTCGGCAGGTGGTCTTTGAAAAAATTGCCAACTCAATTCACCAGCTGTCAATTTCTTTAATTTGATATTACTCTCAAAAACAGCGTTGAGAACGGAGTCAAGCTGCCGGCATCCCTCCGGCATTAGATGAGAGCCTGGACGGGCTATGATTCCTTCGAATGGAGTTTTCGTTAAGCCTTTCCGAAACCAAAAGCCGTTTGACATAACCAACTCTTGAAGGGCCGTAAAACGAGAGACGACTTCTTTTATACAAGAAATATCTTCGTTATTCCCAACTACCTTTTGCTCTTGCTCAAAGGCATGTTCGTACCTCTTGTAAAATTCCAAGAGCTGATGATCTGACAGCCGCGGCGGCAATGGCTCGTTTGATTGCTCGGCAGCAACCTTATCCGCCATTCGTATGAGTTCATAGTCCTGACAAAACGCTTCTATCGATTGCTTATCGGGTCCTAAGGTATGTCCAATATAAACCAATGAGCGGACATTTTTCGAGGCTATAGGGTGTAAAGAAATGCATCGAAGCATTTCGAGGTCAGTCTCGTGAAGATAAAAGATAACTTCTCGGTGTACGAAGCAAGCAGCGGCGTCTGCAAACGCCCTGCAACACAGGCGAAACCTCCGTACATCCTCGATTTCAAGATATGAACAAATTATGTATAATATTTCGGGTATCATAGAATCCATCCTTGCGTTTTCTGTTTGAAGAGATAAGGTCTATGTTTTTGATAAAAAGAGATTCAGATTCCAGATGTGAGTTGGCTTTTGTGGGACCACCACTACGGTCAACTTGAATATCCCCGAGTATTCCTTATACACTATGCAATTAATACATATTGATATTCTGTAATCGTACATATTGTACCAAAGCAACACATTTTGTCACATATTAGAATCATCAGACTCTGTAGATAATGGTCATCTCATCAGCTTGGTATATTAGGAGTCGTAAGCAGGTCTAGTCCCTATCCCATAAGCTCACATCCTTCCCGTACTACGCCGACCACAGCACCGGTCTGAATCGCCTCGCTTCCACCAGCAGAAACTCTATACTCTATCTCTGCCAGACCGTCCAGCCATCGGATCATAGTTTCAGGTTTAACCTCCATCCTCGATAGTTGTTCCGATAGGGCAGTTATTATGTCTGCCAACGCAAGGCCGTTCGCCACTTTCAGTGTATTGATGGTCGAGAGACATGTCGTTACATCGCTGGTCGAAAGCAACGTGCTCGCGATCTTCTGGATCGCTTCCGGGGGTGGGGCCGCTATACAGTTGTAGATGGTTTCTGTCGTGATGTTTTCCCTGACAATATCCTTCTCTGGTATTTTCGGTGCATCTTTAGGTTGTATCGGGGTGTCTAAGTAGTTAGAAAGTTAGTACATGGTAGAAATGAGACTTATAGAAGAAATATTGACAAAACTCACTAGATGCATGACAAGCCTGAAGTACGTTCAGAGCTCGTCGCATGTCGCCTTTGCTTAGCTTGACCAGAGCACTTGTAGCTTCGCCTGATATTTTGACACTCTCTTCGAGAATGACCTTGTCCACCAAAACTCGAATATCATTCTCCTTCAACGGACTAAATCTAAAGCGCGTACATCGGGATAGTAGAGCAGGTGATAGTTTGTGTGTATAGTTGGCAATAATGCAGAATCGGGTGTTCGCAGTGTACTTCTCCATAATTCTTCGCAAGGCCATTTGGGCGGTATTGGTCATCGCATCGGCTTCGTCCAGTATGATCAACTTATAGCTTGCCATGCCACCCGGACGTGATGAACCGCCCATCGTAAAGATCTGTTTTGTCGACGCAAATGTCTTGATCTGTTCTCTCACAACATCGATACCTCGGTCATCTGAAGCATTGAGTTCCAAGACCATCTGGCGCATATTATCGGTTCCATAGATTCGTCTAGCCAATGCCAGGATGGTAGATGTTTTACCTGTTCCTGGTGGGCCGTAAAGAAGGAGATGAGGTAGGCGATTCGTATCGACGAACTTATTGATTGTAGCTAGGATATCTTGATGACCCGAAACGTCGGACAGCGACACAGGTCGGTATTTCTCAACCCATGGTAACGAGTCTTCGGCTTCGACAGGTAGATTTGCAGCACTACGCTTTCCCTTAGCCGTGTTATCGGAAGAGAATTTTATGTCATTAGATGTAGGGACATCAACGTCCATCTCATCCTCGAAATCAGACATGGTGTCTAAAGCTCTTCGTCGATTGCAGACTTGCAAGGTTTCTAGTAGATTGTAACAGCGCTTAATAATGAGGGTTTTATCTATAAAAATATGCGAAGTCTTTGGGTATGGTTTCGGTGTTCACGAATTCGGTATTCGGCTCACGATACAATTCTTGATAGCTGCTAGAAGACGCGTAAATCGAATTTCCAAGGTTCGCAACGCGTTTCCTGCTAGCGGGGTGAAGCAGGGATAATGTGGGTCCGGAGTCTTTGACCGGTCATTTAGTGGCTGGCTGTGGCGCAAGCTAGTTTACAGGGTACTTAGGTACGTACTCAGATACAAAGTGACGGTACCTTCGCTGTAGTACGATGGCGGCGGACTTGTTGAGGTTTTTGACGCCTCCTCATCATCATCTCCTCTTCAATGCTATTCGATTCTTACCAAATGTACCATTTCAAATCAAGGGATTATATTTAAGATTTGCAAACCGTAATAATAATTGGCATTGACTAAAATCGTCTACAGAGAGAAAGAAAAAAACAGAAAACATTCCCTTAAAAACGCAGTATAATACCATTGCCAGTTCTTTCTATTGCCCCCAACGCCTTTCCCATCGCCCTTATCCAAATCATAAGCCAAGATTCAGCAAACCAAGCCTACTATTTTAACCTAAGCCCCGGAAGCCTGTCCACCGCTCTAAGTGCTGCCTCGGATAGTGAACACTTCACTTCCTACTGTTGGATCTACGCTCATCTTCACGTCGTTGCTTCTCTTCTCTTTCACGACGCTTCTTCTCTAGTTCCTCGACTTTTTTCTTCTGTTCACGTTCTTTCTCCTCGCGTTCCCTCTTCTGCTCCTCAGTTTCCTTCTTAATAGTGTGCCAAACTCCGAAGAGGCTGGCATTCTGTTTCTCGAACAACATTTTGAAATTCTCCTTGATGAAACTCGCCCCGATCATGACGTCGACAATCCCATCGATCGCATCACAGACCCAGAAGTTGCGACAGAATGTGACTGAACTCCCCCTCAGTCGGAACTGGACCTTGCGTAAGATCCCATTTACTGCCGTCGAATGTCCGGAGATGCTCCGAAGGCATGGGTCTTCAAAGTTTGTAGACATCTTGCTTAGAACTCCCAGCTCTCTTGCGCAGTGAGTTGACATGATGAGATCATCGGTGCTACCACTGCCTATCTTGAGCTGCGTGTCAAGATTTGCCAAACGGGAAACCTTCAAGCTCCCAAAATCGTCGCTAAAAAGCAATTCGCGTCCATCGAAAGGATCCCAAGTACTGGTATTAGCCATATCCCCCACAAATCGCTCAGGAGAACGTGCCGCGATCGGTTCACTATTTTGCTTCTTCTGAGAGGCGGCATTTCTGGATGTACCGTGCCCGCGGCGGGCTTGCGCAGATACATCATTATTCCGCGCGGTGGCTCTCTGCACGCTGACTTGGACATTATTAGGTCCGCCCACGAGAACCCTAATAGAGATCCCCTTTGTTTTATTGGGAGATTTCTCTTCATTCGTCGCTCGAGTTTCCGGCTCTTTATTAAGTGCGCTGGAATTATTGTTGTCTCTTTGGTGGCAACCACATCCATTGCATCTCGTACCAGGTGTTGTCGAACGCCGATGGTTGCTAGGCTCATCGTCAGGGATCCAACCGTAAAATTCGTCAAAGCTGTCAAGGTTTCTTTCCTCTCCTGTGGCATACATCTTCGGTTCTTTCGACTGGCTTCTAGGTAAGTGTCAGTAGGGAGCTCACGAGAAGCATTCTGTACTTAGGTAGCTAACCTCTGAGAGTTTCCCTCCCCTTCTGGGTAGTCTTGGATAATATTTTGACTCGCCATTTTGTTTTTATTGGTGTAATCGTCAAGGTAGTTAGTATGAATTTGATTTGGCTTATAGTATGTAGGTAAGTAAGTTAGAGGATAAGTAAGGTATACTAGAATTCACGTACCTGACCTCCTTTTAAATACTTTTATGATTTGGAGGCCTACTTGGAGTCCTGTGATGTGTTTTGAAGCAGTCATCGTCAGAAGTAGGTGTTGTTGGAAGTTGTCATCGTCCTGGGCGCTTGCGCAAACCTGTTGTGTAAGTATTTTCTCAATCAAGTGTATTTTTAAGGCTTCTAACGTCCTCGTGACTAGATCAAATGACAACTCGAATAATTACCGCTGGTCTACAGATAATGAACCCCCGAGAATGCCTTGGCTTGAAACTTCAGCGCTTCAGAAGAATATATACATTCACTCTTGGATAGGACTTGGTTGGGCCGATCATAATCGTGACCCGGATGAGGCAGTCATGATCTCGTCAAAGACTATTTTAAGAGGGAAAACCCACTAGGAGCCAACAAATTTACAGAAATAAATCTGTATTGGATTCCAATACCTCTTCCAAATGTACAATCTACAAGGTATGCATCCAGGCATCTTACGAATGGAGTCACCACCCCAAGGTCTAATTCAATCGACTTACTTAAAGTCTAGAAATCTAGGATACTACCTAGGTATCATAACGAAGTAGAGATTGATATAAAGGCATCTCAAATTAATAACGCTTCGTATAATCTCGTCATATCCCGTCTACCATAATCGCAGTTTATCATAAAAGCATCATCAATCCACGGCATGAACCCTGCACGCTAATCCCGTAAGAACGACTTCCCGGATCTTACTAACGCGTCCATCTCCTTTTCTATTTCTTTTTCCAGATCATCCTTTTCTTCGTCATCAGACCCCTCGCCACTCATCTCACGGATGGAGGTCGCTCCATTAGTTGGAGGCCATTCGCTGTCCAAGGACGAACACGACGATGGTGGCGATAGCAAGGAACTGTCACCAGACTCGCTATCCGACGAATCTTCCCAGTCCTCCCATTCCTCCACCTCGGCACGATTCCTAACCGTCAATTTCCGTCTATGCCTAACATGTTCTCGGCACGAAAGCCTCGACTGACATCTTCGGCTCGAAGTCTCGCTAACGACATCCAGAGGCATCATACTATTATCCTCGTCAATCAGGCTCTGCAACGCCTCAGGATCCAACGGTTCGCCCGTTTCCTCTAGGATGATCCCGAGGCCAGTGAGCTGCTCGATTTTCTGTTGAGATTTAGTCTTGCGTTTCTTCTTCTCCTTCGTCTCGCTTTCGACCCACCACGCTTTCTCCTCCGCCCCCTTCGCCTCCGGCTCATCCCAGAAGAAACTCGTTTGGCTGAGCGGGCTCTTCGGACTAGTAGGGCTTTTCTGCTCCTCAAGGTCGTCGTGCGTCGAGCTTACTTCCACGGCTTCGTTTAGTGGCAGTTTGTCGTCCGTGTTTAGCGTTCTCCGCGTGTCGATTGACGGGGAGTGCGGCTCCTCTAACTCTTCGGATTCCTCGAGCATCCTCCTCTCTAGCGCTTCTGTGTGGACCCGGTACCGCTCGTGGTGGCACTCAGAGGGGTAATCGCAATCGACTGCGCAGTTATGCGTCTTATTGCTGAAAGCTTGTTCGCGCTGTCTCTCGCCTGCCCGTCCGGGAAGTTCTAAGCCAAGGACCTTGCGACGCCACGCTCCCCACTCAGCCCATCCGCTGTAGTCGAACTCAGAAGCACACATCCCGCTAGGACGGCGACGTTTCTTGCCTCGTGTTACTTTCGGAGGGCCGGCTGAGACACAGTATTCGTGGGAGCATACGAGACACCGACGGGTGCAGCCGATTCGGTAGACTGTGTTACAGGAGTGGCATTGCCATAGCCAGGAATATGGTTGTCGGGGCGGAAGTGGTGGCGTGGGCATCCCTTCTGGAGACGTTGGTAGGAGGTTTCGGAGGTGTAGGCGAGCAGGCGGTGTTAGAGGGGGTAATGAAGTTCGTTTGGGTGATGTTTGCGAGGACGAGGTAGATGGTGGTGCTGAATGTCGGGAAAAGATGGAAAGCGTGGGTAAGCCCCTACGTGAAGGCATGATTTCTATGTGTTTTTGTGTCTGTGGATGTTGATGTTGATGTGATGGTAATACTAGAGTGACTGCGACTTGTTGAAAAACGTAGGTAGGTACGAAGGTAATATGTTTGCCTATGAATAACAGTGTAAAGTGCGAGTAATGATTGTTTATCCGAGCTTTGATGACTCAGTTAAAAACACAGGTACTTTTTAGAACACAAATAGTTGTCGAATGACAGCAACACCTCTGGGGTGTGTGATGATATACTTCAGAAAAGGGGATGGTCTTGTTTCGATTATTTCAGATTTCAGATGAGACTGATTGACTTCTAGGGAGTGTCGGTGAAGGAACGACTGATTCAGAGCGAACTCTACAAGAACATAGACACGTAAGGAAAAGAGATATAGGAAAATTACTAAAGACAGGAAAGGATACTTTTGGATTGAACCGTATATACACCGTCCTCTCGCGCGTAAGTCTGCTGGCCACGGAGCTACCGACCCTTATGCTGGACATTGGTACTTTGTCCCAATCTCTAAGACAAAGCGATCAGTATATAGATACAAGCTAGCCACGAGCCCAACTGTCGGGACACAATCAGACCTTGGGAAATCCCACGTTCATGGGCCGCATCTACATCTTTGTTACTTGAGTTCTTCTCCATCGGCTATAAGTAAGAGCACGTGGCACCCATGCAATGATGATGTGATAATGCTTCCATTGATCGGCGACAAAGGGGGAAAGAGACGTCGAGACAAGGCGAGCTCCTCGTTCGCTGCGTAGCAAAGCGACGTTGGGACCGAGAACAAAGCAAGATAACCTGGGAGATAGGAGGAAAGATAGGAAAAGGAGGTAATATTGTCGAGGATTAATTAAGGAAACAAAGCTATATCCGAGTATAGGGGTTCGCCGTGACGAGCTGTCGGTATGGAGCAGCAAGTAGGTAGGTATGGTTAGCTATTTTTAATGGCCCAGAAGAAAGTTATTTATAAGAAATTCGGACACTACCTAGGTAGACGACAAAGTTTCCTTGGTTTCTTTGGGGCTGGCTTGGTTTCAATATCATCACTTTAGACGCAGCATACCCATTCTACAGAAAGACACTTGTTGTACGTGATCTCTGCTATTGGCGTTGGCTAAGCTAAATAGATGGGATTTCCCTCCGTCATTGTTCCATCCCGTAAGCCTTGGTAGAGGTTGAGCCTCGACGGCAACCAAATATTGTAAATCCCATTGTAGTAACCTATCTAACGAATAGAGAGTCCCGCCAGAGTAGAAATCTGTACCCGTATATCCTAGCTCCCCTGTCTAGCTCCTTCATCCCACCAGTCGTTCTCCGGATGTAAAGATCTTCGATAGACAATGATGTCTACTTTACTGAATATTGGCCACCTCAGGGAGGTACACTATCTCCTCGAGATTGTTAATGAAGCTGTTAAATTCGCCGTTCATGTCTTCATTCTTGTCGAGGTGGTAGCAGTCGATGTCTGTGTTGTATTCGACAGTTAACACGTCAGGTTGCAAAGCTACCCAGCATGCCATCAAGAACCCTTCAATCTTCCAACCCATTAAAAGGGCATTCATGGAGAAATCTTGCTCTGGATCTAACTCGAGGGGAAATAATCCCGAGAGGGATTCGTCTTCGAAATGATATCTCCACTTCTTGAAAAGGTCGGCGATATTTGGGAATCGATCTTTGATACTGTCATGTTCCATACCACGACCAACGCGGCCTTCGTCCAAGTACGTATCTCCATGAAATGGTATAAAGTCGTAGTCATAAAATTTCCCCTCAGGGTGGGCGTTGATGCTCGCGTCTGAGGGAACGAGGCTGAAGTTAAACTTTATGTCTCCATCCTGCTCGGTTTGGGTCACCCTCAAGCCGTATACCGTATCGAACAACTTCGACGTACTTCCTCCAGTAGAAGGTTCAGTACTTCCAGGGACTAGAAGGTGTCGGTAATCCTCCATAAAGAACTGCAAGTAGGTTGGTAGTTGTGCAGACATGATGGAGCCAGATTCGCTAGGTTGGCAGCAGGTTTGGTAAATAGGTAATTTTTTTCTCGGAAGTCGAATGGATTCATAAAAATTGTGTTCAGATCCAGTAGTACGGTTAGGCAATCACTTTCTAGGTTTTACAGGATGATATGGGACTGTACCTAGTAGCCAGCGTCGCGGATCTGTTGCGGCTCAAGAAAGAGATCAGAATGGAGTCACTGGATTGCCTACCCCTAAGAGATGTTGTCGTATAGCATCCACGACAAGCAATGGGGCGTCTTTACGATATAATCTTTGGAGACGGGCCATCAGCCCCTTTAAATATTTGTCTACTATCTACCTAGGTAGTAGCAGGTAATAAGGAGATGTCCTAAACGAAGAAGCAAACCAAAATTGCACATAATTCATTCATATATATCAACAATTCCCTGAGTCTCATAAGTTGTCCGATAGAATTGAGATTTTCACATCTAGAATTCCAAGTTATCAAATAAAGATGAGCGGTCCAGACGTTAATGAAAGTGATATAAAGCTCCATGAGAATATCAAGGACGATCAATTAACAGCATCATCTAACCTACTATGTACGATAACATGATAGGATATCAAGTACCTGTAGGCGTGGTTGGCATGAACTGAAGATATGAACAAATTGTAGTGCACAACACCATAAAGCACAAAAAGAAATAGCAAAATAGCAAATAGCAAAGGACTATAGGTAGTAGCAACATGTTGATAATAAGTCCTAAGTTGATATTTCAAAATCATAATTTTCCAGCAATGATAGGTAGGTACCCAATTATGATATATTCATTAACATTATACGTGATAGGTGATAGGTGAAATCGGAAAAGGGGAAAGCCAAACCACTCAAGAAGATTTTCACCATTGACATGGCAATTAACACATATTTCATATTTACAAACACTCGATCTTACCATATGTATTATTGTATAATACCCAGAAAAAGAAAATTGGTGATCTCTAAGGGGTGGCTTTGTCGTTATTTAGATATGCCAGTCAAGGTCAGCTCATGTAGTATTCAACCAAAGCCATGAGGCAATAGGGCTAAGAGAAACCCCAAAAGACAGAATATGATAGTGACAACGTAATGAAATGATAGGTTCATAGCCTCAAGTCTTATTTCATCATATAAGAAACTCCCGAGAATCTTATATAGAAACATGAAGATCATACATTGAGAGATAGTGTGACCTCAGGTACAGACATATAAACATAAAAATAACGTACTACCTAATGAACTGTCCCATTTCTCACCCAAAGAGCATAGAACATATCACTTTAACACTAGACATAAAAAACCAAGTTAAAATCGAAGCAGTGTAGTATTATTTGTTGCCTCTAGCAAGGCCTTGAAAGGCTACGAGGCAGTCTGCGCTTCGACTTAACCTTAGTAGGAATCATCTTAGCTAGGCTGTCCGAGCACCTCCCTTGCTAGAGTCTCTCTGGAGCACTTTTTTTATAACCCGTCTGGAATCTCCCGAGGGAAAATTTTCAACACACAGGGCCACACCCAGAGCTGGAAAAACCTCAGCGCGACCATGATTCCGTAAAACGAATTGGATCCCCATAATTTGTCGTCATAAATCAACCGTCGTAGGTCGGGAAGACCGCGCTGCCCACCTCCGAACTCGTCCCACGTATCAAGTATCAACGACAGCTAGAAACGAAAGAGCGTGCACCCGGGAAAGTCGAATAAACAAAGAACGCAAATAGTTTATGCCTCGATTGCCTTGTTCTTCTTCTTCTGCTCGACCTTAAGTAGTAGGGCGCGGTTGATGTGGGGTAGTACACCACCAAACGCGATTGTTGCACGAATCAGGGTGTCCAGTTCTTCGTCACCGCGGATGGCGAGTTGGAGATGGCGAGGGGTGATACGCTTAACCTTGAGATCCTTGGCGGCGTTCTAGGCAGAAAAATTAGCGTCTGGGATCAATAGAAGATATAGGTATGGAGTATAGATAGGTGATAGTGGCAATGTGGTTCAAAGAAGGCAGACAAAGAGGGTGACTCACTCCTGCAAGTTCGAGAACTTCGGCAGTAAGATACTCAAGAACAGCGGTAACGTAGACGGCAGCCTTGGCGCCGACGCGCATCTTGTTTTGGGTGTTTTGCTTCAAGAAACGCTTGACACGGCCGCAGGGGAACTATAAAGATAGTGGCATATTAGTAAAATTCTACGATATACATGATATAAAAAATTCATCGAATATTATGCTATCATCAAAAAATGAAAACCCGAGTCGATGATGCACCAGGCTAAAGGTTGTGGAGGTTTGTTGTTGTCGCATTCCATCGCTATATCCCTAGGTGACTGTCGATGAGGGCGATAAAAAGTTTACTTGTCTCGGGAGGTCGAAATCGGGCGTCACAAGCGTAATGGTAATCATTAGGTCCATGCAATGTATTCCAGAGTCAACATTGAGGATCATTATATTGGTAGCTTGAGATAATTCGTCGGTAGTACGTTGTATTGTCGTGAATAAAGGTGCGCGTCATTCTGCGAATCGAGGGGCATGATATTGATGTATGTCGACGAAGAGCTCAGAGTTGGAGATATGGAGACGTCCCCATAACCAGCGGAAAAAATGAAAATAATTGCAATGCATCGGGATAAACAGTATAATACTACAAAAACACAATGATAACTTACTTGAAGACCGGCGCGGGCAGAGTGACTCTGTTGCTTCTTGGGACCCTCAGCAGCCGAAGTCTTTCCACCTGAGCTCTTGCCGCCGGCTGATTTGCCTTTTCCACCAGCCATTGTTTATATCGATGCGCGGGATTTGGATGTTTTGAAAAAATATTCTAGTTAAGTTCGTTCGAATGCGACGTGGAGAAATAAAATCGGATTCGTGGTGAATTAATAGATTTGCGCGTCGGGTCTAATCTGTTGGTGAAAATTGTTTTCGGGATGTGATGGATGTTTGTGTTTTGATTTTATTCAAGCGTTCGGGTTCGGAGGCGTCTAGAAAATCAAGAGGCGGCGCGCGGTGTATACAGTTTGGGGGAAGGCGGGCTGGGAGGATTGGGGCAGGGAAGCTACAGGGCTGTAGGCTGCCTGTCTCAGTGCTGTAGGCTACTGCTAGGGCAGGTACAGGCTCCAGTACCACTCCAGGGCTGCTTGTTTCCAAGGTTGTCTGGATTGCTTGGGTTAGGCCGTGTTTGTAGTTGCTAGACGTGCTGAAGGCACTGGGAAGGCGCACATCTTGCTTCCAGAAGCCCCGGAACACCTGGAAAGAAGACCCCGCCTCGTGCTCTGTAGCTCTGTAGCACCTACTCTCAGGACTGGCCTAGATTTTTTCCACGAAGTGCTAGTCCGGATATAGTTAGTAAGTGATGTTGGCGGCAAATCTCCGGATATAGCAATCAGCCGCCCTGAGGAGAAACGGGGTGTTTTGATGAACAGCATGAAGGAGATGATATCAGAGGCGTGCTACGTTGGCCAGATGCAAAACGGGGGAAATAAAGGGGTAGGATGTTTCTATCCTGAAATACTTACATCATTCTGGAGAATTTGAACCAAAGGGAAGCCAAGGTTCGGCTGGCTAGGGAGTTAATGATTTACTGTAGACCAGCTTTAGTCAGGAGGATGGCGGCATAATGTTTGAGAGCGACGGCAGCATACATGCTGCACGTCAAGTAGGTAGTTTTAGCGTCATTCTGACACTCAAAAATAAAGTATGTAATGAAATTTGTAGGCTTTATGTGACCTCGAACGACATGTTGAAGAGCTGTCGGGAAACGAGGGCATACAAAAGATTGATTTCTGACGTTGAAATCAGAGATTAAGCTGTGATCTTCTCGGACAGCGGGATCGACGTCAATGTGGAAACCAAGCAGCCGAAACGGGATGTGGCTTGGGTTCACACAGCCACGTAATCTCGCTAGCTGAAGTACAAGGTACTTTGGTACTTACATACCTAGTACTTAGGTAGGTACGCTTATGTCACTACATCCAACATTTCACATTTTACATTTTACATTTGAGAACATTCAATCTTTTTATGTTCTTTTAATATGACCATTTCCAAAGCAATGTTTTGTACCAATTGCCGAGGCATATTATTCACAGATATGATATACAGAATTATGCCTGCAAAGCAAGTCCAGAGAGTATCCAACTTATAATCTGGAACAGCGACAGCCAAGATCCGGCAGAAGCAACAACGTCCTAACAATTCGTCAATATACGGTTTCAGTCTTTCTCGATTCATCATCACCTACCGCCCAGCTCATGGCATATCCTTGGGTAGAAACCTGACGTTCAAATGTTGGGAATTGAAGCCATAAAGATAGAAAACAAGGCTCTGTAGCCGGTTTTGAATCGGACCCTACATCGCAGCGCAAGTCCAAGGATGGAATCGTCGATAAAGAGATATCATAATCGTACGCCGGGGCCCTCCCGCGAACTTGTCTATAGTTCAGGCCCAAATTTACCGCGACCATTCCATTCGCGTTAACGAGAATCGGCCTCGTATAATCATTCTCCAGGGCTTCAGAGAGCGAGAGTGTGGGATCATACACCGCGATTGAAAGGCTAGGCGACAAGAGACGTGAAGAATCGTTGATAGCTTTGCTAGAGTCATCTAGTATATATTAGCATTCATCTATAGTGTAGAATGGTACTTGGTAGGTTTTCATACACCACAGAAAGGCCTGCGCTAGCATGAGCGTAGTAGGTACCGTGCATAACAGAGCCTCCGATGAGACTAGTGTCAACGTGCGATACTTGGTTCCCTGCCAGGTAAAATTCCCGATGCTTTCTTCCCAGCGATCCTCACAGCGGCAGGGTCGGCGTTGCGAGTCACTTCGTGCGCAATTCGGTGCATCCGGATCTGCCCAGCCAACAAAACATTTAGGTCGAGCTCGAGAGACATCCAGCGACCCCTGAGACGACCAATCTTCACGTTGTAGGAGTGTTATCGACGGGAAGTACGCATGATCCTATGTTCAATGATGTGTGTGATCAGCTGTCATGCTAGAAAGTAACCAGACGAAATGGTGATGATCATACCACAGTATCCTTCGTGGTCGTGATGACGTCTTGGTTAAGAGCAGGATACCAAGAGTACATATACAGAAAAGGGATGGCAATCAGCGTCACTATCGATGTGGCGACGGTATTCCCTAGATTCTTGGCATACACGGGAGCCACATCTCTTGAACTATACCGTCGACGATTCAACCAATCTAGGAAGAAGAGGAAAATAACAAGGGCGACGAGTATGCTTGAAACTATAATCTGGATATCTGGCGACTGCTTCTGGGCTGCTGCCACAGTACCGAGCAATAAACAAAGAATGAAACTAATCAACGAGGCCAAAAGCGTTCGCGTCGAAGGCAAGCCATGGTCGTCGAGACTCTTAAGACTAGAGAACGAACTTCCGATTCTACGCAGAGAACGATGTACCGGATGGAGTAGAGGTCTAGCTTTAGACATAGTCTGATATGATTGAATGTTACCGTCAAGTCATCTCAGCTTCAACGGGGGCAGGCTCCAGTGCATTTCTATCGATATATGCCACTTCCTAGCAAGTCTCAATTCGTTGGCCCCCATCGGCGCCACCGTTTCCGACAGCGAGAGCAATAATTAAACTTCCTAGTCTGACCTTTCATACGAATTGTCACTTAGTAAGGATTGGCGTTGAGCCCCTGCATAAGCTGAATAACGACTAGGATTGTTCACCTTATTACATAAGATTATCAATCCGCAGCACTGCTATTCTGAATGGCTGTGACATCCTCAGCCCTACTAACTCCCTAGAATTTCACCGGTTGACCCGCGCTATAATTGGACACCATCCATTCATAGGGTCAATCCGAGGTGAAGCTCTACCGGCGTCCTCCAGGGCGACAATTATATCTGAAACTCGGTTCTGTAGGACTTCAGTTGACTAGCCTATTATCGAAGTCCTGCAAATCACCGCAGTGGATATATCTTCAAGGTCAGCCTCTTCCTCAGTTGCAATGCTGCAGCAATCATACCATAAGCCTTTAGTAAACGCGATAACCAGACACGATGTTACCTCTGCTTTCCTTGCTCCTTGCAGCCATGGCTACCTTTGTCAGTAGCCAACAAATCTTCATCAACAAAGTACCGGCCTATTCATCTCTTCCTCATTGTGCTGAACTTCCGTTGAGCTTTATTGTCCGAGATATGGCATCCGGTTGTGGCGACGGGAGCAAGACGACATCATATTCTTGCTTCTGCACGGCCAGCTCATCCAAAATGAGTGGCATCATCAGCACTGCCGTAGCTTCGCGATGCTCAACCGGCCCAACTAATGCGGCCACCCGGGCCTTGGACGTCTTTTCCTCGTATTGCAACCCCGAAGGCTCCAACAGAACCAGTGAGTTTTAATTCAACCGCTAGAAAAGATATAAGGAGGGATACGATGTAACTAAAGAGTTATGCTAATTCAATTATGCGCCTAAGTAACCGGTAATATCACTTCACCTGCTGTAGCGAATGCTACCATTACTCAGACCGTGACATCAACTCCAACGACTTCGATGCCTATAGAGACAGCTCTTAGCCCAATACCATCATCTAACCTTGCGGGAAAATATAGCGCTGATATACGAGTGCCTATATATGCTGTAGCTGCTATATTAGCGGGTTTTGTCGCTTCATGATGATTGCTATAGACCTGAGCTCACTTGTATATTAACTAAACGTCATGTATCGATATAATTAGGTAGTCGTCATTGAAAGAGCGAAGTTACAAGTCAACATACCTTTACATGCACTCGTTTTTGATCTAGCCCGTCCTAGTCCCTCATTCAAACTTGAGCTCTGGCAATGCCGATAATTCCATAGGCGAACGACAAGCATAAGCGCTTAGGTACCTAGTATCGACAAGATCTAACTAGCTGAATAGATCGAAATGGATGGGCAGTAGTCCTGTGTAAAGACCTACCTTCCGGAACATGAGCTTAAGGAGACAAGTAAATAGGAAATTATTCTCTGAAAAGGGGGGATACACGCAAACGCCCAACCAACCATCACCTTACGTATCCAGTAAGTAGGTGGCGATATCAATTCGCAAAGCTTACGTCCTTGGGAAAGATACCTATATAAACTAGGTAATGTATCGTCATTAACACCTTAAATCAATTAGGTAGATACCTAAGGTACGTTAGGACTCCTATTTCAACCTTCGTGGTTCAGTCGTAGCAAATGGTTACATCGTCCTCGGAGCTCACCTTTATCCCTTTTTCATCTTAAATTCTCGCACGTCTCTCGTATTCCGCTAAAGATGAATCATCATTTGCGCCTTGATTAAAATAGGTAATTACTATGTGTAACACAGGATTCTCATCAGCAGGATATCCTCGAAATATCATTATCTAAGCTAAGCTAAATCTAACCTCAATAGCTCAGAAAATCCTACATCGGCTTCTAAAGTGTTATAGAAGCGAAGAGGGCGACTCCCGTACCTCGCCGAATAAAGAGTGCCCGAGTATAGCAACGCCGGTTCGGTTCCCCGAGCGTGGCGCATTCTTCGGCGCCAACAAGGCCAAGAGTGCCACGGATTAGGAATTTGATCTTGCCATGATGGATCCCAAGGACATAGGGGCTTGAAGGGTCGGTTATAGCTTTATGTTGTGTCTTGCTGGCGATGGTTAGGTAGGTAGTGATACGAGTCTTTGGTGGTGAAAGGTAGGACTTCCCGGATTATAATGATACTAGGTACCAGGGTATCATATATCTTTACGAAACGTGAAGAGGGCTGGAGCAACTTTTTAAGATGGCCGTACCTAGGTATGAATATGGAAGTTATGTCGGAGGATCCAGGGCCATTTGAAAACGAAATCAAAGCTTGCGTAAGTAGATTATCGTCTTTTTGATGTTGGACAGTTAATTATTAGGATATGGATTAACTTTGGGAAACCCCCCTAGTCCTCGACCGAGCGGCTTAGCCATTGTGCCTTTGCAATTGTTAATAATCGGCGACTAGTACCTATCCAGTAGTCTTGATTCGAGATAGCGAAGTAGGACATCAATCGCACAGACTAGGTAGCTTCCGTCGTCAATAATTGTAACGAGTGGTTCGTATACACAAACGTGGCGTCTTCATGCGAATGGTGGTGGTAGACTTGGTAAGACAACGATTTCTAACTACAGTTAGCGATGGCTTAGGATAAAGTTCCGTAGTCCGCGCAAACTACCTACTCGGGTAGATATCGTGGTTTAGGCATCATGCTTGAAGCGCATGTGCTACGAAAGGCGGATGCAAGATGCCTATTCAGATCCTGCCGGGACTGTCCATGTCTGGAAAAGGTCCATCACTGATTCACCAGATAATAGCTGGACGCAACATATTTGAGGATATAAAGTAAGCAAACACAAAATCTCTTCACGAAATCATATTTGGCAGGCTACGTAAACAAAATATGTTCTAATGGACGTCAGTAGTATAGGTAGGTACCTAGGTAGGTAGGTATTTATTCATTCGGTTTACTAGGTAGACTATTTGCTCTCGTGTATTAGTTAAGGTGTGTTTGTTGTTTGACTTCAAGCTTATAGAGTTTTAATTGAGTACTAGGTAGTTATGGATGTATTGATTGATTCAACCCTCAGTGTCAGACATCGGTCTTCCTCCAGGTCAGTAGCTAGAGGTCTATGGGATCGGGATTCGGCCCGTTGAGTCCCCGTGAGGGTCCTGTTGGCCGCTAGTCCTAGGAGCAGGACGGACAAAGAGCTTCACCTGTATATATACCGTGTTCTCCATAGCGAGAGTGTTAGGAGCTCTTCGCGCAACAACGTCGTTGTTTCCTAGTCTTTTGGTTCCGCCTCGTGACACTCAGTATTAGAGAGTTTGTAACCTTTAATATCGGCGGCCACGCGCCCGGTCCACTCTAGCGGTATTATTCTGCCGACGGGTGTTTGTTCATTCGCTTTGACTAAATGTGGTGTTCGGACCTTATATGTCTAGGAAAGGAGTTTGTCACCCACGTTGTTAACGAGGCAAGACCGGGTAAGACGTATAGCTCGTGGGCGGCGTAAATTTGCCCCGTCTTCCACGTCTGAAAAGGCGTAACACAGTCACACTGTTGGTGTTGGTGGCAAAGCCTCTTGCCACCACGCAAGTTCTAAGGAGCATACCACTAATCTTGTATCAGAAATTAGAACCATGAATGCCATGAGCTTGTAATATCTATTTGGAATAAAAACTGTACATGGCGTTTCTCGAAGCAGAGGATGCTGACGTCGAGTATCGAGATTGCAGGGAGAATCGGACTTGTACAACCATCCAACATATTAAATAGTAACAATTAATTATGGTGAATTTTGAAAAGCCCCGGGGTAGATGTGGAACGTAGCTATCAACGAGATATTGGTAAATCATGCTAGTTTTAATAGACACGCGTTGAAGAGTTCGGTTAGGTGTGCATAACTTGACATATAATTACTAGTGCTAGTTCGGTTTCGATTGTAGTAGGTAGTATGCTGGCAGATGCGAGTGATTTATACCACATTTTATGTGGCTTCAACATTACTCCAGCCCCTGGTTAGCCCGGGGTGCTGCGATCCATCTATATGGAGCTAGGAAGGGGCCACATTCTGGCGCTCGGTAACCGGCATGCAGTCTCCAGCTGCGGCGGCTTCCTGCGTTGCGGCACTCATGCTACCCCTTGCCGGTACCTACCTCCCTACCTGAACGCAGCTTAAAAGAACTTCGGGGGCAATGTAGAAATTGAATGAGAAGTTATGTAGTATTATAATATAGTACCTAAATAAGCACTTGTTAACTGTTGAGTCGCATCTGCTTGAAGCAATACAAGGAATATGATAACTCAGTGATCTGGGCCATAGAAAAGCTGCCATTCAAGCAGGCGATAGCACAGTGTAAGTTAACTCGCTTACTCTATTCCAATGGAGTCTCCCATTTCCATGGGGGTGGCATCGAATGGGAAGCCGTCAGTGTTGATATTGCTACTTCATACGAGAAAAAGGGGTCTTAGCTTGACGGACCAACTTACCAACCAGGAACATCACCGATGGTCTAAGATATGAGTAAGAGCCGATATATTGCCTTGGCATGAATATTTGGACATCTACCTAACAATATTTAGGTAGTTTTCGTTTGTGTTTCGTTCCCGCAGGTGAGATCGGTCTGAGATCGGTCCGAGATCATAACTGCGGCAACGACCCTATGGAGTATGGCCAGCTGAAAGTTGTGACGATGTTGTTTTGAATGTTGATGTTATGATTATGCAGCGTAGTTCCTCGCCTCACACTAGGAAGACCAGCATAATCGAGAGGGGAAATGTATAAACACGGGAGATTACCGATTGGAGGGCTAGCTCGACGTTACTTTCACGATGCCAGCTCCCGAGACAAAAAGCTTAGTGTCTCCCCCGCTGAGACTAGGAAGCATGACTCCCAAGAGTTCGAGACATCTTGACCCTTGCTGGTGCTAATCGTATTAGCAACCGGGATTGGAAAAATTATTTACGTAGTCACCTAAACATTCAAGGTTTCAATCGACACTTCGAAGTTATCCCAAGCTGTTCCCGCGTATCTACATCTCCAGGGGGGTGCCTCGGCACAACATTTCATATTTCCAGTCGTCCGTACGTAAATGAAACATGGCCACATAAATAGTGAAGAAATAATCAAAATGGTTTGCTAGTAAAATCTCTTGTCAGTGTTGAGTTCGATGGTAACCATCCAGACATGAGCCTTGGTTCAAGTGGCTAATCGCTGCCACCTCGGTTGTTGCTTTGCTCCCTTTAGTGAAGTCACCAGCTACTTAATATTTCCGTAGGACAAACGGAACTGGGGCGGAGCAGGTTGATTAAATCCCATCTGTTGGAGCTGGCAAGGGTGGTTCTTTATGACTAGTATTGCTCGTATGTACTCTGTACAGAGACACGAGAACCGGGTTAACTCATACCAGAGAGTATGGTGTAATTAGCTACCAACAAGTTCTCGTGAACCGAGAACGTCATCAATGTGACGTTGGAGAATGAAACTGGAAACAAAACGGCAATGATGGGTGAGAAAGGAAATGACGCAGACCTGGTAAAAGGAGAAAACGTACGTAATTGAAGGTTCTAAATAATGGACGAAGATGAGTTCCAGAATACGCCAAGATTCTAGGTCCCAAACGAATTTGCCTCGATTTCCTCAAAACAGACTCAGGGCGGCTCCTGATTTGCTGGTTGCAACGAACGATCATTTCGAATCCTTAGGGGTTCGACGAGGGGAGGTTGGGACCACATTGCGATCTGATCTTAGAGCCGGACCCTGGAACTGGGAGCGTTGGAAACGCACAGACGGCTGCCAGGCTGAAAAGATTGATAGGCTGAGGAACCTAGGAATCTCGTGTATTTATGTCGAAAGATGCCGATACTATGGAAAACATGGACGCTAAAGAATTTGCTTGTCAATATGATTCCTTTCAATCTAGCAAAACTAGCAAAAATCGCGTCTGTCGTCTATTTGAGCAAACAAAAGACGATGCGGCTCGATAGGTAAGATTGGGCATCGTTGCCGCATGAGGTTGGACCGAAATGATATCCCTTCTCATTAATGGGCGCGGGGAGAGGCTGTCCTATTGTAGGATTGCAGATTAAAGAACTTGCAGCATGGTGACATCCGCTGCATGTTGCGCTTCTCGCGTTAGGTAGGTACCTAGATCAGCGG